GTTCAATGAATTTGCCATTTCATTACAGTATTGAGAGCTAAAGTTATAAAGTTCCAACGTCTTACATATTCCGTTTGTTTGTTAAAATGTCAACTGCTGCCGATGCCGATCAGGAACGATGTGGTCAGCTCTTTAGTCACGACGTTCAGACGAACGGCTGGACTTTGCTCGGAAAGATTGTATCGGTACGTACGCCGTTGTGTCGGGAAATTTCAAAAGTGTTTGCACACTACAAATTCATTCTTAACATTATGTTAACAGCGAGCAACGCTGGATCTCTACACTGAGAAATCTTTTTTTTCATAATGCCAGACGCTCGATTGTGTTTTGACTGATATCTTATCCTGCACACATTTTACAGAGACCTCAAAACTAAAGTCGCTGTTCTTTGCCGTTTGTATGACTATTTTCGGGCTGATATACCTCTGTTTTGCCAATACCAGGCCAACTAAAATCAACTAACGGAACGTCGTATAATATCGTTCGACGACTCCTTCCGCCAAGCAGCGATTCTCAACCGCAGCCAGCTACTAAGAGAAAACCGTCAACGGTCAAACTATACATTCTATTTGGACTACCTGGAGACCAGTATACCCCCGCGTTACGTCTCTTTCAAGAAGCAGAAACAGGAATAAAACAATGCCCATATTCGAACTGCATCGTTTCCAGTAACCGGAGCAAATTACTAACTAGTGGTGCGGTCGTATATCACATTCGGGATTTCGCCTTGGATCAGCTGCCACCGACACGGTTACATCACCAATACTACATTTTTTACGGGCTGGAATCGCCAGTGCACACGCGCCAGGATTTCCAACCGGGTTCTTCAACCTGACCTTCACGTACCGGTTGGATTCGGATGTGATTACGGACTCGTACTTTCAGCACTTTCGTCCGTCGGTGTGGAAGGACAGCCGAGAGTTCGATGAGGCGCTGCGAAATAAAACAGGATTCGCGACGACGTTTGTCTCCAACTGCCAGTGGATACCCAGTCGACGGGATTTGTATATGACAGAGCTGGCAAAATATGTGGATGTGGATGTCTATGGGAAGTGTGGCACGAAGGAGTGCAGCACGGATACGCCCGAAATTTGTGATCGGCTAGTGGCCAATTACAAGTTTTATCTGGCTTTCGAAAACAGGTACCGTTTTATAACTTTGCTGCTGCATTTTTGTTTTGTCAGTTCTATTCTCATAAAAAAATAGCATTCAATCTACAAAATAACTGCAATTTCTTGCTTAGTATCTGCAAGGATTACGTTACCGAAAAAAATCCATCGAGCCTTAAATCACGCCGCAGTTCCGTTGTCTATGGCGGTGCCAACTATTTCGCGATCTTCCCCAAAGACTCCTTTATAAACGTTATGGATTTTGAAAACCCCAAAGCCCTTGCCGATTATTTGCTCTTTCTAAACAAGAACCCCCAGGAATACCGCAAGTATTTCCAGTGGCGCGTCAGTGCGGCCACGGCCAAATTAGCAGCCGGACTGGAAGCTCGTAATCTGTCGTGGTGCAGAATCTGTACCATTCTCAACACTAGAAGTCCAAAGAAGAAGGTCGTCACTGATTTGGGTCGGTGGTGGAATGGGAAGGTTGGTGTGTGGTGCCAAGGATAGAAAATAATAAATGGGAAATGAATCCGTCCATTCCGTCCGTTTAATTATTGAGCAATGAGCCACTGCATTAGCTGTGTTACATACTCCTAGCTTGTTGGTTTTAGACTGCTTTTTTATAGCTTGCAACGGCGAATCTCCATAGTTCTTAGAAGTTGTAAATAAACCTAAAGTGACGCTTGCGCTTATATCGTGTTTGTGGACTTGCTGCCTTATGATATGCAGGATTTGTTTTAACTTGGCGAATGCGATTTTAAAATGCAATTATGAACAAACAAACGTTTGCGCAAAAAAATCAGCATGCCGAGTTGCAGCGCGTTGAAATATTCAGCCAAAGCTGCTCCAACTGTGACCGTGTGATTTTTTCACTGTTCACGGACTTTTCGTTGTCGGCTAATTCCGAAAACAGCAAAACGTAGCTAGTGATAGCCCCTGAAGCCTGCGAATGCAGTACCAAATGTAACGTACTCTCCGTTCGTTGCTCCTTGCAAAACGTTGTGGCTTTTAAAGGCCGCTACACTGCGCTTACCATAATTACGGTTTCCCTCGTGACTAGTATTCCGGCCATACTGAATCCCACCGGATGCAACCGATACTCTGCCCCATAGTGCTTGAACACTTCATCGTTCCCTTGTTGCATTGTTATACGGAATCCTGTAATTCCCATAGTTGGTTATTCCATTTTGTCAAAAGCACCTGTGCCCGTACTGCCTTACTTGCTCAGTAATATAAATGAAAGTGACAGCGTACAGCGCCAAAAAGTAAACGGATTCAGTCAGTCCCAAAGACGATGTGTTTCCAGACTGCGATTAACTGCGTACTCCATTGCCATCATGTAAGTACAAAAGGTCACGTTACTCAGAAACTGAATGTACATGAAAGCGTTAATCAAGACATCACCGAATCGAAAAGCTTTGTTAACTCCACAATTTCCCGGTGGTGCTTAATTAGCTCAGCGATTTGTGATGTTCTCTGTTCGGTTACAGGTTCATCAAGATTGTCCGCGAGTTGGCTAAAAAGCTTACCCAAAAGCAGAGCAAATGCAGTCGTAAAGACTTGCAGTGACAACTGGCCGAGACTGGCAAAGCGGAACAGAGTGCAGTAAATAACATACACAATTTTAAAGCGTTTAAAGAGATGTGACCTTTCACCACGGCATAATCAAGACGGATTTCGTCGCCTATTGCCGACACAATATCATCTTCAATGATTCGGTAAAACGTCACCACAAATATCAGGAAGAAATTCACGCTGATGAATGCGTAAATCTGCAGTTTCCTTCTTGTGGTCAAAAACATATCTGCATGAGCTGTGGCAATCTTTACGCAGTGCACTACAAGCTCTCTGGATCGAAACGAAATGGAAAAGTAGAACACCGCCGCCACGACATCAAACATATACGTGCTCAGACACAGAATGATGACGGTGAATGATGGGGTATCGACAATGACCTTTCTGGAAAATTCGGTGTACGAGCAGTAGCATAACGCGCAAGTTTGAAGCGCTCGGATAAAACCGTCAGAGCTATCCGACAAAGCCTGTAACGGTGAGTGTTTGATTGAGGTACAGGACAGGTGAAAATAGCGAAGATTTCCAAAAGATTGAGCCATATATTCCATATTCTTTGCATCGAGGTTGGCTTTTTTGTCAGTGGATAATCGTATCTCGATTGGAAACGTATCAACAACGTTAGGTCTGACTTTTCTCATTCTGTGATTGCATGTAAATGTTATAATTATCACCAAACGTCTTCAAGGCTCATTGTGAAAGGAAACTCATTGGTCTGCCTGACAACGTGAGGAAAACGCGACAGACGCTACTTGTAGTCAGACGCATCTACCACTACCTACGCCACCACCAGTTACAACATGGCAAGATGTATCTAAACTGCAGTGGTTTAACATCACACATAAGCATTTACATAGAACTGCATTCATCTGCCGGTTGTGTTGACCACTGCCACCACAAAAAATTTTTTCCCGGCTCTTGCCTCGAAGATTCAAACGACCTACCCCACCTGCACGTGTGCGCATGCAGCTGGAATACAATATCAATCAAGCAAACGTTGCACCTGTTTTCAAACGTATGTACACAGATGACTTTGTAAACTTGGTGCATAAATAGTTACCATGGTCAAATACCGCCGAGACCTACGGGTGTGGTATGCAAAAACGTAAAAATGAGGAGAAGTACTTTGTTTGATGCTAGCGAGTTACAACAATCGGCTCAGAAAAACCTGCGACGCAAGAAGACAATAAAAGGAATATGCCTGGAAGATCGTACTTTAATTAGCATAAAAAAGGACGTTGGCGAGAAAAACTTTGGCGGATATCAAATTATTGAAATTAATCTGCAACTCTTGAGTTTTGCTGTGTGAAATTTGCTTTTCGCGCTCCCTAATGTAACCATCTGCGGGTGGCAGCGTTGCAGTCCGCTCCGAAAAAAATGAAGACATACAAGTTGTACTGTACACTGAACCACATTGAACCCCGTATGTGCAGTATTGTACTTGTACTCGTACAACGACTGACAGCAGCAAAAAAAAGAACTGATGGAATAACAGCTGATGGATTTTAAATTACGAGTACTATATTAGCGGAACCATTTTGGCTTTTTATAAAATTAATCATAAGGTTTGATTACACTTTGCCGGTGGCGGTTAGTGATCTGTGAAAAAATCAGTTTTATTATCAGACGGTTCAAGTTGATTGTATCTGATTGTCGGAAAGCACTCTTATCTTTGTATGTGCCTGTGGTACCGTCACCGTTTGCACCGCTTCCGTTGGGTTGCCTACGCGCTTGTTCTGCATCAGTTATATCTATATGCTGACTGTCTGTCAGCTTCTCAGTTCTCCTGGCTTCCCAGTTTTATTTGTCCAGCATCCCTGAACGACACAATGGCTGTCCAACATACAACTCACACTATTACCACCATTGCTGGTGTACAGATGCCGCGATTAATTTACGGAACAGCTTGGAAAAAAGGTTAGAAAAACTTATCGACATCCAAAATTACTATACTCGATAAGTCTTCTCTCTGTACCCGGATAACGTTTTGGACCTGAAGACAGGGATCCATGGTGTTGAGATCTGTTTGGCATTTGTTTGTTTACGTTGTATTATTTACAGACGCGACGACAGATTTAGTGGTGAAAGCTGTTCTGGCTGGTTTTCGGGGCATCGACACAGCATGCCAGCCCAAACATTACCAGGAACCGCTGGTGGGGAAGGCCCTCGCCACTTTGCACGAGAAGCACGCAATTCCCCGCGAGGATTTGTTCGTGCAGACCAAATTCACCAGCGTCGATGGGCAGGATCCACAAAATATTCCCTATGATCCCCGGGTAAGAATCTCGCCTTCCTTTTAATTTGCCAAAATAAGAAATGTAAATGAAATGTATTCCGCGATTTAGAAGATTTTCGTTTGTTGGAACTGAGCGAAATTTGAGGAAAGTGATTCGTTTGAAACAGCTTAGAAGCAATGATTTCTAAAATCCAAGATCACGGCTATTTATGATTACTAATAACCTGATGAGCCTCCTGATAATGCTGCTGTTAAGCAGTAATTATTCTGATCAAACTGTTGTGATGTTAATTTTGTGTTGCAGTCTTGTGTTTGCATTTTGCCACTTTGGCATAGAACGATGAAACTTCTGTGAGAACTTTTCGCTGTACAACATTATTAAGACCACGGACCATGGTATCTCAAGTTTACGAAGCAGGCGGAAAACGAATAATAGTAACATAAGTATTTTCAAGTACCTCAGTTTACTGAAAAGCAATTTTACACTAGGAAAACTCTATATAATTATCTGCATTTATTTCGCTATTTTATTTTATAAACTATAATGTCTGTATTTTTATGTCTGCTAACTGCTGTACAGTACCCACTTTACGAAAGTGCCGCGGACGACAGAATAAAGAACGATGAATATTCTAAAGAAAATTAAAAGGAATTATCATTATGAAAACTGAAAAACTAAACTTCTCTGTTCTCAACAAAAAAGTTACTAGCGAAACGGTGTGACATCATGTGGAATTCCTTTTCTAGTTATGAAGGGTCGCTCTCTAGGTTTTGTTTCCAGATGGTTTAAAATAATGGCATGTTATGATTAAATGATTTAAATCGTTGTCGGATTGCTGTTAATACGACGAACATTGACTGTTTTGTGTTACCTACAAATACGTAATAACCAAAACATCTAGCGGAAACTGTCTAGCCGTAAAATAAGCAAACATTATAATTTGAAATTTGACTAAAAATGTTATCTGACCGTCCGTATTGTCCGTATTGCGTTGTTATTGTGCAGCACTGCAGTGCTATCTCTTGTGATAATAGTTTGTGAGACATTTTTTAAAAAGCATGCTGACATCACGTTATTTGAATTTGAAGGCTTCCTTAACTGATCAAGTCCGCCAGTCCGTTTCAGCCAGTTTGCGCAATCTGCAGACGACCTACATCGACTCCCTTGTCCTCCATGGTCCTATGCACAGCCACCAGGAAAACATGGAAGTATGGCGTACCCTCGAGGACTTCCACTCCCAGGGCACCATCAGACAATTGGGCATCTCCAATTTCTACCGTCTGGCTGAATTGGAGAAGCTCTTCCATGACGCCCACATCAAACCGGCCGTCGTACAGAACCGCTTCCACGCCGAGACCGGGTACGATGTGGAGATCCGCGCGTTCTGCCGCAAACACGGCATCATCTACCAGAGCTTCTGGACTCTGACGGCCAATCCGCATCTGCTGCGTAGTGCCGTGATCAAGGACATGGCACACAAACGGCAGGCCACGGTGGAGCAGGTGTTCTTCCGGTTCTGTATGGATTTGGGCATTGCACCGCTGACCGGGACGAAGGATGAGCGGCATATGAAGGAAGATTTGGCAGTGCTGGATATGGAGCCGATGAGTCGCACCGAGGTGGAGCAGATTGAACATCTGATGATCCGCGAGTTCAGTGGGCACCAGGCACTGCATTAATTATGGTGTCTCCCGGTTTGCTGATTATTTTATGCCCGCATTTTGGTTTTATAGACGTGCTGAGTTGCGTTCAATTTGGCCCGGTTTTCTAAAAAATTCAGTGTTTCAATGTTGTTTCTGAATGGTATTGCGTGTATTTGTTATGCCGCGATGACGGCTTTATGAATGTTTTGGTTTGCTGAGCTTTTAAGAAATGGAAAGATTGCCGAAGATGACGTTTAATAGAAAGTGATGTGCATAATGTTATCTTATCAGCAACTTGTACGGCTACGCATCGAGCGATGAAAACAGTTATCTGTCCAATTATGCAACAGAAGCGGCATAAAATTAGCAGTACTGCAATTTTGACGTAACACGATATCGTAGATACAAGTATATAATGCATATATAATTATTATGCGATACTTCTATATAATTTTACTACGATAGCCGCATCCTCGATACCGGCGCAAAGTGGGTGATATAACGAACAGTGATACGAAAAGCAAATGGGTACTTATGTAGACATAAATTAGGTAATTTTTAGCAAAGGATTTATTCAGTTCCTCCTGCAAACGCGTCAACATAAGAAATCTGAACTAGAACTTGTTAAGGATACAGTACTGTATAAAGGATGTTTGTAAGGTTATTGCTAACCCTTTCCGCTTTGTTGGTGGTCACCATCCGAGCGGCGGTGTTTATTCAGGACGCGCTATGGATTATGGCCTAAAATCTTCGGCGACGTGCAGACACGAGTGCCGGTGTACATCGAGACGGGACGATACGGTGAGCTGCGACGTTGTTTGACGTGCTGTCCACCTTAATTATGCGCTTTGTATCCATTCTGTAGTTGTCGTTACAATATGTAAAATGGTTTATTGGGCAATAGCCGCCATAACAACAAAAGTGCAAGCGCGGGCACACTACTTTACAGTTAAAATTTAAAATTAAGTAGTTCGTGTAAAATTAAGTAATTCGTGGTAAAATGATTGTTGTACTGCGAATTTGAGTAGATGCCACGACACTGGCGAATATTCGTCGCGCGATCGATCAGGTGAATGCCGATCTCAACGGCTGCGTTGGATTTTTCGAAGTGTACACCACCGCGCCCGGCCTCGACTTCCTTTGGATCAGCGACACATTCAATTCCGGGTAGGAAAACACAGAACTTTAAAGTTCGGTCGGACTAGAAAAACGCAAACAGTGTTCCCGTTTTCAATAATTTTAAATTTTTAAGTACGTATATTTAGACCGTAATTCCGTCTTAGTTTAGACGGTAACATCGGTTATAAACTTATAACTAATTAGAAAAAATAAAGATAAGTAAGTACTGTCAATTGTTACTGTCATGGCTGTTTAATTTAACCAGCAGAAGAGGGCACGGGAACTTAAAACTGACAAAAAAATCACGCCCGTTCTCATTGCAGAAGGCGATCGTAGTCCTTTCCTAATTGTATGCGTATTGTACAATTATACATACTTGTACTCGTATACACAGCATAAAACACAATATACGTATGTATATCTATATTATAAATACACATACATACTGTTATAATTATGTTGTAAAATATTAAGCAGTATTCACTTTCAAAACGGATGTATGTGTATGTAAATGTAGCACCTCCGGGTAAATTTAGCGGTTGTATCTGTATTATTTAATACAAAATCGTTTATATATAAATAATTACTGACAATGTCTCGCTATCGCAGAACCCGTGCTCTGCACTGCAACGGCATACCGGGGCGAAGCCTGGAGCAGGCCGGTCGCGGCCAAAAAGCCATGATAACGACAGGCGGTGGTGGCGCCGGCATTTGCGGCGCTTCCCAGCGCGGTATCATGTCAGCCCTGGTGACCAGCCTGGGCCTGTTGCCAGAATACCGTCGACAAGACCGCTCCATCACTGTCACCGAGGCCAATGTAGACGCAGCCTATACCGGGCAGGGCTACTATACTACTCTCCAGGCTGCCCAGATTGACACAATGGCCACTCCCTTCGACTTCAACTCCATCACCATGGTGGAGCGGAATACCCACGCCGCATCCGGTCAGGTGGTCTTTAGCACGACGCCAACGGACCAGGTCATCGGCAATCTGACGCGCTTGAGTCTCGGCGACTGTAATGCGATTAGGACGAAGTATACTTGTCCGACGTTCTTCCAGTGCAGCAATCGTAAGCCGCATTTAATTTAGTTGTCATGTTTGGTTTACTTAAGTTAAAAACGTGTTGGTTAGCACTTAGCAGTATCTACCACAAGCACCTAGCAGTAATTAGTGTAGGTGCGAAGTGATTAAGGCTCCACATGCTGCATTATGTCATGCAAACATAAATAATAATTATTCTTACTGCCATCTCTTGTCTCCGTTAAAATAATTATCTGTACGTATCTCAGTGGCTAGGTGTGCAGCTGATTCTTGTTGCAGCATACACGTCCGGTACTGTTGACCCTGGTGGTCCCATCGAGCCGCCTGGGCCCGTTAATGAGTTCCGATCGCAACATTATCAACACCTACAAAAGTAGATCATCTACGAGTACATCTTCAGTCCCATGCATTGAGCGCTGTTCAAGAATAAGCAATCTGGTAACTCCATCAGCTAAGATAGGGCGACGAAGTGCTGTATCATTATTATATAGCAGCTGCTCATCGTAATATCGCTGTTCTGTAATGTTGATGCTTTTACTTTTTTATCATTGTCCACCAATTCTTTTGCGCGACCACGAACTTTTAATCGTCCCCAATTTTCTAATAAGCATAGTGATGCTCTCAATTCAGAACGAACAATTAAATTCGCTCTTGAAATCGCCTATCCGGTTGGACCACACCGAATTTGTATTTAAACATATAATTCATATTTACTAGGCAAAATACAAAAAGCACTCCAGAAATGTGACCACACAGAAGTTCCTCTGCTTTGCGAAAGGCAACATCAACTCTGCCAGCCGCTGCTAAACAGAAAATTCGAAATATTGAGCTTTCTGTAATGCATTTTTTATGCACATCTAATCAAGAAGCCGAAATTAGCAAACGCCTAATACTGCAAGTTAAATACCAATATGTACCAATCTTACAATATCTACTCTACGCAAAATTAATATTGCACGCAGTTCTGGCTAGTAACTTCAAATACGTTTTTCAACTTTCGACATTTTGAAGGACAATAAATAAAATAATAAAACGCAGGAAGCTGCTTCATTGAGAACTGTCGATACGGTTGTTCTTAGGGAATGCCTTTTTCAACTGCTCCCATACATCACGAAGCGCAAAGGTCAGCAGAATGGGATCCGTTGCTGGTTGCACTGTATAAATAGCAAGTACGGTCTCCTGAAAGCGAAACGCCGCCGCACTATTAAGCCGCAGCAACGGTTTGAGTAACCCGTATCCCACTAACGGCGTCCAGAACAGCACCACACTACAAGTCACCGTGGTCAGGACGATAAGCGCGTATTTTATCCGAGTTTCCCGGCGAATCGTGGCCGCTGTCTGTTGGTAATGGTAGTGTTCTTTCTTGATGCGCCGCATATCTTCCATCTTGGCAGCGCGCAGCTTGCGCCAGTACAGCAGGACGGTGACGGGATAGGCGATAATAATGAGGATCTCGTTGAACTGGTAGACGAGAAAGTTTAACGCCCGACCCCAAAAGGGCCGTCGGTCAGTGTTGAAGAAGCAGAAGTGCTCCATCTTGGCGGGACGCAGGCGTTCATCCTGGATGAAGGTCGGCAGGGTCACCATGTGACAGTACACCCACATGGTGGCGCAAATGAAAATGGCTCTGTCAAGTTAAACGGATTAAGTACTAAGTACTGGCCTAATGGCAAGTACTGCTTGTGCATGTGCCAGGCTAACACTGACTGTGTCAAGAAGCATTTCATAATTATTATCTTCTACATCACTACAACATTATGACCTAATTTTGTAAGAAACATTAATTACAACATTATGAGCCAAAAAAGCCAACCAAACTGACTGCAGGGATGAGGGTTGTTGCAAATTATTAAAAGAAGGATGCTATAAGCGTTATTACTAACAATTCTATAAGCGTTTAGACTAACAATTTTCCAGTGAATTTCAAACAGCTGTGATTGCGAACACTTATCGAGCCATACTTGGAGCGCATGTACACAGCCAACCAAGAAACTTGGAGCGCAGGCACACAGCCAACTAATAACAATAATCTCTATATATTAATAGCGTAAGCCTTAGCACAATTCCATTCCCTTTTGCAAACGATACACTGAACCAAACTTTGGCGTCTATAGATCATTCGATAGCGCTGCGATCATAGATTGGCAGAAACGGGTTTGTTTTTTTAAACTATTTGGGACCTGAAAAAAAATTTTAAAAAGCTTAACATACGAAGTCTATGGGGAAAGTCAAGAACCCACCACTGCAAACCCAACCACACCACCATTGTCTCCAACAGAGTGAACGTCTGTGAGACAGCCAGGAACAATTCTGACAATTCCGCTAAACACTACACGGAATTAAATTCAAACCTTAGCGTATGTCTTTGGGAGCTTTTGAGCTTATTAATTTTTTATCGAAAGTCATTATCGAGGGAGAAGGGTTGAAAGAAGATTTTCAAAGGCTCACATTCATAGTGGGGAAGCGGGGGCTGAAAGATCTGCAGTTGCAGTAGCTGCCTGCCAAAGCGGTTTCATCAGTTTTAAATTTAGTGCACCCATGGGCGGGTGTGATTGTCTTTGTTGCCGGATCTCATCTGAACCTTTATGGGAGCAAATTTTTCGAAATCTTTGGTATACAACATTTTTTTAGAATAAAATTTTGAATAATTTTAATGTTGCGTATAAACTATCAAAGCAACAGCAACTACGCATTGAAAATAATTATGGTTGAAGCACTACTGCCATTACATATACACATTTCGTCATAATTGTTAAGGGTTGCAAGTACAGAGGGTTATTCAGCCAAGTGTGGACACTTTTTGGAAAATTCCTCCTTATCCGTCGCAGGCTCATTTTACTTTTTTAAAAATTTTATCAGGTAGCCACAACATCCAACCATACTTTAAATTCAACCGAGTCACGATTTCCTCATCCTGTAGCTCAGTAAAAAATTAAGTTTGTCTCCCCCATGTTGGCAACAGTTGACCAGTTCAGCTATAGGAAATGGATTCCCTTTATTCAAAATTTATCTAAAATTTGGAATTTCGCCGTAACCCGTTGAAAACCTGTCGGGGGTTTCGAACAATCCTTTTTCTGAAGGAATTACTAGTATTTCTCGATTGGGAAGCTGCATCCTTGTTTACTCAGCAGTGCCCCCAGGAGCACGTCTCGGGTTCTGGATGACTTCTTCTTCCCCGCCAGGCTTGATTCGTGGAGCATCTTTCTCGACCAATGAACGTTGTAAACGGTAGAAAAAGACTTGTTTTACAACTTTAGTTTATGGAGGGACGGAAAGGATAGCTATAGTTTCGTGCATAAGAGTTCGCGCAATGGGCATGGCTCTTGTGGGTCTCTTCCTGTTTTCGCGTTTTTTCCAACCGTCCTACCGCAAGAACGCGCAAGAATATGAAATCGTTTTTGCTATAAAAAATATTCGGATCGTCGTTTTTCACAATTAAAACCATGCAGATTTGAAAAATAGACGATCCGTCTAAGGCCAGGTGGTCGAAAGCCAAATTTTGACTGGTCAAGGGTGTGAAGTCGGAGTCTTTTGGTTAACAGACAATATCGCGACCATTTTACGCTGGATTTTCACCAAAATTTGCAAAAGGCATTCAGAATAGTTAGTCGTTGATTTGAGATGCTTATGGCATCATTTCTCTTAAAATGAAATTTATAAGGAATTTTTTTTCGAAGTGTCCACACTTGGCTGAATGACCCTCTGTATGTGCCTTTCCGTCAGAAACGAAAGTTCTGACTTGAAGACATTGTGATTATTAACTGGGAAGCACTGTAATCAGAAAGTGGAATCAAGGACAATAGCGGTTGCGACTTGCGAATCAGTTGACTGTCATTATCGGGTGGAATGAAATTTCAAATGCGCAGAACGGGATGAGCATAAATAATTTTTGGGGATAAATGCGAGCGATGCTCAGTTGGTGGCTGTTCAGGTAAAAACTAAAAGAACTTCTTAGAAAACGACTCAAATATCAGAGCGTTTTCGGAGTAAAAATTTCACATTTTTAATGTCCAAGGTTCTTTTCAGTTTATGCATCGGAAATACTTAAATGCACACACAAACATTGTGAAATTAGGGATAGCTGAGAGTAGCTATTTATCAGTGAGGTATAAACGAAGCTTGGATTAATTGTCCTTTTGTCATTACTGTATTTGCATTTTGCCGGTGAAATTGAATTACTTTGCGCTTCATTTTTTTGCAGCAATTCTAATTCAGGAGTTTTGCAGTAATGACCCGTCGCCACATTTTGACCTCAAAATGGTCGTACCATGACCGCCGTCAAAGGCCTTAGGAAGGGAAGGCCTTTTCCCCATTTGCGTATCACACGTATAAAACTCCTTAGGTTCTTACAAAAAGGCCCATATAAGCGTCTGCTAATTAGAACGGTCGTGTTGCGGTCGTCTTAAGCCCTTAGCGGCATGGTCTTAAAACGGGCAGCATACGCTCGTGCTCAGTTTAATGCCTCACTGTGATCTGATTACTTGACGGTGCAATTATCTGGTTCAGACACCTTTTGTTCTTCACCTTTCGGAACTGTCAAAGGCAGTAAAAATGTCTTAACAAATATTATTATACACGTGTTTCAGTGGCTCTCTTTATATCTCTTAAAATTTTCATGCGCTTGTCTCTTCATTTTCCTTTAGTTATCTGTGCAGCCTTTATTAAACGAACCCCAACAACAAATTTAAAATATTTATAAGTTTCGCCAATGAAGCAATGCGCGCTACTTATACAAAAAATGCCGGCCAAATAATTCAGAAAAAGAACAGTTCAAAATTCTCGAAAAAGGAATGTGCGAGTCAAAGAATAAAAACAAAAACAATATAAACTGATAAAAACGAGCTGCTGTCAACATGAGCTGGGCATAGCCTCTTTACGGCTACAGTTGACGCGCACGATAAAGTAGAATACGAATACAATAAAGGTAGCAAAAGCGTGAACAAAAGACGGTCACTTCAGTGCCGTTGTTAATTAGACGCGTCAGAATTTGTATCGATAACGTGGTCTGTCTTCTGCTTTTTCTTTTTTTCTTCCTCCTCTTTCTCCTTCGCTCTCTCTCTCTCTTTCTGCTCCACATCGTCCAGATGGCCGACCACAGCATCGCGAAATTTGTCTCCGTCCGGATTAGAAACACGGCGGTATTCGTACACTGTTTAGTCAGATCTAAGCAGCAAACCAAGAAATAAAAGCAGATTATCGAAAAAACATACAGTACTTATTTATATAGAACTATATGAATATGTTATGAAATACAGTAACACATGAAATAAAAATATGTAATATACAGACGATATTGGATATGATAATCTCTATATATTAAAAGAATAAGACTTTCAAAATTCCATTTCCATACAGTTCGCCAGGACCCTACACAGAACCAAACTTTGATGGCTATATATCATTCGATAGCCCTAAGTTTCTATATTTGCCATCAGAAGTCTGTTTTTGAAACAAAAGTTAGGTTTAAAAGAAAAGTTAAGAAAACCGTAGCATGCAAAGTCTATGGGAAAAGTGGAGACCCCACCACTACAAAACGATCACCCCACCACTGCCAATAGAATATGTCAATTTTTGATAAATCACCTGAAACGTTACAATGGATGAAACTTTAATGGGTTTGAATCACTCGAAAGCCCTGGATTTATAGATTTTACCTCTAAAGCATGGTTATAGAGGAATATCAGGATTTGACAAGAAAGTCTGATTAAAAGTCTACGGAACAGTCGAGGTTCTCATTTCCAAAACCCAGTTTTCAGGTAGCTGTCTTACGCAGCGCGGGTGACTGGTTTTAAAGTTGCTGCGCTCCTTTGGGCGGGTACGAATGTTCTTGCTAAATATTGAAGCACTAAGGCCTCGGCTCCAATATTAACCGTATCTCACTACGGTACACACCGCACGAAGTGGCCTTCATACGGGCTTTTTTCTTCCGAAATTATTCATTACGGCTTGAACGTTTGACACTGAGCAAAAAGGGAAATACTAACTTTGTAAATCGTTAATCGTGTAACAGCCGAATTTGCGCAATTTTCTGCGTTTTAATTTCACGGGAAAAGCAGTTCGAAGTTTAGAATATTATATGGTTGATTACCCAGCATGCCGCATGATTTGCTGTTTTGCTTCCTGTTAATCGAGAACTAATGCTTTAGCAACCAATACGGAAATGTGCACTTTATGCAAAATTACCAACGTATAACCGTCTTTCGTTAAGCAGAATAAACAGAAAATACTGATTAGCGTGGCCGACGGAGTTGATTGAATGGATGCAGTAAATATACGCCAAATGCTACATTTACGATAAGTTTTGTGAAACTCAAGTAGTTTATCAGTCTGTAATAAAGGTGAGCCGCAAAGGCGCCGAGCTGCAACAAGAGTGAAGCCCGCGGAGTAGCAAGTTTAACAACCGAGACGATTTGACTTATTTGAGTATAAACAGTTTTTGTCGTTGAAGGCAGTTTCGACAAAAATTAGACAGTTTAATTGGCAATTGAAATTTAACACATGAATTGGGAAGTGCTTAACTACTTTAGCCTCCTTATTAGTAATTTCACTGTTGTGTTCTTAATACAAAGCATTATGGAAAAATATTATGTATTCCTATTGATAAGGGTACCGACAAGGGCACCAGCGGTATTTGGCTGACGGTGAGCCATCTTAAATTATAAGGAAGGCAGATATCTGAAAAGCGAACAATGCTTGGAAATAATAAAGTAAAACAAAAAACTGCAAAACTTTTAATAAATTCAAAGCTGCTACTTTATAACTGAATAAATTCTCTTGATGGATGATCTGGAAAAACTGAATTGGTGCTACCGGTAAAGTTCAAACGTGAAGAGAAAGGAGCTGTTTTCGAGGAAAGAACTTTCGTTTTTCACATTATCTCAGGCTTCTAAGTTCTAATCCTATCCGTAAGTGCAAATGCAAGTGTAAGTGCACTTCTGTAAGCTGTGCAATCTACGGGACGGGAAAATATTCACACAGGTTGTAATTTAAAATAGCTAGACACTGACTACGAAGTTGACACAAGTTGACACAAGTATTTCTCTGTGAAGGAAAATTTTACGTTTCGTTGATAAAAGTTAAGGAAATACAGATGCGTAGATATACGGCATATGTAGATATGTAAGTACCTGTCTCTTTGAGTTTTGCTTTAATTTACGATTCATCCATCGCTGCTATATTCCGCGCAATTTGCGCGGGGTCTACTAGTATACAATATATATATACAATTTTTGTAGTAAGTATTCCAGCGTTAATTTATTCCGCGCAGTTTGCGCGGGGTCTACTAGTAATATTTATTTTAAACGTTAAGTAAGTGCACATATGCGACTATTATTATTATTATTATTATTATTATCACTCTGCAGTAGCCATCTGCTTTCAATGGAGATAAGTATCTTACCAGGCTACTGGAAAATTTTTTTTGGTTAGTTCAGAAAATTTTATACTTTTTTTGGTTTGATTTTATGAGATAAAAGCACCCAACCTAAGAATCGAACCCAGAACACACTATCTTAAAGCCAAAATTACTATCTTAAAGCTAAAATTAACCGCAGCTTATAATATTCTTACCTTTTGGCGGTATGATAATTTTTATACTGTATGGGAAACACAATGGCACATATCCGATTGGCTGCAATCACCACATGACTTGTCATGACGCCGGCGCCGAAACAGGACGCAGCGTACAGATAGAATGTGCAAGCTCCGCGACTGAAAGGCCAACGGCCGTAATAATTCTGCATTACCAGCTGGGCATTGGTTGCACCATGGACGAGAATATTGGACATCAGCAGATTGACAACGTACACCGCGAAAGGACTACGCAGCACTTTATGACTAAGGATAAAGGTCAACAGCAGTGAATTGTTGACGACTATCAAAGTCATCATGACAAGTGACCAGACCGGTGTGAAGGACCAACCTGGCCGGTAAAGGGGAAACGTTACGTTTGCAAAGCTAGTGTTATTCATGCTCGAGGTCATCATGGTTGTGATGCCTTTGCATTGCAATTGTACGAGTAACACTGCAGACTGTTTGTTTAAACTCGATTCTGCGCCGTAAATATATTGTTAAAAGGTAAGAACTAGGAAGCTTATCATATTATTAAATTAAATTTCGGGATTATAAAGCGATGTGGCTGTTTTTCGGCAACATTTCTCTGAAGACGGAGTGTTGATTAAATGATGTCGTCGTTCAAAGACACGAGACATTTAGCGGTCTCGGACGGAAAAGTCCATTACATAGCGCTGCCGTCTTAAATGGTGCTGGATTAAAAATGAAAACAAACGACTACAGATACATCCCGGAAATGACGCCTTTGTGGAAACCACACAGCCTACAATACACGCATCAATTTCTTTCCGGTATGCCAGGTTAGTTGTCAAATGTTATCGTTGATGTTCTGTTCACAGTGAGTGTGTTGACCTTGATGGACCGGAGAAAACAGAATAAGTCATTTTCTTAGCTATAAGCCTGTTATTTTTCAAAGGCTTTAATTAAAAGTTTCGAAAATTGACACGACAGCCGATGGTATGTGACGAAAAATTCATCTGCCAACGTTAACAGGACAGCTATTGGGTAGTTACAACGAGATGCTGTTCATTTGTAATAAACGATCGACCGACCGCACTGAAGTGTTGCCACAATAATGCTTAATTTGGTGATTAAATTAATGCTTAATCTTGTCATCGGAAAGGTTGTTACTGTCCGATCCAGTTCTCAAATTCCTACAACATAACATCAACATTCCGACGAAAAGTTGTGGAAATCCTGGGAGCTACGTGGGCTTGAGCCGAAAGCCAAATTATCCGGTGACCGCCTCAGTCAACGCGATAACATGAGATATGGAGATATCGCATGTACAATATACAGTAACAACTGTAATACAAATCGCATCGCTTGGCCCTGCGCGCAAAACGGATTATTTACTGCCGTAAAATTTTTGTTTACACGCCATCATGACCTTTACCATTTTTTGGTTAGATCTTTTTGATTTTTTTCATACCTTTTCGATTTTTACTTATTGTACTCTGTATATACTTCTATGGCATTTGATACCGTACCATCAGTTGGTAATCATGAAGCTGGGCCGCAAAAACTGCACATTATGCCAAATTATAGGGATCGTTGATGTGCTATCTTTCATAGAAGTAGAGAACAAACAGTCGACCAAGAAGAGAGCGTTTGATCCGGTGTCGAGTTTTTTTGCGGTGGGCCAACGCTATCCAATATGTTTGTCGTCTGTCGAAAAGAATCAGGTTCCGAGCCCAAGTTAGTTGTTGTCGCGGGGCGATACCGGGGTATTCATCATGCATTCATCATTAATAATTCAACCATAGTATTACTAAACAGTAAACTAACTAATATTACTAAGTAATATTAATAATATAAAACTAGTAGACCCCGCGCAAATTGCGCGGAATATAGCAGCGATGGATGAATCGTAAATTAAAGCAAAACTCAAAGAGACAGGTACTTACATATCTACATATGCCGTATATCTACGCATCTGTATTTCCTTAACTTTTATCAACGAAACGTAAAATTTTCCTTCACAGAGAAATACTTGTGTCAACTTGTGTCAACTTCGTAGTCAGTGTCTAGCTATTTTAAATTACAACCTGTGTGAATATTTTCCCGTCCCGTAGATTGCACAGCTTACAGAAGTGCACTTACACTTGCATTTGCACTTACGGATAGGATTAGAACTTAGAAGCCTGAGATAATGTGAAAAAACGAAAGTTCTTTCCCTCGAAAACAGCTCCTTTCTCTTCACGTTTGAACTTTACCGGTAGCACCAATTCAGTTTTTCCAGATCATCCATCAAGAGAATTTATTCAGTTATAAAGTAGCAGCTTTGAATTTATTAAAAGTTTTGCAGTTTTTTGTTTTACTTTATTATTTCCAAGCATTGTTCGCTTTTCAGATATCTGCCTTCCTTATAATTTAAGATGGCTCACCGTCAGCCAAATACCGCTGGTGCCCTTGTCGGTACCCTTATCAATAGGAATACATAATATTTTTCCATAATGCTTTGTATTAAGAACACAACAGTGAAATTACTAATAAGGAGGCTAAAGTAGTTAAGCACTTCCCAATTCATGTGTTAAATTTCAATTGCCAATTAAACTGTCTAATTTTTGTCGAAACTGCCTTCAACGACAAAAACTGTTTATACTCAAATAAGTCAAATCGTCTCGGTTGTTAAACTTGCTACTCCGCGGGCTTCACTCTTGTTGCAGCTCGGCGCCTTTTGCGGCTCACCTTTATTACAGACTGATAAACTACTTGGAGTTTCACAAAACTTATCGTAAATGTAGCATTTGGCGTATATTTACTGCATCCATTCAATCAACTCCGTCGGCCACGCTAATCAGTATTTTCTGTTTATTCTGCTTAACGAAAGACGGTTATACGTTGGTAATTTTTGCATAAAGTGCACATTTCCGTATTGGTTGCTAAAGCATTAGTTCTCGATTAACAGGAAGCAAAACAGCAAATCATGCGGCATGCTGGGTAATCAACCATATAATATTCTAAACTTCGAACTGCTTTTCCCGTGAAATTAAAACGCAGAAAATTGCGCAAATTCGGCTGTTACACGATTAACGATTTACAAAGTTAGTATTTCCCTTTTTGCTCAGTGTCAAACGTTCAAGCCGTAATGAATAATTTCGGAAGAAAAAAGCCCGTATGAAGGCCACTTCGTGCGGTGTGTACCGTAGTGAGATACGGTTAATATTGGAGCCGAGGCCTTAGTGCTTCAATATTTAGCAAGAACATTCGTACCCGCCCAAAGGAGCGCAGCAACTTTAAAACCAGTCACCCGCGCTGCGTAAGACAGCTACCTGAAAAACTGGGTTTTGGAAATGAGAACCTCGACTGTTCCGTAGACTTTTTAATCAGACTTTCTTGTCAAATCCTGATATTCCTCTATAACCATGCTTTAGAGGTAAAATCTATAAATCCAGGGCTTTCGAGTGATTCAAACCCATTAAAGTTTCATCCATTGTAACGTTTCAGGTGATTTATCAAAAATTGACATATTCTATTGGCAGTGGTGGGGTGATCGTTTTGTAGTGGTGGGGTCTCCACTTTTCCCATAGACTTTGCATGCTACGGTTTTCTTAACTTTTCTTTTAAACCTAACTTTTGTTTCAAAAACAGACTTCTGATGGCAAATATAGAAACTTAGGGCTATCGAATGATATATAGCCATCAAAGTTTGGTTCTGTGTAGGGTCCTGGCGAACTGTATGGAAATGGAATTTTGAAAGTCTTATTCTTTTAATATATAGAGATAGTATCATATTAATATAATATTAGAAAGTAAGTTTATGTTACTAAGTTAGCTTATTAAGTTTAGTTAATTAGTAATGTAATATAATATTACTGAGTTACTTGAGTAATATTATGTTTCAACCTATTAAATTGAAGAGGAAGAGCTGAATTGTTTTCAACACATGCTGCTGCGGAGCGGCATTGCGTGTGTATTGTACCTCATTAAAGTTGGTATATTGTGTCATGTAATGCCATGTAGGCTATATAGTAAGTCTTGTAGGCTTTCGTCAAAAATGTCGGTGCCCAATTGCGATGCCAAACATGCCGAAAAAAAATTGTCCGGTCGACTAGTTAAAGTGCTTTTTTGTTGGATTGATACCTACAGATAGGTTAAAATCACAGTGGATTTTATGAATTTGGAGTTACCGCATAACCACCATACCGGTCCATACGTTTCGCGCTATGATTGTTTCCACCATAATTACTGAAATCTACTTTAATTACCGAACTCCAGAGACTAGAGAGGCTTTGTAGCCGTTCAGTGGGCTGCAATTTGGAGCGGACACCTCCCCACATTTCGGAACTTACCAGCTGTGGGTGCCCGCTTCAAATTGCAGACCTTTGTAAACCTTACAGTTCAGTTTTATTCGTACAGACCCGGTTCGATTTCGTAAAAAAGCATTCGCGGATTAGATGTGCCGAGCACCGTCAAAATACGGAGCCAGGACGGATGCGTTTTAATTGTAACAATTTCGCTGTAATTTTACGTAGTCTACGTACTCCAGACGTACCAATTAACGTCAAACATTGCGCGATAACTCTACTTAAACATACTGTCGCCGTCACGTCTCGGGTCTGCACAACACACGTCAAAAAAGTGCTACCTGGCGAACCGGGAGACTTACAGTTATTTGTTACTATGCGCAGTTTACCGAGTAGTGGTAGTGCGTGTTCTTTTCACGAAATAAACAATTTTGGACTCGACCAACGTATTTGCGCGTTTGATGTCATTCACGTGGGACGCCAAAAAGCGCGTACGTAACCCTCTTTCCCATGGGATATGTGGAATTCCACACATCGATTCCGTTCCCACTGGTACGTACAATTCTCAAGTGTTACTGGAAATGCATGACAGTTGCTCGCGCTCGGTGCGATGATGTGGTTATCAACCACCACTGTTTTATTCGCTGCAGTAGAGTAGTGGTATTGAAAGGGAATTGGACTAGATAATAACTTCGGGTATATAATAACTTCGCTCGGTACAGTTACAGTAACACGTTATTCGAGCTCGAGGAATGTTGCATGATGAGTATGCGTCCCTCCCCGAGTAAAGTCGACGTCAAAGCAAATGACGTGCAATGATGTGACGCAATCGAAGCAATGACGTGCTTCGTACTTAAACATTAATTTTTACCCTTCCATACTGCGTGTCAGATTGGAGCGCTACGCGTAGTATCCACCATCTAATTAAAACTAAACTTAAGAATCAACCGGTCAAAGAACGTTATACAATATAAACAATAAAATGCTTATGATGGTCAAGTTCGTAACGGCTACGATAGGATCCATCAGATAATAAAGGAAACAGTTGCGAAGTTGCGATAACGTCGAATGCACTGAAATACACCGAACTCATGTTATCCCAAAAAGATACATCGTAGCGCAATGACGAAGGTTGCGCAAAGGGCAGCCGTCGTTTTGCGACAGATAAATATCGCGTCAAAACTGGTGTTGGACTTAAAACTTGCATATAAGGAACTTGTACAGTACACAGAAACGGCCCATCACAATTATTCTTTTCCGAGTCTAATTAACTGCATTAAAATATTTTTGTTAGAATCTGCGGCTTCTGTGAGCTTTATAGAACTTTACAGTCTGGTTTGTCAGAAAAAAACGTGAAAAGCACCGATCTGACAGTTGCTACAGTTTTCTGTTGTTTGATTGTTTTCCAGTGCCGCTGCTGTATTAGGCCTACTTTACTAGAAGTCTAGAACTATTTGTGGCGCTTTAACACTGCGCAGAAATGTTCGAGACGTCCAGCAATTCCTCACCAAAAGGCGGGTGTTTTATGCAATCATTCTGCGCTTTGCACCTGATTTGTGGCTTAGCCGGCGTAGTGATAATCACCTATGGAGGTAATCAGCCGCACAGAACATTGTAATGTCAGTATCAACAGCAGTGCTCTAATCTGTGTTCAGAACTCGAATTAAGTCCCCCATTGCAATAGTTGTTGGTTTTTCTTAACAGATCTCAGTGGCCCAATCGTCTGGATGCCAATCACTCTGGCAGTTTGGTTTGTCGTGGTCAGCTGCACTACTATGCTTTTACTGCTAGCCCACCCCGGATTACGACCCGTCCTAGTGTCCTTAGCTCTCATGATATTCGGCCTCTTTTTGGCTGTGGGAACCATAGCCGATGCGATCCGGACGGAAGGCACCATACCAATCTTCTTCACCACCTTTTCCATTGCCTTTGGCTTTTTGTATATTCGTATGGACACTTGTTTGATAATACGAGCGTCTTTCCTGTTAAGGGACTACGCTGCAGTCAGATGGTCGACGCATAATTCTGTCAGCGCAGCGCCTAGTGGTGGACGGTGGCTAACACGGGATCTTCCACCGCCTTACGAGGTTGTGGTTATCGGAAAACCGCCGCTTTCCGCGCCTCCGGCATATTCCGACGTTGTCTTGCATTTGTAATTTAAGCATCCATCTTGAATGCAGTCATGATCTCTTTATTTGTAGTTTTCCCATTCTGTCTTTGCATCCGTGGTCGATTCATGTAAATTACCATTAAATTTTTTGCAATTGTCAAGTGTTATCTTGTGTTAGCTGTGGTACAATGCATCTATAAGCTGAACTTGACAACAACGGTTACAGTACTGGTTATTTGCGAGAAGAACTGACCAGTGAGGCCGATTTAGAAACACTGAGAGTGTGAAAGTAGGTGGTTTCATGACTACTTCGAAGTATAACAGGATTTCACGAAGGATTTATCATTTCGCGCTTACCAGCAGTCTGTTGTGGTTAACATTGCTCGTGACCTTTCATTTAGCCTACCAGCGTAGACAGTAACAAGGCATTAGCTGAAAAATGTTTAGTTCTAGTCGGTCTCGTTGACTGGCTAGTTGTCACGGCTTGTCGTGGAATGGAATAACTGAATACCGACTGAATGCCATAACACCGATTGCTAATATAATATCAAAAACGCGTTCTTAATTAAAGACGCGAGCGAGGGAAGCGAGCTCGCAGCTTCATTATAATTTCTGACAATGTGATTTTGTAGATGCCTTTTTATATACCAATAATCCTATTGTAGTGGATTTCACGACTTTAAGCACAGTACGTACTGACTCCACATGCATAAATTAAACCCTGCACCAGACGACTGGCCATCATCAGATTAACAGCCTGTACCGCGAACAAATGGCGCATCCTACATCCCCAAAGAATAAAATAATATAGGCCAACAACAGCGAATTGGAACCTATCGAGTGAGTGAGGATGACCACAGCGATAAAAATACGTGGACAAAGCCGATAAAGTGGTTTAGCAGAAAGCTGAGAGCACTTTCTGCGTACCATATTTTACTCATCAAAGTTTGACCGATTTTAGCGACCGAAACGCTTCGAATTAAGGTCACACTAGTAGACCGCGTGCGATGACAAAGTGCCGCTCGTGGCAAAATTCAAAAGGATACGAAAATTCAAATTCCGCCCCGTGCTCGATTGGCATTTTCAATTCATTTTGGTCTGCCTTGTCAGTTTCTTTAGACAGCCGTGCGATTTGCAACGCCACAAATGAGCATGATTTGACTAAAAAAATTATCAGCTGTCTGAATTGTACTAGTACTCGTACTAGTACAACAGTATTATTCGTGGTTTTTTGAAAACATCTGTCGGCGACAGATACCGTTTGTCGTTGTTGTAACTTTTTATTTAGCCTTTTCTGGCTTTAGTTTTATCTACTTGATTATTATAAAAAAATGCATTATTATACGGTCCATTATTACACAGAACAAGAGGCAGATCAGACTCTCCTACGCTAGAGATACGTAGCTTCTATACTTTTTGAACATCACTGATAACTAAACCTAAAAGGATTTTGTAAACAGTTAGTGTTAATATATTTTGTTGAATTGTCAAACTCCAGACCGTTCTGTGAAAGACTGAAAGAGCAAGTTGTGTACATCTGCATGTAGTGCATGTTTCCGATCATAATTTAAAATCCACTGAAACAGGCAAGAGCCAAAAAATTCGGTCTGCAGGAAATCATGATTTAGAGGCTTAGCAGGAGCTGGTGTAACTTGGTAGCTTGATAAAGTAATAAAAGATCAAACCAGGCAGTGTTTCCACTGCATTTCAACAACGTCTTTTTTATACTAGGCGCTGTTTAGATGTTTGATATTCAAATCTTTTCATCGCATTCGCGGATAACCGCTTCGGGGACTCCCCTTTTATTCGTAACACGAAAATAGAAAATTCATCAATTGAGCCGGAAACACCAGACTTACGCACATGTAGTCTAAAAGCAACATCTAATTGCCTCCAGAATTTCTCTGCTGATTAAAAGTCTATAGCACTACTTATAACCTGGGATGACACAAACTTTCTTTAGCACAGCTGAACGGTAAACTTTCTGGGAGATAATGCCATCGGGATAGGATTCATCATTCGTGCTCTACACTTCTAGTACACAAGCAAGAACGAAACTAAATGCGGATAAGTAAACACGTATATACGTAGCTGGACGTTAGAAGTAGATGGCAATTGCGACTGCATTTTGGTCATGCCAGTCATTCCGCCCTACACTGCCCCAAGCCCCCCAAACGAAAATGCCAAAAATCGAAGTTTTTGGAATCTTCAGAATCGGTCTGCCAGAGCGGAAATTCCGAACGCGACGAAATTCCGAGCGCGACGATAATTACCAGCCAATGGCAGCATTCTCGGGGTGGGCATGAATTTTAATTTCGGCCGTCATTTTCATTTTCGACTGGCATGTTCATCCCGCCCAAGAAAATCGCACTGGGTACACTATGTTCACCTACTATGGAAAATATGTCGCCACCGCCAACCATTTCTTGGAGACACGAGCCTGTATGCGCTCGCGGCCTATGATAACCGTGGTGTCCAGTTTTCCGTACGCGGTACCACTACCAAATTTTTAACGTATCCACGACACTACGACATCACGACACTATTCACTGGACACAGATAATCTTGGATAAGCTTCGGTCGAATATTCTGATTTTGAATAACACCGAGCAAGATCTACCCAAAATCGGTTGATGATAAGTTGATAACTGATGTCATAGCTGCCCAATAAACTTGCATCACTATGCTTCTATCGCCATAAAACAGCAATTGTCGTGCTGAATCCAAGCATTGTAAATTACAAAATAATTTAACGTCCATAGAAAGACTTTTTTAATTATGTTATCCTTTATCAGCCTACAATTCAGCACAAAAATTTGTTCCAGTCATGCTGATAAGCCACCAAGAGTATAAAGCTCCAAAATCCTGCAAAAAATGCATACATAGGAAAATCACTGGATTGCAATCAACGTGTTTATGGAGTTAAACGGCTAGTCTCAAACCAGTATATCAATTTTGCGTTTTTGTAACTCGTAACGCGTGCCATGCGCAAAAAGGTGTCTTGAAAATGCAAAAAAAACAAAGTTAGCGGAATATTTCCTTAACAATAATTACCCTGATGTCGACTTGACCTCGTGGCTTACACCGAAACAAACCAAAGGAATTTAGCGCTATTTTGACATGGTTAGACAGCAATATTCTTCCTCCTGAAATTTAGAACATCTTGGTGAACGTTCCAAGATTCCGACAGAGTAAAATGGAAAAATTATGAAAATATATGGCAAAAGCTGATATAAAAGCAGATACAAAAGTTCACTTAGTGATCTGTAGAAGCGTAGCGTTTAAGATTGCTACCTCTGCAACGTGCACTAATTGTAAGTACAGATACGTATACGGTAGCAGGCAATTCTTGAACGTATGTACAGCACTCTTACCTTGGCTATAATCCTTTAGCTGTGCTACTGTGACTTTCATACTGCCAAACAGGCAGTACGCTGGAATTGTTCCTTCAAGTACTCCCGCAATACATGGCCCTAAATAATTTTCCGAATTTTCATTAGTTAATATTTATGCACCAGTAAACGCATCCTCTGAGAAACCCAGAAAATGGCGCACCCGTGTGAAGGCCCATTCGAAGGCGTAATGAGAGGTCTCTAGCGCGCCGTGTCGGCGGATGTTCAGCCGTTTCCGTCGTTTCCATCAATTTCAGTGCAAACTTGCACATCTCCACCGCATGGGCGTCGTAGCGTGCCGGTACGCCACAGGATACCTACCGACCGGAAATAAGGCTGATCGTACGCAGTGCTCGTATTACTGCTTAGTGCTTAATGTTTGATCGCCAAGGAAAAGAGCGCCAATTCAAACGGTTTATTACAGCACCTACCAGTGCGGATCCGCCTAGAAATACCGGATAATGGCTGCTTTTACAAATGATGGGCGCAGTAGGAAGGGGTGCGTATATCAGCGTAGGCGTATCTTACCCACGGTTTTCACGATGCACACGTTGAAGCGGTCGGCAACACGATCCACTGTCTCAAAGACAGCATTAAGGAGCTCTGTCATCTGTAAGGGTCATACATATGCAGAGATGTTTATTCCGCAGACGTAAGACTCATGCATGTCGGGCGCATAACTGAAAAGTATTCCATCTATCGCTCATATTTTTTTCATTTTTACGATGTTAACAACTACAACTACTGTACGTTAATAGTAGGGATATTTCGGTGTGCGCTAATATAAACGTCTCGTAACTTGTAGTGAAACTTACCAGCAAAGACGTTTTGGTTTGGAACAACTTAACTAGAATTGAAGTATGAGGGAGACTATGACGGAAACATCTACTACGGCAGGTTAAATTAAAAATCCTTGCCTGTGCGGAGTTGGAGCGGTTGATGAAGGCATTCAAACCGGCGACATCCAGCGACAACAGCGTTATTGAATCATACTGTTCAGCGTATGTATCACCGTTCCTTATCGCCAGGATGTCCACTACTGCTCTCGGCACACATTCCTGGAAGAACTGCTCAATATCCGCCCGGGTGGCCATTAGCTCTGTCGCGCGTGTGCTGATTTCTCGGTTGAAATGACTGACAGCCGCTGAGATCTTGGTGGCCGAGCGGACGAAAGCGAAGCACAGCAGTGGACAAATAACAGCGGTGACAACCAGGAGGGTCAGGGCTGCGTAATAGCGCAGTTCGACATCGTGTTGCTAATAATAAAAAGTACATACTTCAATGATGGCACCGTTCTGCAGTGCGGGTAGTGGATTGTTTGATCTACTGTACATTTTTTCTCATTTCCGCGTTAATTGACGCAATTAGAATGTCAGTTAGCTGGTCCACGTGGGAGCGATTCGGGCAGGTGCCTTGCATTGTGGAGATGACCTTTACAAATCAACAAAATTAATAAGAAGATTTGCTAACGTACTTCATATTTAAAGAAAGATCCTATAAAAATTAATAAAAGTGATAGCGATTTGTTTTTACTTTCAACGCTTACCAACTTCGTTTCCATTTCCGGTATGCGATGAACAGCTCGCGTAAAGAGATCAGCTGTAAATCATTTTTCTTTACGCGCATGTAATTGTAAGCAAAATCACAAGTATTGCTCCACGTCAGTATATCGATGACATGCGGGATAATATTATGGAAATACTTGCTTCGATCAATGCCTGCTGATGTGTTCGCGCATTCCTGTGTAGCATCGACGTAATCCATAGAAACTGAAATTTTGGTTCTTATACACAAAAATTAAAATTATTAATAACAGCCATGCTTACACCGATAGCGCAATAACAGTTCATATGAAATAAATAGGTTCCAAATACTTCCTTCTCGATCGCCTCCGAGGAAAATTCTTTCCACCGTTAACTTCCAAACTTCCAGAGCCAGCAGTTTGCAGGCCACTAAATCAACTCGATATTTCCGCGCATTTCCCAGGCTATCTGTGCTGGAAGCGCAGTGAGAAATACCCAGAATTCTGTGAACATATCACAAACAATACAGTTTTTGTAAAATATTGCATGGCTAGTAATTGGAATATGCACGCTTGGCAGTGGTTGTTTATAAGAACCAATTTTAATAAATCAGAGGTGCAGATTAATTTTAAATGACCTTTTCTATGGCTGATTTTATTACTGTAGCGCAATAACTGTAAATAATAATTTGCGCCACATACTCATGGCCTTTCTTAAATTGTGTTGACTTACCTTGATTCTGTTGCCGGATGACGGTTATTCTGCAACTGGGATTGTCTGAGATCCTCTACACCTTGCTGAATAGTTGCAGCGATATTATAAACGGTTCGCCCTTCGTCATTGCTAACAAATTATGCACAAAATGAAGAACTTTTCTGCAGATAATTCATCGGCAAAACAAATTAACTTGGGAAGTGAAAGTTGTACTATAATTCTATACAGCCACATACAGTCTGCACATACATAGATGCATCTTGAAGTTGCGTCAGTAAAAGTCCCATATACAGAGATGCGTCGATACTTTTGCTTGTGTGTTTGTATAAACTGTATTCTTGATGGCTATGGATCATAAAAAATCCACACTGCAATAACAGTATAATGTGGAAAGTTAGAGCGTTTGTAATTTGTTTGGTCTGATACAATTATAGAACGATCGCTAGTGATACAAATTTTTAAAGATAAAAAAACAAAACTACACCGTTAATACTCAACCTGTACAATGGTAGCCAACATGGGAACAATGACAATAACCAGCAGCTTAGCCAAACGGACTTTCCGTGTCTTCCACAATTCCCCCGCCGGAACTCCATCGGCATCGGTTAGTTTATAGAATTCCGGCGGACCTCGTGGCTGCCGATCAAATGTGTCGATATCCACGTAAGGTACGACGTTGACAGGCTCGTTTTTCATCCTTTACAATCACTTTTCTACGAAACTTAGAAATATAAAGACAAGTGTCATCCCGCTAGCAAGCATGCACTCCCAGGTCGATTGCATAAAAGCTCGTTCTGATTAATATTAATCAAACAGATGTACGTATCTACAATACCGCGGTGCAAGATGCGCGAAGGATGAGCATGGTAAGATCGCGTGCGGCTGCTGTGTGCTGTCGTTGAAAATATCATTTCGCTGTGAACACGCATCAAGATGTTGGCAATCGGGAATGATGCTGCGGTTCCGTAATTAGCGACTCCGTGGCATACTTTGTGCAGCACTGGTAAAAGAACCGCATCATGAACAGTTCCGGCACGATGTTGCCGCGGCAGCATATACCGGAATTAATGGCTTGTCTGGGAATATCTATTTCACGATTATTATTTTATTCAGTGCCGTGGAGGCAATAATCAGCCTCTGTTTGCATAAATCATTAGACAATGCGGTCGCTGTTCGCATGTTTGACGCTGCAAGTGAGACAACAACATAACATTGGAGACTTAATATCATTGATTAACGCTAATAAAGAGCCCCGCTTACCGTAATTGCACCTGCTTTGTAATAGAAAAATATTTCAATTTGTCAGTTTTATGTAATTACTTTGCTTTCGCTTCTACAAATACAGCAATTTTTTAATAAGGATACCCGGATACTGCAATATTTTGTGGATTTCCGGTATTACATAACGTTTATGACAGTGAGCGTTAGAGCTACACGATCGATGCGGTTGATAAATAATTACTACGCTGTGTCAGCGTGTTTACCCTTTACACGCAATGTCGTCCGAAAGCAGTTGACCAACTCGTTGACCTTGGCATTCACCGAGCTTGGGTTCTGCCAAGACAATCGAAATACCGACAAGGGATACGGGATTTCGATCCTTCAGATACACTCAACAAAAGCGCCAGTGATGCACTTTTTGTTTTTATGCAATATCACATGTTTTACGTGGCGTATATATTATGAAACCAAAGAAATGTTTTTGTTACACAATATTCGCTTTGGTAGGTTACTTTCTCATTTTGTATATACAGGTTGTTTAAAGTATTTCTACGCCATTATGGAAACTATTTTCCGTTTCTCGTTATCTTTATTATGTACGATAAAGTTTTTATTAGATTTTATGAAAGATGTCCCACATACGTGCAATCGTGGTTAAAATACTTGCCATCGCATTAAGGAACATAAATTGCATGCGCAATTCCGTGTGTTTAAACCTTTCGTTTTTTACAGGCCTGATTGTGTCAGTATCGTCGCAAACTTATTATCTCTGCAATGGAATTTATTACACCTATGCATATTCAGGTATTATTTTGGTACTTCAAATGAAATATTAAGTCAACATCAGTACGGAAGTTTTGTATTTGCATGTGTAACATCTACGGATGCAACGGTACGTGCTCCATATAAGCAAAAACAGACATTAAGGAATTAATGGATTGTCTAAGAATAAAAATATCTAAAATTTAGGCGGCGCATTGATGCGCACTCAGTTGTTTACCGATCTACCGATGTGTGTGGCTGTTGCTTATACAACTACCTCTGTACATTACAATTGGTCACAAATTAATAATGAATCTGTGACGATTTGATTACAATTATTACATCCTCCGTAAAAGCAAATTCAGCAATATCGACACTCACTTGAAAACACTCACATCCTTTCCGTACTATCCGATGTTATTATTAGGTTGTACATATCCATCCTTAACGTCCACCAGTACGACGAGCATCCTGTACTCTTGCAATGGCGCCATCTCCACCATCCCTAGTAGTGCCTGTACGTACCAATCTGCTCCCATCAACGGCGTCTACTACGGCACACCGACGACAACAACCACCGCCACCCTCTTTTCGTGCAACGGCGTCATCAGCACTACCGCGAGCACGGCCTGTACATATAACACGGCCCCGGTGAACGGGATCTACTACGGAACGTCCACCACCACTACAACCACTGGGATCTATTATTCTTGCAACGGTGCAATCAGTACCGTGCCCAGTAGTGCGTGTACGTACAACACAGCCCCGGTGAACGGGATTTACTACGGTACTTCCACCACCACCAGCACGTCCAATGTGCAGTATCTGTGTAACGGCGTGTACTACAGGTAAATGTCGAGAGAAAGGAAATGCAGGGCCTTCTCACATGATGATTGCTTGCAGTTATGCCTATGCCGGATGTACGTATCCGTCCTTAACCAACAGTTTCACCAATACCTTGACCAATTTCAACACGGCAAACCCGACGTATTATCTGTGCAATGGAGTGTACTATACCTATGCGTATCCGGGATGCACCTACCCGACCGGCTAATTGCCGCTACTACTTCTGACTGACCACCGTCTTACAAGTTCTTCTCTGCATTTCTCATAGTTCGTTTACCATCGGTGTTTGCTTCTGTGGATGCTCCAAAGACCAAAGTGTACCATTCTGTCAAAATTTAATGTACTAAAAAACAGTACCCTAAATTTAATAGAACCGGATGTATCGTATTGTAAATACGTCGTTCGGATGGATAAAAAAATATTTGATGAGAGGTTTTACATTAACGTTGTTGATTTCGGTTAAAACGTTTGTGACATGAACATCTAAGCGATGCTTTACGACGACCGCAAAATTTGCCAATGCGTACCCTAGTGCCTAGTGGCTCGCACAACTTAAATTGCAGGAGTGTATTGTACATGACAAACAGCACGCGGGTAGCGTATACAGTGTACAATTTGTACAATACATAATATGTCCTGTTCATGCAAATCCACTTCAGTTCGTTGTGATCGAAAAGCCGATAGCTTCCACCATTTTCAAAGAAGGTAATTTAGCTTGTTCTCGTTTTTTCATAAATGCTGTTGATTTTCCACAAGAGTAATGCGCAGCATACAATTTATTTCCAAACAGTTATGAAATTTTAAATACGATACGAACTGGTTCTTTGGATAATGATACCAGCTGGGTACAACATTAGAGTCCTACAATCCTGTGTCGGTCCTGTCTGATGTTGTTCTAATAACGTGGGACTTGGGACAGTTGAGTTAAATTACATTCTAAGCTGAACAAATCAAGATAAACGGAAATGTATGCTGAATATTTCATCATAGGATCAGCAAAATATTTGTGATTTACCGTCAGCTTGACAGGACTCATTACCAGTGTTTTGCGCAGCTGTATTAAACAAACTAAAACTGAACAAAATATTAACAAAACAAAATAAACAAAAGTGAATAACGATATGCGTAGCATTCAGCTACAGCAGCCTTCAAATAGCGATTTAACTTAGAATCGACAAAATAAAAACCGTTTGCTGGCTTTTCTGACAGATTTCAGTGCGCAAGCGAAATAGACGGGATCCAGTATGGCCTGCAGGTTAACCATTAAAACAATAACAGTTTCCACCATTGGATAAGAAAACCCGATGAACGGCTGCAGAGTAAAGTAGAATCCAGCTGGACCCCACAAGACCACCACGCTGATTGTTAAAATTAGGAGAAGAACGGTCTGTGCATGACTGCGATCGCCTGCGCGTCGAGCAGTCCCTTCGGCTACAAACGAGAACATTCGTCTAAATTTCTAGTACAGTATAGCCTGAAACTACGGTGTCGAATGAAGAGGAACAGAAACCTTACGCTATCACCCGAATGAAAACCTTCACCTGACTGATTTTGTATCTCTCTGGTTACAGCCGTTGTTTCTCGAACTCGATTCCCTGAAACCGTGGAGGTGTGACCTTTAATTTTCCTCCTTCCTTGCTCTTTATAGACAATTAAAGGTACAGCGACAATCATCAGCGCCAACGCTATTAGCGTAATAAACTGGATGACCAGGATATATGCCATCTGTCCAGCTGATGTGGTTGTGTCGATTGTGCAGCCCACCTCGCTCTCTGGTTTGCGATAATACAGGGCATTCTCCACCAATCCCGGCAGCCCCACAGCATGTGTCACCCACCATGCTGCGGCACACAGCCCGACTGACACACGATAAGTGTGATGATTGCGATACGAAATGGGCGTCCATAGCGCCCATATTCGGTTAAGGGAGATCAAGGGATGGATAAAGATCGGGATGAGAGTGACCACAAATAAACCGTAGAGATACACAGTGCAGAATGCGGAAGGCAGCCACCATGTGGCGTACAGATTATTAATGATATCGATACCGCCTTGTGTTGCATAGAAGAATAAGTTAGCAAGAACCAGATTGAAGAGATATACGCTGAATGGACTCCATAGTGACCTATTAGTCAAGAACAGAAGAACGGTGAACCCGTTGGTTATAACGCCGGTTGTGGTTAAGGTAATGGAGATCACTGCGCTGGATTTCCAGCTAGCAGTGTTGAGATCCGTCGTGGTATTCGGTAAAGTGGAATTGGACGTGTTCATGACCGACTGGTTGGCACTTATGTGCAATTACAAGACTGTGACAAGATCTGCAGATATCAAAGCATGTGCATTTTGCACAGGTTCACGGTACTGAATGGTATACAACCATTCATTCCTGGAGCTTGAATTCTCAAAGGAACAACTGCAAACAGCCTTGCAAGGATCACGTCCAGATCCTTAAATGAAGGCTACTCCAGTTTAAACAACGTCTCTGGTTACGAGAAAAAGTGTTTTATATTTGCTACCGTAATAACCGGATGCCGTTATTTTCAGCAGCGCGTGCCTGTTCTGGTATATCTAACGCTCCTGTCATTATGTCTGTTACGGACAGTGAGTGCCAAGATCCTTGCAAATGTACAAATCTGAAAAAATTTATAGCACCTCATACTGTCTTTCTGTAATCCTCTTGATTTTGCTAATTCCCGAAAGGCCAGCTATAATGCAAATCAATCCTTGGCAAAGAGATCGGCTTATACTTTGTACGAGTACTTAGAATGACTATCAAAACGGCTGTACCTGTGCCTCGGTTAACAGCTGAGGAGGTTGTAAGCCAAACTACACTATTAACTAATTAGCGGAACACAGTAATTGACCGTACTGCGCGGTGCTTATGGTCAGCTGAATTCCGGAACCAAGTCAAGATTTACGTATTATTGCCCCAGCGTAACCAGTTCAAACGAGTCGTCCTGTACAGTTTTACAGCTTTTGCTACGAAGTAGTGATGACGTGGTATGTTGCAGTTTTAGTGGAATTCCTTGGCAATTAGGCAGGGATTACGCACTGAAAGCCACCTGCGAAAAGTGCTTCTCAGCAATTACGAATACCAGGTGCTATACGAATCGCAGGAAATACATATGACATGTCGTTAACGCCGTTAGCATGGCCGCCATTAGCTGGCCCGCGTAATCGATATGAGTATGAGCTTTTATGCTCCGGTATTTAAGGCAGTCTAATTAATCCTATTTTAGCCTGTAAAGGACATTGTACCATACCATAAGAACACAACAGAAACCTTGTTAATTTTTATTTTTCCGATGGGAATTCCAAGAACGCAATACGACACTCAGAGAAATACAGCATAAGCTAACACAGGATGCGCTGGAAGAAATTTGTTATCTGGCTTAGAGCTTGAAAACAGTCACAGGACGCCATACGAAATTGAATATGGGATAATAACACTTCCGCTGCATCTGGTGCCTCAAAGCATCAAGCATTTCTCACGCTTTCTTTTTCTGCTGAGTGAGTGAACCGCTGTACAAAACATGTACAGCCAAACTCGAAGCTTGCATGTGTAACCGGTATTTACAGTATGGGAAAAACAGCAAAAAAAATATATTAACTTGATTTATTCTGCTCGTTGTTAAGATCATATTAGCTGCGCATCAACCACCTGATGGCCTTTGTTTCGTGCGATGTTTATTGTTTGCCAATAATTGTCGCATGAACGGGGTTTTTGAGAACATTTTGTCATGCAGCCCTTTGTATACCAAGTATACTCGTTTCAAGGATTACAACCATATTGTGCATCATTTACCGAATACAAGTTAGGACAAAATTGAAAGCAATCCAGTTGCAATGGCAGCCGTTTCTAACATAACCAACACCAATGTCACACTTAAAGCAACTTTTGATACCCGCAGTATGGCTTCCAGCGCTGTTGCCATTGTCGGCCTGATAAGCAACAGTCTGGTGCTTTTGGTGTTTCTTATCCGCAAAGAACTGCTGACTTCTTTCAACCTGTACCTGGCCAATCTTCTCTTGGGCAACATTCTCTACATCTTGTCCGGCGCCTTGTTCGACATTGTATCTGGACTGTACCCGGCATGGTGGTTGGGACCCAGTTGGTGCATTTGGTACACCTACGGTATCTGGACGTTGGCTGGTATCCCGATATTTTCCCATTTATCCATCGCCCTCAACCGCATCTGGGCGTTATACGCGCCACTGGCGTATCGAGGTGCCCAGAGCATGAAGGCTTCGCTGCTTGTTTGTACGACTGTATGGGCAGCGGCGCACGCCCTGAGTTTGCCGATTGTAGTGACGAAAGCCGTTTATTATTCCGACATTTGTAACCCCAACGCGGAGGAATCACAGTTTTTGCATGTGTGGGAGTTGTTGATCTTTGTCGTCAACATGGTCTGCGTAAGTATGATTATTATGACGGCACCGTTGGTGCTGTGCCGGTTACAATGGCGCATTAGGGTCATGGCCGGCAATGATCCGCTTCAGCGTCCGCGAACGGAGGAAAGCATCCGCAAACTGCAGACTGTGGTGTTCTTAATCTTAACTATGAGTATCTTTATCTTCTGGACACCACTGCTTTTCGCATTAACGGTGGCTAACTTTGTGGAAGTCAATGCCGAACTGATATCGGGCTTGGCCATTTTGTATAATGTGCAGATGTTCATGGATCCCATTCTGTTTATTTGCACCATGAAAGGTTTGCGCATTGCTCTGATGTCATTGTTTTGTATGGTGTAGTACTGTCAATGTGCTTTCATCGGCATTAAGCACCGGCCAGATCATCCAGTAGCGAGCCGCAGTCTACGTATACCGTTTGCACAAAGACACTCATGAGTCATGATCAATCGCTTCGACCTGCTGTCGGTCACAGGGGCAACGCAAGGACTATTGTGATTTGTGGTCCCCCGAGTTTCTTCCGGGCGGATGCCCTGCGATGGCATGCAGTGGAACTGTACCAACTTGCACCAGCGTCTCTGATGGTGAGAAGTAACGAATTCCACCACATCGCCTACGTAATTGGCAATGACGCTTTCCGTGAGTGCAAGAATTCTGTAGTTCTTCTGCGGCATAATTATATCGGAGTAAAAGAGTATACGCTTACCGGGTTTAATGAACAAGCTGACAATGAAAAGTACGGAAGGGTACTCATTCGAACAGAAAACGACATAAAAGTATCCCCACGACATTTTTGTCAGTGAACAATTTGGTGCAATTGTCCCGTGTGCAAAACAGCAAAAAGTTTGCACGAAACCCTATTGTAAGGATTATTATTTGGCAACAAGGCGGATTTAATCAACTCACTTGCACCCGTCATTGCTTTCCAAGTCTGCAGTGTAGGGAAGAATTAGGTATGCAGTTCTGTCAAGCCATGTAATACTATAAGTAAAAAAGACTGGAACCAAACCATTGGCGAAATACATGTACACAAAATAATTTCCAGCTTTGTTCGTTTTCGTTTAATTTTCGCTTGATTTTCGCGGGTGCCTTCATCCATGCTGCTTGCGCCTCACATCGAGGAGGAGGGACCTCTCATTCCATCAAACACTGTGCAACTGCGATTCGCCAACGGCATTTGGAGGTGGCGGAATTGTTCAATCAGCTTCTGCTACTTCATTTTTTTAGGCCCCTTTGTGATGTGCAGGTCGGCTTGCCCTTTTTTTGCGGCGCCAAAATGTTGCCTTATTGTCAATTACGTAAAAATTTGTTTGATCCTATTCCTATTTCGTGAAACTGTGAACTATCGACGATCTTGTACTCGTACTATACTCGTACCAACCAATATGACAATAGCGGCTGATACACTGGCCCTTTTCCCATTGCAAAACGCAGATCGCGTCGCTGCAGCCAGTGGAACGTATGCGCCCGCCCGCCAATGCCTACTCCAAGTTCGAGTCTCTCGAATCCGTCTCACAACACACCGGTTCTCGAGCTCGCGTTTTGTAAATGCGTCCGCTCCCGGTGTTTCTGCTCGGCTCAGTCCCGGTCAGCCTGTACGGGTTCACAGTCCACCATTCGTACACTGAATCTGTCGGTTGCGGATCCGTCCACCGGCTACTTGATACCGGATCCCAACGAACACAAAAGCGCAGTGACCTTTTGGTCGTAGAAGCTTTAATTAACCCTTTGGCATAGGCCTGGCGCAGTGCCAAAACAATAGTAAAGAAAAATACGGCCTCATTTTGCTATTTCATATTTTGCTGGTGCTGTTTTATTCCACGGGATCCGCAGATCGAATTACAATGTCTGGGATCCGAAAATACAGTAACCAGGTGGCGATTTTCCACTGCCAACGATATTCTGATCTTTGTTTTTTTATTGCTTCAAATAAGATTGTTTTCAGTATTGTGACGCGTCACACTTGCTTTGTTGACTTTCGTCGAAAAAAGAGCTCCTGCCCTAAATTAATTTTGTTGTCCGTACAACTTGTCTTACCAAAATATATAAGTTACTGTACCTTCTCTGCCATACTGGAAAATCTACAGCGTTCAGGATGTGCAAGAGGTACGCATCAAATCGTGATTTAGCATGATTTTTAATCCATCCCTATACTGTTATATAATGTGGCTCTTTTCTCTCTAGATCTCCTTTCCCTGCTCTCCCAAATCGGCAAACTTCGGTCGTACATTAGTCACATACAAAGTATTAAACGGAAGAATTAAAAGTGCGCGCTTTTTCAAAATAAAGGAAACAGATTAAGCGTTCCAAACCATAAAATGTCATCGTTTCATTCGTTTGTGACAATAGTACATCATCAGCATGACCTGCTAATCTAGCTTACAATTGTTAACTTAATTAAAAAAGTAGGGCAGCCATTTTCTTGGGTAAAACATTGCTAAAGCTGCACCGCGCACAGATTTCAGAGTAAGCACAAGCAAAATGGGATCTAACAACGACTGCGCATTGAACATCACCATAAACACGGCTTCCACCGTCGGAAAATCCATTGCCAAAAACGACCGCAACGCTTCATACAACATCAGTGGACTCCACAGCACAAATACACTAACGGTCAACACCAGCAATAACACCGTTTGTCGCTGCGAATGATCGGCAAAGGTCTGCGACACCGAATGCTGCAGTTTCCCGCGCATGCTAATGCTGACCCGGCGGGGTTTTTGCATCTTCCCCAGCACCAACGGGAACGCCGCTAGGATCGTGAAGATACACAAGAATCCAATGACGTTGATCAATAGCTGCCAGATTTGCAGGAACCCGGAATCCGTCGTATCTACCACACACATGTTCTTCTGCTGGAAATGCACCGCATCAACCAGAACACCCGGCAGCCCGATCAGGTGTGCAAAGAGCCACAAGAACACGCAGATCTTTATAGCGGTGGCGATGGTGTGTCGGGTCCGGTAGGATATGGGCCGATAAAGCGCCCAGATGCGGTTAACCGCGATGGAACAATGAGTTAGGATCTGTACTGGGGTGATGGTCCAGTAGGCGTACAAATACAAGGTACAGACCGATTGCCCCAACCACCAGTGCGGGAACACTTCCTCAATGATGTCAAACGGGGCACCCAGAAAAAAGTAGATCAGATTGGCTACTAGCAGGTTGCATAGGTAAACGTTGAACGAACTCCATAAATCCTTATTAAAGACGAAGACGGTTGTCACCGCCGCGTTGCAGACTAATCCAAGGATGAAGATAACCGTTAAAGCCATTGCGGCCGGTTGCCATGTCGCAATCGGAATCGTTGTGTAATTAGCACTGACATTGTCCATCCTAGATCAAAAGGTCAAGGATACTCTTCTACACTAAATAAAAAGGATATTGGTTCTGCGAACCAAACTGCTATCTTGAGTGCGCAAAAAGAAAAGAATACCAGAAATTCTAAGAGAAGTTGGAAGCAGCCCGGTCAGCTGCCTAAAACTAATCGATACTGCAGTTCTTTACCCTATGTACTTACTTATGGCAGTAAGCCGATCTATTTGCCCAGCCTGTTTGGATACAAAATATTGAAATTTCATTAAGCGTGTAGATTTCTACCATTCCAACGGTAGCCGCCAGAGACATCGCTTTACGTAATATGTTTATGGATTGAGTGGTGAACGAGGACCATTCGGCCGTTGATTCTTATTTATACATTCATTGCCGGTTGTTATATGAATAAACAGAGAGACCCAACCGAGAGAGCACTTTAATGAGCCACCCGTTTATCCACAGCGTCTGCCGCGTCAGCAATCTAGACCAATCATTGACTTGACAGTTTATTCCACTTCATCCAAAGTCATATAAACCCGATTCACTAGATATATACCGATATAGTAAAAAAGAAGATCGCATATCTTTCATCCATATTGTTTAGGGAAGCCCGCATTGACTCGGCCTTCAATATTGCACTCGTTGGTGCCGCGGCGGATGCGGAAGAAACCGCCTTCACCCCACCCTGGTCCCCAGGAATTGGCTGCCAGCCAATAGGGGACGTTGGTGGCGGCGTCCACGCCCCAGCCCAGACATTTCACCGCGTGACTGCCCAGATAGGCGCCAGTCAAATGTTGATACACCCCTGTCAACCATAAACAATTAACTAGAATTGTTTATTCACCAGTCCGCTTTGAGTGTCAACTGTGAAGCCGCAAATGCTACGTAAACCGATAAATTCAATCGTTGCGTACCTGATTTATATGTACCGAAATCTTCATAGACCTTCATGGAGCAACTGACCGGTCCGTTGGTCATGATCTCAGTTTTGATGTTCGTCTCGGTATCATCCGAAACAGTTCCGTAAGCGTCCACTTTACTGACGGTATACCAGCTGGTTCCTGTCACAAACATGCACGTAATCAACCGTCAGAACAGGAAATAATAAAAAGCTCACTGAATTCATCGCATTTAAAGCGAAATCCGCTGGAATAAAAAACCATACGAGTCGACTCGTACACGGTACAACTATGAATTATATTGCATCTGCTCAGAATGAAACGTATTGCGCAATTCCTCCGACAAACGATCTGCACAAAAATGTTCAACGCAGAACGTTTTCGCCAACAATAGAAAACGTGGAAGAAAGCACGCGTTAACAAATGGCATTTGTTTTGGACTGCCGTTCACCATACTCCTCCTGCACAACAGCAGCACAAGTTAAACCGCTCAACCGTACCTTGATACGTATCCTGTTGATAGTTTCGGTAGTAACTGCTTTGACATGATTTTGTGCAGGGTGGAGTGATGGTGTAGTCCCACTGCAGTGGAATGCTGTAGGGGCGGCAACCTGTTTGCTCCGCCGTGTTGTTGGTATATTCGCCGCCCGTTACGGCGCCTGTATTGGTGAAGTATTCGTACGCATATTCCACATAACCACCATAACTGTCAAAAGCGAAATACTTAAATACCATTCAATTTTGTTCTCTCTGTATAGCTCAAATTCAAATAACAAACAAAACATAAAATATTTAAGATTTATTAATTATAAATACTTACCATCCACCGCATTTGGAGCAGCACGTCATGAAATCCTGCGAGGAGATATGAGCGTAAGTCCATTGTCGGGGAGATTTAATACAAATGCGATCCGACAGAGCCGCGGCAACGGACAGTGCCTGTGCAGCATACAGTGTCATATATCTGATTCAGCAGTGCCCAACCGGAACAGCATTCGCTTACCCAGCATGACCCGCAGCCGCCCTGATCGCGCACTTCCTTGATGCTTACGCACGTCGGCCAACGTGTCCGCGCATCAAACTGTGCCGGAAGGGCGGCACGATTCACTGAACGCGGAGTGCCTTTCGGGAGTTTGGCAAACTCCGCGTCATCCAAATCTTTCGTACCCAATCGTTGCGTCAAATGCTTCTTCTTCCCGTAAAATTGTGTCTTCTCCGCCTTCCATGCTTTATCCGGATGCGTATTAACAATTCTGTAAAAACCAGGTTCAGCTTACAAAGGATAGCTCGTTATTCCTTAGCGTACTGAATCACATCGTCTTCGTCGAATGCAACCGGGAGTGGTCGTTGAGATTCCTTTCCACGTCTGGCTAAACAGAAGTGGTTGTAGCATGCAACACAAGCCAAAATAATCGCGATCTTGGTGGCAGCCATCATATTATGCTCACGGGTGTTAATTCAACGAAATATCACGGTTAACGTTATGTAAAGTGTCGTTAGCTGCAAGAAATTTTTCCGCTCACTCACCCAAATTTATCAAAGTTTTGCATCGAAAATGTGCTGACAAGAGAACTTGTAGCGAGTGTATGCTGATCGAGTTGAACTTGTGGCGAAGTGGACATTCCACAAGATGGCGACGGTTTCAAGTGCATTTGCTTTCATACAAACCGAAAACGTTTTGGCGCCCAACCATGGGCAGGCTTTGTTGTTTTCGTCACCCTTATCGACTTCCAAGTAGAAACTGTTGAGTTAAAACGTTTGCCATTGGTGTTAACGTTGCTGCTAGCAGATGTGTCGTCTGTCACAACACCAAGAACTGCACAATGCACATGCATTTCACTTACATGATAAGACAGTTATTACGGGACTCTCGGTGTGCATCAGGTTCTATACCAGCAGGCACACAGTTTGACAGTACTGTGTTCGTGTGCACAGTTTGACTATGTACAACATGAGCAATCTTCGTATTTTGTCAGGGATTAACAACGATATTGCGCAGTTCGTCAGCATACGCTTGTCAACATGCTCCATAGAAAAAGTAAAACAGGAAAATATTGAATTCTGATCAAAATACGCCTTCACTTCCATTCGAATTCTTCTCCGGATCTGTCTTGATCCTCTTTGCCTTCGGCTTCGTTTTTTCTCGGTTGTTTTGCGCTGACGGTTGTTTAGCGTTCAGTGCAAACGTAATAATGTAGATCACGTCTGCATACAGTACACAGCATAAAACCGTTTTTGAGCATACTTTATTTAGCTTGATATAAGTGGCAAGCGTCGCAACGAAACATCAGAAACAGTTGTGCTTTCATTAAGGTCACCGACTGCGACAGTCCTACAGGTGAATTTGTGGTGCGAATTCAGCAGGATCGATTGGAAATGTCCGACCTCAAGACTGTTATCTACAAGTAAGGCGAGAAATGACACTTGTTTCTTTGCAAAGCTTTATCGGTGAAACATAACTATTTTCTCAACTTTATGTAAGTATCAGTTTTACAAATCGCCGCTATGACATGATTTAGAAGGTTGCATCGCAAAAAAGCCAAATATACATAATGCATAATGCTGACTGTTATAATTAGTAAGTTTTTCCTTGCTCGGAGCAAACTTGATTCTCTTAAATAACCGAATACCAAGTCACTGCAGTGCGCTAGTACTCGTACATTGTACAACAACGCACGTAAGAAATATAAATACGTAAGCAATTATTCTCGCGCACGGCAGTAAATTCTTTTTCACCCGGACGTTCATTTACTCCATTTTAAACATATGTGGCCAAAGAATGGTCGATTACGAATTTCGAGCGATGATGCGCAAGTGCAGTTACAGTAGGTATCAAGTTATCCATATAGGCAATAAATTTCATAGACAGATGAAAATCTAATGCGTAGAGCTCAAGGATATTATTACTCGCATTACTTTTACTGACATAACGGAAATTATTTACTGCGTTCGCACAGTCGTTTTTTTGTACAATAAAACTCGCCGTTAATCCTTTTTCACATCTCTTCGGCGATTCTTTGTCGGACGGCTTCGAGTATTCAGTTCTACCCAGTATCCAGTTTTCGCACAGATTTTTAATCAGTAAGCTTTCCTTCCCGAATACGAAATATGGAGGCTGTGATGAGAGTGTTAATTCTAACTGTTACTGGAGTTGCGGTATATTGTCCCTATTTGGTCAAGACAGCAACCAATCCGGCTCAGGGAAATTCGCCATTTGCTCTCGATCCGTTCATGGGCACATACGACATGCTTATGTCAACGTGCACCGCCAGCTTCTTCGAATTTGCCGAATCGATCATAGGTAAATAATACTAAATTAAGTGTGACAAGAACACTAACTACTTTTGCAACCTCAACATCTACAGCTCCGTATGTTTAGAAATCCTTTCGTACAATTTTTAAAAACGAGACCACAATTCGGACGTAACGCAAATGACCGCTACAAACATGCAAAGGTCATAAAAGTTCTTCTTCCGAAGTTAATATGGCTTATTAATGCTGATTCAGGCGTACCACATGATGTTGTGGCCGGTGGCGAACGGATTGTGTTCAACAAAAGCATCGATAATCAGAGCTACAACCAGTATATGATGCGCAACGTATCCACCTACGGCATGACGTCGCATTTCGTCCTGGGCCAGCAGGGCAGCACGGATGCCGGCAATGGTCATCTGGAGTACTTCTATTCCATGCCTAATGCATCCTGCATCATCGGGTGGTATTCATTTCCTTTTGCCAATTTCTCCATCACCTACAACTTCCTGCTCGATGGCAGCGGATTTCAGGATGTACGTATTGAATATTCTACCGGTCCATAATTATATGTCTAGCCAGTTTCACGCCCGTGTTACTTACTTCCTTCATTTCAGCAAATTAATGTGACCTTCCCGCGGTATCAAACGTCAAGGTGCTTTTTTAATCGAACGGATAAGCCGTACTGATAAATACAGCCGACTACCTGCTCCCGGGAGTAAAAGCTTAAAAGATTCTTTTGGATCCAGTTACTAGGCTGGGATTCAAGTTACTTACGTAATTACGTGTCAGAATGTGCGCGCAGGTAATACTTGTAGCTAACTTGCCATTTGCCAACCATGATACTGGTAACCATGATACATCTCGTACAAATAATTGAGCCGGTATACTTCTAGTTATATGAATACTGATTATCTGTGCCAGGACTTCGGCCCTGTCCTTTGAGGCAAAGGATCTCGGCTTCTACTTCACCAATTTTGTTGCTTTAAAGTACATCAAAATTCTCTAGGCGTAGCGGTGGATCCAAGATTGTTGACGTTTTGCCCAAATCATTTGTCTAGGTCCAGTGGTCAATCATAAGCTTGTTACCATGGACGCGATAAGAAATGCACACTGTTCTAACACAACTTGACCCAGAACAGTAGCAATATCTGAGCTGCTACTTAACAATAAGTACGAGTACAATAAAAGTAAAAAATTTATGTAAGTAACTTAACACGTCAGTCATCATTGCGTTAGTCATCATTGGAAGTTATGTACTGTATGTACAAGAAGGCAGTCCGTGTTTCGATTAACTTATGTAAAGTGTATCATAATATTACTAAACATACGTACGGGTTCATTAATATTATGACAGTCTGTAAGCGACCGCAAAGCAACACATCCTTAGAATTACTTATTTTTTAATAGTCATCGGCCAATATTCATCCGTGCTGGGCTTGTTCTACTTATATCTTTTGTACGGTTTTATGAGTTTTTATTTTCCTGTTTAGTTGCCAACTGTATCGCGTAAAACTCGTACCATGCATGAAATTCTTATGGGTGGTACTGGAAAATCAGTTCTACCGTAGTCAGTAATCGCACCAGTCCGCACCATGGTCCATCGAGTCATGGACATACAGAAATACGTACAGTATCGTCAATTTCAATTTTCCAATAATATTATTGTTTAATGATTAGGTCGCTTTGCATCTGACTGCAAAAGATTGTTAAACTTGCAACGCCCGCGCAGCTGAATTTTGCAAAAGGCATTTTTCTGAGGGTGATCTTAGTTTTCCCAGTCTTCCAATTTCGCCTTCTTACGTAAGTAAGACCGGTTTATCTCTTCCGACAGCCTACGGCGGTTTTTAATAACAAAACCCAACTCTTTTCCTTTCAACGCGATTTTAATCGGTCAAAATCCGCACAAGGCACACCACCACAGCCATGATAAAGATATAAATCACACATCACCGGCGTAAGTTAATTTTCCTGTGACAATACAGTGGCCATGCGAGAACAAAAGAGATCATTTGAAGCGCAAAACAGCAATCCCCGTTTCCCTCCATCCGCCCCATCACAATCAACCAGGCAAAACAACGAACGCTATCACACACGACAACAACAACACTTTCAAGCGTGGAAACAACATGTGCGAATTCCTAGCCGCATCTCTCCACGAGGGTCGGTGGGGGAGTCGGCGAGCGGGAACCGCTGTTGGATGATGGGGTCGGTCGCAGCTGGCCCTCCACCACCGAGACGGCAATGCCCATCTGCGCCTGCAACACAAGGGGATTTATGTAGGTGAAGAATTCAAAGAACACTTCTTGTACCGGAACGCTTGGTAAAGACGTTATGATTGCCGTGCTCACCGTATCAAGTTATGAAATAACACTATATATTATACTGTTATGTTATATTGCCGAAACGTATGTTACTGAATAATCTCGAAGAAATTCTTACTTTGAAATCGATTTTCTTCCTTAAACTTCTTCGGTAAAAATAGAACTGCTTGCAATTAAGCGCTAATGAAGAATAAGTGCGCCAGAATAAATCGTCTTGCGCTCGTTCACAATTCTCGGAGCCAGAACGCTACATTGAACCATGCTAGACCCCAGAGTGAAATTACTCACTCTAGTCGTTTTTACCAGACTCACATATTTGCAAGTTTCCAAGTTTACAACACTATTCTCACCACATAGTAAGTTGTCATGATAAGGACCTGGGATAACGGGAAGTCCGAATAAAACATTTTAATGGCAATCATCAAATCTGACAAACAAAACAACAATGCTCCCACGGCGCAAGCCAACTTCGTCCACGTCCACAGGTCATTCAAGAACGGTACACGAGCGATCGCTCCTGTAACAAGGAGTTATTCAAACAATTTTATATACAAAGGTCGCTACAATTTATGCAGCAGTCATTTAAGTACATTTATATATCATTAATGACGCTAAAGCAGTACTATCGGAAAGATATGGAAAAATCAGAAATGAAACAGGTACGCACACTACGAAACGGTCAAACCCTGTGAATTCGTTTTAATGCCAATAACTGTTATCCAGAACCAGAAACCTCATTCGCTTTTGCACTACTTGTGAAACTTTCGCATAATCGTTTAATCACACGGCCACGCCGGTATTTCATACTTACGCCATCCCATAAACGAAACCAGCACCAGATATACCCCCACGGCATAGGTGAACATCCCCGGCAGATACGGCAGCAAACAGGCAAACACGCTGCCAGCTAGCGCAAAGATGATGACTCCGGACAGCGGATGCACCGGCTGCACACCGAACGCCACCGCGTAACACACATGCGCCAGTCCAAAAGCCGCCATCCCCGGGATAAAGTAACCGGCCGCCGAGAACTGCAGAAACGCATCGCCTACCGCCGAAAACACTAACCCGGCCAGAATCCACCGGGAATACGTGCTAGGGTTGTCAGTGCCAATTTTGGTGGTTGTCGGTAGGACGTTGCCGTGCAGTATGACAAAACAGATGAGGGAGATGATCGGCAGGCATTTGATGAAACAGGCCACTGCTGAGATGGCGTCGTGCGGCAAGAACAGCACAAAATAGATGCATGCCGCCTGGGTGAAGGGAATCAGCTGTGGTCCCAGACTTTTCAGCTGCAATTACATACCTACTAAGAATTTATCGCTCAAATGGCAGTTTATAATGGCACACTGTACACTAGACCTGGAAATACATGTTTTAATACTCGTACAGTTACTAATACAAAAATGTCATAACAAAGTCACGGCTGTAAACAGGAAAGTATCGGAGATGGGATGATAGGACCATCACAATTCATAACGTGGACTACGGCGATTTCCCACGTATAGCCGTGACTTGTTATGACTTATGAGATAGGCTTATACGTTCAACTTTCAAGTACCGCAGTTGTAAGTGCTAACATGCAGTGGGAATAAACCCTTACAATTAGCTAGGCGAGAAATTACGAACGTTACTAATCTTTTCTCTTGATGCAATTAAAGCAAGCACAGGCAAAGATAAATAAGTCAGACAGCATAGCTTGATTATTTTCCATCCTGAACGAAAGCTCAGTTTTTTTTATACTAATTTGGTATCATATTAAATAAAATAATTTTCTTTGACGAAATGCACTTCACTGTGGTAGCAAAACTACAATCATCAGCAGATACATAATAACGTAACTTATTTACATTGGAAAATTCCTGGATCTACACCGACACACCTAAATGCCTAAAAACTTCTGAACCTAACATTTAGTACGCATTCTACATCGTATTACACCAGTAAGAGATAGTTGATTTACCGCTGTTGTCCGTGAATATGTAAAATGTAAAATTATGAATAGAAAAGGCTAAGTACTACAGAACGGTTATCAAAGAAAATCACTAAACAATAAAAGAAAAAAAACAGTCAAGCAAAAAATAAACGACCGGCGGCAGGGTACACATATAAACACGAACACAAACCGCGAAAGCCGAAAATAAACATAATAAATGCATTTGAGAAAAGTTTTGGGACACATCCACAACTAAAAAGCTATAAATACAGCCTACGGTATGTATCTGTAACAGCAAGTTTCATTCGAATTTATACAACGTTAACTCATTATTTTCGCATTAACTTAAAATACTGTACTGTAATTCAGTGCAAGGAAACAAACAGCTCGTCAAGAATACTGCCAGGCTAAACTGCTAATGAGTAACGAAAACGAAAAATTAATAACCACAAATAAAGTACGAGTACAGATAAAGTACGAGAGGAGAAGAAAATATACGGACCCACTCAACAATAACAACTGAAACTCAAAAATCAAAACAAGTGCAATTTTGAATTTCTCCTGTAATAAAACGCAGCAGCAGCATTTTCAGCAAGCATTTCCTGTTGTTATCATAATGCTTGGCAGCGTGCGCATTAAGAATCGAGCCTTTTAGGAAATAATCTATTTAAACGCAACAAGTCGACAGATTTACAGCCCGCACATAGTATCTCTTTAACTGATAGGTAATTAGGTTAATACTGGCTGTAAAATATTACGAATGCAACAAACAACAACATTTTCGTTTCCAGAAATATCGTCTTTTTACGAAACAGAAACCGAGAAACGCATAAAAATGTGATAAATGCTTAATTGATTATTAGCTCTCACAGTTAGCAGAGTTAGCTGCTGAAGTACGAATAAAAACCCACAAAAACACGTACGACAATAATCCGGCTAATCCGCAGTGGTTTACGCGGAGGCCCTGTCGAAACGGATCCTGACAGTATCCTCGTGTTGGCGCTCGGTCCACATCCACAATAGTTCTCAAACATCGTCATGGTCTCGGGGATCGTAATCCAGAATTCCTAATCGTGTCCACTAGAGTGCTAATTAGCAGTATATCGTCAATCCCATACAATTTCAGTGAAAAAGAATCATTCCAGGTATTAAAATTTCCACCATCAGAAATTTAATGGAAAACACTCGAAACAGGTTCAATCACTACAACGCCCAGCAGTCAACACACCAAACTTATTTCCATCCGATAAAATCCCCGTTTTAAATGCGCGCCGTCCACGCAGAGCGATGAGAACGATTGAGGATGCCTTGAATAAACACCATCCAAAATAGCCTCACGCGAACAAAGCGTATCTCACAGTGACAGTATATCAGCGCACAGAGGGGAATCCGAAGAGTACAAAAATATCACGCTTGAGCTTGACATTCACGTTCTCCCAAGGACCGACCGATGGCGACGGAGAAAAAAATCGATTAATCGAACGGCACTCAACCGGAATTGTGTTTGTTCATGTTGCGGGGATGTTTGTGGCAGGCAGTCGACGTCACAAGTGCAGATATGTACAAGTTGCCGAGATAAAGCAGCTTGTTATGTGGTTTCTAAGGACGACGGGAGAAAAGCAATCTGATAAACTTTAAACTTAAGGACTGCTGTAAAGTGTTGTTTAAACTGGCCTTGAAAATTTCCACAGATTATAATTGGCATCTGTGCCTTTGCCAGGCACGTGCCACGGCGCTTGTGTACAAGAAATCACAATCGGTAAATGAGCGATGATATCATTGGAATGCGCTGGGGGAGTGGTGAGATTGGGAACGAATCACTCGTGTTCTTTGTCACAACTCACAAGGCTGTAAGAGTAAGATAAGATGCGCAGTGCACAGTGGCACTGCACACTACACAAAGGATCTAATCATTACATAGATAATAATGATAGATAATGTTGATATCTAATAGAGATAATAATAGCTAATATAGATAAAAATGATAGCTTGATATTTGATAAATTATTATGTACTAGTACTTTATAGTGGTCCTCATACCAAAATAACAAGTCAATCAAACACAAACAAATTTCAACACAAACACAAACACAAATCAAACACAAACAAACTGAAATAAAGTCATGAATGAGCGCAACACTGCAACGCTGGCTAACAAAAAGCTGAAAAACATGCAGTGCTTCTATGACAGGATTAAACAATTTTATTTAACGGTAAATTATATTTTGTAATGACCAAGTACATGTCAATGTGCAACCGGAAGTTGCTTTCGCTGACACCTAATCCTCTGAAAATGTTAAGTCGGCTTTTTCAATATGGTTTCCGTTGGAAACTTGTCATGTGGCTGTTGACAAAAAGAATACCAGATGGTTTTGCGTCACGAAGCAGTGGCGGAATCACGAGATTTACAGGAGTAAGTAGTTATTCAATCAAATATGGCTCGACCTCAAAATAGACCCTACATCTGGGCAATGGGAATTCGTTCGGAAGGAAACTGATTCTGTGAGCACAATGTTTACCTCGTGCCTTGATTAACACGCTACAATACATCTAATTAGGAAAGTATTTTAATAATTGACCGTCATCACTCATCCGCCGACCGTAATCGTCAACCAACGGTGCCTTTCAAGTTTCATGTTGCAGCGAGAGGTTCGCTGCAAATCTGCAATTGATCACTTCCGACCAAACTGTGCGCAGTTCGTAAAATCTCTGCTGGCTTGCTGTCAGACCTGGAACATGACGTGGAGCACAAGCGAAATTTCAAAATTGCTTTTCTGCGATTTTTAAATGCTTTTACCGTTTTACGTGGTACAGTACAGAGGTAACTCACTCACTGGGATTCATATTTATAAATTATAATGCCGATAAATTGTAAATATTTATCAGATGTTGATCATGTTATCATTGTCTGAAAGTTCTACTTAAGAAACCTGATTAAAAATTCATAACTTTTTTATTAATTTGTGTTAAAGTTTTCAAGGAGCTACAGCGCTGTGTGACACGATAAAGCTCTGATCTCACGAATACACGACGTTGGAAATGGAGCTTAATTCGCCAAACACTGCATACCGCTGAAAAATTTGCGCCAGGATTCGTTGACTGCTCGCGGTCCTACCCTAGTTTGTTTATCTCGGCAGTTTGTTGAATTTTGGATTAGGATCTGTTCGCCCCCTTGGTATTACTCATCTGACGAATCGCTGAGACTGTTTACGCCACGCGCCATGAACCACACACGCACTGCCTCCACACAAATCGTAACATGAAATCTCCGACGTGAAGCTCTCTCTTCCCGCCTGCAATCATGCCCCGCAGCCGTCCCAGCTCCTCCACCCATTCCGCGTCCTCCCGTCCGCGTCGTCAGCCGGACGACACGGAACAGCCCCTGCTGGACTCTGATCCCGATGAGCCCATCATCACGTTCGCTGAAGCCGCTTCGCCTGCGCGTGATCCCCTGGCCGTCGCCTTCGCCAGTTCGCGGCCTGCGGCACGCAATGTTTTCGATGAACTGGAGCCCCGTGGGACCTTCTCGGAAGCCGCGGAGCGGCGGCCAATGGGCGATGTGTCGCGCGGCCGCAGTTTCGAGATGCGAGCGCGGAATGTTGGAGCGCAGCCGCCATCGCAGTCCGTGTCGCCCAGTAATCTCAATCCGTCTTTCGTTCTCGTCGATATCCCCATTGAGAGTAGTGACACGCTTCCCAGTTTTGCCATCAAGTACCATGTCACGGTAAGAAAACGATGGCATAGAGAGTGATATAGTTTCCGATATTTTTTATCCCGTTTTACTTTTTTAATTTTGATTGCTAACGTAAGTGAAGTATTTAGGGTTAGATTCCGTCTAAATTATTAGAGTACAATATTAGAGTACAGAGTACAAATTATTAATTAGAAATTATTAATTAGAGTACAAATTATTAATTAGAGTACAAATTATTAGAGTACAGTGCATAGACAACTATACAAAAGGGCACGATCGCCTGTCGCAGGATTTGCCTATATCGATGTAATTTATGTTGTAAATAGTTTGATAGTTGCGGAATATTCATTTGTTAGACTGAATTTTTCTTTTCTATATTGTAGTGAATTTTATATTTCCTGTTTTTGTTTTTGTCCTTTTTCTTCCGGTTATGATGGGACAGATGGGTGTTCTTTCATTTTCAACGTTGCAGTAATTTTAACGTTTTGCCGACCGACCTGGATTTTGCTTAAATTTTACCACTGTTGATTTGTGTCGTAGCAATGTAACCACATAAAAACTCCGCTCACTTCGCTTTACCGTTTGCCGGTTTGCGCAATATAGATTTTTACTTCAAATGAATAATTTTACTCAGGTAATGGGTTATTTGTATTTTCAGTTGCTTACGTCGTGTATCTTCCGTTTTTCTCGGTTTGGTGTGTCGTGTTTTTGTCATGTGCATGAGTTACATCGTTTACAGACCGCTGAGCTGAAACGCCTGAACAACATGTTCCACGATCAAGACTTCTACAGCCGTCAGTCGCTGCGCGTGCCCATCCACAAGTACGGCATTCTAGCCGAACGCTACTTAACCGACACCGTTAACCCCTTCGCGTCCTCCGCCAACACCTTAATCGACCTGTCAACCTCTCCCGACGACGGCGCCGCGTCCCCTAGCACCGCGGACGAGGTGACCTCAATCAGTTTACGGGGCATGATGGGCTCACAGTCAAGAGAGGCTAAATTATTTTTACAGAACATGGACCGTGATCTGGCCCGGTTGAGTCAGGCGGCACTGGCCGCGCAGCAACGCCCACGATCTCCAGAACCGGCAACCGAGGAGCATCCCACGGCAAGGCAGATGCGCGTGGAACCGCTGGACGGGCTGGGCTGTGATGGGGCCGATCTGGGCATTCCGGTGAAGGTGATCATTCTGATGGCGGTTGTGTTAACAGTGGTGCTGCCCATGGCATTCTTGGCATATAAACTCTACTGTTATCATCATCCTGGGATGTGTTCGGACGTCAGCGGCGGTGACAGTTCTGATGGCAGCGGTGTGACGACAATAACAACGCTGATGCCGCATTGATTCCTGTGTTGATACTGGGTTTCTTGTCGGGATTTTTTCTTGTCATGGATATCACGATTATTTTGTGATTATTTTTTATATGTCTTCTGCCTGTTGAGCATTGCGCGACGTTATGAGAATTTGAAAAATGAAATGTTAATAAATGATTATAAAATTATCTTTCTTTGGCGGTCGCTTTGTACATGAAAGCCAGATATTCTATTACATTTACAGGTAGGGCTCGAAGCGGTTGCGACTTTGCGTTGAGTGTAGCCGACGATGGTGGACTTTTGCTTTTTAGTGAATATGTAATTATTATAGTGCAATCGAGCTTTCTTTCGGTTTTCACTGGGGAATACGCATAAGCACAAATATTTTTTGTCCAAAAACTTTCCTGATCCTGGCATTTTGTCACCCACCTAATTCGTGACCGGCGCTCCGGATGCGAATTAACAACTTGAAATGAATACTTAGCGCCTAGCGCATGCTTAGCTTGTTGTACGAGTACAACAATGAAGTGTCTAACATAAAACTTGCTCGGCCGGTTCGCCCATTTCGTCCAGTTTAATACTCTGCCCGATGAGCTCCAGATCGCCTCGCACAGCTTCTTCTGAATAATCTCGCGATAAGGCATCCAGTTGGAGCGGCAACACAGCCAAGATCTGTCGTGACCAACGTTCGGCTGCCACAATATCCGCCGAATTCTTCGTAATACTGGCATTTTCCAACAACAGCGCGCCTGCAGAAAAATTGAAAGCATGTACGTAAAATGATTACAACAGGCCTAGAACGATCAGGAAGTTTTCGGCACAGAAGGACAATAATCGTTATGATGTCATTATGGCATTGGGCTAAAAATATACCAGAAAAAAACCATAAAACTGATTAAATCTATAAACTGCACGAAAAATACTGTAACACCGAGGAAAAAAATAATCAAACATACAAAATTAAGATTTTGGTGAATTTTATTTGAGAAGCGTTCGTAGAGGCTAATTTAACGAAACATCAATGGATAGCATCCCATAACACGCTGCAACGTACCTATATAAATCTCCGTCATGGAGATGGCAAGATCTCTGGCGGCTAGTTCCTGCATTGGCGCACCCGCCTTGGCTACTTTCATGGCGATTTCACGCAGTTTCTTAACACAGTGACGAACGGTTTCAGTTTCCGAGGGCGGACATTTCTCCACTCTCAACAGCGTATCCTCAAGCAAGGCTTGGAATGTGGCGCCGTTGGATTTTGTCATGGAGCGGAGCACATCCAGCGAGAGGATGTTTGTTGTACCTTCCCAGATGGGCAGCACCTATTCGCACATAGACAAACGCAGATCACCCATTAGCGTTCCAAACTTGCAAATTTTTTGCAATGATTATCATCGTTATTAATAACGACGTTGTTAATTAAGACTTCCGCTTACTACCAAAACACCTGCATTAATTATAGGCTTATAGCCATTCGTTATGCAATCTTGAAATCTAAACAGGTTTCATAAAATTAAGGTGAACAGACCATTGGCAAACTAATTAAAAGATGGATTTCACATAATAATACTGTATTGCTGATTCTTGCTGTTTCATGAGAAGTTGAGAACCACTAAAGGAATCAAGAAAATTCCGGTAAAGGAATAACTGCTGCCGGATTTAAAGCGACAAAACAAATTTCAAACCTGTGCGTCTCGAAATATTTGCGGCAGTCCAGTATCCTAAAAATCAAATAACAACTGATACCGATTAGATGTACATTTTACAGCACCAGTGGTTCAAACGTTACGACCGCTCGCTTTGACAATGAGTTCTTTACAACATGATTCTGGTCAAGAGCAGGACGACTGTGGAGCGGTACAAGTAACAGAAACAGCGATAGAAAAAGAAAGAAAAATAGAAGCGGAAAAAGCGAGCGGCTAGAAAAAGCAATAAAAGTCGAGTCCGTCAAGACGTATGGTTTACCTCAATATATCCTTGTCCACCAAAACATTCCAATCCCTCTGACACAACCGCCATCACCTGAGGAATATGGACAACTTATGGGTGCAGATTACAGAGACCTTACAGGAAACCGATTAAATGTAAGTTAAAAATTGATTTCGAATAATAAAACTCTGATGAATTTTCACTACTGGTAGGACTTATTTAATCACAAAAAGGTACAAAAAGCGTTTACTGGATTACTTATTACACAGTGACGCTGTAGACAAGTATTGTACAACGTACCGGTAGCATAGCTGTCGTTTTCAAGCCCCGTTACATGCCATTTTACTTCATTCCTAAACTTTGCAATCCATTCCTAACCTGTTTTCCGGTGAACAACTTGATTAACGGCGTTAGTATGCGCAGCAGCAGTTTGTCTTTCTCTGTCGCCTGATTAGTTTCCTCCAGCCCCAGGAGCCGCGCCGTTTCCATCATCATCAGAAAAGATCCCCGGGTCTGTAGCTCCAGGCGAGCCAGGATCTGTGTGTGCAATCCGTGCTCGATTAACCGTTTGCCGAAAGCGCGACGCTGTTCGGCGTAGCTGCGAGCCATACAAATGATCTTGCGCATGGCGCCCACCGCCGATATCGCATTATGAATGCGGGTCAACACCAACTGCATCGGAAGACGGACGATTAAAGAATCAATGACGAACACGTACACGAAAATAACATAAGTGAGAGAAGTAGACCGCACCAGCGACCGTAACTGTATTGTTAACGACAACGCCGCTCAAAAGTTGACAGTAAAGCTTCTATTCAAAACACGTACGTCGTTAACGCTGAATTAATTTATTTCACCTGCTTAAACCCATGTTATACAAAAACTATTCAAATATAGTTGCTACAAAAATGAGCAAGTTATGGACGGACACTGCAATCCGGACCTACTAACCAGGTAAGTTTAAAAAATATTTACCATAGTGGATATTGCTGCCACACCCCGGCCCGGCTCGGATGCCAATAAGGCCTCGGTACCCTGTAGGATCAGTTCCGCCGTGGGCAGCTGTCGTGTGCCCAGTTTATTCTTTAGTTTGACGATCTGTATATTGTTTACCAGTTCGCTACCGGGAACTCGGGCATCCGACACCCTGGTTTCCACGTAAAATAAGGACAAGCCTTTGCTACCCTACACAACAGTTCACTGCGCCACCTGAAAGGGTCAAGAAGTGCAAGGATCATACCGGCACAGTCTGTCCGTTGTTGTCGGCGATCCTAGCCAAAGTGAGCGCCATATTCGCATCTGTGGCTGACGAAAACCACTACAAAACAAGCATGCTGCCATAATACGCAAGTGGCGACAAAAATAACTGAAAAGCGTCGTTAAAAGGATACAAGTACTTTAACAGTCTCCAAGCTTCTGCGCTCAGTGAAGTCCACAATTATAAGTGCTCACGCTCACGCGAATATGACACAATGCGATCGTACCGCCCTCTTAAAATTAATGCAATTATAAGAAACAAATTACACTGGGAAGATCGAAGTCTTACACTGTAAGTACCGTATCACGTTACATATTACCGCAAAGATGAAAAAATAGTCACTGCTGATTGCTTACCTTGTAGCCATGTAAACGGTACGTGTACTCTCCTAGGCCATTTGCCACCGGTACCGCTACAGTTTCCGTTCCATTTGCCACATCGCTTCCACCCTGGCGTTCCGTCATCCACTGCCCACTACGGATCATAAGCGCAAATTTTCCCATTGGCTGTAACATTTAAGGTGGTTATTATTAATGATAACCTAGTCCAGAAGTTCTCCGGCTCGCGTGTGGTCAGGTGATAAAGTGCGGTCCGGAAACGCTCGTGTAAAACCGATGGACCTTTGTCCTTCAGTACCTGCAGGCGTATCGGTATAGTCATACATTTAACCTACAAAAATCTGAAAAGGGGGTTGTACCTCCATCACGCGAGCTGCGCCATCCGTCTGGAAAGAGAAAACACTTAGAACGGCCCGTCCGTAACCAAAGTGCACTTCGGAAACATCTACTGAGTGGGCCGTAACATTATTTATGAAGAAAAAAGCTATAACCAGAAAGCCAAATGGACAAAACAAAGTCTAAAAAGCAACGGAAATAAGCAAGTTTCGCGCAGTACAAAAAATCTGAAAGTGACAATGGGACACTTTTCGGATGTTGTTTTTACTGTTCGTGTTTCTGGTCAAGTTTTATTTTTCTCGAAATGCACTGGCAATCAACAAAAAAAGAATACGAATCCAAATCGTACCATGGCCAACGGACAGCTATACAATCCCGATGACGGTGCGAATAGGTAATTCTTAGCCACCTGGTAGATCCGACTGCAACCAAAATCAACCGGATTCTTCCTTTGACAGCAACACAGATCGCTCGGCAGTCCGTACCTGTACTGTCCGTATTCGCGTTCGTAAGCAATGGCAATCATGCCTTCCTCCGCGGAGATGGCGTGCATCTCCTTCCAGGCGGCACTCGTCTCCAGTCGGTCGACGCGCCGCCCCCAGGCGTCCACCTGCATTAGCCGCGGGGGCTCCTCTTCGCATTGCCGGTGCAGCTTGCTGATGTCGCCGCGATTCGACAAATGCCAACCGAATCTCTCCAGATCCTCCTCCCACGCCGTCCACGCCTGACATGCATATTGGAAAAACGCTTTGCACACCACAGATGACTATGGCTTTTATTATTTTTTAAACACTTCTTTATTTATTACGACTTCATGTTTTCAAATGATCGGAAATCATGGATTATTTACTAATTTACATGCTAATATGACAAAACAAAAACGTACTGGGTATTGCAAAAGCTCGGCAATTGAATTAAACACAATATTAAAACATTAATAAATCATTAAACCATTAGGACGGATGGGCGATGTTATGATCGCCTTACTGGAGTGTCTTACATCTTTGGGAGCCACGCGTTGCAGGTAAGATTTGAGCACAACGTCCTCTGTGAACTGGTTGCCCAGTTGGGGCGTAGGCAGAATGAAGTAGGGCCAGTTTCCCTGCACATACTGCACGGGTGTTCCCTCCGGCGGCTGCTTTTCGTCTGCTCGGACCGTCTGATCATAGTCCAACTTGACGGTGACGACGCTCTGGTTCTGTCCCGACAGGGAATGCAGCGGGCACACGGTTGCGGTTCGCAGGACGGATCCTACATTGCCAATATGTCGGGGGCATGTACGAAGAAACCGATGCATTTTGCTCCGAGTATGTGTGATCGGGAATAAACAACTGACAAGAGTGACAAGATCGTAAGGGATAAATATCACGTCGCTGCGCGAGAGTGTATCAGCAGTGAAGAAGCTAAAACGAACTTAGAACGTCGATAAAATCATCCTCGTCGTAACGAAGTAAAGGGAAGCTTAAAGGCTAAAGCTTTCCTGATTTTAAATAAGCGTCACAACTGAATTACTGAAATATGCCAAAATCGCAGTCTAGCCTGCATCTGAAACCACGAAATACGAGAAAACGAGAAACCAAGGAAGCAAACGTCGCAAAATCAAAACATCTACGCAAATATTCAAAATCATTGCAAAATGAAAATTGCTTTGCAAAAATAACAAAATATTGATGTTCGCGACTCCACAGTCCACGTCTGTCCGTCAGTCAGCTGCTGCAGATGCATGCCGTCCCGAAGCACTACCAAACTGTCACCCTCACGCTATTGCACCCCACATGGCCCAAAAGACAGCTGCCTCGTTGCGCTAGAGGTATTTGTTGATGTGTAAAATCCAAAATCACCAATTTCTATCGTTATTGTAAATTATTGTTGATGTTGTCATTTAACTTAAATTTTTCTTTGCACGCTTTTGTTTCCATTGCGATTTTGTTTGGGGCATTTCAGATATCCGAGATACGTTGTACCAAAATCATTTGAATAAACTCGTTCAGGTTTGGAGCGGCGTGCTTGGTTAACCTGCCTGCAAAGTGCATAATTGATTATACAAATAACAAAGTATCAAAGAAAGAATCTAGCCAGTACCCGCTCGGAATCTTCCTCAGACCTCATTAACCGGCCCACCATGTCTCTCTTGGAGAAAATTAACGAGATCGAGAAGGAAATATCCAGAACCCAGAAAAACAAAGGTACGATTCAGCGCCTACGAAGTAAGCGATATTTTAAGTAAAGCTATTTTCCTCTGGCCGTGAAATTCGTGTTATAACTATAATAACTCCACTCATGACGAAGAAATGTTACTGCTTGCTTGTAGCTGTCTTGTTATCTGGTATTCTTGATTGTAGCCACGGAACACCATTTGGGCCAGCTGCGCGCTCGTCTGAACAAGTATCGCAAACAGTTGCAGCAGGCGCAGGAGGCCCACGGCGATGACGTCCCCGCGGAGGAGATCGCATCGGAAGAACCGCCCATCCAAACCACTACCAACAAAAAAGTACGTGACGCGGCTAAGGATAACAACTTCGCGTCCCATCTTTAATAGGTTTTATCTGTAACAGATACTTTTCTCAAAAATGTATTACATAGTCGACTTTTCTTTTCATGTAATCTGTCCACGAAAACTTCGCTTACTGACTCACAGCGGTGGGACTTAAGTATTCCTACGGCTAAACGTTCTCGAGGTCGATCTGTTTGTTTTTTTCGCACTACATTGGCTTTTCAACGTGAAAAATTACTATTAGTAGTTAGCTAGAGGAGTGTGAAAATAGACTGAAATAGGTAAATCATTTTCGAGGTTTGTTTTTTATTTGAGTATTGAATACGATAAAAGTAAATATAATAGAACCAGAACAAATCAACTAGATTATTGTGGTTATGTAGTCAAAGACAGTGAAGCCCACAGCCAAGACCAAGCCGGTAGTGGCGTCGAAGAAACCCGGCTCTTCGAAGAAACCTCCCGTCCCCGCCCGCAAACCCAGTGCCTCCGAGGAGGCCTCCACCTCCGAGTCCAGCGACGACTCGGAGCCCAGCCGACCCACCGCCAACCGCTTTCTGGCGCTGCCCTCCGACGACGAAGCCAACGACACCTTCAGCAGCGACACCGCCCAGAATGCCGCCCTCTCGCCGGCCTCCTGCGACGAGCCCCATCTGGAGGAGGCCTCGGACTCTCAGTTGTCGGCCGGCAAGAGGAAGCGCACCAAGAAGAAGAACCGTAAAACGGCCAGCAAATCCGAAGCCACCCCCGAACTGGCCAAGATGACCGGGGAGGAGCTGCTGGCCATGTTCGCGGCGCAGAATGAGCAGGCCCCGGTGTTGGCGGCGGAGCAGCGCAAATTTAAATCCGGTGAAGGGATCAATCCAAAGCTGTTGAATTATCGGTACGAGTTCCAGAAGACAGTGGGAGTCAGTGCGCTGTACATGCAGGCGACAGTGCCGGAGGTGGCACAGATGACCCGAGCGCGTGGGGAACGTGGGCGCGGTGTTCGAGGTGTGCAGCATTTATTTGTGCAAACGCCCGCCAACATGCCCGAACGGGAAGTCAAAGATTTGATTGATCGATGTGAGTTAAAAACTGTTTGTTGATTTTATCTATGCCCTTCTTCTCAAAACTTTGCTCAATTTGTTTTTTTGAGAAACACTCTTTTCAAAAAAAATGTTGCACTTTTCTAATGATTAACATTACACCAGTTACTTTTGTGGTTTGCTTTAAAAGCACCGCCTCCATTTTTGAGTAAACTTTTTATTGCTGTATTCATTGTAATACGTGTTTTACAGATGTGCATGTCGAAGACGATCCTGCACGGCCAAACTGGATTGTCTTCAAGCGATCCCGTCGATATAAGGATTTGCAACATGATTTTCTGTTAATGGTCTACACCAATCAGGATCACGTTATCCGGGTCAGTAAAAGCGATCCACGAAACAGTTGTCTTGTTCGGTACCAAGTGTGGAGCTGGTTTGTAATGGTTTTCTTGCAGGACATTCTGCACCAGTTTCCATTCCATTCGGATGCGTTGATTTTGATGGGCAGTATCCACGAGCGGGATGATAACTATTCCAGTGCTCGCCAAGCTATTGGTAAATTAATTAGTCTTCCCTTGAATTAACAAAACGAGATGCATTTAATTGGTTTTTGTAGAACATACGTTGTTCGGATTTCAACAGTGTTTTGACCATCGTCTGCGAAACCATCCGGAACTACATCGAATGAGCTATCGTTACCCGGCTAATCGCTCATACTTTGTAGCGCTCTTCAAACACATTATCCTGACCGTCCCACGCTTTCCCAAAACTGCCTTAGAACTGGGAAAGTATTTGTTCAAGTAAGAATTGATGTTCACTTTTGAAATGAACTTTTTTTACATTCGTTCGATTCGGCATTAATTTAGCGCGTTTCATGGTGGATAGCAAATGTATTTTGTCGCAGTTTGAGTCCGAAAGACGATCCTTTGGCTGTGATTTTAATGATGGATTACCTGGCGTTGAAAGCGAAGGATTATGCCTACCTCTTAGCTTTCCACGATACTCTGAAGGTAATTCTTCGAATACTTTGTAATCAAACTTTCTGATGACTTTAATTAGGTTTGCTTTTCTCAAGGAAATTAAAAATTTGGACCTCTTGCCCAACTTTGCCTTCTCCGTGCCTCTGGCGCTTTACCTCCGAAGTCAGAGCGCCGGTGGAATAGCTGGCGAGAATGTGTCGGAAGAAATCGCGGAGACCATGCTGATTGATGGCATCCTTCGTTTTCCCGGAATGATACCAACGATTTTTGAGAAGGTAAGCGAAGTTCTTAGTGTCGAGAAGAGATGATGTTGGATATCCAGTGGTATTAGATATCAGATATAATTATTTTCGACTAGGGTCCTTTTAACTTAAACTGATTTATGGTTTCTAAAATTTCGATCGGTTTCTGTAAGATGTACATACGAGTAAATCTGTACAATTCTTGTTGTGTAACCATATTACTCTTCATATTTTAACTGCATATGCTTTCTTATTCTTTGGTACTTGTACATATACTATTGTACACGTAATTTATTTACAGTTAAGTATGTTCTTGTTGTAACGTTGTTGGTACTTGACGTATGTTTATGCTGTGTTTATACTTTACATTACGAACTTTTAACTACGATTGAGTTACATAGATGGAAATCCACATTGAACGCGATGTCGCAACATGTCCCGTTTTCCGCCACGCTCAGCACGAATCCAACGACGGCCTGATTGTGTTGCAAGCTTTGTACGCCCGTCGTTGCTCCGGCTTCTGGAAGGAAGCTAGTGTTTTGCCGTGGCTTCAGAATACCCTGTTGAAAATCGCGGAAATGGTGAAACACGAGACGGAGGAGATGACCGAACGACGGAAACATTATACCGACATGTATGATGCTGTTGTGTACGACAGGAAACTGTGTTAATTATGTAATAAGAGAATGTGATTTAGGCGAAACCGGTCGTACCGCGGAACACCCAGCAACATCTGGCGCCATGTGATTCTGCTGAACATTCCGGAGACTGAACGTGTCTTCCAGATGCGCTTGCCAAGTGTAAGCTCGATTTAAACAATTTGGTTTGCAGTTTGTGGGTTATCGAAGCACTTTGGAAAACGTTTAAATATTACTGTATTACACGTGAAATTTCGATTGGCTTAAATAAATGTCTGTAATTAAGAGTACATTCTGAATGCATAGAATAGTTAAACTAGCTGGAGATGCTTTGTTAAGTGTAACCGACTTGATCAGCTGCGATTCCGTTGTTTCCTTTATTATTATTATTATTATTCATCGTGGAGCAGGTAGCCCATTTCCGGCTAGGGTGACATTCTAGCTGGGATTTTAAACCTGGCCAAATAGCAAAATCGAAAAGTACGAGTGCAGATAGACTGAAAAGACGTCCTAAACAAAATTGACACGGTTCAAAGCTTGCTTAAAGGCACCAACTGTATGAATATGGAACAGATCAGAAAAATTAGAATCAACAAAAAATGTCCACAATTTATTAAGTTTCCAAGCAAAGGTCGTCTCGCCAACTTTCTTCTTCGCTACCGCCTTGATCAGGATGCGGTTTCTACTCCGAAGGTTGTACGGCTTTATACGGTCATCAAATTCCACCATCTCAGAGATGTACTGCGGCACATGGAATTTTTCCGGATGTTTGATCTTGTATAACCATATCGCTTCCTTTTGTTTCCATCTCGTGAAGAGCGGTAAGATCCCATGTTGGTTCATGAACGATTCCGTGGGTATCTTTGCGTAGTTTGCAGCCGCTCGGACACCGTTACGATGCATCGCGGCCAATTTATCACGCAAGCGCACAGATGCCCCGCTCCACACTGTAGAGCAGTAGTCCAGATGCGACTGAACAAAGGCATAGAAAAGCGCAATGCGTTGGGATGTTGGCAGGCCGACTTTAACACGATTTAACAGTGATATACCGTACCGAACATTCTTCTGGACCTTTTTAACATGGTCAGCCCAACTGAGATGTTCATCCAGTATCACTCCAAGATGTTTCACTGACTTTTCTGGAAGTAATTTATGACCTTGTTGCAGTGAATTGATTGCAATTATTGTCATAAGACTAACGTGCAGATTTCAGTTTTGATGTAGTTCGTGCATGCGTGTTTTCGATTTTAGGATGGAAATAATTTCATTTTCCCGTTTGACCCGATCCCGCCATCAAATAGCCTGGAACGGGATGAATGCGATTCGCATGCCTTCAGTCAGCCCACCGGTCGTGAGCGGCGCCGAACGGAACCAGCGGTGCCGGATCCCGAAGATGCCGCGCTGGCTGGACCGGTGCAGCGGGTGATTGCAGCTACCCGGCATTTCATACAGACATTGTGGCCGTCTGCGGACGAAATTAACGGCCCGGCACCAGTGAGTGATATTTTATGAAACTGCTGCTTAGATGTTTGGTACGCTTTTCATTTGTAAGTAAGTTTCCGTTTTTCAAGATGTTTAGTGTGGGTTCTTTTGGGGAAAAAAGCCAACTGCTTTTTTTTTGGATTTTTAAATGATCTCGTTGCCACTTCGTATTGTATTCACGCTTTAAGAATTATAATCTCTTAAGAATTATAAGCTCACGCTCCATACGAAAAGCTGAGTCCATTTATTGTAAGTACGGCTGTAACTAACATTTGAAGTTCAAGCACTATAATAGAAGTGACGGGGAATCAGCACTCGAAATGTTTGATAAGAAATTGATGAAAATCGCTCAGTTAAAGTCTAGTGCCTATTTCCGTAATGTGAAACCCCATGTCTGCTGTCCTAATACATTGGCATCGGTTTCTTAACCGCAGACAGTGGAGTTACTTCCGGGAATCCCGGCGCAAGGTGGTGACGTCGTGACGGGGGCGGCCATTAACGACAGTGACGAGATGATGGCGGCCGAGCGAGACGATGCGATGAAAGGATATCTGGATCGGGTTGGCGTGCTATACGACATGTACACCGGTGGAGAGCAGGAGCAGGCCCAGAGTGCCACCAGCGGAATTGCCCAAGGTCAGCCTGATTGCAGCACACTGTATGCTGGTTGTAGCTATAATCGAATAGAAAGCTTCAAATGTCTGGCAAATGATGTTGTGAATAATCCTTCGTGGAACCCGGAGAATAGGAGTCAAGTGCGGCTAATGCGATTACAGATGGGAAAATCTAAGAGCATGCTTAGATCGATATACAGACTACGGAGTGTGTACAGTATACGATCAATAGAGCAAATCGATAAATTATTCGCCCATGTAGGCTTGAATAGGGATAAAAAAGATGAATAAGTAGGTGCATCTTCGTTATACAGACTTTGATTTGAGTGAAGCTTTTTCGCATGGAATACGGTTTTTTTTGTCAATGTGCGGACACATTTATGAGAGGAATGTTATTTAAAAAAATCCGCCGCAAAAAAATTTAAAAATTGTACGGAAAAGCTTATACAGAGTACGGTAATTGCTGAATTTTTTGTTTCTGTTTCTGTTTTCCGAATACAGTAAATGTAATTTATCAGCTTTATTTAAATTCAACACACTTTGGTTTTGTCTTTACCGGTTAATCATCTAAAAATATGTATTGCAATAATTATTAGAATTTGGTTACACTGATAACGAAATGACAAATACGGCGGGAAGTAGAATGTTTGTCTATGGAAGTATACAGAGAAATTCGGCACTATGGTTATCACGACACTGCGGGATGCGTGCCATTACTTATTCACTTTTTCCCTTCAGTCCCTACCGCTGCGAGCGCACTGCTGCATGAATAACCCGTGCATAATAAAATTTGACGTCCATCCGTAAATGTCAGTTGGTTAGTTGGCAAGGACATGTCGACAACGGCTGCGGGGATTCCCAGGCCGGTCGGCTGCATGAGGAGCACAGTGTGATCCTTCCGCTGAATCCACTCTACGTTAATATGCTAATCAACAGCAATCCCTGCTTACAGATGCCGACGTAACGGACGGCGACGATGAGGACACCAAGGGCAGTGCGGATGTCTGAGAGCCCATTTTGACAGCTGATGGCGGGACTTAATTGTGCGCTGCTGATGATTTAAACGGCCGATTAGCGCGGGCCGTTACAGCGTTGTGTGTAAGCGATACACAGGCCGTTCTTCTCGCGCGTTGAAGTGCGCAGGACTGTGTAGATGTTGTTGGTGTGTACTCAGTGGGCCGCTTACTGACCAAGAAAAGGGAATTGGCACCCTTGTTGTCTGTGTATGCGCGGTGGGGAGATTGTGTTTCCATGGGTGATCGATGTGTTAATCGATAATTGCTCTCTCCCTCCGCTTGGGGGCTATCAATTTTTAATGAATTTCATGCGTCCAGTATGCGATGTTTGTGTATGTATATGGCATTGTGTTGGAGTGTGGATCGCGCATATCCGGCTGTTGAGCGCACCGAGAGGGAGATATTATTGTTGTCGGGATGAGCCGGAATGGCTAAATAGATCATGCGCAGGCTTGACATCGGAGATGCGGCGCTCGCGCGCTGTTTGTTAGTTTGCTTAACGCCGCCGCCGGCCGTGGAATTAGACGGTGTGCGGTGGTTTTAATGGGCTCCTGCCGGGCATAATTTGTTGGAGGTTAATGGAGGGACCCACTGTGGTGCCAGCGCGTGCCGTGCATTTGCTCGGTCTCGGTGTATTTTTATCGCCCATCTGTGTGTCGAGCACGGGGAAGATGTTTTCGCAGCGGAGATAAATCTTATCGTGATTGTACTCAGACGCCGGTCTGTCCGTTCACGCTGCAGCACGCACGGTGCTGGCGGCCCGGCAGTGTGAGGCAGTGTGATGCTGATTTCCCCACATTCCGTAGTTTCGACGTTACACCGCGCATCTTTTACATCCTTTTAACCTTTGCACCGTCATTTCTTTACACTTATGCAAGCTCTATGCAACTGTGGTTTTACTCTCCTATTCTTCCGAAAGCGCAGACTGTCCAGGTAAAAGGTTTTATTCTTTCTCGCCTCGCTTAGAATGTGTTTTCTCCTGGAAACATTTCACCAGAGTGTAAGTGAACCTTGACTGGGCGTTGATCGCTTTTTATAACGCCAAGGGTCGAACAGTATAACGGTCGTTAAAAAACCTTTAAAAAAATTAATCATGAACAGCCTTATCGAATCCCACTTCGATTTATCCGTTCACATTATGTTGCTGCCGACCAATTCCATCTTCATTACCAACACTACCATCGCCGTCCACCAGCCGCAATGGACCATCCAACTAGCATTCCACAGTGTTGTCCTCGTCCTGTCGCTGCTCTTCAACACGGTCGTCTTGTTGGATTTCATCCGCATTCCGGCACGCGTTACCGCCTTCACTGTGTACCTAGTTGCTCTCCTCATCAGCAACATTCTGTATCTGTCCGCGGTGACGCTGCCGGAATTCTCCACGCAGCTGTACGGGTACTGGTTATTCGGTTACTCCATGTGCCGGCTGCATAATTACTGTAAAGTGGTGTGGTCCGGCATCCAGACCATGATGCATCTGACCATTGCGGTCAATCGGTTGTGGGCCATTTCCTCTCCGATGAATTATAAGTTACATCATACGCGCAGAATGGCGCTGGTGGTGTGCGGTGTGGGAGTGGTGCTGGCGCACGCCGGTGGACTGCCCAGCGTCATCATGGATGCGATGTGGGCGGCGTCTGCCAAGTGGATGCGCGTATGCCCCTTGAATTTTGCGGTAAGTGTTACGTCACTTAAGTCATATTTGATTTTTTGCACAAACTAGTATATCACGAATCAGTGAAGGCAAAATCATGCAAATACAGAGATAAATTGAAAGCAAGAATGCAACTGCAATGCAGTTCCTGAAACTTCCTGTAAATCACACAGTCTGCCTTATATGTTATGATTGCGTCATTTTCGAGTGCTACGCTTCCGGGTGTTTTGTTTTATACAGTTTAACCTTTTAGAAAATTATTCAGTGTATATACCTACTGCCAATCTGACTCTATCGATCAGAATAGCTTTGCCAACGCGATTTGAAAGTTACGCGGATTTTACTTTTGGCGCCCTATTTTGTTGTTGATATTTTGTCGCCGGAAACCACGTTCACATGGAAATATTTACGGAGATATGTCCATGCTTTTGGATGATTTTCGCATTTTTAATATGACAGACAGTTCATTTAGTAAAACAGGATCCTAGCGGGAAATATTATTTGAAATACATACAGCCACCGTACATACAGAATGGTCAGTATATGCATTTCAGTTTATGCATTTGCTTGCATAACAGATGTTACCGTTCGGCGTGATCCTCTTGGACTGGAGCGCGCTGCACGCGGTCCCCACTGGCTTCATCTTGGCCACATATCTCTTCGTCATAAGTAATCGCATCAAAAATCGCGGCCTCCACCACCTCCACGCCGAACAGCGCGCGCCGCTGTCCAAAGCCGCCTCCGGCAGCGGGACACGCCCACGTCGCAAGGACGCCGTGCGCCCGTCCATGATTCTCTCCTTGACTGTGGCCAGTATCTGTGTGTGCTGGGTGCCGGCCCTCATCATCTTCACCACAGCATGGGTATCATGGATTCCGGCGGGAGTGTCGCAGACGTACTTTGTGGTGGCCGTAGCCATGTACTCAATGCAGGCGCTGTTTGACCCGCTGCTGTTTGCGTTCTGCCTGTATCTGGAGCAGTTCCGTCGCTACTGGGCGTCGCGAGCGCTGGAACGCGAACAGGGCACGGCGATCTCGCGGTCCCTGCTGTCGGTCTATGAGACGCCAGGGGAAATGAACGGGCGCAGTGAGAAGCGATAGCTGGCGCTGCAAGCATCGTCGCAGTACACCTAAGTCTTTTGAATTCGCTTCTTTTTCTCAGAGATTGGTGATAGGCTGTTCAGGAATTGTGTCTAAGGTTTCTGATGAAAATCGAAAGTTGTTTGCTTGATAATCATAAGGCAAATGTTCAGTAGACTCGTCAGACGCTTTTTGTCATATATAGTTCCACAAAAGCGAATATGTTTTTACTGCTATGATACTATCTTTTCGTTTTTCGGTGCTGGCTAGTGTTGTTAGTTAGCAGATTTGATAGATTGAACTTGTTTAACTATTTTGCCGATTCAGTTTTGTATGGATGCACCAACAGTGTTCGCATGTTTACCCATCGAAGCACTACCCTAGAAATCCCTGCTGACAGGCTAGGCCTGTTTTTCATACATTGCGGTTAGGCAAGCATAAGAATATTAATATTTTAATACCCACGGGCGTTTGCGCTAATGCCTGCACCAAGAAATATTAAGGCTCATCCCGAGTAAAACAGCTTGTAGGAAAAACGTTAGTTTAACGTGTAACTACCGTTAGGTGAACGGATGTGTGTCAATTTTAGCCGTCTCCTAACGTTTAACTAAAGTTTTTTTTGCAAGTTGTTTTACTGGGGCATGCTTTTCTGCATGTATCCAACCAGTGATCAATAAATCAAGAACCAGCGTCTGTATTTGCTGCCTGCACTTTGCAGCAGCATAATGGAAATGCACGTCAAGTGTATCGACCAACTGCCACCTTGGCTGTGTGTTTACAGTGACAATTACAATACACTTCAAAGACGAAAATCGTCGAATCATCAGAGCCTAAAATCTTCAAAATCTATGTGAGCACACTTAATTTCGCAAAGATGGGGGTATTGATTATTTGCTTTGTATTTTCATACTGGCTGACATTGTCATGACTCAGGAGATTGCACACGTTGGCAAATTTACAGGAAATTTTGTTGGAATACCTATCCAGTAAAATTAGCATTTAATACAAAAAACATGAGTTGTGAGATAGTTGAAGTGGTTAGTTTTTTTGTGCAAGAGTTTTGTAAGTACGACAGCGAATGTTTTTCCTCTTTTTTTGCTTATCCCTTGAGTCCGAATCGAGGCCTCGCGCGAAGCGCGAAGCCGACGTTGCTTTTTGACCAGGAAATACAAGAAAATCAGTAAAATTAAGTTATTTATTCAAAACCACTTCGGGTTTGTCAAATTTGTTAAACGCTCGTATATAAAACTAGCGAAGCGTTTTGTGTTGCGATTCGTTTTGGCCCGAACTCTTAACATGGCAGGGGCTGCATTGATGACCTTACGGCTGCCATTCAGCAACGGTGTCAGTTTTCGACCGGGCGAACTGGTCTTTGATAAAGATGAAGTAAACTAAGATAACCACGAGCTGACTCGCTAAGATATTCTAATGGTCGACTAAAATCACAACTGCTACGAGTAGAGGCTGTAAAAATATCGACCAGTAGAGAGATATATGCGCCCATACCCACCACTTCTAAGCGTTTTCAATTACTGGGAGATCTGCCAGTAGACACTGGGAAAGTTTTTAAGTAACCACACTTCTGGCGCTACATAACTCAAATGCACAATAGCGCATTGCAGCATTTGTTGAACTTAGTAATAATGCTGTTTCGCAGGGTAAATCCAAAAGCGGAAATGGGAAAAAAGTAGATCGGTAATTTCGAAAAAAAGTATTCGCAAATGTGGCTGTTGTTTCCATTACGCAGATGGCATTCTCTATTTAACTCTATCGGTAAATGGACAATTGTTGCTGGTACAGCCACTAGAACACCGCATGTCTAGCCGAAAGGGTCGTTCTCTCAAATGACCACCAGATCATCCCGCGAAAGTTGAAGCACACAATGCTTGTACATCAAATGACACAATCAAAGCAAGCAAATACGTGGCTTGTGCAAATTTTTAATTTTCCACCTGATTCTGCTACCTGGAGGTCAAAGAAGAGAACGAAGCTGTTTCTCTGAGTTCGCTAATTAAAGATTGATTTTCAGTATTATACGACCCTATGCGCTCTACTAATTGCGCACGAAAGACATTTTATAGAAATGCTATAAACAGCGCCCGTGATTTTACTACGTGTGTAGCGTAGTTGGAGAAACGGGTCCCTATTTCCTTACATTCTATTAGAACTAGGAGGATAGAAACACCAGAAACCCAGACTACGGGCCCGATTCTCTTTAATTCAAGACCGAAATCCAAGAAAGCCAGAGAATGACATCATCACATTAGTCGTCGCTGCGCTTAAATTAATAGCCTAAACTGGGCAATCTGTACTACCCGTACGTCTCATACAACTGCACTCGTACATACGTAGGTGGCACCGCCGCTACACGTGTAACAGGAGCACTATTGAGCATGTAATTTAAGCAGCGTTAGAAGTGTGGTTAGTAAGTATAAAATATGCCGTCTACCACATCTCCCTGTGAAAGTTAACGTGACACGCATTGGCTTATAGCTTTTGTTCGTGAAAGCTTTTGCTCTCTTAAAACAATTAGAAGCCGGTTAATTACACAGAAGGGGGGAGTATTGACAATTTTTAAGCACAAGTTGCGATCTAGGTGAGCACATGCACCTCTATGCGAGCACATTTTGTGCTATGTGAGCACAAGTTTTTAGGCCCTGTCGTCGATGACACGCTGTAAAGAGCCATTGTGACGTAGAACACACGGTCCAGTCGTTGCCAGCTGAGAACGTTGGCAGCACCTCGTTTCTTTACAATGAGGTGACGGTATGTCGTTAGAGCGGCGGATTTGTCGGCGTACGTTATGACCTTGTGGATGCCCATTAAGTGTCGTGTGATGCCGGTCTGTGCTAACATCAGCATTCTGTAAAAGGCGAAAACAACGACATTTCCAAAACCATTTCTCTTAAATAAATTATACTTTTCAAATAATATTATCCCAAATACTTTTCAAATATTTAGGTGTCTAGGTTTCCCAAATCAACTTCACTTTTCTAATTTTAAGGATAATATTCGCACTACTAATAGAATACGCGTTCCTCACCAGTGCGGGAACATTGCGATGATTGGCTGTGAAAGCCTGTGATTACAAAGCCTACGTCTAATACAAAGTAGAATGAAAGCCTGCGTCTAATAGAATTCCATCAGCAGATAAGGTACTCGTACAACACAAAATTAATTTACTTTCGCTGCATGGCTTTCATAAAAGACCGGTTTTTCTTGCTCTGTATAACACTGATCCAGCGCTGATTTTCTGCGGGAAACACCGGCACAAATCCCTTGTTGACACAACTGACAGCTTCGTCATAATAGCAAACAACGGCAATCTGCTGGCCTGACTCCGCCACCCGATCCAGTATGATGTCGTCCGTGACTGCGTTCCCCGTTACGATGGTTTTGGTTTTTCGTGCTTCATACGGAATACCATCGGGGGTAGCATCTATTATCCGCGTCGCTAAATAGAATGGTGATTCCATAAACCCGTTAAACGACGAAAATGGCGGTGTGGCGATGCTGACACTGAGGGTGGCGGTCAGTGAGGTAGTGATTATGGAGCAGACGACCATCATCCATGGGATCCAGCTTAGCAAGAAGATGCTGTATGTTGTGAATTCCGGTTTCGGTTGATAGAAATCTTGAAACAAAAAAGAAGCGTTTTACACAAAATAAGTAACACGCAGTATGTAGATTAAGATACTTTATACGTTATCATACATCACAAATGTACAAATACAAGTAAGAGCATGAAGCATGGCGGAGATACCCTAAGTATTTTTACGCATGCACTCGTACCGTATCTGTGTGCGTTAAACACTTTAATATTATTAGGTAAGGCAGTGCTTACTGCTTACTAGATTGTCTGCCATGAAGTGAGCGAAATTGAAGCATGGGTTCGAGTCTCCTTTACTGCTTTATGCTTTAATATATCATGTACGGGCAATGACGTTGTTTGCAAAAGACATCAATAACTTTGGCAGTAAATGGCCAAATTTGGTAAAGTTTTCTGACATCTGGACTGTAATATGTTCAAATTATTTGTGACGTTTTGTGTTCATAAATGCTTCGACGAATACAGAGGGAAAGCACACCAATTAATACGATAAAAGCGACGCAATTAAGAATTAAAGAGATGCGTTTTACCTCCACCAAGTGCAATAGTAAGGAAATCCCACAGCGATGCCGCAGCACTCTTCCATATTTGCAATAACAACCGAAATCGATTGTGTGGGACATTAGGCGCACGGCTCACTGGCAGATTTATACCGAAAACCGTTAAGTATATTACCACCGACAGCATTGCAATTCCTATCCAGGCTGTCCGATCAAAACAATTGGCTAAGCCATCCAGTATAGAAATCGCTTCGCTATGGATAATGTGCCGTCGATGGACGGCAACATGATAGACTCGCAATAGATAGAACGGCACAAAATCATATTCCGTCCATCGAGGAGCGGTAACTGACAGGCCACACACACTCACATCCGCTCGTCCGTTGATTACGTCATTAGGGGAACCGTTCTCTGAAGTGTTGAAGTAAGCACTTCGATCGGGAATCAGCAACAACCTGCAAACACGTATTGCAAACCAAAGCGCGCTGGGAATCTTGTATCGATGCAGCTAATAGCCTTCTTTGATCTTTATGGTATGTTTCTTGCAACTGCTGCTTAAAATTTAAATATGACATCTTTGCTTTTATATGTCGAACAGTGCATTCGTTAATTTTAGCAATACAGTTTGTTATTTGAACGCGAGAAAGCCTAATCAATGGTTTTGCTAGTCGTTTAAAAGTCATCGCTGACCTTAGTCGTAAATCCAGAGCAAAACCTTTCAGTAATGTAACCGTTAACCCACAGAAGCACTGCGATCCCGGTGGTGACTGGTAGCTGTATGGTCCGTTCTCGGTGATACTGACGACTAGCACATCACTCGGCGTTGGGTTACTGTCGATTTCGTAATCCAGATCAGAACACACCCGGTACGGTTCGTCGCAATAAAGCGGCATGGTTCTTTGGACAGCGATTTTGCTATATGACTCACTACTGAAGTCCAAGCGAAAACAAGATAATACTTTCACGGAACGAAAGTAGCGTAATAACGTAGCGTAGGACGTTTCATAAGTGTGCTGAGCGCCAGATCCATTTTACCGCCTAATCAGCAGGTAAATGTAATCTCAACGGAATCGTAAGAGTACTTTACCTTTACAAAGAACGACTATGAACTTACCCGGTAGATACATATATCATTTAATTCTGTTCATTCAAGATGGCTTGTTGACAACTTGACAGCATACTGTATGTATGCAGTTAGTTTAATCTTCCTGATGGCTCTATAGGAGTGCGAGATTAATATCTTGCATCAGGTACACACTACAGGCTACTGCATATTCTAATTCTTGCATTGTCTTACGACCCGACCCCTTTATCTACCCCAAGTGACGGTCTTAGATACTTATATTTTCATGGACAGTCTGAACGGTTGTATAAACAGCTGTATAAACGTTTCGCGTATTTTCGTTCGTTGCTCTTGATTAATTGTAGCTAATACTGCTTTCGAACCAGTACAGTGCAGTGAAACCGATTGCGTTTGGCCGTTTTACCTTTAGTAACCGGATTTCAAATTTATTTGCTTTTACCCTGCCACGTATTTAGTTGCTTGTAGATTACAGGAATTTGAAAGTTTTGCTATAATTACTGTTCAGGGTGAGAGAGATTCGCAATCCCAAAAAAAATTAAGATACGGTTCATGACGTTTCTTTAGTGTGATTTCCGTTCAGTGGCGTTCATGGACTGCCTGCCAAAGACTGCACAAATGTACTGTGATTCAACCGAGTGCAATATGAACCGTTCAGAGTCTGCAGACGTACCATCTTGCAAAAACCAGTTAAAATATTCACAGAAAAGGTCACCCAGTTGGTAAGTAACAGCAAGGCGTGTTTTTTCACTGAAAAGAACCTTTATCAACACATCCCTGCAGGTACAAGAAGCCAGGTTTTCGCCAAGAAAGCAAGGAATGTATTCTTACGCAAAGTTTTCTGTGTTATCCAATGCCTGGGACACAACTGTCAGCTTTCTGTGTAATGCGTCACATCTGTCAACTTTCTGTATAGCAAATTTTCTCTTTGCGTCAGTGCATCTCTTGTACGATTAGGTATCTCTCGAATGAGAATTATATTGTTTTATAGTTACAAGGCTATTTAGTTGTCCGCCCGAGTAAAACAGCTTGTTGGAAAAACGTTATTTTAACGTGCAACTACCGCTAGGTGAACGGATATGTGTCAATTTTAGCCGTATCCTAACGTTTAGCTAACGTTTTTTTTGCAAGTTGTTTTACTCGGGCTGGCTTTGTATCAGTGCAAAAGCGTTACGGTTAACTTTTCTGAAGTCTAGAGAAATAATTTCCACTAGAATAGTATGAAAGATGAGATAAAAGGTATAATCGGATTCTTTAGTACCACTTCCATAGGAACGCACTGTCTTGTCTGTCGGCGACTGATCGTAAGAATAAGCCAGCTGAGAATAGGAAGGTGCACACCTGCCACCGCACAAACAGTTGAAACTATGCACTGTAAAGGTAACGTGTCTTGTTCAGAACTGCACTACAGACTTACTTTTACAAGCACATCTCTAGAAAATGAAACCAGGCTTCCTCCAATAAAACGCGGAGCGTAGTCTCTCGCAATATCTTCCATATAAGCCAACATATACAGTAGGGTTTGGCAATCCTAAATACAGGTCAGAGATAATATTGTATGTACGAGTAGCCATTTTCAGCGTGGAATGGTCACACGGTATGTCTTACATTCTCAGCATTTTGACTTTTGACTTCGATGATCATTTGCAGCTGATACAATGCCTTCGGAAACTCGCTTATCTGAAAAACCAGGCACTCGCTAGTAAATACTACTCTAAAAACGATGTCTCGAACACGGCTTACCTGTTCCTGGGCCTTCATAAGAGGAATAGAAAATAAAACGGTGTAGAAAAAGAACAAAATGCAACTGCCGTAATTAAATAATATATTAAGAATTAAATCAGGAGTCGGATACAAAACTATCATGGCCAAGAAAGAGCATGTTAGCGTCATATTAACTCCGAAGATGCCACCTAGAACCCAACCGTATACGCTGTTCAGAGCGTCCATGCCGTTAACCAGTTCGAATTGGAAGTTCTGAAAATTGCGCACAGTTTGGTTTACATCGCTGGTTGTGCAGTTATTGTTTTTAACGCCTTGGCAAATAACATGCAGTTTGCACATCATTTCAGCACATGCATCACGGACTACAAAAGCGCTCATAATGACAGAAATATGCAGCTGTTGCGCCAAGTAATAAGGAAGTGTGCAAAAGGTCACCCATAAGATGATGGACGTGGCGGCGCCCATTTCGATTGGTACAGGCCAGAAACCGTCTTGGAAATCGCTATCATACCAATGAGGATCTGCATCCATAAAAGACCGCCAGTCGGCATACTCCCAGAACACTGTTGCGCAGAAAGTCGACAGAGACAGAAATCGTGCAATAATTCTCCATTTCACATGTTGTCTGTTATGTGTGTCGCTTAAACGAGCAATGTTTTCAAGTTTTAGCTGAGCATTGTGCCAGAGATGTCTCATTGGAAGAAAAAGAGACAACAACACAGGCGGTTGGATGGCAAAGATGGTGTACCACGCTATGGAAATACCGTAGAGAATGGAATCTGCGTGAGCGATATCTGCTGCTTCAATGCTTTCCACAACCTGTGCAGCAACAATTCTGAAAGCATGTATGAAGCCGCCCACTATAAAAATTACCGGTATGAAGCAAACACCGGGAACTATACATGACCATTTAGAAATGGAAGGAAAAATCACTTGCGGTGGCAGCAAGCCACTCACCGCCAAAATTGTTTCTGGTGCGAATTTTAAAACCATTTTCATACGCGCTACTGGTGTAATAGATGCTGAAGTATTAACTTTAAAGTAACCAAAATTGTTTTTCTCATACACGAGACATATCGACTATATTACGTTATTACGGCGAAACAGTCTGAAAGCGCGTACTACAAATCGATTAACACCCATGTGGACTTTTACCTTGATGACCATGATATTAAACGAGTCACAAAACTGCACCGAAAGCAACAATTATCCTGCTTCCTGTCACCCGTAACAGTCTGTTGGGAATAATTCGCCTTTTTTAAAAAAAATTGCGTTTCGTGGGTAAACAGGCCAGTATTTTGGTACATGCTTTTCAACTAGCCACAAATACTATCGAGAACATCTACCATATTGTTCAGTATGCGGATGCCTGGACCGACTACCCGCTGTCATTGTTTAATTTAGTCAGGTATAATTACGTAGCTTTAATCAGAGAATACCACTTTAAAGCGTGCCCTTGCTTCCGCCGGTATTGAAACGGAACTGGAGCCACCTGGTACTTGCCTCACCAATGGCAAGCGCCCGGACGGAGTGACCTTAGTTCCGTGGGAAAGAGGAAAGTGTTGACCTGGGACACCACATGTGTGTGCACGGTAGCCTTGCCGCACATCGCGGCAACATCGAAGCAAGCGGGGGCAGCCGCGGAGCGCGCAGAACAGGATAAAGTGGCGAAGTATCGGGAACTCACCCGAGATTACCTGTTCCGTGCAGTTGGCATCGAAACACTCGGACCGGACGCCTCTCGTTTGGTCACTGAGGTCGGGAAGATGATACAACAGGAAACCGGCGAGGTACGGGCGACGGAGTTTCTGTGCCAACGGATCAGCATTGACATCCAACGCGGGAACGCGGCCTCTGTCATGGGAACAGCACCAGCATCGGCCAGCTTAGACGAAATGTTCTGTGTGATTAGGCCGCCTATTTCCGTAATCGGCTGAGCTGTGTATTCAGAACAAATCTTTCACTTTTATAGGAATTTTGTGACTGTATTGTATCGCCAAAATGAAATAAAAAATTTTAGGAAATAAAAATCAGAGAAGTGCTGTCCGGTTAACGCCATCGGGGCTTCTAATGCAGCTATTTGGTGAATGATCGTAGCGTCTTTAAATTTTTTTGGCTAAATTTTTTTGGCTAGATTATAATCAAAATGCAAAACAAATAAACAGAATATTATTCCAAATTTGCATAAACCCAGGAATATTCAGATAGATCTAGAGAATACACCTGATACTAACGATAAATAGGTTCTTCGTAGAGCGAGTGCACAATTGTGGTTTGCGGTTTACTGTATAATCGAGAGCCTTCAGCTTTTCGGGTGGCGTTCGGTTATTTTTTTAGATTTTTTCGGTTAAAATGGCTCCTTAACCTACCAGCCAAACACGGAATGTATCCGGCGGTATTTTTCATGAAGATAATTTGTCGATATCCTGAATTCTTAATGTAAAGATATTATTTGTACACGCAGTTACGCAGCGTGCATTATATGTATACGAGTAACATTAAAGTTTGTTAAGAGTGCTTTAATATTATGGCGGAGTTGATCGAGCACTGTGCACCTTTTTTTCTGGCATTTCGATATTAACTTCTAGGTTTTTTTATGGTAGTGAATAACATAATATTGGCGTTTGGCGACGTCATTGTACGGACAACGAACAATCGCCAGTTTAAGCCGCCAAAGAGTAATTAAGAACTTCTTCCAGTTCTGAATGCTGTGTTCGACCGATATACAAAGCATGACAAACTGTGCACTGTGCAGTTATGTAAACGTTGACAATAAGAAATTAAACCTTTGCCAGTGCGCTAACCACTTAGCAGTACCTGGGTATTAAAACATGCTGCCCACAAGACACCGGCTCCACGGGCAAATGCAAATCTATCCATACATGAACAATGTTTACAAATACTGTGCAATAGTAGTGAGTAACAATACTGTACCATTCTAGCCACTATTGACGCATGGTGTGGTACAGGTTGAACCGTACAACTACCACTAGAAACTTTAATCACGGCCGATAAAATTTGGTGCAGATTACAAAAGCCGAACAACTATCTACTGCAATCCCCTCGAATGAGTGGGTTTTCCTTGTTCCACTCCAAGGCTCCTTGTGCAAGAAGTCCAGCGGACAGTAGTACTGTATATAGCCATTAAGATAAACGAACGGTTCGCAATATGACTCACAAGCTTAAGGTAATTAGGGCATCCGCTTTTTTGAAGCTTTTCTCTTTTCGATTACTTTTCTCAACAGGCATCTGCTAAAGTTGACCAACCGGTCTCCAGTAAAGCATGGTTTGTGGTGTCCCCCCGTAGTCAGAATGCTATGTCGAGCCGAACAGAGAGTTACAGTTTGACAACAGACACGTTTTACTGAAAGAGGTTTACTCACAGTCACGGGCACAAAGCGGCATCCCAAGGGATGTTCTAGAACCATCAAATAACTCAGTTTCCCGGGAAAGCGTACGGTTATTCATTCTAGCATCCCATTCTAACGAAAAACATCGTTTCACAGGTACATGTTTCTATATACAAGTTTACTTTAGCGCACAAATGGAGTTCCGTTTTTTGCCGGAAACGTTGCTGCTAGCAATCGGCGTCCTACCGCTGCATACCTTTTGCAATTGCTCTTCGAAATGGAAGTGTACGGCTCGATGGACCGTTTTATTGCCGATGGCCTTTATATTAGGTGGACTAGCCCATTCCATTCTTATAACTGCCGAATTCGTCGCGGAGATTTTGCATACACCGTACAGCACACGGGAGAACCCCACTCTTCACGCACTGAGCGTGATGTGGAACATGATTTTTGTCTTCCAACCGACAGTTGTCTTATTCCTTTTCCTTTGTAAACGCACTTCTTGGCACCGTGCTCAACGGTCGGTGGAAAATCTGGCAGATTTAAGCGGTACGCGAATTACGAGATTGTGCAGATGGAAATCAATCGCACGCTTCCTGTCGTTGATAAGTTTATTTGTAACAGTCATGTGGGAGTTTTTGGATTGGCGGTCGTACATGGACAACGATCCCCGTTTTTATGGCCTAAGGTTACTGCGTAACCTGTGCGATTATTGGCAGCGTGTTAGCCATTGGTCACTTCATGGGGAAGCGGGATGTAACACCGCCCCGAAGGAGACCGTATAAATAGCTGTCCCGGGAAGCTTTATCCTCAACAGCTTTTTTAGTTTTAGTTTTTCGCTGCCAAGGTTCAACTAGTCTTTGGACATTTGATACCGCAGCGAATCGTGTTAGCTTTTTGATCGCCGCCACACAGGGCATCGTTCCGGCCACCACTCAGTTGCATCTCGTGGATCCGGGCGCGGTGGACATCGCGGTCGTAGCAGTCCTCAGAGCAGTCAGCCGCGTCACCACAACGATCAGCACCATCACCACGGTGGTCAACATCATCACCACACCGATCCGTCTTCCGCATCGGGTGAGTCATCTGCAAGTCGCTCTGTATCACGTTCACGTACTCGTTTCGAGTCGCGAAGCAGATATATGAAACTTTCATCGCATGCGCGTAATCTGCCTCGGCCGCATCATCAAGCACCGTATAAAGTAAATGCAAACGGCAAAAAACGCCGGCCTACGCCTACAGACATCTCGTTCTCTGAGTTCATGGTGTATAGTCTGCGTACGGCACTTCGTTTAGCCAGAACAGTCTCGGGAGTTTACCAGAAATCCCTCGAAGACTATCTGGAATACCTGGAGTTTTTGTCAGTACGTCAGCGAGATTATGATGACTATGCGGTTCTTAAATTCGACGATGAGTTCCGTCGACAGGCAGATTTTGAAAAGTTTGAACTTTCTAGCGTGCAGGAGCGTGCCATGTTGTGTGATAAATTTTTTCATGCAAAGACACGCCGTCATGAGGAAAGCCACAAAGTTAATAAGAAACAGTTTTTTCGTTCCTATAAGCAGCCAAAACGATACCGGCATGCATGTTGTTTTTTGTGGCAAGATAACCGGTGTACAGCAAACACATGTACCGGTTTTCCGCACGTGTGTGGCCACTGCGGCGCCAACCACCAAGCGGCAAATTGTGGCAGAGCAAACAATCGCGCTGCCGGTCACAGTGCCACGTGAAACACCAAGCCTTGCCGCCGTAATTAGCGCACCATCAGTCCAGATTGGCGGCAAGGCAATAGTTATTGACACAGATCTCCTTCACAGGTGTTCTCTCACCCGTTCACTCGGTGTCTGGAAAAGAGAATTGCACTGTGATGAAGACGCTGTTTTTCTTCTTACTGGGATAGCAGAGGGCTTCAGATTAGTGAATAATCTTGATGTTATTGTCCCTGCTGCATGTGCTAATTATGCCAGTGCTTTGAATCCCAGCAGCAAGCCTTTGCTTGATGAGCTTTTTCGCGAAGAGTTAAATATGGGACGTTTCTCAAAACAAGCTCATAAACCACTTCGCGTGCACGCGATAGGAGCCGTTCCCAAGAAAGGCTCTTTGATCCCGCGTCCAATTACAGATTGCAGCCGGCCTTTTGAATGTTCTCTTAATTCTTATATCGAAGCAGAATCATTTACTTTTGATTCTATCGATCATGTGTGTGAGATTGCTAAGCCGGGTTCTTTTTTCGCAATCACTAATATTAAATCTGCGTACCGCTGGGTGCCGGTATATCCACCTCACCGACAGTTACAAGGTTTTGCGTGGAAATTTGAAAACGAGGCTGAAAATTATTATATCGATAATTTTCTGTGTTTCGGACTTTCAAATGCCCCACATATTTTTCATCGTATATCGAAAGCGATTGTACGCATGATGCGCCGGCGTGGTCATTGTGTTATAGCATACTTAGATGATTTTTTGGTGATCGCCTACACCTTTGAAGCTTGCCAGTTAGCTCAACGTGACTTAATATCTCTGCTAACGTCACTGGGTTTTGAAGTAAAGCACGAAAAAATCATCTTGCCAACTCAGCGTATACAATTTCTAGGCTATATCATTGACTCAGTCAACGAACGCTTGGAATTGCCGGTTGACAAGATGCAAACATTGTCAGAGTTGGCATATGCATATTCTCAGAAGCAAAAGCTTACAAAAAAAGAACTGCAAATTATCGCCGGTCATATGGCTTTTGCCAGTAAAGCTGTTTATGGCGCCCGAACTTTCGCGCGCATGTTTTATGATTGCATCGCACAGCTTAAGCGCGCCCAAGATAAATTCCGGCTAACCGCAATATTGCGCAGGGAACTGGAATGGTGGCACAAATTTTCGGCAACGGTCAATGGCTTATGCCCAGTTGAACTGGGGAAAATCTGGCCAACATTAACAATTAGTACTGACGCCTCGTTTTCCGGTTATGGCGCGGTGTTTAATGATCAGTGGTTAGCAGGTTGTTGGGTGGACATCACCTCTGCGCTGATTCCAGCGGGTTTCACAAGAAACTGGATGGCAGCACCCACAACCAGTACTAACTTGCGCGCTAATATTAATTTTTTGGAGCTAATTGCAGCATGCCTCCCGCTGCTAGTATGGGCACCATTATTCTCGGGCTGTAAAGTGCTTGTTCTCAGCGACAACACGCAAACAGTTGTGTTTTTAAATCGCGGTAGCACAAAGAATTATGAAGCACTACTCTGGCTCAAAGCGGTTTATTATGCCAGTTTGCGCTTTAACTTTCGTGTTGCTGCTGTACATTCGGCCGGTGTTTTAACTGTTCAAGCGGACGCTCTTAGTCGCTTAACCGATTCACCGAGCCAGGGGAGCCGGTTTTTACAAAGCTTTGCAAAGCCTTTTCCTGGTCCCAACTTACCGCGCGATGTTCTTTGTAGCTACCCAAATTCACGCTCTGGAACAACGATTGAAACGTTTGCAAATGCAGGGGATGGCTAAATCTACACAGCGTACCCGTTCCTCCCAGTGGCGTTGTTTTGAGAAGTTTTGTCAGCAGTATAATTTACGGGCATTACCGACTTCGGTACATACTGTCTGCTTGTTTATCTCACACTTATCTCGCACGTTAGAGTTTTCTTCTGTCATAAATTATGTAAACGGATTAGTATCGTTTAATAACTTTCACGGCCATCCCTCTCCTGACCTTTCGCATTTTGCAGTTAAACGCGCTTTAAGTGGAGTCCAACGGCAGCGGTCCGAACTTCCACACAGAAGACGCGCATTAGGTATAACCGAACTTTTTGCTATAAATAATCAACTGCCAAAAGTAGAACGCCGTTTCCGTTATTGTTTTTGGGCCGCATGTTTGATAGCCTTTTCTCCATGTTACGATCTTCCCATTTGTTTTATAACAAGCGCGGGTTACATTTAAGGCCTAGTGACGTTTCTTTCGGGGAAAAAGTAACTGTACTTACCGTGAAACAGCTCAAAACCAACCGGTTTCAAAGCTGTACTCTACGGATTCCAGTACCTAAGCTGCCCGCATCACATCCGTTATGCCCCACAAGCGCACTGCAAGTGTTGTTGGCAAAACTGCCATCATCTTCACAAAGTGCTCTATTTTCTTACGCGCACCATAATTTGGTTGTTCCTTTGTCGGCTAACAGGCTCAACGCCTTACTACGGTCAACATTACACCATGCCGGCCTATCAGCAGCCCGTGTATCAGCACATTCCTTTAGGCGTGGTGCAGCAACATATGCCCACTCTTTGGATGTACCAACCGACGTATTGAAAGCGCAAGGAAACTGGAGGAGCCGTTGTTTTGAACGCTACGTATCGCGGGACTACGACTTGCGGCTACAGTACTCCACAATTCTATTGCGACACCTTTCCTAATTGACTCGGATGGTTCCTTTCTCGTTCCCCGTTCCTTGGTTTGTTTTTTGCTTTGTTCTGGGCGTTTTGGAGGTTTTCGGTTGCACCCTCGGTGCAACCATCCTGTTTTTGTTTGGTTTTTGTTGGTATTTCATATGCTCAGAAATAAATGCCGAACGAGAGAAAAAACTGTTGTTGTTTGCTGCGTACGCGATACAATAATGACAAAGATTTTCAGCAAGGCTACACGCCGCTCCCGATAAAAATCAGCGTCACGAACACGTTACTGATTTGGATTGCCTTGTGTACCATTCCATACTATTTAGTCCAACAGCTGCACATCTGTGTTATATTGAGCGCCATTGTGCTGCGCGATGCTTGTGCGGAAATGTTGCACCGATTACAAGTTCTCTGTACCGACATTCAAAACAACCGATGTTTGCCCGTTGGAATTTCTCGCACTGTGCTAAGTTTCTACAGTTTCTATGTCGAACTGGTTAACTGTCTGCACGACCTGAATACGCTCTGGAATTCCGTACTGTGCAGTATATTCGGATTTAATACCATACTGACATGTTGTTTTCTGGCTATGGTGATGTTTAGTCCATCAGAAGTCGTTACGGTATTGATCTTCAACTATGCCAGTTTGATCACATTCCTCGGTATCGTGGTAGTATTTTCTATTCCGTTGGTTCAAGTACACGAGCAGGTACGTACTTGTATTTTTAATGATGACCTTTACTCTGTTCTACACGCGCTTTAAAAGTTTTGTCTCTTTTAAAATAAGTACACAAACAACTTTTTAAACAACAGGGTAGAAGAATTCCGTTGTTATTGTACCAGTTACAAATGGCTGTTGAGAACCTCAAGAAGATGACACCGGAATACAAAGAAGTACGACATAAAGTAGGCATAATAACTAGTTAGCGACTTAGCGTTGATTCCACGCCAGGAAACATATTGACACTGGTGCTATTGTGGGCAACGAACTTGTATTATGTATAACTGCCTTTAGGAGTTCCGATTTTTAATACATGTATTGGAATACATGGAGGATATATCGCAGGACCACAATTTGTGTTTTAGCGGAAGCGATTTTGTCGTTTATTCGAGACATGTTCTGGCCAAAGTACGTAATGTTATGCAGCGTTCAAATTCACAATAAGTATTAAATTAATACTATTAAGTATTACTATAGTGATTTAAATGCAGTATCTGTATATAGACTGACTCGGTTGCAGGCGTGTGCGATGCTATTATCAGCGGCGATACTGGCTCAAGGAATCGTTAACCGGAGTAGAATAAATGCATTGTGTGACTGAACACAATATTCACTTCTTCCAGTTGAGCTGGAGAAAACGATAATGGTGGCAAAAACTGGGAGCAATATGCCGGGACGTGCAAGGCATAAATAAAATCGATATCCTGATTTGCTACTGATGTGACGGACTGGAAATTAGTTATGTAATGCTTTGCATCTCTTGTCTCGGTTACGTCTTTTTTGTTGGTTTTGTCTTTGACAATGTGAGGGAATGCACAAAACCTGTTGGAAAAATTATATTTTGGACATTCAAGGTGTTGCGTACTGTTGTACTGCAGTAACTGTAATGACAAGTAAGTAACACTATGTACCAACAAATACATACTTTAAAGAACGTCTTTTTTGGCTTCTGTGTAACTTAATAATTGTAAGTACAAAGCACGGTTTTCACGATTTTTCTTGATAAGGTCATATGAGCTGCTAAACTTCAGCAATGTGATCTCTCCGATAAAAATGCGGGAAAAAGCTATCATGTGCATATCTACGGACTTTGAATTTAAGTGCAAATATAATTAACGTTCCAGTTTTCAACAAAGCGTTACATTTGGATTCAAATGCGTACACAATGATGTGGTTGCAGTGTGTAGATACAGAATGTTAACGTTAACTGTCTTTAGCGACACTGTCCTTGCTTCGATCGACAATTTCTCGAATGCAAATAGCGGCGGAAACCAGAATAGTGCAGACCTAAAATAATCATAATTACTTCGATAACCGACTTAACCGTAAACAAAACTCCATGCACTGCTGGCTTGTGGCTCACTTCGCTTTGTGCGGTGCTGTATCGCAAGCACAAAATCATTAATTTAATAATTTTATTGCAGTGACTTATAGTAACTACACTACCACCCTCTAGTACCATAAGGAAGAATGTCTGCCGGCAGAGAAATACAAGTTCTCGGTGTGTTAGCACACCGCGAGCATAACGATGCTGTAAACAATGCACCACAGGAGCTCATCCCGTGGGTGCTATCGTTGGTCCTTCGTTTTTCGCTCAATATGGTTTGGCTTGGTATCCAGTTACAAATAGAGCGAAAACGAAGGTGGAGCATAGGTATGTAAACGCACCTTGGCCAAAATTCCCCTTGTGTACCGGACTAAACCGGCTCCCGTGTAACATGGGCTATACACCCTGAAGGTTTTTTCCAGACGATCCAGTCGAGAAACTACAGTTCGCCATCCCTAAAGAGCGCACGTTATACATACACACATCCCATGAGATGCGAAAGGTTTCTCGCGAAGATCCGCTTACTTAGGTAGGACTGTCCTCTACAAACAGTCGATCCAACGCATATGTTTGGAGCCGATACAGTATCAAAGGAAACTGTCCAGCCTGAAATAAGTATAATAAAATTGACAAAACTAAGATATTAAAGCGCAACGGTATCACCTTCTCATAAAAGGCCACAAGTGGTATCGAAAACAGTTCTACCAGACAGAAAAACAAAACCAAGCTGCCATATGCGAAGATGGTGGTTGAGTTCAGGACTATAAGTACTATAAACGAGCAGCATAAAGCGAGATTAAATCCAGAAATAAACCACAGCACCCAACTGTGTGTGTGGTTTACCGCATGCATGCAGGGTAGCAGTTGTCGACAGTATTCCTGGAAATCGTTGATGGATTTAATTACTTCGGTTAAGGGAGCGTTTTTTTGCGCCATTTGTTCACATAACAAGTTCATTTTCGCTGCAAATTGGTCGCCGGTTTGTTGCAGTAACAAGGTAGTCATAATGACAGAGATATGCATCTGCTGAATTAAATAATAGGGGACAGTACAGAAGAATACCCATAGCACAATGTACTGCGTCGTGGTGACCTTAAGAGGCAGCGGATCAAACGCGTCGTCAGATAAATACCAGACTGGATCCACATCAATGTAGTTGCGCCATTCAAAATACTCCCAGGCGATAGTCGTGCATAAGCTGGCGAGCGTTGCCACGCTCGCTATCCTTTGTAGTCGGCTCAGATGTTCTGCTCCCACACCACTGGACTGAATTATTCTATGGATGAGGATTCGTGTGTGGTGCCATTTTTGTCTTTTAAGTAGAAAGATCAATGCAACTACGGGTGGCTGCAAAACAAACATAACGTTCCAAACCAGGCTGATTGCATAGATAATGGGATTTTCGGTTGCGCCATACGGGATTTCGGAAGCAGTTCCTCCACATGAGGCCGCTTCTAATATGAACAGGCAGAAGCCACCCAATATGAAAACGTAGGGAATTGCGGAAATACAGAAGACAAGACACCTCCATTTTGAACTTGGTAGGGCCAGAAAAGCTGTGTCAAGCCGCAGAAAACCAGCTACAGCCAACATTTTTTCAGGCACAAACGAGAAATGCATGGCTACATGACCTTATTCAAACAGAACGTGTGATGCCGTACCCCTGGCTCTTCCAGTAGGTATGTGGGAAATTTAATAAGTACCGTATGTGGAGACTTGAAGTTGTTCCGGCACGGGTTGGAGAAAACTTTCTTGCAAGCGAACGTATAATTTTAATCCATACACTTTTCTTCAGGACTGGCGCCACGGGAATGCTTGCTGGGTGGGGTTGCTTCCGAAATTGGCAATCGACCAAAGGGTGCAACGAACAGCCATAGCCACTTTTTTTCTTTAACCCGGCTTAGTGACGCGGCCCGGCTCACTATTCACTTCCAAATAATGCCGATACAAAATGTCTACTCAGTACTGTGTATCTGTATCATTGTATGCACTATGCACGGTACAAACCTTAATAAGTAAATACGCATCGGTGACATCGCCAGCATTATTTAGTACGATCGCTGCACTATCTTAGGAAAGCGTTGTTGCCAGACAAAAAAACTTCATCGGAACGTAGAAACCGTAATACGTAGGCGCCGAAACTGGATTGATTACGAATAAATACGCAAAAAATTTGAAATATCTAAGTGTAATTTTTTGTTTTTGTGCAATGGCCAATGGGTACAGTCGTAGGACAATACGAACGCATGATCAACCGCACCGGGCGTGAGGCAGGTTGCTTCCATGAACTTCCGGTTCCGGCCGTCTGGACTCTAGAGTCTCTGGACCGTAAGAATGAACTTCGAATATTGCCACCCAGAGGCGGCGGCTACGCTATTTTGTATTACTACAACACTACTAAAATTAAAGAAAATAATTACAATAATTACAATTTACATTACGAAGTAAAGAGAATAAATACAAAAAAGCACAAACAAAAAATAATTGCGGGTTTAACCGTAAAATATACGCGCATGAAATTTGAAGAGTATAAAGATAGTGATACTACAATTATTGACAATCACGCAGGGCTCCAGCTGTCAAGGCCATGATGTTGGAGGGACTGCAGTATTCTTCGAGCCACAAGTAGGTTGTATCGGACAGCGCCTGGAAACTGGATGCATCCACGTGGTGGTCGTATGTTTGGAAAAGTCGATCAATCATTCGCTCAAACTAAAAATACTCAAATCTTGAACGGACCTGATGTATCAACAAAGGTTTACCAACCATATGAAGTCTAATTTCATCCGGAGTTGCCTGAGCACTTGTGGTAGGTTGAATATATAGCTTTTCTGCAGCTTTTTCTTGACTTCTGCAATTGGAAGCCAGAAGTAGTCTGAACCGTAACGAGATTTGGCAGTCATCAGCGGTAACCTAGCAAGCGCTTGGACAAAAGCGTTTTTTTGTTATATGTATACATACAATGTAGGACTAAATGGTCGCATAGCCCCATACCCAGCATTCTGTACGCAAGCGGTGCAGTGCGCTTGTACGAAACGGATATTTTGAACTCAGTCGTACAGTGCACTGCGCTGCATTCGTACTGAATGTGGAGATGTTGGGTATGCCACCAATTTGTCCTAAGCTGTATAAGCAGCCTACGTAGGCTCCGAATGCGCTGCATTTAAGGATAAGGCGCCACTTTAAGTTGGAATAGTTTTTGCACTCTTTACGCTTTAATAATCTCCATGCCAGCCAGGGCTTGTCTCAATCTTCGCAGTTTTTCGTTTTGCTCTTGTGTGACCGTCTCCAGAGCTTTTAAGGTTTTCATTGCTGTCAACACGAGATGAACCACGGTTAAAACTTCGCATGTGCACTTTCAGCACTTCAGTAACACAAATTCGAGGACCGGAAGTAAACGTTTTATTTTGAGCAATATGTCGTCATGCGGCTTTAAGGGACATAATTCGGCTTTGTCGGTGAGGCCATACCTTCCTCTAAAATTCTTTTGTTTGTGAAATTCCGCAACACTGTTGCATCATCATTTGCCAGTACTTCGTTCTTCAAGTCTACCAACGCGAACTGCAACAGAAAACAGCGGGATGCTGCAATAACAGTTAGTACTCGTAGAGCGCCCAGAATGGCCAGCAGTATCATGAGCAAGTGTTGGACTACAACTTCTACGATGGACAAATGCCTTGGTCTATCAGTGTTCCTGAAAACTTTCTTTTTAGGTCTAGCCTCTATGGCATTTTAAAAACACTTTGCCGGGTGATAATTTTGCTTTGACTGTGCCGCCTTTCATTCCAGGTATGTCAATTATCAAAGGGAAAAACGTGTTATTTGTTGTTCGAAGCCAAATCAATCAAATCAAACCATTGCAGAAACCCGTCTCCCAAAAATTGTTTCAGTTAAAAGTTAAAACTTAGAAGCCATTCCTCGGTTTCCAGCAAATTTCACGGAACAGGATAGTATACGTATATGCCGTATAATTATACAGACGCTACATACGAGTTATAACATCTCCATCCTAATTGTACTTGGTGAGCAAGGTGATAAATAACTTAAGTACTAGTGTATGTACTCTGTAGTCTGTACATAAGCGAATTTAACGGCGCAGTTCTTAAATCATTGTTGAACACAAAATGAATTACTTTTCAAAACGTTCTGAGATCGTACGATGTTCCAATTGCTATCTCATCGATCACTTTTATTAGTGTAAATCGGCGCAGGCATTTTGTTATGTATACTGGCTTTTGTCGAAATAAAAAGAAAACAATTGCTATCTAACAATAACAGTTACATATTTACCTAACAAATACCTACTCGTACGGTGGCTTTAGTGGACCACTATGCTCAGCGAATGGGCGATGGTCGCTTAAGACTGTAAGTGATCTTTGTCACTCCGCTAAATTCTTTAAGGACCGCAAACCGCTAAATAAATAAATCTTAAATAGATTAATAAATACCTTGATCCTCTTACGGCGTTCGTTTTCAGCGTTATTTCCCTTTCGTCGTTTTGCCTGTTGCAAGTTCGCTTGATTAACCACGTTCTCAGCACCCGATCTTTCTGGAGTTGGTTCCTTTACACGACATCGCACTACCTCGTGCGACTTTGCTTCGCAGTAGATAATATTGTCGCGGACATGGTAACGGATTTTGTAGCGATCTGGCATCTGAATCTTCTTTAAAGGTTGTTGATCAGCAGGCTCTCGGATGCTTCCCTGCTGCAAATCGATTCCTTGCAAAATACGTAAACGAAACAAATCTGTTTCGGTAAATTAAATAAGTACAGACGTGTAATTATATAGGATCAGAGTAACCCAGATTATGGCGACCTACCTAATCATACAGAAATACCAGCTGTTCAATATTGCTTCGGATGGCTGAGGAAATATTTAATCGTCTAAGCATGCGATTCGATTCGATTCGTCTAAGCATGCATACCAAAAATGTTTTCTGATGACGTATTGGATGGTTGTGTTTGTGTTGCGGTAAGCTGCAAGCAATTGTGCCTGTACAATACAGTAAAGTTACAATGCACAGTACAAGCAATACACCGTATGTGCTCATGACTGTATGGCGTATGCTTCGTAAAAAAAATCAAAACCGGTTTTCACTTTTGGAGTATCATGTGCTTGCTAGCATGTAGCGCTTTATATATGTACTTACTGTAGAGATACTGCAGAAATAAAAATACTTTATATACTGTAGCCCTTCGTACTTACAAAGACTCGCATAAACATTTCTCGTTTGCTTGAGTCAAGCAATTAGATATACCTTATTTCAATCGGAAACTCCTGTTTATTAGTTCTGTACGGTAACGTATTTCAAGTTCATTCTCTTAATTACACTGTTCTGTTATTTATACGCATAACGTAACCAATCTCTACGGACCAGGTAAAAATACCGGCAAAATTACCAGTATTCACTGTGTTGCAGTACAACCAGTATAAGTAGTTACATTTCTAACTGTTTCAAATCTGGAATGTAATATTCCTATTTAACTGAAAACTTTCATTGGTAGTTTTCTTCCAAAATTTAAGGAATACGAAGAGCAAAACATCAGCACTAATGGCGATAATCGTGCAGTTGCTGCAGCCAGAGGTATTGCCGGAGCTAGCAAAACCGATACAAAGTGAATCGTTCTACCATAAATCTCTGGAAAAGACAGTCTTTGTTTGTCGACTTCGATCAACGATTCCCTGAACAATGATTGCAGTGGATATAAGAATCGTGCATATCTGAAGAAAATTTTGACGATCCGTCATAACTGTACAAATGCATTGCCTGAAAACTTGCGTCGCCTCCATTAGCTAAAAGATGTCTTGAATAAAAAAAAAAATAAAAGTCATCCTCCAGATAAGCTTAAGGGGTAATTGTTCGCAGCTTGCCACATAGCCTCGAACAGATCCAACAGATACTGGGATTGCTGTTGAAGGACAATTTTTTGAACCAGGAAGTGTGCGCAATTATGTACGATATGTCATATAATATTAGGTGCATATATGGGTACCCGCATCTTACTCTTGCATACGCCGGCACTGTCTGCATATAATCTTCCACGGAGAGTTGTAAACGATAGAGAGCCAGCGGAAATTCTGTTATCTGTAAAAACAACATTGGCAAAATTCCATGCGAAACAACGTGTCACACCATACATGCATGTGAATACACTACCTGCTCGTTAATTGATACCAATGGGACTGAAAACAGCGCCAGAATGACGGAGAAGACCACAAATCTAATGTTTTCAAAAGCAACGCTATCTACAGTTTCCGGTCTGCTGTACAAAATTACTGCCAGGAACGAGCAAGCTAGAATCATGCCAAATCCCAATATGCCACCCAATGTCCAGCTATAAACTTGGTTCAATAAATCTGTGCATTCGAATAACGTAATTTGGAAATTCTGAAAATTCTGCACAAAGCGGAAGACGTCCAAGGGCGTTCTCTTGTGCATATCTTTAGAAAGAGCCCTCATTCGAGCTTGCATTTCTTCACACGCATCGCATACCATAATCGCGTTCGTGATGGCGCAAATTTTCAATTGCTGCACCAAGTAACAGGGAATCGTGCATAGGGATACCCGATACCCATAAAGGAATAACTTGCAGATAAGTGATCGTAATGGGCAACGGTGCAAAATATCCATCAACGTCCCATTCTTTCCAATACGGATCATTCAGGTATATCCACCATCAGAAGAACTCCCATATACAGTCACCAGGAAAGCCAGCACCGAAAAACAACCAGCTATTGCTTTCCATCTGATCACAGCGTGGGTTGGAAGGTTACCAAGGTCAATGACCTTTTGCATAGCTGTACGTTTGGCAGTTATGCCAGTAGTGCATGGTCATCAGATAGACCAAGGAAACCACGGGAGGTTGCAAAGCATAGAAACAGCTCAATAAGACGCAAATAGCGTAAAGTATCCGTCTGGGTTGTACGGTGTCTGCAGGCTTTCGGCGGTTTCGGCAGCTATGCTCGCAGCAATGCGTTTGCAAAGCCTTCAGTACGAATGCAAATGGAAATAAAGAATTACTTTTCCGATGATTTTCCATTTACGCAATCTTGGAAACACTATCAGAGGGGGTAACTGGTAAGTAGCCGGTCAGCGCCAAACTCTTCTCCGGCAGCAGGCGGAGCGCCATAAAAGCAAATTAAAGACGATCCAATAGGCAATAGGTAATGCACCGAGTATGGTATAGAAGTAATACGTACTATAGCAAATTAGCATTAAATACAGGCAAATGTATTCTAAAGAATTTTGTACACCTTTCTGCATGGTTATCTTTTTCAAACGAGAACATTTACAGTAACGTTGTCCCGCCATGCCTGAATCAGTTTAAGTGAAGCAATAACGTTATGCTCCACTTAAACTAATACTCGTACATCTCTAGTCTTTACCAAACACAGTGGAGTACGAGTGCTGAAAGTGGGATTTGCATCGCTATAAGTAATAAAATTTAGTGCAACTACAGCTTGCCCACAGCAGTTCCCAACCGGTATGACATTACATACCTGGCTCACTTTGGAGCCTCATGTGTCACGTGTGCATCAACAACTCAAAATTTCCTCAGAAAAACGCCAGAAAAAATGTGAATACTGGCATGTAGAGTAGACCAGAATCGACTTTATACAGGAATGCGAGCTGAGCTGTCACGTTATTTTAGGACGATCTCACAACATTGGGGTAATATGGACCACCGTTGCCACCGTTGCAGTGAGTGCCATTGACTTAGTTGTTAAATTTAAATTACCTTAAAAGCACTCATACTGCATTCTGCATGAAAATGTTTTCATCTGAAAACATAAAATCTTCCATTTTCTTTTGAACTACAGCGCGACGGCATCTGTTCAGAACTACAGAAACATTTGTTGGTATCGTAACTGCGTAAAATAATGCTCCATAGCGGCGTCCTGCCGCCCCTGATTTTTGTCCGCGCTCAAGTCTGCATAAAGTTGATTCTGATTAGGTTTATGTTTCTAGTCAACTAGTGCAGAATTTAGGGTACAAGAACAAAAACATCTCACTGAACGCACAAAAAAAGTTACGGTACGTGCCTTTTTGTTTGTTGCAGAATTCCATTGACGAATGTAAAAGCCGAAAGGCGCACACCTACTCTAGCAGAGCACAACGGTGATGCGCGGTACAGGTTCACATTAACATGATTTTGACACTCGCGTTGCATACGCCGCAAACACCAACTTTAATAGGCAGCGGTTAATACCCGTCTTAGAAATCACGACCATACTAAAGAGGCTGTTCATCCATGAACTTTCGCCCGTTCAGATATCCCCACACCGCTGTTGAACAAAAGGTCAGTATTCAAAGAACACATGCAACTGCTTTGGACTTTGCCATGTTCCAATTCTTCGAAACTGCTAAACGACGAGCTCAGTCTGAAGTTCAGTTCTTTGAGCTCCCTTTGGAGTTCAATTTGAGCTTGATGCCAGCGATTTCTTTCAGCTGCGAGCGCTAACAGACAACTGCACAGCCAAATCTTGTGCGTTCCCAGCAGAACGAGACTTTCTTGCGATGCTGCATAGGATCGTCTATGCTCGCCGCATGATGCAGCGTTGTGGCCGTATAAATGATGATGACGGATACGCTAAATTGTCCAGCGTGAATGCGTTTGCGATGCATGATGATAGAAAGCTGCCGATATTTTGGTGCAAAATGAAATACGGTACCGAACTGAGAAACAAAAAGCCGCCAATGGCTATGATGTCTTGTGAAACAATCTGTAACACCATGTTTGTTACAGTCTGTCTTTTGGGGTACTTGCACTCTGATTACAGTTGTAGAGTCGATAAAGCGTACTCAAATGACAGTTTATGACTGCATGCATGTTATTGTTGAGTTTTTTATTAAGCTCAGCTATTTCGCACATTGTTGAGAATAACAATTATTTAGGTTTGCTTTATTGTGAAGCTTAACGACTGTTCAGTTTACTCAGCAGCATGTTAGTTTAGTTATCTGAAAAAAACGTCCCTGTAAAACATGTAAAAGCAGCATGTTTCACGCCAGTAGACGCATTTTAGAAGCAAACACTTGCAGGTTTTAGCGCAGTCTAAAGCTACATTCCAAATTCAGAACCATCACATTGGGTCCAAAAGACGAAATTTGCGAAATGTTCATGTTTACATTTATCGTCACGGGGGATTGTAGAATTAAGAAAGTTTTGTCTGGTTCCTTGTACTCCGATCAACAAGGTCTTGGACAAATAACGCCGCCGATACCAAGATCGTACAAACCTAAAAAAAGATGTAAAGAACCTGTTCGTCAGATACATTTGAAACTAGAATGTATTGTATTTTACGTTTAGAAATTAAGAAACACGTTTAGAGCTATTCAGCTCCTTTGACATTAATGGGGCCGATTTGCGAAGCGGGTCCGAAAACGGTTTCTTAATTTCCGCGTCGATACAAGTACACAATGAAACTTGGGGCTATCACTTAAAACACAATACTAATGTAAATGAAAATGAAACTAATGAAAATGAACAAGTTGGCAACAATAGCAAAGATCCAATGATTCTCCTTATGGTCCAGTTAGATATAATATGACGATGTATAGTTTAACAATGTCTGAAGTTGTTTACACTGTCAACATGGCCGAAAACGTTTGGAGCCCATTAACACTTACCGTGGCTAGAAGGTTTCTGGAGTACACAACAAACCCTCCCGAAAAGCCTGGCGTATGTCTTTTTGCGATCTGCTCCATGAGCTCAAGTTGATATTTCACGTGCTGATAATCCTAGTTTTCAAGAACCGTAAAGATGAAATTCGAAACCTGTTCTTCATCGGAAAGAGTTTAAGGTTTTCACGTTTCAACTTAATGCCAATTATCAGACAAGAAGAAAAGTATACTTTTGGATTAAAAACCGGTTTGGATTATATTTAAATAATCGCCAGTTGGTACCGCCGACCGTGACTTCATGAGATGTCCTAAATTACGTACCGTCGCGAAATAGTCTGGCATTTTCTTCATACGACCTTCGGCACACACTTGCAGTTCATATAAGACTAATGCGAGTTCCTCGGCCTACGATGAAAAACGAAGAGTGTTAACTGATGCTCTTTGTGGAACAACTAATTAGATCACTGGTGTGGCTGCAACCTTTTCCTGAGCTTGCACCAACGGGATGGAGAACAAAACAACCACGCTGAAGAAGGTGACAAGGTTGGCACAGTTAAAAACCGTATTCATCATGGAAGTTCCCGATTCAGTGAATATTTTTACTAGGCACGACGCCGTCAACGCCATATTGAACCCAAATACCCCGCACAACACCCAACTGTAAAGGGCATTAAGGATTTCCATACAACTGACCAACGCCATTTGGAAACTACGGAAGCTGTTCACCGCTTCCAGCAAATCTTTTGTTATACAAGTCTCACGGCCCATTCTGATTGTGTCACACAATGCACGTAGATCAGACAGCATTTCGGCGCATGCATCACGGACGAGCAAAGCGCTGAAGATAACGCTCAAATGCACCTGCTGCACTAAATAGTACGGGACAGTGCACAGTGTCACCCATAACGCTACCACCTGCACAGCTGTGACCTTAATTGGCAGGGGTGCAAAACCGTTTTGAAAATCACTGTCATACAGTTCTGGATACGTGTCCATATAAATGCGCCAGTCAAAATATTCCCATATCGCAATGAAAAAAAGCGAAAACAGCGACAGACAACGAGCGAGGCTTTTCCATCGTTGCATTATTTGCGCTGACACACCACTAAGATGGATAACTTTTTGCAGAGCCACTTGGCTTTCCTTCCAGCGATGTCTGGTAAGGAGGAAAATTCCAGATATAACTGGTGGCTGCAGAGCGAAAACATTGCTCCAAATAATGCTGACACCGTATAATAAAGAATTTTCGTGCTGTTTGTGTGTCGGTTCCAGAGTTTCGGCGATTTCTGACGCGATTGTCAGTGCAGCATGTGCGAGTCCTCCTAAGACAAACGCAACCGGAAGTACTAAAAGCATGCATGTGAAGGATTTCCATTTGTGCAACCCATGAGACACTAAATGTGCTGGCAAGTAGCCAGTGAGCGCTAGTATTGTTGCCGGGGCAAAGTGTGGAATAGAGTGAAACTTTGAACCCATAGTAAATACTCGTACTTAGCTATGATTATAGGGTTTTTTAGTCGATCTAAGCCGCCAAAACATATTACGTTTTATGACACTAGCACTTTACGCAAAACACTAATGGAACGGCGTTTCCCACCTACTGTTCTAAGTTAATAAGAATGTTGATGAGAAACCGCACGTCAGTTGCTAGCAATTCGATAGTAGAAGACTGGAAGTTGTATAGCAATCAACTAACAGTTAGAGAAGCGGCTTCTGGGTCCTTAGGGACAGCAAAGTCCTACAGAATCTCTTGTGGGATTCACCTCCATTACTATTATTACACCGCATTTTTCTTTTTTGAAATTAATCACGTCGAAGTGCTCTGCTCCGTTGATGTTGATTCTAAGGGGAAACAAATAAGAGAGAGAGAGAAATATTAGCGAGCAACTTTGGAGGAAGATTTTGAACCATAAAAACACGTTGTCGAAATGCTGACAGAGGATTCGTTCTAACGGTAAGAAATATTTTAGCTTTATGAGAAGCATGCAGAATAAGAAGTATTGGAGACAGCCGGTCATTAGCCATTACAGTGCATCAGGTAGTGTTACACAGTTACGTTGAATCGGAGCAGCGACTGCGTTTCAACATTCGGACAACCCGAACGCGTTGCATTGTACGCTGCCGAACGACTAACCACTTCCTGTGCAAGAATCCCCGCCGAAATTAAAAAGGTGCAAACCTATAAACGCCTCACATATTCAGACGCAACGAAATCCATATATTAAGCAGAAGTCAAACAACGAATTACCCCAGCCAGCAATCCGCGAGTGTAGTACACCAGATGGCCACCGGTGATGCATGGGACAAAATTTCTCGCCTTCTTTTCAAGTTTATCCAGTAGCAATAAGATGTTCTGTACCTACAACAATTCTATATAATTGCCGCTTTCTTTCATACCCGACATAAATTTCTTTCCAGTTTTTTGTTAGAGAAAAACGAGTATTAGTACAGTAACGTGGTGTTTACTTACGGTCGCCGTTTCTGCCTGGTGCTGTGGCTGCAGTTGCTTCTCGGCTTCCATGCGGAGCTGACACACCCGAAAAGCAAACTCGTCCGCCTGCAATGAAGCACAAAATTAACGAAGATTTCTTTAATTCGCAAATACTGTGGCGATACAAATACCGTATTGTATCGCCAGTCATAATGAAGTACGGACTGGTACTTATTGTTACATTCTACCACAACTTCGAGTAATTACATGCCCAAAAATCAGAAACTTGAAATGTGGTGATGAATATAAAACATTTTCACACGTCACCTTTTCGAAGAATTGCACCAGTGGGATGGGAAATATGACAGCGTAAACAAAGCAGATGCCAATACTACCGTATTTGAAAACAATTTCCGAAATTATGGTTGGCGGTATTGCAATGACTGATGTCACAAACGAGCACACCATGGCGACATTCACGGCAAAAATCGCCAGTACAACCCAGCTGTACTTTTTGTTGAGCAGCTCTGTGCACAGTACCAATTTCAAATGGTAGTGACGCAGTTCGTTCAGTGAAGAAACCATGCTCGTTTGCTGCTTGTCATCAGTCAATGCCGTGCGCATCGATGCGATGGTCTTTAGAAAGTATTCGCTGCAGGAATCCCGGAGAATCATCGCTTGTATAATAATGGAGACATGAATCTGCCGGCACAAGAAACGAGGCAGTGTGCAGAAAACAATCCACACCGCGACGGTCACCGGCATACTGGCTTTAATAGGCACTGGCTCGAAACCGCTTTGAAAATCCGGTTCATACCATATGGGATGTTTGTCCAGAAACGATCGCCAATCGGAATAAGTCCACAGGATGGTAGCGATAAAGGTCACCCCCGAATATAAATCCCCATAACGCTGCCAGTACCATTGGCGTTTGTTGCGCATTCCGCCATACTCGACTACCTCCGCGATGGCCACATGGACAGCGTCCCAGTATTTCCGCTTTAGCATGAAGATGCTGAGAACGCCCACGGCTTCCAACGGAAAAACTATTTCTGACACGGAGGATAAGCCATGGATAATAGGGTTCTGGTGTACCTCAATTTCGTTAGTGTTGATGGAGATTTGCTGTGTGGTAAGGAAAAGGGCTCCCACGATGAAAACGATGGGAAAATAATAGAACAATTTTTCTATAGTGGTTCCTCGTACCGTTTTTTTGGACGCTGACATTGACAGCGCACTGGATACTGGCAGAATACCAAACGCTGCTAGGATTCTTTCCGGGGTACCAATTAACAGTGCCATTATGTTCTGGAATCTTTAGAATATCTTTTTTTCAGAGTGCTTGTTTAAAATTTGTCGCACATAAAGCCAATGAATTCAAGGCAAAACATCGGCGAACAGTTAACAGAAGTTGAAAAACAAAAAAAAACAACGGCGTTTCATTCTCTTCGGCTGTACGAGAGTATTTGCAATGGAAAATGGATACATCCGGTAATGCCCTATGCGCCTGCGCTCCTCTTGCTAATTGTTTCACAGTGTTTGTTTCGTGACACCGCCTGGGACTGAGTGATTACAAAGAGACCATAGTTAAAATAGTTGATCGGTTTTCTACTTGTAGATCACGGAGATATGAAAATTATTGTCTATGCTCAAATTTATTCCTTCGCCACATTAATCAATGTGCAGTAGCGTTGTCAGTCATAGCACTGAAAAGTTATAAGAACTATATCGTTTGTCCCAGGTTTTGATCCTTCAGTCCAGGAGAATAGGCATTCTCGAAAACGTTCTTGAGAAACATCTGCCCGAAGGATGGAGAAGGATTTACCTTTGGACGGTAGTTACGATGTAGACGTTTCACTCGCTTTTGTTCGCGACATCACTTCTTGAACGAATACGACCACCGAAAGTAAAAATGTACAAACCTGAAAAAAGCAGAGCTACATTTTCCCTATATAGGCCAGTGTAGCTGTTGGCCGGCAGTTGATTTTCATAACGTTAATAACCTACAGCTACCAAACGTCAAAGTACAATACATGTAGTGCAATACCTTAGCCAGGAGATGTCGAGAATAACTGACCAAGTGGCCACCAGTAAAACAGATATCGAAATCTCTGACCGTAACTTCCATGATGTTCAAGCGTTTTAATGCCGAATGTAGTTCCGTCCGCTCCTAATGTAGAAGAATTCAAAAGGTCATTATGAAATAACGCTGACTCGGCGTTGTTGGACGCACTTACCTCTGTGGTGACCAGCGCTGTCAACTCAGTAGACCTTCTATGCACATCTGCAGCTGATATATCGCAAGCGGCAATTCTTGAGCCTGCGAAGAAACGCATACTGTTGAGTGATTTGGGTCTTAAATGTCTTTCAGCGTAAATAATTTTGTCTTTGAGGAAAATGTATCGTGCAAAGTACCTTATCGTGAACCTGGACCAGTGGGATGGAAAACAATACCGCATAGCTGAAGAACATGCCCAAACTGGTATAGTTAAGGACAGTAACTAAGAGGAGATCCGAAGTAGTGAAAAGGATTTTGACTAAGAACGAACAGGTTAAAGCCATATTAAATCCAAAGATCGCCCACAGTACCCAACTGTACACCTTATTCAGTTCATACATGCAGCTGATCAGTTCCAAGAGGAAGTGATGAAGACGCCTCACGACGCTGGTTACTTCCCACAGCGGAAATTCTGATTTGCCGGCTTCTTTACAAATGACGAGTATTTCGTTCAAGATTTCCGCACAAGAGTCTCGTATGATAACTGCATTGATTACTGCAGAACTGTGAACCTGTTGGACAAAATAGTACGGTAGCGTGCAAAATATCGCCCACAAGGAGACAGTGGCCGCAGCACCAATTTTAATCGGCAAAGGATAATATCCTTCCAGAAAATCACTTGCGTACCAACGTGGATGTTCATCCATAAATGTTTTCCATTCCAAATACTCCCAGAATACAGTGGAACTCAAGGTCACTATCGAAAGGGCACAAGCCTTTACTCTCCATTTTGGCATTTGCCGATATTGGCTTGTGTTGAATGCAATAATCTTTTGCAGTACAACACGCATCCGGTGCCACGATCCCCTTTTAGCCAGAAAGATAAACAAGACAACGAATGGTTGCAGTGTAAAGAAAAATACCCACATCATGCTCATAGCAAAAACAATTGGGCTTGTCGATAGTGCGCCAGCCCCTCGAAAATTATGAAGATCCACAGAAATGGCAGTTACAATGATTGCGGATATCAGCAGACTGCCTAGAGAAAAACCAGCAGCCACTATCAGTATACTTTTTTTGCGGCAAGCCGGCGATAGTGGAAAGACTATATCAAGCGGTAGAAATCCTACGGTAGCTAAAATTTTTTCGGGTAGGAAAGAAAGAGACATGGTAAAGCCAACATGCGACAAAAGTTTATAGCTGCTGGCGTTGCACAAAAAACATCTTAAAACTTAATGTTGAAAAACCGTGTGGATCAATAATACTTTAATACACTTTGTTCGTTGCGTTTGCTTTTTTAATACACTTTGTTTGCTTTTTTGTGGAATTATTTTAAAGTTTGTTTTCACCATGCCTTCGGTTGACTCAGTGCATGAAGCGGGGCTGACGTTGTTAATTAAACATCATGGCACTGATGGCAGTCTCTACGGGGCACACTAATATTCATCGGTGCATTTTACCGTATTAGTGCGTTTAGGCAACAATAATATTTGAAGATGCTGATAACTTTCGGATCTTTAATACTGAGTTTGAAATTTTAAGCTTTTGCACTTAATAAGTACAGTCTTTTGTATACAAAGTACTATAAGGTATCTATGCATACCATAAATTAACGGAAATGATAATTAAGCAATGGTAAATCAAGGGTGCAGGTGTTAATTGGCAAGTCAGTTTTGATGCGAGTATACTTGAAATATGTAATATTTTAGGCAAACTTCAAACAGAAATATTATTACAGTTAGAGAGATTAAAAAAAGAAAACCTGTCCATGTCTTTTCCAGTTTTCGCACCGTCAGAGGACGCTCGGCAAACACGCTCCTTAGATGTACCGAAGCCCCCGCAAAGCTTAACGATTGCGCATTGACTTTATTCTTATATGTAAAAATCTTGTGAATTTCCATTAGATGCTTTGGAATTCCGGTTTGCAGCAGCATTAGCATCCTAAAAATAACATTCAACTGCAAAAATGCGAATGATACAAAAGAAAGCTACGTATGCAGTATGCTCAGGATAATAAGTAGAAAGTTATAGGCTAATAATGCTGTAGGCAGCTAATACTAATAATGCTTATAATGCTCTTAATAGAGGCAATCAGTCTTGTGTTTTATTAGTTTTAAAAAGGCGTGCGTGCTTTAAATTTTTGGCGGGAGAGCGCAAGGACTCGCCGGTAAACATGGCACAAACATTACATTAATAAACTTTGAAAATAAATCCTGTGGTAGTAGATTGTGGTGCCTGCTCATATAGCGAATGATTCTTATAAGAAGCATGGAATAAGTTACAGCCGCATAAAACAGATTGTATAAAATTTTAACTCTTTTTTTAAATAATGCTTCCTACTTCTGCTTCATCCCTCCCATGAACGGTTGATCCTTCTTGCTCTGGAGTATTGAGACCCAGCGCGAGACGCCCCATGAGAACACCGGAACGATGCCGTTGTTGGTGCAAGTTGGAATTTCATCAAATGGGCACAGTATTGCCGTTTGCTGGGACGTGTTGATAGCACCGTTTATTAAGGTGGAATCGGGGAGAGAGTATGGTATAAAAACAGTCTTATCTCTCCATGTTTCCGCGATGATACTTTCGGAGGATTGATCCGGTGGCTGTTCGCGAGCGAGCAACTTGAAGTCCGAATGAAACATTTCTTCTGCTCTACGGAAGGGAAACGTAAATGTACTGACGCTGAGTGTTGCGGTTAATGATGTTGTTATGATGGCAAACATGAGCATAGTCCATGGCACATAAATCAGCTGCAGAATGCGATATGTTAGGACAGTAGTCCCGGTCATATGGAAATCTATGAAGCGCAAAAAGGTATTTAGCAAATATGCATTGTACAGTGCAAAGCAGTTGCAACTGCCTATCTGGTCATGCATAATACAAGAAGTAAAATTTAACAAAAATGTATTAATTTTGTTATATACCTCCACTAAAGGCAACACAGAAAAGGTCATACAGCGCTTCGCTGCATGACACCAATATTTTGTAGCAGAATGAAGAACTCCGCCTAGTACGGTAAGTCAGAAATTTATCCCCAGAAAGCATAACATAGAATAGCATAGATATTATCCCAATTCCCATCCAGGTGGACAGAGAAAAGCTGTAGGCCAAACCCTCCAAAACCGAGACCGCATCACTATGTACAATATGAAACTTGTGTACCCCGACATGGTATTTACGCATAAAATGCAGGGGGATGACATCGTATTCCAAAATACGCAGCGGGCTCAATCCCGCACAAAAGCATTGCGTCCGCCCTGTGGCGACAGCAGTATGCCCACATTGAATCCGCAAGTAAAATTTTGAGTTCTGCAAAATGCCATTTTACAACTGATAACTTGCAGGAGGTTTTCTGCATTTTTATTGTCCTGTAGAATTTATCTAATATTCTTGGATTTCCGGGTTTTTTTAATACAAAAACCGTTTCCGGGTCATATTTATAATATTAGGGGTTCTCTAAAAAACCGTTATGGAGAATTCACGAACTGCAAAGATTGTTATGGAATCAAAGCGCCCTGGCCAGCTGGCAGTCGTAGTTGTCACGGGCAGACGCATACACGCGCGTTCAAGTTTGCGCGCGAGCACCATGACGAGCCTTTCCCAGCACCATCATTCCTTCTTTCGTCTCCCCATGGCTTGGAATTTATGTTGCTGCACTTGACAATCATTCAATCGCGATGAAACATTGGAGACTTGGATTTCCATGAGCTACATTGAATCGTTGACTCGATTTGCTTTAATAGGGACGAAGTACCATCAGGTAAAACTGACAGTAATATCTATTACTACCTAAGTCTAATACTTACTGGAAATTTTAATTTAATTTTCAAAGTTTAAAAATAAATTTTTGTTATAAGTTTTGGCAAAAACAATTGTTAATAAAGCAAATTTTTCAAAATAAAATTCAAAATCAATAAGAAATTGGCATTTATAGCGGACACCATCCCCTGCTTTTTGATTGGCCGAGCGGTTTCAGCTCGTTCATTCAGTTCATTGCCAGTGAAATAGCAGCTTGCCGTTGCAAGTTGAAGTTAGTCGATCAGTCTAGTAAGACGAAGTCAGTAGTTGGACTGTTTTAGTTGCTTCTGCCATATTTATAGTTTTCGGAAATGATTAGAAGATTTGATCAAGGATTTCCATTTAAAACGGTGGAATTTGAAAACGGTATTTTAGTAGACACTAGACAGCAAAGCAAACAGTGGCTGACTTTGAACGTGATAATTTGCAGATTCTTGCGACAACGTGGATTTCCAAGCCTTTCCACTGCGCACCGTGATAAAGAAGCGTCCATTATTGGTAAGTCATTTGAGCCATTAAAAACAGTTGTATTTAGAGGCGTGTTGGAATCAGCAACGTTTGTTTTCATTATAATACGGGATCTGCAACGTTTGTTTTCAAAAATAGTTTCCGACTTGTCGTAGGTGGCGCCAGTTTTGCTAATGCCAGCAATAGCAAAACGCCTGGGCTTCAACGCATTGCTGCCGTTTCTTGTGGCCGCAACAGTCTGTCTGCTCTCAAACGAGAAACAGCGTCTTAGTTAAGGTATTTTAAAAATATAAATTTTGGAAATCCACAAATTTCAATGACGAATAAATAGTAGGCGCGCGGTGACTTGCTCAGTTTTGTTAACCTTGCTGCATGCTGCAGGTCTTGGATATCCATAACTTTTAGAGATGATTAAAAGTGGAACAACTTGAGGTATGCGCACTTGTATTTCTATGGAAATCGGTTTTAAATAAAGAAAGCAGTTATCATAAGTTTTCTGTCGTTGCATAACTGAAGCTAAAACGAGGTTACAAAAATAACATTTATTTTTAATGCATGCTTGATTTCTCACGTTTTAAGCGCGAACAGCAAAACGCCGTCACCAATCACCACTGCGATTTATTTAAAGGTAAAATTTGGAATTCCAGATTTTTACGACAATTGATCTTCTTGAAATGTGAAAATTCCGTTTTTAGGAAAGATTTTTTTTAATCAATACCGTTCACGATCTGTTTGTTGTAGATATTGTGGGAAATCCTATGGACAGACGTGCAGTCAACTACAACTCGAACAAGCTTCAGGATTCTTTTCCTGTGAATTTGCACATGGACGGCGATTCGACGCTCGCGAACAGTCTCGAATGATTTCGTGAAAATTCTAGTGAATTGACTTGGATATCCGTGGTTATGTTTGTAAACATTATTACTAAAATTATTTAAGAAATTAGCGTTCTGTATTATGAATGTTTTTTCTGCATTTGTAACTTTGTGGTAGAAGGTCGCTGTACACCTTGGATTTCCGAAATATCTGTTCTCGCGTTAGAATTTTCGAAGCTGTACGGTTAGTTTGAAACCAATAAAATATAGCACTTTTTTCACGGCTTTATGATGGTGCGGGGTACACCGTAGGAATGCTTGATATGCAGTACCTATGCAATAAGAACTAACTTTATTGCGCATATGAGCCACATATAGAGTGCAAAGTTTCCGCATTTCATCCCTGAAAAATATCCCGAAAGTCCCTAAAATGCACTTTTGCGATACTTCCGCTGCAATTTTAGGAGACCAACTCACTACACAAATTCCACACTCGAAAATGCGTAAAATTTAGTATAAATTAGCCTAAAATTGATCAATTTTCTGCAATCACTATCGTACGGGAATGTGAACGGACAAACACTAATATCGGCACGTCCTTGTGCCACGTCGACAGGCGCACCGATTTCAGAGGTGTTAAATTCTGGTCGGTTTCGATCAGGTATCAGGAATAGCCTAGGAGACAAACAGTACTGCGTTTCACTGGACAGAAAGTTAGTAAGCAGGTAAATAACCCGCACAAGTAATAACATATCAGTGGCGCCTCAGCAACAGCTGCATTACCTTAGACCGACTTCAGACGCTAGATCCTTTAAGACAGTAATGGCGAAACCGCAGAAACACAGCGACCCCGGCGGTGATTCGTAGCTATAAGGGGCGTTTTCATTGACGCTGACCGTTAGAACATCATCCAGCTCATGATCAGCCACAACTCCATTGGCAAGATGATTGCATATACGATAGTATTCCCCACAATCGGCTTCCATGTGCGTCTGAATGTTATCCATACGGCAGTATACGCATTGATATAATTATCTGGAACCGCTTATGTAGTTGTCAACATGCAACAAGGTGTAGTTGCTTGGCACTCTGTTTCTGCCTTGCGCAAACAAAAGCGATGAGTGTTCGGTTGAACTGAATCCTCGTGAGATGCTAACTATTTCGCATCCCTACGCTCCAGATGGAGTTTGATTAAGAGGACTCGGTCTGCAGCAAACGCATTTTGACAGCTGTTATATGCCTGTATGTTAGATCGTCCTATTAGACTTGGTGATTCCCATTAGACACATCACACACAAAGAACAACATGCTGTGACATTGTGGATCTTACCAAGAAGACGTTGTGAGCAAATTTCGTTACCGGCAAAGTTCGATAGCAAAGGATATTTTGAAGATGAAGTTTTAATTGCAAAGGACTGCACTTCCTGCTTGCACAAAACGTTTCGTGCATACTACGGTATTCCGTAAAGCTGTAAACCAACACTCGTACCGATATCGGATGATTTTAAGTAATTATTCAATTCGATGATGTTGCGTATTACAACTAGTACAGTAGTGATTTCAGCAATCATTCACCCGAATCGTTTGCGCAATACATATATAGTACAGCGTTCCCACATTATAATGACAATGTAAGCACTCCTTTATCACATATATTTTGATTTCTGCGATCGCTTCTTCATCATCGTCTGAGAGCAGTAACATTATGTCCCATTTTCTACCAGAAAAACTGTTGGCTCTCGCCGGTTTCTTGCCACCCGAATCTATTTTTTCATCCTTATCCAAATCGAAATGCCTATCATTCACTGTTTCCTCCATCGGTGCTGCATTTGTCGTGGGCGGGTTTCTACATGCCGGCTTGGAGATGGCGCTGTACATGGCGATCGACACCCATAAGACAGTGTCATCTGGAACGCGACATTCGCACTGCAGCCACCCGTAGTAACACTTATCTTCCTAACGCAACGGTCTTCCTGGCGGCGCACGGCGGTTGCATTACGTAAACTGGCTGAGTCGGCTGGTATCAAAGCAGAAAGGTGGAACCAGCACCAAATGATTGCCGGTATTTTCTCCTTTTTGAGTTTATGTACAACGATTGTGTGGGAATATTTTGAATGGCGAGACTACATGGACCATGATCCGGCATGGTACGGCAGTGATTTCCATGGCGCATATTATCCCCTACCTCTGTACGCCAGCGCTGTCCTGGGTGTCCTAATCTGGATAATATTATGTACCGTACCGTATTATTTGGTGCAGCAGATGCATATCTGTGTTATCATGAGTGCTTTGGTATTACGGGATTCGTGCGCAAATGTTGCAGTGAACCGGAACGCACTTTGTGCACAAATAAACGAAGAACACTTTTTCTTGAAAGACATTATTGAGGTTGTAAAGGGTTTTCGGGCTTTTCAAGAGGAATTGGTTGCATTTATACAGTCGGTAAATGGTACTTACGGTTGGGTGTTATGGAGCATCTCGGGATTTAATTTGGCATTGTGTTGCTCATTTATCGCCTTAATAACCATTGACTCTTCGACCAGCGTCCTGGGTAACGTTTTTGCTTATGGAAGCTTGATCCTATTTTTCAGTATTCCTGTGCTCTTTGCGGTTCCGCTGGTGGCTGGTTCTGAAAAGGCAAGATAGTTTTACGGATTTGCCCCGAATTCTCTTGACAATCTTGTTACTATTAGGCTGACGAATTTCGTTTGTTAATATACCGTCTCCAAATTCAAATTGGTACGAAGATCCGAATGGATGCTACAGAAAACATGCAAAGTGCACAGGTGCAGTACGAGTACTTAATACTTCAAACGGGAGAGTATGTCCTTTAATAATTTTGCCTTTAGGAATGGAACTATCTGATGGATATGTTGAACAACATAGAGCTAACTGCAAAAACGAACCCTACATGTTATAAGGGCGGTGGTATGGTACAGTACTCGCGCGCCCTTTTGGCCAGGGTAAATTTACTTAGTTTTACTAATCGTGTTTGTTATATGGCATTCTTATCAATTTTTATATCACTGATCATGATGCCATCATAATTTTTGTATCACTGATCATAATTTTATTTTTCGAAGGTGTGCACGCTTTTAATATCTTCTGCAGTCTTTATCCAAGAGATTGTCGACCGCAGCAAAAGCTATTCAGATGCCTGTCATGACACATTTACATAAAATAATTGTCATGGATTGGACCGTAATATCCCTTCTCGCTGCAAACTACTGATTGCAAATGGTTCGTGCACTTTCGAACTTGGTGCCTGCTTGACGAACCCTCGGATAAGATACGAAGATGGTTATACTGTAGAGCCGATAAGATAATTGTGGTGGTAGCAACGAAACTTGATATACAGTTTCGACTTTCGAGTATGTCTCTCGCAATCAGCGCAAATACTACAAGATTAGGTCCAGCACTTAAACAGGATGTCAAATGCATTTTCCTTTCGTATGTTTTCTTTCTTTTACACCGCTTTTGCAGTTTTATGCACCCATAAAATTATATCACCAGAAATCACTTCGGATGTTTACTTTGTGCGTTAACAGCACATTTGTAGTATATTAGTAAAAGTTTTGCTCACTTAACGCAACTGAAATGTCCGCCGACCATCTAAATTCACTTAACGCCCAGCTATCCCGATTTTCGAAAAGCGCGCCATACGAGCTTTCTGTGGCATCGCTGATTCAGGACAAGTCAGAGTCACTAGAGGAGCTAAGTCAGTCCATCTGGAATAATCCGGAACTGTCGTATCAGGAATTCCAGGCCGTCAAGATCATTACGGCGTACTTGGAGAGCAACGGTTATCCCGTGATACGCAACTATGGCAATCTTGAGACGTCGTTTTTGGCTGAATTCCAAACAAGACAATTCGATGCCGAACGGCATGCAACGGTTGCGGTGCTGTTAGAATACGACGCGTTACCGGAGATCGGGCACGCATGTGGACACAACCTGATCACGGAAACCGGACTGGCAGCTTTTTTAGGCGTGTGTCATGCCCTGAAGGGTTCCGATTTACAAGGCCGGGTACACTTCACTTTTACTTACTGTACTTTTGTGGCTTATATAATATTGGACATGATTCCGCAGGTCGTGTGTATTGGTTGCCCAGCTGAGGAAGGAGGCGCGGGAAAGGTCAAATTGATCGATGCCGGTGCATTCCAGAATGTGGATTTCGCATTGATGGCGCATCCGGCTCCGGTGGACATCGTGGAGTTAGACATTTTAGCGATTACCAGAGTATACCGATATCATAATTCAAAATCCACTTAGCTTCGAAACTGAAGACGTTTTGGGGTCTTGTTAACTTTAAACAATAAAACTGTTAAACTTTCTAAAGCTATCACGGGTTTTTCTCTCAGCTGGAAGTAGAATTTTTCGGCAAAGCAGCTCACGCATCCTGCGGACCCTGGGAAGGCGTTAACGCCCTGGATGCCGCGGTAACAGCATACAACAACATTGCCATGTTGCGACAGCGTCTTAAAGTGGGCAATCAGATCCACGTCACGATAGTGGACGGAGGCGCCAAACCCAACATTATTCCAGAATACACCAAATGCTCCTACCTGCTCCGTGCGCCCACGACCAACGACATGAAGACGCTGCAGAAGAACGTAATGGCTTGTTTTACAGCGGCTGCCACTGCCACAGGTTAGATGGGGACAAACCCAGCCAGAACATGTCGATAGACTGAATTCCTGTCGTACGAATTTAGGATGCCGCTTACAAGCAGAATTCAAGGAACCGGCGTGTGGGGCACTGATGATCAACAAAACTATGCTGTCCGTTTACAAACACTATGGTCAGAAACATGGTACGCTCGCAGCTAGCTAATTAAATCGAAACTATCACAAAGAGCTGCAAAGGTTTTAAAATGTCCTAAGTTTCCTTTTTATTGGTTTTTGTGAAAAAAAGCGGCAAGCAAACTGCTACTGCTTCGAATAAAAGTCAAAAATTAAAACTGAAACAAGTAGTGCCAACTGCCAATATTCATCACTTTGTGAGCTGCATCAAAGTGTCAAAGAACGGTCGCCGCAATGTCGCGAACAATGTTGTACACAATGGTGCATGGCAGAACACTATTTACTGTAGCGATACCGACAGGATACTGTTAGTTTTTAAAACAAACTTTTAATTTATAAGCGGTAGATTTGGCAGGTTACTTGTGATGGTATGAAAATTTTGGCATAACAGTAACATTCTGTAAAAAATATTGACCCCAGAAATCTCATAATATTTGTTGAACAGTTTGTTCTTCTTTGCAACTTTGCAGGAATGTCTTTCCCACCGGCTCGGCCAAGTTACGGTTCAACCGACATGGGAAATGTGTCAACACTAATTCCCAGTATTCACCCAGCCTATGCGATTGGTCAGACGGTTGTTTACATTAGTTTTGCAGTTTTCATCATGCAGCATCTATATATGGTTTATTATAGGTGCCCCAATAATGATTCATACACGAGAGTTTCAAGCCATAGCCGGGACGTTGGAAGCGCACAGGTGCGCTCGTCGTGCCGGTCTGGCACTGGCTATGACTGTACTGGAGCTACTCGCTAATCCCGATATGCAACTCAGCGTTCGCCAGGAATTCACCGAGCGTCGCAAAACATTCGTGGGAGTCGATGTAGAAACTTCCAGTGCGAAAGGCGATTTTACCATTTATTAAAACAAATTCCATGCTTTATTTATATTAAAACAAATTCCATGCTTACCATTTATTAAAACAAATTCCATGGAGAACTCAGAAGTTCGTTTGATTATTAGATAATTAAATATTGATTTGCAAAACATGGCGGGAGGGCTTCTTTGAATGCTCCCATAAATTAATCCATCTCCTGTTTTCAAAAGAAACTTGAAATTAACGGTTCTTACGTATCTTTTGTGCGCAACCAAGTAACGATAAATATATGTTACAGACACACTGTTGCATTTGGCTGTTAAAACTGTTTGAGTAAAATGGAACAGCTCACCCTCGGTATGAAATTCAAAAAGCCCAAGTACCCAATCACTATTCATTTTGGGCATTTCAAGCTGACAATGAACAGTAACGATAGAGTCTCTAAGATAATTTCCAATGCACCGGTGAATCAACAGAACCACCAACCTCTTTCCATGGCATTTGCTTCCAGTGCGGGACAAACACGTACAAGTACAGCTGTTCATGTACTGTGCATTTGTAACGAGTGTATATTTGACAGGCTGATGTGCTTTTTTAAATGCATTGATAGCTTTTGAGTCGTTAATATCGAGCAAGAAGTGGGAGCCAGAAGATATTTGCGAACCCATATTAGCTAAAATTTGGTAAACAGTAGGGTCGCAATATTATCGTGTTTTATATATCTATGATCTATCTAGATCTACATGAACAGTGTACACTGTATTTGTTATTGCTAAACGTTAACAAGAAAGTGACATTTGTTCTTACAGTTTTGGAATGCAGTGTATTCATAATGGAGTGCTTTATGTTGTACATATACCTATCCCATTGTTGGTGTCCCTATAATGGCAATAAAGGGTAAGGTACATGACCGTCTCCGGGCAAAAAGCAAAGAATTTGACCATTAGGATCATATTGCAATTCAAAGTGCGTGGTATTTCTGCGCTACACTTCTACCGTATATAGATATACATACACATCCGCACTAGGAGTTCCGCAAGGACTGTGTGCTAGAACTACAAATAGCCGGTGTGTGTGTGTGCTGTTTCTTTACAAGGTTCTTTGGCGACAAGAGTGTATCCTGACGTCAGGTCGGATCGCTGAAAGTAGCGCATTAAAGGTACAGATGTATGGGAGACCTATAGTGGAATATTTAATCACGGGTATGCTAACAATTTTTCCCCCTGTCCAAGTTGAGCGTTCTCAAAAGAAAGAGCTATGGACGTGACTATCTTATCCTACCTTTCTAATTTGTTGAACGATACAGTTGATCTAAACAGCTCTATTTTTTTAAATGATACAGTTGATCTAAATGTTTCAGCATCGTTGAATGAAACCGTGGATCCAGTGTGCAATAATTACGGGAATTGGCGCGATCCGCTGGTTCTGATTGAATTATGCTTTATGAGTTTTATTGTTGTTCTAAACACAGCCGGTTTAGTCAGCCTTCTATGCCGCGGACGAGTCAACGCTTCCTTTAATATTTACATCGCCAACCTCCTCCTAGCAAACGTGACCTTTGCTGTAGTCGAAAATCCTTTGGATCTATTGTTCGGTCTTTCGTGTGACCGGTGGATAATTGGCAGCGCAGCATGTGACCTTTTCCTGTATTGTAACTATGTCATCACCGCCTGGGCAATGCACGCCCACGTACTAATCACCGTCAACCGGTTATGGGCGGTGATCTATCCCTATAGTTACCGAAGACTCCACACGGTTAAAATTGCTGTTATTCTCTGTGTTGGTGCGCTGGTTTATGTTCATATGTGGAGCGTACCCGGGATCGTAATGGATTCGATTTTCTATCGAGACTCCTTGGAAAAACTAGAGTGTGAGTTAAATGTGGATCCCCAAAGAAGCTGGGTGATGCTTTTGCAGATTTGTGTCTACCTTGCGCCGATTGCTTTTGTTGGAGTATCATACGGATTCATTGGATATAAGCACAGACAACGCCTTAAGGTCAAGCAGGCTGGACGAACTGTATCGGGTCTTCCGTCTAGTAAAGTTCACCGACCGACCGCTAACGACGTTGCTGTAAGTTTAGACAAAAATTCGGCGTCAAAATACCCCAACTATTGACAACAAATTATCAGTGTCTAGCAAGCTAAATGGCCTCTGCATGTCATACAACAATAAATTTTCATGATTACTATAGCAATAAATTCTTGATTATGCCTTTATTATTTATACATACGGTATATCTACAGATATTTATTAACACGAATCTATGATCATGAGCGTATGCCTTATTTATTTCTGTAGTCAACTGCAGAGTGCTCATTAATGTTATTCACTCATTCCGTGTTTTTAGTTTCTACTAGAACCTCTTAGGGAAAATGCGCTAATGCATTTGTGTCATCATTATGTTGTTTTTCCCATTTTAAAGCGTGGCAGCGGTGTTGCCATTACCAGTGCCGACGTCAGAGCCAAAGAGCGCAATCTGAGTGCTCAGGCATTTGTCACTTTAACGCTTCTGACATCCAGCCTGCTGATTACATGGACACCTTACGAAGTGTTGCAGATGATTTCATTCACCCTGCAAGATTTTAAACCCCCAGATGAACTGAGTGAATGTCTGGATATTTTATGGACGCTGCAAGCGGTCTTGGATCCTTTGTTGTCGACCCATCTTTTAGCCGATCTACGAGGTTTGTACTCTCTGATCCACTCAAAGACTATTCGCCGCTGACGCACATCCACACTGACTCCATCGTATCCATAAAGCCGCTCCTTGCTACTTTCCGATTAAACGAGAGAACGACCAATGTGGGTTTTGGGCTTTTTACTCATTGACAACCTATGACACGAAGGGCTTTTTCCCTAAGTAGTCGCCGTTGCTTATACTTATCCGCGGTTGTACCATGATAATTATGGTACATTGATGATCGATAGTCGATACGCAACATCATTGTTAGTGCACCAGCTCTTGTTATCCGTAAACGGCGGTTAAGGAATAAGATACCGATTTATGTAAGCAGGTAGCATTAATGCGTGTCCTTATATAGCACACAATAGGCTGGCATTATTCGCCGCCACGTGCGCCAGTCAGTTCTTATCGCGCATCATTTTCGAAACCGGCACCTTTGGTACAGAACATTGACTGGTTTAGTCTGAATACCTACTCTATGGTTTGGCACAAATGCAGCACTACAGTAGAATAACAGAACAATTTGAACACATACAGCAATCAACGCATCTAATAGTGGCCGTAGAGCATTAAAGTTTGCGACTAGGAAATTTCCGTACATGAAGAGATAAAATTTGCAGAACATCAAAACATTTGCAGCAGCAACACGGTAATACTCAGTTATCAGTCAGGCTGCATGTGTCTTTCAAGATTGTTCTCAACAGTTTTAGATTCGTAACTTCTTTCGCTGATTTTACATGCACAGTATAAATATCTGCACATGAAAATTTTTTTTCCACGGAGAAAAAAAATATATTATGAAATGCCGGCAGACGTTTCTCTCCAATTAGACTCTCCTGTCTCTACAGCGTATTCTGCGAGCGCGCCATATGAGTCAGTTGTTAAGGCGTTTATTGAGGATAAGTCGGCTTCATTAGACGACATAAGTCTTGCCATTTGGAACCATCCGGAAGTGGCTTTTGAAGAGTTCTACGCAGCTAAAACGATCACCGTTTTCCTAGAACAAGAAGGCTACGCGGTAACCCGAAACTACTGCAACCTAGAAACCTCGTTCTTAGCGGAATTTCAAACGGCGAAATTCGACGGCAAAGTGCACGCAACCGTTGCAGTGCTGCTGGAATACGATGCATTGCCGGAGATCGGACACGCATGTGGCCATAACCTCATTACCGAAGCCGGGCTAGCTGCATTTTTAGGAGTGCGTCATGTGCTGGAAAACTCTGATATCCAAGGACGGGTAGGCACAATTTAAAAAATCAAAGCGAAAAGTTAGTCTATAGATAATTTTAACAGTGGAGTGCTATTCAGGTTGTCTGCATGGGGACCCCGGCCGAAGAAATATTCAGTGGAAAGTCTAAACTTATCGATGCCGGAGCGTTCAGCAATGTGGATTTCGCTTTGATGGCACATCCGAGTCCCATTGACATCCTGGAAATGGAAACACTCGCTGTCAATCGGGTAAAAACCGCAGTAGCATTGTTTGTTTCCTTCATAATAACTTCACATGTGTCGTGACTCAGGAACAATAGAAACGAGAATGGCTACAGCATAGTCTTAACTTGAACCTTCTTAATTCTTCAGTTAGAAGTAGAGTTTTTTGGAAAGGCAGCTCATGCATCCTGTGGGCCGTGGGAAGGCATCAATGCACTAGACGCCGCAGTGGCTGCCTACAACAATATTTCTATGCTACGGCAGCGTCTGCGAGCGGGCAACCAGGTGCACGTCAATGTCGTTGACGGGGGCGCCAAGCCCAATATTATTCCAGACTATACGAAGTGCAGCTACTTTCTCCGGGCACCTACGACGGTTGACATGAAGACGCTGCAGAAGCAGGTGATGGCGTGTTTTGCAGCAGCTGCCACTGCTACCGGTTCGTAAAAACATTTTAGGAATCAAAACACTTAAGGTGCTTAAGATACTTAAGTACTGAAAGATACTCCTACTTAAGATAGTCTGGTGCTACTGTTTTGTAACATCATTGTCGTAGGATGCCGCTTCCAAACTGAGGCGAAAGATCCTGCTTGTGGAGCGCTGATGTTGAACAAGACCATGCTATCTCTTTACAAACATTACGCCGTAAAAAACGGTACTTTTTTAAATACGATAGGAAGTACTATAGCAAAAACTGAAACGCAAAGGGCGCTTTGTCTAATGACTGTTAACTTTAGAAACTTTAACTTCTGTAGACTATGAGGGTGGTGAGTCTGGTGACCTTGACCTTGGTAGGCTATTTACCACGCGTCCCTATTTTGTTATCATTTGCGGTCCAGTCGCACTGGAAACGGTTTTACTCCGCAAAATCTGTAATAAGGCTCTTTTGTAGGAATGGACTATCGTCCTTCTCGGCCGTGTTACGGATCGACCGATATGGGAGATGTATCAGCAGTTGTTCCCAGCATTCATCCAGCTTTTGCTATTGGTAGGTTAGCGACGATTTAAAACATCCAATTGCAATGTGCTTTATGCCGCATCGCCGCAGGCGAAACGGTAATGGTCCACACAAAAGAATTCCAAGCACTTGCTGGTACACCATTTGCGCACCAGTGTACCCGACGTGCCGGACTCGTTATGGCCATGACGGTATTGGAAGTTCTCGCCAATCCAGATTTGCAGTGTACAATCCGTAACGAATTTATCGAGCGCAGGAAAACGTTTATTGGAATCGATGTAGAATCATCAACCGCAAGAGGCGATTTTACTGTTTACTGATCCCTGAAGACTCTTACTCGACACTCGCCAGTACTAGTTCATATTAGAACTTGGATCGAGAATTGGAGGTTTTATTGTCCTTTAACGTTTAACAATAACAGTATCTGCTTGCAGTTTGTGATCGTTTGACAAGTTTTCTTGCTGCGCCACTGCGACAGTTGATTTTCGTTTCTGAAAGGTTTTGCTGAATTTTTCACTCGCAAAACTTAAAACCGAAAAGACGTACATTCCGCTTGTTATGTAAAATACCATATTCAGTCTACGGAAACTCAAGGGATGGGTGTGGCTTTCTTTTACAATCTCCCGCTGTCCCTGAGAACTGCGACCGGCGACTTGGTCCTTATAAGACATCATTCGATGAATATCCAACAGATGCACTTGAATACCGGTTTGCGCTGACCTTAGCATTCTGAAGCAATACAGCGATTCCTTAGAAGTCCAACACATATCACTCAACAGTCAACACGATACGTACGACCACCATACAGTACATACCTCATGCTGAACATGTTAGCAAATGTGCTGTTCCGCCGTAACTGCATCACAGACACCCAACGATAAATCCGTAAATCGAACGCGGAAATCAATCCCTTATTACTGCACCCGGCATTATCGGCAAATGTACACATAACGGCAACAGGCGCAGCGTTGGATGTGCTGGCCGCGATGGTCTGAAGAATCTCATCAGAGTTGCTGGTGTCGAATTCACGGATTTTTGACTTGGCCACCGAAAGATAGGGTCCTTCGAACAAGTCGTTTTGCGGTCGAGAGTACAACAGGTAGTCGGAGTGAAGGAGACCGAGTGGTGAGTTAAAGGGCAATGTGTCGAAGCTGGTGCTGAGATCAGCTGTCAGGTAAGTTCGGATTAAAGAGAATATCACTAATGTCCACGGTAGCCACAACAGTCGTAATATGGTATACGTTGCGACCTTTCTGAGCCGTTGAAATTCCGCTACATAGATGAAAAGTAAGTCAAGCGCGGCAGAAATTTAAAACAGGAATTTTTTGATTGCGCACCTTGTTCTAGTGAAATTGCCAAAAGCTCCCAGAACGTTCTTACTGTTCCCATCCACAAAATTAACCGGTTTCGCTTAGTCCTACGAAATAAAACTCCCATTTTGAGTTTCATCGAATAAACATTGGCACAGAGCAGTGCGAAGCCAACGAGCACGGTTATTAATCCCGTTGCAATCCACACGTCCGTAACGAACGTCTTGGTTAGGCCGCTCAAAATGGGCACTGTTCCTCCTTTGGTTATATGAGAGTTATGTATGCCCACTTGGTAGGTGCGTGTAGCAAACAGCTGGGGCATATCGAAATCAACCATGCGGGCCAATGTCATGCTAAGCGGACACAAGCTGATATCCGCCAAACCCATTTGTACATCCACTGGGGCGCCAAACATGGACGTGTTGTACTGCTGTGGATGCCGATCCGGAACGAGCGCTATTCTGGGCGACAATAGAAACGAATTAACAGTTACTGTCAGAAAATTTAAAGTTTTATGTCATATCGGAATAATGCCAGGATGATTATTTACGCATTAATAGTTACTACTTGACATTGCACGCACTGTAAACGCTGGAAGCATGCTCCCAGTACCATGGCCAGCGCACAGTATACTACTAGTACTACATTTCAGACACTATGGCATATTGTAATTTATAAACGAGCGCGGAGTTTACAAATTGACGTTGTCAAAGAAAATCTAAGGCTAAGGATGGTACGCTGGCGATTATGAAATAAATGCGCTTACTTCAGTCCTAAACCGGAAGCAATGTGGTCCACGAGTGATACGGATAATCCACAGAAGCATATTTGGTCCAGTCGGTCAGATGGAACCCTGTAACTATACGGGGCGTTCTCGTTGACGCTAACGATCAGAACACCCTTTGGCATTATCCCGTTAGCGGCAGGATAATCGGAGCAAACTCGGTACCGTTCGTTACATTGCGAGTCCATCATCGTTAAGAGATCAAAGACTCAGCTTTGTGAGTTCTAGTAGCTGTTCGTCGTACTGGTGTGCACATTTCAAAATGGACGTACCCTTTTCGATATTGCGTACATACTTCATAACAAGTGGCACTAAAAGACGGAAAAATTAAAAATGGCGTCGCTGCGGGAAACCTGCCGAAAAGAACTGCATCGGTTAAATCTATAATTTGAGTGCGGTCGGTCTGACGTCGACATTTGACGTTACTCCCTGTTATAATAGTGAGATCGTGTTTTCACCTCAAAATAGTTATTTGCCAAGCATCAACAACAATCTTCTTCCCACAGTGCCCGTACAACAATGAAACGGAGCAAACACAGGATTTAGGAGAGCATTACAAAGCTTTCAGCAACGGAGGTTTGTAAATTTGTACCGCGGAGTACGTATCCCATGTACATGTACTTAATGATAGAGATATGAAAATTTGACCATTTGAGGTTCTGAGCATATGTTATTAAAATTGCCTTGTCACTGCCCTAAAATACATTCGGACCGTTTGTTAAATTCTGCAGTATTAGAGAACAGTATGCAGCAATTTTTTAGCCTTTTGCTACTGCTTGCATATTGTAGTCCGGTACAGTCCGATACAGAAAAAATAAGATCATGAAAACCCAAAATCTGGATCATACACACTTGCAACTGTATCTGATAAACCTGTCACTAGGTTCCCCAGCCGAACCTAAAAAGCGTTTTGTATGCAGAACTTACAGTGGCTTTATTTTAGCTGATTTATGGAAAGTCTCATATAAAAATACAATAACTGAAAACGCACTGAAGCAAAAATACAGGTCAAACACGCCGGTCAGTCTTGGCAGCGCGAACACGAAGGTTTGGTCTTTTTTTGGTCTGCGGGCTCTGAAGAGCAGATGGTGCACCGCTTGTTTGTCACTATACGTCATAAGTCTGTGAATATCCATTAAATGTCGGGGTACTCCGCCTTGCGCCAACTTAGTCATTCTAAATGATCAGAACACCGATATTAAACCAGTGAATATTGAGTCTTTATCAATCGATTACGGTCTACTTTACCGCATTAATATGGAATCCGTTAACGGGTGGTGGCTTGTCAATTGGAACACGGTTATCCACCGCAGTAACCCCAGATCGAATGCTGACACAATACCCCGGTTGCTACATGCGGCATTGTCGGCATTGGTGCAAACAACTGCTCCCTTGAGGCTGGCCGAACGGTTGACCATAATATCCATCAGCACTTCATCCTGTGTTGTATTAAATTCCAAGCGTTTGGATTTCAGTGACGTCAACGAACCGGCATCAAAGATGTCGGTTGATCGCGATACAATATTGTAATCGGACTGAAGAAAACTGCTGGGCGAGTTAAAAGGCAGTGTCGAAAAGGTCATACTTAGACTGGCAGTTAAAGAGGTGGTGACGATGGTTGTGATGATTAACAGCCAGAAGAGCCATGTAATCATTAAACAAGAATAAGAAGTCCACGGCAAGTTGCCTGTAATATGGCCATAAACTGCCGTAATTTATTTTCGGTCTGAATTCGACTTACCCATATTGTGCGACACATGCCAGTTTATGCGCAGGAAAGCTTTCCGGCCGACTGATACCAGGATCCCGGACGGACTAGTGGAACTACCGTGGTAACCGTAAACTGCCTTTTGTTTATGTTTTATGTAGTACTCCAGTGTATAAATGCCCCAGAGAATAACCACAACCCACAACGTCAGCACGATGGTTCCCACCAAGACATTGACTTCGAAACTATCTGCAACGCCGCTTAGCACGGATGCCATCGTATCCTCTTGGACATGTGATTTATGAACACCCAGCTGATAGGTTCGGGTGTAAAATAATGGGGTCATGTCGTACTGCATAATACGGTAATTGGTCATGCTTAACGGACAAATACTGACGTTAGCGAGCTTGAGTTGGACATCTTCAGGAGACCCGCGCGGCGAGGGTAAATAAAACACAGGGCGTCGGTCAGGCAAAAATAAAAACCTATAAGAAACGAGTGCGTTTAATTACTGCGCATATGCAATAACAAGCGAGTCAAAATAATTTACTGTAATCAAAACGTTTGTCTATCGCTTCCTAAATGAGCAGGCAACTCTAACAACATGAAAACGATTGTCATGCACAAGGTGCTGCTGTACCTATGATATTTACTTATTATTCACAAAGAAACATCAAGCGTCTAATACAAAAGTAATTTTCTGTATTACATGATATTGTCAAGGCGGCACTATTTTACCATTATTACAGTAGGTCTGTGCTAAAATGTCGTGAATATGCTACTTATCCTTACTGGACACCCATATCAGCGACGATTGTCTTCAATAAAGATACAGAAAGTCCGCAAAAACAAAAAGATCCAAATGGCGATTCGTAACTGTAAGGAGCGTTTTCATTCACGCTGACAACCAAAGCATTTTGCATAGAAATGTTAAAATCCGTGCATACACGATAAAGATTATCGCACATTGCGGTACGATCCATAATTGCTCGTTTGTTGTCGCGATGACAGAAAGCGTCAGCTTCCGGTACTAATAAGCCATAACGAAATTTTGGATTTTACAACCGTCGCAATCGGAACTTCACTTCTCTGTGTTAGCTGTGCTAACGTACCGCTGTCTCGCAGCGTATTTACTGTCGAGTCATCAAGACCGACAATGGTAACTCTGTATCTAGCCACTCTGCTTTTGTATAATTATTTTAGTATGATTGAGTCAATGATTCTCTTATGTATAATGAACTATTTCATTTCACAACAAAATTTAGTAATAGTGACTTGAAGCCTATGTAGAGCAATGCTTTACAGTTCAAACATCTTTGATCAAAGAAGACTTATTTGAGTTGTTTTCCCTCGCAAATATCCAAAAAAATAATACTGTTAAAAATAATACCTATGCAACCCAACGTAACCCAACGCAACCGCCACCCAACGCAACTGCACGCAACCCAACGCAACTGCATGCAGCCCAACGCAACTGCATGCAACACAACGTAACTGCATGCCACCCAACGCAACTGCACGCAACCCAACGCAACTGCATGCAGCCCAACGCAACTGCATGCAACCCAACGCAACTGCATGCAACCCAACGTAACTGCATGCAACCCAACGCAACTCCACGAAGCGTAACGCAATCGCATGCAACCCAGCGCAACTCTACTTAATTTCATGTATCTTCATATAGTTGAATGCAGCTCAACCTTACATACTACATGCAGTTAAATAATCAACGTAACACAAAGCAACCTAGCGTGACTAAACGCAATACCATGCAGTTAAACACATCTTGCGGATTATTCTTGCCGCAGGTCAGCTTAGCTCACATGCTGCAAGAAATTGTTTGAGTAGAAAGCTCTGGAAACTGTACGAAGTCACGTATTTGACGGAACTAATCTTTGAATGCTATTACAACAATTTGTAAAATTTTTTTAATTTCTCGGTTTTTTAGGTTTCTTAGGTTTCTTAGGGTTCTTAGGTTTTCTTAGGTTTCTTAGGGTTCTTAGGTTTCTTAGGTTTCTTAGATTTCTTAGATTTCTTAGGTTTGTTAGGTTTTCTTAGGTTTCTTAGGTTGCTTAGGTTTCTTTAATTTCTTAGGGTTCTTCTTAGGTTTCTTAGGTTTCTTATGCTCTTAGGTTTCTTAGTTTGCCTTTGGTTTTTCTCAGTTTTTTTGCGTGTTTAAGTCCCTCGAAAGAATAAGTTTCAGAGTTTCATGCATTCATTTCCATCTGCGTTAAGTTGCTGAGTTGCGCTGGATTGCATTGACTTACGTTGAGTCGCAACTTACGGTGAGTTACGTTGAGTTATACTGGGTTGCGTTGAGTTGCAATAAGTTGCATGGAATTGCGTTTGGTTGCATTTAATTGAACTGAGAGCATTAACTTACGCTGAGTTGCGTTAGTTACGTTCAGTTGCGTGCAGTTGCGTTGAGTTGCGTTGGGCTGCATGCAGTTGCGTTGGGTTGCGTTAAGTTGCGTTGGGTTGGATGCAGTTGCGTTGGGTTGCGTTAAGTTGCGCTAAGTTGCGTTGGGTTGCATGCAGTTGCGTTGGGTGCGTTAAGTTGCGTTGGGTTGGATGCAGTTGCGTTGGGTTGCGTTAAGTTGCGCTAAGTTGCGTTGGGTTGCATGCAGTTGCGTTGGGTGCGTTAAGTTGCGCTGGGTTGCATGCAGTTGCGTTGGGTTGCGTTGGGTTGCGCTAAGTTGCGTAGAGTCTCGTGAGGTTACGGTAACGAAAATAATAACCGCATTACGTGCGAAAACGAACCGTGCCATATCTAGCCTGAGGGCATTATCATGGAGCGGGGACTTCAGAACTTCCCGTAAGGTACAGTACGATCTGGATGTACAGCACACGGCAACTGCAAGACGTGCCAGTGCAATACATCCAGCTAGCTGCCAGGGCCGATATGTGCAAATAGGTACTGTATCTGAAAAGTTAGATGGTGCTGGAGAAAATGCGACCACTTTATGGGTGTCGTACAACTTGTACAATGTACGGTCTAGAGTAGAGGGTTGGATGACACTGAGTTTTCGAGTGTTTTTGTAAGTGTTTAAACTGGCAATCATTTTACGTACAGTAGCATGAAACGTGAATGTATGCTTGATGTTACGGTGGCTATTGCCGTGAGTATTACCGAATATACAAGTATAAGCCCTAAACTATAACAAAACAATGTTATCTCAGTCAATGGAATTTTTTTATATCCCGATTTTGTGCATTTGCAGTAAATATACTTTTTATTATTTATTGTTACTACTTTTATTAGAGTAATTTTAATCGACATCATATTCTCTTTGAATTATTGAGTACCTTGTAAATGATAATGAGTACGATAACACACTGAGACTGCTGTTTACACTCTCGTATACACGTTCAGATTCGTACTTATAAATGTTTCTGTAGAACTGTCATAAACAATAAAACTTCTCCATGGCTCCCTTATTCGCTTGCGCAGTCAGTTCTTAAGGCTGAAGTAGCATTCGCTTCGATGGTTACGTTTGCTACGCTTTCGTCTTGAAATGGCGAGAAAAGTCTTCTGATACCGGAAGTCGCACTGCTCAGTCGTCTAAGGAGCGGTTTCTTGGTAGAGCCACGATCGTTTCTGCAGGATAAAATTTAACCAATTAAAATTTAATCTTGTTAACGCGAAAACGAGAAGGTTGACAGGAGACTCGGCTCACGATTTCGATAAACACTCCTTCGATTTGAACGATAACAGACTTTTAATCTGCCGCAGTTTGGTTTCGAGTTCTTTAACTTCTTGACCCAAATGTTCCACTTCTTTGATTTCTATCTGTCGGCTTAAGTAGCGCTCTTCTTGGCGAAGCTTGTGTATTTCCGTGAAATCTTTGTTGTGCGCGTGTAAACATCTAGTCATCTAACGGACACAAACGAATTCGTCATTACAGCATTCTTACACTTTCAGAAAGATTTTTTATCTCAATGCGCACTAGCAGCGTAGACAGTTCCAGTTCTTCACCCCATCCATTCTTCAACGGTACTGATCGGTATCCTTTTCGAATACACCGCACAGGAAAGGCAGCTTGCCCCATTGCAGCAAGATTGTGGTCGCTAAATATAACATTCGTGTCCAGAGCGACGAAACGAATTAGTGCCAGATCTGGATTATGGATATCAAACTCGCAAGTCTCGTTCCATACCGGACGGAAGCCATTGTCGCCTACCCATCAAATTTAAAGTTTTTCGCTGGTTCATAATATTTTCCACGCTAAGGGTTCAGTTCTTGAAACAGCTTAGAAGTACTTATTCAAAACCATTCCTATTTTACCGACGTACTGGCCTTGGTTCGGAATTTTTTGCAGTCGTAATCGGCACCAGTAACTTCCACTTGTACTGCAGGACTAGAGATACCCTTTCCAGATTTTAGGAGCTGGCGACCAGCAATTATCTGTCATGTTCGGCAACAAAGTAAGTGAAATATTGGATAGCAAGTTACGGACTGCACCTGATCCGGTATGATTACACGGCGTTAAATTATTAACGGCATTAACACTGGGCGTAGTCCTGACTCTGAGACCACGACAACCACATATAAAGGGATAACAAAGGCTTAGCTTAGCGACCCCTGTACAGTATGTACTTGTTTCCGCACAGCAGGCCGAAGGATGACGTTGCTGCTTAGCGTATTGTTAACTCCGGCGCTGGTACACAATCACCATGTTCAACCTTAAACTTTAGCCACAACATCAGCCGTCAGCTGGATGACGGAAACGAATACACAGATTGCTGAGCTCGGACTTTGTCATCTTCTTGTATAGAAATACAGTATGCCAGGTCTCGCTCGTAAAGCGTATAAATGATAAGACTGACTACGAGTAGTCCGGTGTCGTCCGTTTCGTGAGTTATTACCGTGACACAAAGAACGATTGGCTCGACAACGCCCTTCAGTGTCTTTGCTTCGCAAGGATCATAGTCTTCGCTATGCAGGAAGCCCGGCTTCAGGACATATCCGCATCCTCCATTCTGCATGAATCTCCCTTGATTCAAATGCAAAGGTGCATCTACATTCACAAAACTTGCCAAACCTTTTCAAGAGTTAAATGTCAATTATGGATATCGACCTGCGGTTTGAAAATTTAAAGCCACCATCTGGGATCCGCAGTTCCACAGTCGTGTTGGATCATAGTTAGAAGAATCAACCCTGGCCCCCATGGGATAAATCCGGCTGAAGCAAGTCTGATTGTACCTAATCTCGGAGAAGCGTCTACGCTGCATAGAGAAAAACACAACGAAACAACATCTCCTCGAGAGATCGCTTTATTTCCGTGAAATAAATGCTAGAAAAGCCATCATAAAAAAAAAACAGAATCTAATGCAGAAAAAGGGCATGAAAATCATGAAAAGCTAGGAAACGATGTTAACGGTTCCTAGGTTGGCACCAATGGCAAACACGATCAGTCGTGTTTGGAAAGCTGGCGAATGGTAAGCCAAGCCAATGATGGTGAGGCGTCCGTGCCAATATCCTGTGCTATACGCACAACACTCTGACATGCCACGGGACGGGATGCCGAGGCCCCTTGAGGCTCAAAAACAGGAATGAAAGAAGAAATGAAAAGATGCATATTAAATGCACAACATAATGAGCAACTCTTATTAAAAAAATTGTGTCAATTATTCCATCACAGGTTAGTGAGAACACACGCTGCAAAATGCGGCGTAAAAATAATCAAAACGAGTTAAACTCGTAACAAAATCCGGTAAAATTATTCCGGTAAATTCCCATTCCAGTTGAATCCAATCCCACATGTTAATCCTTGTTAGTTTGCAGGTTTTCCGATCCATTCCGGAGCTTTCCTCCAGTCATACGCATTGTTGCGTCGATCCACGATATATGTGCAGCTTAGTGCATCTACGTCGATTTTATTCATCTGTTTACGCAATTAATGCGCTACGGCAATTCTTTAACCGAGTATTATGCACCGATTTGTGCGTCTACGGCGATTCAATAAAGTTATTCTTGCGATTCATTGCGCACTACGGTGATTAATATTAAGTTGTGTACTCGTAGTACAATACGGCGATTTTAATAAAATTACGTATGCAATTCGTTGTGCTTATACGACGATTGAATTTTTTAGCATTTAATGCTTTTACGGCGGTTTTAGTTTAGCGGTACTTGGTACAATACGGCATTTAATGCATTCAATGCGTTTACGGCGGTTTTACCTGCGGTTCTTCATTTAATGCGTTAAGAGCGTCGCTCAATACGGCAGACGTAGTCTTAACTTCGGTACTATCTTCCAACATGTCCACTTCGTCATTTCCACCCGGATAGTACAGTGGATCGGTCTCGTTATCCGGGATATGCACCGTAAAGATCAAATGATCCACTTCGGTGAAGGTTTCGCTCTGTCCCATCGCCTCCAGCTCCAATTGCCGGTCTCGAAAGGCTTGTCTCGTCGGGAAAAGGAAGTTATTCCTAATTGACGGTTCTGGTCCCGTCATCTCATCACCCACCTCTGCCGCGGGTTGCTGCTCCAATGCCGGTAGAGTTTCCGCGATCGTCAGTGCTTTCACCGACGCAACAACTTCTGTTTGCGGAATTCCGCTAGACGGCGCAGTGATCACTGCAGATCCGGTATTCACAGCTGGTGCAGCATTCGCAGTGTTAACTTCCATTACCGGTACAGTATTAGCTGTCCCCGGTAATTTCTCGCTTTCGTCGGTGTCCATCGACACCGATTTCTTCAGCTCTGGCTGCACTGTTCGGCTCGCTATTGGAGTATCAGGTGAATTTGGAGCGACTTTGCGCTTCCCTTGACGCTCCGCAAATCTTTTGACGAGATCGTATATCCCGTCATAATGTCCGTTATGGATAGCTTCGGTATTAAGTCCATCGACTTGCATTACGTGCAAAAGATCATTCAAAACTTTCGCCTGCTGTTCCTCATTTAGAGGTTCACCCAAGCGATTAACGTAGCTTTTCAGACGGCGATTTTGTTCGACTTGCCTATAAGTCCGGGCCCAATGGTGAGCGTGGCAATTGCCCATCAATGCAGATAAGATGACTAAAACATATTTCTTCAATCCCCATCCGATATTTATTGTATCCCACGTGATTTTCATGGGAGCGATTTTACGCTGGAGCGCGCAGGCGGCACGGCAGAAAAACTAGAACTTTGCTGGATCCGTGTCCGGTAGTATGAACTGAAGGAGGAATTCCTCCGGATTTTCGGTGAATAGGATTTTAAATTGAGAAATTAATTCCCAATCCACCACGGAAATTTCAATTAGTTTTTTCTTGAGCTGGGAAATATCCAGCGCGCTACGCAATCCATTACGCTGCGGCGTTTCGTATCGCCAAACTTCCATTTGCCGGAACAAATCTATTTGGTACATATTAATCGAATTGCGAATACGCAAATCATACCCGACGGTATGTAACAGATCCAAGGTATCAGTGATGGCTTTGCCAATTTCGGTTCTTTGATCAGCGTTAACGGTGCCAATTACTGACGCAACACGATCAATATATTGATCGAGGTCCCGACGAATAACGTCGATATCGCGGCGAATACGCTGCGGATGTGTCTGTCGCTCCGGCATCAACAATACGGATGCATCCGGCTTATACTGTACTGGTTTGTCGCGCGTTGCGCGTACATTCCAATTCGCTGCTTTCTTCTGAAATTTAGCAGCCGTATTCAATTTACCAGGCATTATATCGCCTTCTACAAACGAATTATCTGGGGTTTTCCCCACATTCGGTGTTTGATAAGTAATCTTATGCCGTGTTTTACCACTAGCATTGCTAGTGTTGCTAGAATAACTAGCACCTGAATTCGGCTCTGAATCTAAAACTGTTTCACTTACAGCTCTGGAAGTTGAAGGCTGCACTTGCAACGTTTGTTGCGGATACGGCGTTTGACTTGCTGGAGTATTCCTGGTCAGTGGCGGGAGATTCGCTAACAGCGGATTAGTCTGCCGTTGTTGTGATTCTTTCGGTGCTGTCCCGGCTGGCCATGGACATGGAGTTATCATCCGAGTTTCCAGATCATACTGGTAGCTTCCACTGGGAAGGCTCTGCTGTAAGTGAGCAATATGCTCAGGTGGCAAGGTGCCCGGCGGTACTTGCAATGCCATATTCGTATATCGAATAGGCTGTTGTTGCTGCTGAAATCCCGAAAAAGGCAGACTTTGCTGCTGAAACATAACTGGCGGTTGCCACTGGCCATATGCTGGCTGTTGAGACGGCGTTTGCTGTCCGCCGACATTCGTCGGATAATTCTGTAAATTAAGAGAATTATCTCTGTTCGGTAAATATTGATTACCCGCGGTAACTGGGAATATTTCAAAATTTCCACAAGCACTATTCACAGGAATAGTTACCTGATTTGGTGGTGCGGTGATGCGTTGCATCAAATTGGCAGTACTTCGTCCGAAGTTTTCGGGATGAGTTGCGCACGACCATTCATCGGCATGATCGCCAATGAATTTAACGGCGCTTTTATAAATACCATTGTAATACAATGGTGTAGCACAGACGATCGTCCAGTATTCCGGTAGTGTTACAGTGCGATACGCATCCAGGCTGCGCATAAGCACTTCATCATACAATCGGGAAACAACGACTTGCGGATCATCCGATCGATAGTTGGGTCCCTGCGTGCATTCCACGCATTTCCGATTGTTCGTATTATGCGAACAGCGGTTGCAGGAGCGCATTGGCGCATACTGGTACGGTAATTCTTCCATGTTGTCTGCAAATAATTTAAATTAATTAAATTATGCATTAAATACGGCATTTATCTTATTGCATAATATATGCATCTACCATCTCGGAGATATTGTTCTATTCCTCGATCACATGATCCAGTATAACGGATAAAACCATCCCACGGTGTGGATCATTTAATCCGACAATTCTCGGGTCGCTAATTAAGCGACTTATCGCTAATGTTACTGCATCGTCTACGTGGTTAGCTATAGCCGGACACACTGTCCTAATGTACTGGATGATTTCATCCGGCGATGAACCAGCAGGGTCACCGATTTCTTCAATTGTCTTTACGACAATTTCATCCCACTGCTTTAATTTATCGAACTGCACGTTCTGCAGAAACGAGAGTCCTTTACGCCCGAAGCGGTATGACGGTGAAGTCTCGCCGTCGTAGCGGCGTGTGATTTGGGCGTCTTCGTACATTGTACGAAGCATCGACTGCACCGCATAAGGCGGATAAGTACCAAAATATTCATTAATTCGCTGGGCTGTGGGGTTTTCCCCCCTCTGCTCGATTTTGTATATGGCAACAGCCAATTCGTGACGCGACGGTTGGGCCAACAAGTTCCTCGGCTCATCTGCTGTTATGGGCTTTTGCCCAAATGGAACTCGCTTGGCCGGGGAATACGGGACTTCCTCTATATGCTGACCAGTCAATTCCGCTATTCTTTTGCGGTTCGTCTCTGACAGGGCATATCGCCCGCTAGTACCAGCCAATGCTGCATCTACAATTATTCCTGTGGCAATTGCCTCATTAACTGCAGTGGTGACATCCGAGTAACGCTGCTCCGGATTAACCGAATCCAACGGCATCGTTAGGTACATATACCTAACAATGTCATCGATAGTCGATCCACGAACGTTGTGGATGTCCCTGATGGCGATTGTCGCCGCTTCTACCATTTCCTGTATGTTTGTTATTTTCAATCCGACATATCGGCTTTTACGAGTCGCGGTTATCGCGTACTTCATTGTCGGTATCCAGTTTTCATACACTTCTACTAGTGTACCGCGTTCTGCGGCTACTTTCACAATCAAACCGTATTCTTCGGTATCGATATACCGAGGGGCAATTATTTGCCTATATTTTTGTAAAAGATGTGCGAATGCCGCCATCTTATCCTTTTTCCGGACATTATTTATAATGTCCAAAGTCACAGCCGTTGCTTCAGCTATCTTTTCACTAGGCACTGGTTTCGGTGGTTGCGACGGTCCAGCCTTTGCTGGGCATGGCGACATTCTAGGAACTGGCGAGCTAATACTCGGTGTCTTCGGGGATCCATCTGGCTTTGGTTCCGGAATTTCCGGAGAGTTTTCTCTTCCGTTTGATTCACTAGAGAACTTGATTAAGTCCTCGTCACTACCTTTCTGCGCTTTATCGCTGCGCGTCTCGTCTATTACGAGGCGCGGCTGTTCTTCGTCTTCTGATGACGACGGCTGATGTCTCAGCTTTTCCCTTACCTGCACGACTCTTCGTGCTATTTCCTCTTTTTCTTCCACTAATTTGCGCTTCTTTTCTTCCTCGCCTGGTGAGGTTGTGCCTCGCACGCGATAGGGATGTGTCCTATGGGATACTGTACTAACAGCGGGCGACAATGTACGCGATCCCGATAATTTCGGGATTATGTAACTCTGCTCTTCCTTGATTCGAACCGGGTTCGTACCCCGTTTAAATGTCCCAGCCGGTTGCTGGTGTTCAATCGGCGCTTGCACTACTCCCATAGGAGTAGGAAATCTAATCACGGCTGGTTTTAAACCAGTTTCTTTCCAGAACGCCGGGGGCGGTTGCACTTGCAACTGTGGCCGTATTTGCGTTAAAATCTGCGGTGTCTCTAAGACGTGCTGCGGTATCGTAACTACACGTAATTCTTTCCCATTGGGAGCCCCCGACTTCGTCGGAGCAAATGGGCCCTCCATTATGAAAGATTGTCCCCATCGCTGCCTATCTCGGGCTTCTTGCTGCTCGTGGTCGGCGATCAATTTCGCCAATCGTTCGTCCGCATCTGGCGGTGGTTTCGGGGATTTACTCCGTTTAGGCATTGCCTTCAACGCTATCTCTACTCCTGCTTTTGCAGGTGATTTAACAGGTTTCTTCACAATTGACTCGTAAGGCACTTCTTCAACTTCTTTTGAAGTCTCTGCCGCGTCACTCTGTACCTTTGCACGCGCTATTATGGCCTTTGCCATCCTTTCTGCTGGCGGGGTGATATGCAGTTGATCAACTGCTGCTATTTCTTCTGGTTGGACAGCGGTCGCTGCCAATGAATGTTTGTACGATGCCAGGTCGCGTTCCCGATTACTACGCAAAAGTAATTCGTACTCGGCATATGATGCCACTATTACGGGATCGGTCTGTACAGAACGTGACATAGTCACTGGGATTACTGCCGGTGCCGCATTGGGCAAATTACCGGCGTTTTGAACGTTCTGGACATTCGGGGCAGCAAATCGCTGCGTCGGGCGATATGCCTGATTTCCCACTGCGGGTGGGGCAAAGAATCGAGGAATACCTCGGCCAATTGGTCGGGTCGGTCGCTGATTGCGGTCCATTGCGGAAATATCTGCAATGGAAAAAATACACAATATAATTGTGGATTTTTGTACGGTGTTTTCCGGTATCGATTTATTTATTCGATTAAAGCTATCGACAAGTACGGCGGTTATTCCGACTTATTATTTGCGCGCTTTGCACGGTATTTCTACGACTAGACGATTAATTCTAGTGTATCCATTAGCGCTTTTGCGTAGTTTGAGCAGAAATCGCCTTTTGGGCACTGGTTTCTTAGCGCTATTGCGCTTATTATTACTTCCATCATCGTTGACTATTTCCCATTCCTCCGTGTCGATTACGGGGGAATTATTGGCAGCATTGTCTGCAGAGGTACGGACCACATCGGTAGCGGGGAAATTATTCGCAGAATTATCTGCAATTGCTTGTACATCCTGTTTGTCAGGAAGTTCATTAAGATTGTTATTCCCTAATAAATCTCTAATTAATAGGATTTCGTTTTTTCTATCTTCCTCGGTAGTGCGATAAGGTTTTATCCGTTCGCAATTAACGATGCGTATTTCCTCCGTTTTATCGGAGATTATCCGTTTGATTTCTACGGCGTTAGTATATGGGAATCCGATGATTTCCCATGGCTCAATTTCGAACCTGCGACGAAATGACTCCGTTTCCCCTTTCTTCTTTTCTATTTTAAGGATCACCAGATCCCCAATGCTAAAATTGTCCTCCGATCGACCCTTGTCGAAGCGCTCGGCATTTTTCTCAAATTCGTTGCGAATATGCAACTCTGCTATATCGTGGGCGCGATTCAGATTGTAGCGCAGTTCCTCCATATATTCGCGAATTGTCGCGTGGTCTGACGGCAAATTGGTCTTTGTCTCTGTATCCGCAGGAATAACCTGCTCTCTACCGTACAGCATAAAATACGGCGACATATTCGTCGTCTTATTTGCTACACGATTTTTTCCAGCAATTACAAATAGCAGGACTTTGTCCCAATTACGCTCCCGGCCATCACTGGCGTACATCGCGAGTGAATCAGCTATTGTCTGCATTTGTCGTTCGACAAGTCCGCGTCCTATCGGATGATACGCAGCACCGAAATGATGCTGTATTCGCAAGCGTTTATTTATTGCTTCCAATAAATAATTATGGAAGTGCGTACCTCTATCAGTATTCAATATCTGCGGTGTTCCGTACGGTAGAAACACGTCGTAAATTAAAAAATTTGCTACGGTTTCCGCTTTTGCGTCCGGTATCGGTTTTGCAATCACGAATTTCGTGAGTTCATCTATTGCTACGGCAATATACGTGTTTCCACGCGCTGTCTTGGGCAATGGCCCTTTCAAATCTACCTGCATTCTGAACCAGGGTTCACCGATGGCAATCTGTTGCAGTTTACCGGGTGGCGCTTTGCGCAGTGTCTTGCGATGCTGGCATGCAAAACAGTGATCAACGTACTTGATAATCTGAGAGGTCATGTTATCCCAGAAGTATCTCAAGGCGATCGCCTGATAAGTTTTCGCGCGGCCTAGATGACCGCTAGCCGGTGCATCATGCATTGCGTGCATGATATCCACTCTCATGTGCTTTGGCACAACAAATCGGCGATTAATTCTACCGTCTTTTTCGGAGATTTTATACAATACTCCGTTCCACAATTCATAACCGGAATAACCGGGTCGTTTAAGCAAATGGACGCTTTCTACGCGTCCTTCTAGCGCATGGATTATGCGCTCAATATTAGGATCTTTTTCTTGTTCGATTCGATAAAATTTAAAGTTGTCTTCTTCTTCCTCATGTTCTGCTCCATCTCGTATCGTGACTACACGAATCGACGGAGTGCTAAATTTAGAATCTTTAAATTCGTCCCAGTCATCGTCTGGGCATTCAATAGCTTCTCCTACTGGGTGTCTACTCAATGCATCAACATTGTCACATTGTTTACCGGGTCTATACAGTATTGTCATTTTATGACTGCTAAGCTGGAGTGCCCAGCGTGTCAATCGGCCATTTAATCCTTCTTTACGGGAAACCGATCGCAATAAGTTCGTTAAAGCTTGATGATCGGTCTGTACCGAAAAATGGGAATATTCTATGAAGTGTCGAAATTTCCGACACGCAAAAACTACTGCCATACACTCCAGTTCTGTAATTGGGTACTTCTTTTCAGCGTCAGTGAGCAATTTGCTCGCATAAATAATCGGATGTCCCTCTTGGTGTAATATAGCACCAATTCCTATTGTCGATGCATCGCATTCAATTACGGTTGGTTTACTGGGATCGAACTTTGCTAATACTGGTGCATTAATTAATGCTGATTTTAAATCAGCAAATTCACTGTCATGGTCAATCGACCAGTTCGCTTTTACATCAATTTCCCCTTTTAATAAACCGTATAGACGGCGTGTTCTACCGGCAAAATCCTTAACAAATTTGCGGTAATAATTGCAAAGTCCGAGGAATGACCTCAGATCCTTTTCTGTCTCCGGCTTCGGGTATTTCTCGATAGCTGCTATTTTATCGGGATCCGTTTTTATCCCATCCTTGGACATAATATGTCCCAGGAAATGTAGTTCTGTTTCGCCAATATGGCATTTACTCGGTTTCAACGTGAATCCTGCCTTTAAAGGCACTCGCACATCAAGCGTATTTTACGTTTCAGATCTTCAAAGTCTTTAGCGGCGGCGATGATATCGTCCAAATAAGCGAAAATATTTTCGCAGTGGACGTCGGACAGTGTCCTATTCATGGCTTCCTGAAACGTTGCAGGGCCATTGCAAACACCGAACGGCATCCTTAGAAATTCATAGAGTCCATCCTGCGTGATAAACGCAGTTTTTTCGATGGAATCTTCGTGCATTTGCACTTGCCAAAACCCTGCGTTGCAGTCAAAGCCACAATAATATTTATTGTCGGCTACTGCCTGTAATAATTCGTCCGGACTTGGAAGAGGGTAATTGTTCTTTTTCGTAGCGTCATTTCATTTAATATAATTCACGCAAAATCGCGTACTGATGGTTCCATCGGGATTCTTTTTACTCGCTAATACGACAGGGAAACACCACGGTGAATTCGATTTACGAATTATTCCCTTCGCTAGCATGTCATTGACATGTTCCTGAATTATTTCCCGGCCTCGCCATGAGGTCCTGTGCGGCTTAGATTTTATTGGCGCTGTATCGCCGGTGTCTATCTGGTGTTTCACAATTTGTACGTCGCCGAATGGGCGATTTTTCGTAGCAAATAAGCCAGGATATTCAAGGAAAATTTCCTTGATTTCCCTGATTTCTTGTTCAGTTAAATTTAGGGTTGATTTTCAGCTCATCTACGGCTTTCTTAACAGTTTCCTGTTCTTCTGGTGTCATTTCTGCCAACATTGTGGCATTAACTTGAATATTTATCTCGGGAATTTCCTCGTACGGTTCTAAGTAGCCAATAAATTGGCCTTTCTTAATTGACTGCCGCTGATGTTGAAAATTAACGAATACCATATCAAATTTATTGTTCAGTGGTTTAACCACTCCTTCCATCGGTTTTATCCGCCGCTCCATATACAGGTGCGGACTTGGAAGAAATAAAAATTTGCCGGTATCGAACTGCTCGTCTGCATCGAAAGGGACATTCACTGTCGCCCAGTTAGTACCCGGATTAAATAATAGTTTATCGCCGGCGAAAACTCTAATAGGCTTAGCGCGTGTACCGCGGTAAGTGGGGTTAATGATCGGGGACTGGGAAAATTCCCAAGTCGGTAATTCATTAGTGATCTCGGCAGAATCAGTGGGCCCTACCAATTCTGCATTTACGATAATTAGGTTATTAGGATCCGGGACTACTTCGATGCTAGCTTGATTAATTAAATTATTATTATTAGTTTCATTAGTAGCGGCAGTATCGAGAGATTTTCTCACTACGGTAGGTGGATCGTCTATCATAAATTCAACTACACGCGCCATTGGCGCAAAACTAACTGACCGATTATGGTTTGCTATGGTTTTTACAACCGTTTCATTAGCGTAATTATCAAGTGGTTTACACTCCTTCAACTGGTACGGCAATACCGGTAATTTACGTCTCGTTAACTGCGCTAATACGCGCAACGGTGTACGCAATACATACGGTAGTGGTATTTTAAAATATTTGAAGATCTGGTTCAAATGTCGCTGTTTTTCCTCCAGGGCAGAATATTCTGCCTTACATTGTTTAGCCAAATCACGGACAATTTCTTCCGCCTTTGCGGAATCAATACCCGGGACTGGTACGTCCTCGTCCATAAATAGGTACATTACATTAGTACCGTCTTCCTTGGTTTTAATAAGGTCCTGAACTTCTTTTACTAACACTTGATATTCGCCCCATAGGCGACGGAATGTAGCTTTTGCTGCTAACCGGACTTTTGCCGGCTTCTTCAGTACTGATTTGGAACGAATAGTTTTACCTGTTTCTATTGTGGCTGTTGCCACGGGTATCGGGAAGACTTTGCTCCCTATGGGTACGGTTTCTTCCTGTACGGCCTCTTGTGCCGATATTACTAGTTCACCGGTAATTTCTCCCGTTGCCACGGGTATCGGGAAGACTTCTTCCTCTACGGTATTTGTCGTTTGAATAACCGGCGACACCGGTTCGCTCATTATTAATGGGCCCGGTTTCTTATCGGGCTGATATTCTAAGTACCGTAATTTATTGTGCCGAACGGCATAAAATTTATCTTGCAGAAAATCCTGCCCCAACAGCACTTTTATCTCGTCTGTGGTTGGCTTAATATAGGCTGAATGTAAGGATTCGAAATTCTTAATTTTTATCGCTATTCTACAATAATGTGTAACGAGGAATCCACGGACTCCTCCGATACCGCGGATGTGTAGCGGTTTAATTAACGGTATTCTTGCGGCTTCGATCTCATTCACAAATTCACTAGAAATTAGTGAAGTCTCTGCACCGGTATCAATCATCACCGGCACTTCAAAATAATTTATTATTGCTTTTATCATTAATGGTGCGGTCCTTCCAGGCTCATCGTTATCGGTTAAGGTTGTAAAATTAATATCAGCATTGCTGATATCCGATAATTCATCGGCATCGGTTTCAATTACTCGTAATCCATTGATTACTATTTCTTCGTTTTTATCCGGCGGTTTGGGTGGAATAGGGTCGGTAAAGCCGGAGTTTACCGCCCTTCCTCGTTTTCCTGCTCAGGCGGAGCAAAGAACGGATTATTATCCGGAGGCGGCGATCCCGATGTCGGGCGTACCCGATCCTCTACTGGGCCGACACTCTGGCGGGAATTACTCCTCTGCCTGGCCGGCGAATTAGGTTCACTACCAGACTGACTACCACTACGGCGCTGGTAGAAATCGGCGGCATATCGCCGATTTCCAGTCTCCGGATCGTGATACGCTAGGTAGGTTGGATTTTCGCATCGCGGTTTATCGCGAAACTGACATTCGCGGAAGTAATGCCCGCACAAATCGCAGTGCTGGCAGTACTTCACCACTCTATTGCCACGCAAAGTTTTCTGCAAGGCTGGTGACCGATCGGTCGCTTCCTGTATCCTGCTGATATTATTCGCCCACTGCTCTTTACGAGACGGTGCGCGACTATCTTCCACGTTATTTCGGATATCGCTGCTTTCAGCCTTGCTGATATTACTACGAATATTGTTACTATTATTGTTACGATTACCGTAACTCGGTTTCCCATTGTTCTTACTGCTTAGCCGCGGCGGGCTGGCCGCCGCTGCCGCGTACGATTTTGGTTGAACTTGTGCAGTTCGCACATTGACTACATCGGCATCTCTATCCTGTTTGCGTCGGACATTGCCGACAGGAATAACGTATTTTTCCGGGTTATTAGACGACAAATATCGCAGTATCTCGAGAAATCTCTCGGGAGTATCTGGTCGCATAACTTCCATTTTATCATGGAGTTTTTCATGCGATTTCAATCCACGCATTAGGAACGATACGAATTGTTCCGGTGTACCATTAAACCCAGCGCGATCGCGCAAAGTCATCATGGCCTGGTAGTAACTTTCCAGAGTTTCCTGGCCAGGTCGGTAATTACGGTTTGTTAGCTCTGCTAACGCGTTAACCGATCGCTTTGAGTCGCCAAATCTGGCGATTAACTGCTGTTTCCACTCACGATAAGTCGTGGGAGCAGCGTTCGACGTGATCAGTCCATTATACCATACGATAGCTTCATCCTTTAGGCAATACGCCAACTCCGTTATTTTTCTCTCGTCTGTTGTCCACCGATTGGCGGTGGCTGCATGATCAAACTTTATTATAAAGCTGTCGATATCTTCTTTGCTACCATTGTAGCTCGGGCGCGATACTGGCTGGCGCATTACATCAGCCAAGTCCGATTTTCTTACAGGACTTACTGTCCTGCTTTGTCCAATGCCTGCTCGCTGAATTTCTTCCCGCAAAATACTGCGGAGATATTGCTGCTTATCAGCACTCGGCATTTCCCGGGAACCACTCTCGTTCATTGCCGAGGGTGTGTGTTGTGCCCGAGACAACTGAGTCTCTTCCGTATTAGCGGCATATGCCCTACTGAGTGGTCGCTCGCCGTATTCTACGGCTTCTGGATTCATCTGTCGATCGTACAGCGTTCGATAATCTTTTGCTAGAATTGAATTTCCCAATTAGGGATTTATGTTCGGTCTGGCTCTCGTGCAGCATAGACTGCACGTTCTTCAGATCCGTCATTTGATTAAAGTTGTTAGTCTTTAATCGCTGGTTCTCCTGCCACACTTGATCAAGCATGGTGTCTTTCTCAGCTAATTGCTGATTCATATCGGAATTTCTAACACGTGCTTCATCTACTTTCGCTTTTAATTCGGCAATTGCCGCATACCTTTCACCTATTACAGCCCGCAAGCCCAATACAATTTTTTCCATATTTTTAAAAGAGCTATGGGCGTGCTGGTACTGATTTTTGTGGTGTTGGACTTCGTCCTCGGCTACTTCCAGCTTCCGCTGCAAATCTCTAATCAGCACCTGATTTGCTGAAATAGTTTCGGTCGCCTGTTTAAGTTCCACAATGGGGGAACCTTTTGCCGGCTTAGCCGCAGAGTTCAACAGCTCGTTCAAATTAGCTGTGTAAGATTGCGTTTTACGCAATGTGGTAGGTACAACTGTTACCGGTTCCTCCTCTTCTTCCGTCGTTGCGGATTTATTCAACTCGCTTTCGCTTACTTGAGAAAACGACCCTGTTGTGGCCGTTGACTCTGTGGTACTATCAGAGCGTTCTGGTGCAGCTGCCTGCACTTCTTCCCGATTATCGGGATTAACCTGTCGAATTTTATCCGGAGTTAGCGGCCTGAAAAACAGCTGATCAGGCGGCTCCATTACTGGTGTATCAAGGAGATTATCTCCCTGATCCATTACGGTCGCTTTGCGTGGTTTACGAGGTTTATTTTCCAAAACTTTGTGGGTGATTTCCACACCTGCTTCTTTCAGCTGGTGTGTTTTACTACGCGTCACCTTATCTGGTTGAGATACTTCGCTTGTGCCAGCCTTTGCTGGTTCATCGGTTATTCCTTTCAGGACCTTACTGGCCGATTTAATAACGTTATCCACTCCCTGCTTCAACCTGTCGATGGCTGGTTGCTTTCTCTGCGGTGAACGATTTACTGGCATTATGCCGTTAACATCTACCTCTATTAGATGGTACAAATCAGGGTTGAATTCTAAACTTATTTCGAGATAAGTTTACGTACTATTCCTACTGCATTGTGGATCAATGCATTTCGGTATGTGGCTGCTTTGCGGCCAGCAGATAATTTCCTGGCCTGGGCGGCTATGAATAGCCTGCTCGGCTATTTCCTATTGTTCTCCCTCCCTCTCTTTCGAGAAAAATATCCGCTGATAAAATCAGCGAGTGCTTTGACTTCTTCGCTTGCGGAACGGTCGTTCCGTCACGACTAAAATATCATCGATATACGGGGTTAAAGGTTGCAGAAAAACAACAATTACTGGTGGTTCCGTCATCATTAAAAGAAATATCAGAACAATTGTTCAAGTACCACTGCAATTATTGGATTGTCACTATCAATCCGTGACGAAGGCAATTCACGGGAAATAATCCCCTTTTCGAACGATCTAAATCGGTATACTAACGGTATACTCTTGTCCCTTATACGGGAAAACTCGTAGGGTATACTGCTACCTAAATCTCTTGTTTTACTGTAGAAATAATCTACATATCGTATTCGTACTGTGTAGCACAGTATGCTTACAATATCGTAATGTTCCTGGGTTCTTCTCCTTGCTGGCGGCCGCGTGCCTTCCGTACCAGCGACGCTCCGTGCTTCAGTTCTGTGGGAGGGTTTTCCTGCTTCTGCTGTTCGTTGCTGGCTATCGTTGGTGGACCGAGGTCTCCACTGAAGGAGGGGAAACTTCTGTGTCACGGCGTGTATGAGAGTACGCCGTTATCGAGTGCAAAAGTTAAGCAAAACTAAGGGAATGACAGGGATCTTAATGCATCTCCACCATCTCGGAGAAGCGTCTACGCTGCATAGAGAAAAACACAACGAAACAACATCTCCTCGAGAGATCGCTTTATTTCCGTGAAATAAATGCTAGAAAAGCCATCATAAAAAAAAAACAGAATCTAATGCAGAAAAAGGGCATGAAAATCATGAAAAGCTAGGAAACGATGTTAACGGTTCCTAGGTTGGCACCCCAATGGCAAACACGATCAGTCGTGTTTGGAAAGCTGGCGAATGGTAAGCCAAGCCAATGATGGTGAGGCGTCCGTGCCAATATCCTGTGCTATAAGCACAACACTCTGACACCTAACAGCATTAACGGCACATATGCATCTATCAGCTAGTTGTTTTAAGGTAGTTAAGGGCACTGGTTTTGACCTATCTGGGATGGTGACATGTAACGGTACCGGTAGCAGCAATGCTACTGAGTACTACTTGGCATGCTCGCGCAATGATAATAAAAAAGGTTCATACGATGCATTACGTACTACGAGTGTCGACACAGTACGTACTACTTAACATTCTACAGTTACCTACCAGTATGTAACTTTCGCAATTCATTGTCAGAATGCCATTTTAATACCGCATTCAGACTATTTCGCAATGCCTATTTACTTACTATACTCCTATCTTTCGCTAAGTTGGCTTATACTGTATGCGTCGCATGCGTTCGTAAAGATCAAATTGAACAAATACTGACCGCAAAAATGCCTTGCAATTTCCTGGTGTTAGCCATTTCTCTGCCTGAATTTTCAGAGAATGACCGCATGCAGCGAAAATCCACATCCGCACCTGTGAAAACTTATTAGTTCATTCAGCTTAATCAGTGCACATGTTTTATGGTGCTATTTTACAAACTTACTCTGCTGATCAAAAGGAACATTAGATTTTGTAGACTGACAGTAGACGATCAAATCAGACAGTTCTCGTGCACAGTTGAACTTGGCCTCTTGATCATGTATCAGCCGACGCTACAAGAAACTCTAAGATATACAGCGAAGTGGCAATGTATGGTGACATATGTGCTGCTGTTATAATTATGGTATTATTGTAACTACTGTAAAATGTAAATAACCCTTATCGCAAAACGCCTACTCGTATTGTTTCAAGGTTTACTTGTTCATTAAGTAGATCCACGCCAAGTCTGATAACCCTTGTCCAATTCTCCATGTCCTCGGCAGTACCACAAGCCAAATTAACGACATCCGGTCTAGGCCCGTTGGGGGAGATGGTCAGTCGGAAAACGAAGGGTTTCCCGTTGAAGCCTTCAGGCACTTCTTGGACTATACAGTCCTTCACATCGAACGATCCTTTCTGCTGTACGCCAAAAATGGCATCCCTGCCGTAAGAGATGTACTGACTGCGTTGTTGATCGGCGACAACTTCGGTTATATCGCGCACGTAACCAGAAGGAAACCATCGCTGCGCCGTGCCGTTGTAATCGCCAATCCACCTATAGAACAGCATGAAAGCACATCACATCTTCCCTAAATACGATATCGCATTACCATTCGCCTTCGACTTTCTTAACATTGGTAATGATGGCTCCTTTAGGAAACGACAACTCATCCGGCTTTTGAGCTGTATACGTGAGTAGCGCTTCACATGAATCCTGCAGCGAAATTAAATTGTTTTGTATTACCATTCCTCGGTACCTCGAGCAGGTGCGCAGTTTTGGCCTCCACTAATTATAAGTGAATTCGAAACTCAGGTTAAGCGTTTTCCGCCGCATTAAACCCGTTTAGGCAGTTCGCAAGTACAAGGCCACTTCGCATTCATCTAACCCCGGTGACCGTAAATTATGCGGAGTTACAAAACAGTAAGTGGAAACCACCACAAGCTGCCAACGAAGGACTAGAAAAGTTTTCGGAGACACTTACGGGAACCGTTTCGCCATGTTGCCAGCTGTTTATATCCCTACAGATTTGGGTTCTGGAAACGTATCCACACAGAACGACACCTTTTTCTCCACATGGAATTGCGTACTTCATGTAGAATGTAACAAAATCGCAAAGATTGTCGAAAGTTTTCGTTTCCACTAAAAAATACTGATATTTTGCTGAGCGTCGTGAAGTCAGCACACGATCGATGTCAACTTTGTTGGTTTCTTTCGCACAACCAGATCCCGTCACAGGTACGCTTGAGGTCAGAGTAGAGCTGTATGAAGATAATACAACGTAAGCATAGTTCATGTTTTTAAAAGAAACATTTTTTAACAAAGCGTATAAACAAACTCTGCCCCTGCACGAATAGCTAACTTCACGCACAGTGTCTGCCGATTACGTACTAGAAAACCCAGAGGTTGTATGCACCAGTATTTTGCTTTCATCCTAAATTACTTTTGCCAAACACAGTTCTTGAAGAGTTTCTTATTATACAGTATGTCCATTGCCACTTCGTGCTGTGCTTTTTGTACCTTGGCACTGTCAATGGTTTGTAATGGATGCGGCAATGACAGACCTGACCTTTATTACTGCAAGAAAACGTGGATATAACCCGATATCAAGTAGACGCATAACAATGATTATGTACTGAGCGGTGGCCTATAAGCATTTAGAAGACTTACAAAAACGACAGCATATAATCCCCCATGTAAGTTGTATTATCGCGTATGAGGAACGTCCCATCTCCCAAATGTGCAGAAGATAAAATCATCTCCTTAGCCTTTTCTCCACGAAGTCTGCCATGAAACCACGGTTGATCCACATGTGAATTCGTTGCGAAATATGGCGCAGTTGTAACAGATTCACGAGAGAACCGAGTCTTTGCGTGAAGACCATCATCGGCATCTGCTGGTTGTTCCATAAAAGATAAATTTGTGGCTGTCAAGACGAAGAAATGCGGAGTCCATCCGTCGCTGTTCTGGTCTTGCAGAAACATTATACCGCTGCCGTAGCAGGTGTCATCCAACGACTCCAGCCGACGGAGAACATGATCGTTTCCTGGCGAGTCAACCGGAATGCGTTCTTTGGTTTCCACGTTTTTCCGGATCTTCTTGTGCTGGTACAGTACAATAGAACGACTTAATACGAATTCCCAAATATTAGCACTGACGTCATTATTTCGGGCACCGCTTCTGACCTTAATTATGATTTTTCGCTTTAGTTGATTAGGCGACGGCATCTGCCTTTCTTCAGGGTCAATGGCTTCAGTAAGAAGAAGATCTGCACTTATTCAACAAACAGCCGTTAACATTCGTACAACTACATATGTAAAAATGTCAATACCTCCCAGTACACTGCGAAAAATGTGTGCCATTCTACGCTGTTGGAGTAGCGAGCAGTGGTCTTCGATGGACAATATCACAGGATAGCTACAAGTTTTACAACGTATCACGATCACCAGTTAAAACAAAAACAGTAGGAAGGCTGAGAAAAATTTAGGGTACCCTACATGCCCTTATTGTGAGCACAGTCCACTTACGCGAGTTAACTTCTGCTTTACCATGTGCCGTTATACCGATAAGCGCGAAGGTTTAACTGGATGTTTTTCTTGAGGTGCAATGGGTATGTCTACCCTCTTACATCTAGTTTGGCGACAAGGAGTAGCATTTTGCTTCTAATAGTTTGTACTCGTACAAAAACTGGCTGTTCAACCTGTGTGCAGTGCATCGGCTTATTCGGCTAATTAATCGTCTTACTCAGAAGATATAAAGGCATGATCGCGTATGCACTCCACAACGTCGTAGAATCGTACCCGGGAGGTAAGTGTGCCACCGTGGTAGATCCACGTCTCATTGTTCGGTCCGTCAAATGTGTCCACTATGTGTGTGTCAGAGAAACAATGTGTATCGACTGTGGCCTTCGTAATCGCATTATTAAATTTCCGTGCATGCACACTCACGCTCTATGCAGCGACAACCCATCCGCAAGCATCGCGCATACGCTGCCGCTTCCGAATCACTTGTTAAGGAATTTCCGGTGAGGTATCTGCCAGTATTATACCATTTATTCTTTCATGAGACGTTTACTGAGCTTTGCTACTATAATTCTTTGCTGAAGAAGATAACTGGCTTTCGCCCACACATTTTATATGCACGTACGTGTTATGGGACGAATTAATCCAGTAGCATGTCAGCGGCTGGTCCATGTCCTGATAAATGCGATCATAGCTTACATCCCAGATTGTATTTTGCCTCGAAAACAGATAATCCAGAGCCTAACATAAGAAGAACTCGACGCTAAAAGCTGCCTTACGGTGTTAGACAGCTTGCTATCGCAGTTTCACTGCATTATGTACATACATAATCCAGTGAAACTGGTGAATAATGGTGTGCAACTTAAGAAGATTGAAGATGGTTTTGTGGTACTTTCGCACGTTTTGACCACTTAACCAAGAACATAATGCTAAAGCCGACGTCCACTTCGGTTATACGTATTTGCTTGTTTTGTATTTTCAACTTTTGTTTCATGTTTTTCTGGGTATGTAGCACAACTGCGCTACTCTGTAGTTGGATCAGTTGTTCAGTACTTGGTGGATTTGATCGTGTGCAGAATCGCCAATTAGGTTGTCGCTGTTTCTGGGTTTGCCGTCGCTGTCACGTAACATATTATGTCCCTACAGATATAACGTGACTGCCAGTGTTAACGCTACCACTCACAGATGCAACGGTACAAAGTTCAAGCAGAGATAACGCTCTGCACAGGGATTGGTTGTATGAATTATCACAGTTGCTCCATTTTCACGCATTTGCGTGATTTCCAACAGTTGATCGACATCAACTTTTAGAATTCACACTTCGCACTCACAGCACTGCGTATACCTACTTATTCGTATACTTACAGTTAGTTTCACTGTACAGTTACACATCGCATTATATTTAATAGCTACAACAAGGCGGTACGTATGATCTGTTAGGTTAAATCGCTTTTGCTTGAGTTACCTGTTTGTCGTAAGATAACTGGTAATTACTCATTAGGTAATTACTCATTAGAACATGTTAACTCGCTAATTACCTATCATTTCAATTATACTTAGACATAAAGTTTACAAGTTTATTTATTTTCTGATTTACCGTAAAATCGTTAATTTTTACAAATTGCAGTTAACTCATAATATAATTACCCGGCTTAGTTTACTTAATTATTAGGACACAATTAGAAATAAAATTATTAATGTGTTGCCGTAACATCAATTTTACCAAAGACTTCAGTGCAGCTAAACAGACACCATGCGTTTTGCACGTTCAAAGATAACCACGTTGTGAATGCTTGTGTTATCTTCCGAATGGTCTGTTTTTTAATGGCTCACGGCATATGAATCATGCGGCATCTGCCAGTGATAGTGTTGTCACTGCCAGTCACGTTATATCTGTAGGGACATATTGGTGGAGGTCAATTACATTTGGGTAACCGTTGCGCGTCGGGTAACGGGGAAACGCGTAAAAAACGTGACGTAACAGCGCGTAAGCTAGTAAGCATTCTGATTCGTGATCACAAAATCTGGGATGGGTTTTTAGCTTACTTGTCCGCGTAAGCGTTGCGCTTCGACGTCGAAGCGCAACCGTTACCCAAACTACGAGTAACTCGCGCCTCTCCTGCACAGATCGACCAAATTTTTGTTTGTTTGAACTAAAAGTGCATCCAGCGATCCAGATTCACACTCCCAAATTCATATTTAACTTTTTTGACGTAATACCACATTTACCACATTACAGCATTAAAAATGAGTTTTTCAGTTCCACGTCGGTGTTCAATTTCTTTCTTGGCACGGAAGCGTACTCGACTCACGATTGGACGATTGTTTTTCTGCTGAGTCATGGCTAATTTTTTACGCGTCTCTCCATTACCCGACGCGCAACAGTTACCCAAATGTAATTGACCTCCACCATTGTATGCGAGCTCCTCAAGGCAAAGGAGGGACAAGTTGGGCCAATCAAAGCTACAGACGGCACTCTCAACTTCTCAAGACTTAACGGATCACGGTGGCGTGGCTGTGCCCGCTCTTATCTACTCTGTACGTACAGGTAAATAGTGTAGCGATAGAAGTTGTACAACCATAAGACCACCCAGTTATGATTCATCATTGCGTTATGAATTTCTGTCCTTTTACCGGCTAGCTGTTCTTCTTCACAATTTCTAGAATTCAGTCTTGCATTCGCTTGTTACAGCTTGCATTAGCTTGATTAGCTTGTTCTGCTTGTTAAACTCTTGTCTAAACCTTGTTCCTTGTGTTGCATTGTTCTTGTCATTAAACATGCCGTGAACTTCCGTTGTTACGTTCAGTAATTGCGTTACGTCAGTAAGAGCGTCCACGACCGCACCGTTGCCGGTCGTGCCAACCTTTCATCCCAACAGCCCACACAACATCGTGGTACGGTCAACACGCCAACCCACTAGAACAGCAGCCAGATCGGCTACTGTTACAATAGCGCCCATGAATTGGTGTGCCCAAAACCCATAGCACCAAAACCGGAGTGTCGGAACTACGTGTACTGGAGTTTTCCGCAGCCAGCTGCGGATTGGAATGCTAAAACGGACCTCTGTTTGGGTAAAAGTCATGGGTCCGGCATGGGAAATTCGGCGGCTTGCATGTAGAAATTGGTCCATAACTTCCGACACTTTGATGTGCTGTTTCGCCCAGGCTTCGTGCTGTTCATTAAGCAGGAAGCGCTGAAATTCTTTGTGCTTAACGGTTTGTCGGTTGCTCGAGCAAGCTCCAAAACAAATCACAAAAACCTGCACAACATTGCTTTCTTTTAGTGACCTGCACAACATAGTTTTCCGTTAGCTGCGACTGAACTTATCTCTTGGCTCAAACTGACCTGTTCCACGGTCAAGAGGTGGCGATATATGGCGAGAATGCCCTGGAAATCAAGTTCCCCGCGACGGCTAACATCCATTTCCTATAGCATTATACTCGTATCACTGACGCAAGTTTGTCACTGTCACAATAAACGAAATAACGGAGCAGCACTGTTACCCTGAAAAATATTGGCTGCTGCATTACAAATATTATATCGTTACTATGTATCACAAAAGCCACATCCCAACATGATGATTGTTTTCTCGCACCGCAAAAAGATATTCCAGAGTACCTCCGCTCAACGATCTGTAGTTGGCACGGTACAGGAAATTTCTGAGTTCGGCAAAACTGATACTGATAACAAAAAAATGAAGACGCATATGAAACAAGTTATTAGGAAATCTTTGTCCGAAAATTACCATGTTCGGCGGCTCAGATGATTGCATTCTTTGCGAAGCCACCTAGATTAAGCAGGACATTAATTTTAGTTATGCCGACTGCAGGAGCATAAAAGACAGCTTTCAAAGCTGAACCCGTTGTTTCTAAGCTGAAAATAACAATAAGCCTTTCAATAAGACAAAACTTTGTACTGGTATACATGTGGTTAACACTAAAATATTATACTTACGGCAAGGCAGCATAATACGAGTAAAAGAGGATCGTGCAGAAAATGCAGAAAACGGTGCGTCCCTGTTGCGATATTGTATTGTACAGACACTGTTTGCGATAATTATTGTATTGTGAATCATGTATTGCGTACCATTCATGGGAAATTCTTTCACGCGTCCCTGTTGCGATATTGTACAGATACTGTTTGCGATATTTTATTGCGTACCATTCATGGGAAGTCCTTTCTCGTTGTGAAAATACATTATTACTTTTACTAAAAAAGTTGTAGTACGTATTGTTAGATATTTGCAGACGATAAAAATGCAGTAGCTAAACTCACGTCATTGCTTGTGAACTTTGGTATGCCGCATCCCAAATGCATTTAATTTTTGCTTACAAATTTAATAAGAGTTTAGGATAGATATTCGATGTAGCGCCCTGTCACATGCATTACAAAGGTTGGCAGACGTTAATAATGTAAACATACTATACTCGTATGTAATGAAAAAGTTTAAAAGCGTGATAAAAAGCTCTTGTTAAAACGGACTTTTTGTGGCTTCTGTAAACTGTTAATATTATAATTATAATGTTTTCGTCCTGGCTAACCGACCGCAGGTCCAACAGGTTAACCGTTGATTGCAGCACACACGTGTTGCACTTAACGTACCTTTCCAGATGTATGCTGTATGGCAGATTTCTTGACCGCTGACACATCTCCACCAAAGCCAGTAAAATTTTAACAAAGTCATCAATGGTCTCCATGGATTCGCCTAACACAAAAAATCCAAATTTATGGCGCAAAGAGATATGTACCTACTTCAATTTCACAAACAATCTACCAGCACAGCTGAGGGTATTTAGACAAAACTCGGCTCCATAGTGCACCACCACAGTATGCAAATACTGCGTAGCATACGCAGCTGATTGCTCAAATTCCCGGGATATTCGGTCTTTGCGAACATCTTTGATGTTACGAATATCCACTGTAATTGAGCAGTGTTACTGAAAAGATATAACATTTGCTAATTAAAAACTTGCTTACCGAAGTCTTCGAGAGGCTGCTGATGGCAATACTGCAAATGCGTAGTCCAACCAAGTTGCCGCGTCTCGGGACGAATGACAAACAAACGCTTTTCGGGGAACGTATTGGTGTAAAATTTGGTCAGTACGACCCCAGAATTGGTAATGTATTTAGAATAGCGTCTAATGTCATTCCAAACGGGAGCGCTGCTATAAAGTTTTTGCAACTTCCAACGGGGAATTATAAAAATTCTTAACTAACAATTGTAAGTTCAGGTGCGGTACTTCCCTTTTGCTGGCAGCCAGTCGTGACTTCACCCTGCCGTAGCGTCAGCAGCGAAATTCTCAAAAATGTATTCGATCAGTTAGACAACGAAAATATTCTAATCAGCATTAGGGCATAATAATGCCGGCAAAATAAACTTACTGGCTAAGCAAACAGATTGCGATTCCTAAAGTGGGGGCACCTAAACTGAACTCTACCAATGTACGAGTAAGTTGAAAAACGTTGTTCGACAATGTTGCCGGAAATCAAGGCTACGGAAGGCACAAACAGACTGCAAAATATCAGCATTAATGAAACAAATTCAAGCAATAATCGGTCGATCAAGATCGTATCACTTTTATCTGGGAGAATGAGTCATTTGATAGAAAGACTTGGGGTAAAAAGGCGGCAACCATGCAGATAATATAAGCGTAGTATGCATTTCTTACATGCCAGAGTGAATTATTGTGTATAACGTATAAGTACTTCGCTTGCTGCTGACCATGAGTACTTCTACTTCTATTCATCGAAGATGGCTGCCCTAAGCAAGCATCTGCAAGGGTATCTAAAAACTGGATGTGCAGGTAAATGTAGATCAGTCGGCCTGTATCAAATACAGTTGCCCACCTTTAGTCCATTACCAATTAACGGCTGATTTTCTTATACGAGTACAGAGTACTTAGCAATTCTGAATGTCGGCAGGGCTCTATTTCATTTTAAACTGCGTTGTTTCTCTTTGACCTTTTACTGGTAGAGCGTGTCGAAACCGCAGCTGAACCACAAAGATGACTACGGAAACAGCTAACAGACCTGCTACAACATAGAAAACCTTTTCCACCCTGTGCCACACAAGTGTCTGAGCAAACCTTTCCTCTCTCCATCGATGTCCTTTTGTAGTCCATAGGCCGCAATTTTCACTTTTGCATTGTAGGACACCAACTTGTGGATATCAAAAAGATGCTTCACAACGCCCATTTCGACTAGCATCTGGGTTCTGTAACAATATCATAATGCCGATTTGCCGCCTCAGCAGAAGGGATCGTCTAACTGTTTTTTTCTGTGGCTCACCTTACCTTAAAGAAATAGGCCGAGTTACGGAACTATTACGCTTTACTTGCAACATTGTAACCCATCGGTACATGCGTAAATCAAAAGCGGGCATGATTCCTTTGTTGTTGCAACTGGTATTATCATCGAACCTGCACACCACAGCCACGCACAAAGGCGCCGACACATTGGCTGCTCTATCAAACAATGCAGCGTCAGAGTGGTTTGTGTTGTACATGATTATTTTCTTGCTAAGCCCATCCACATAGTTCACCACCTCGAAATGGATCTCTGATTCGGAAGATTATGATTGTAAAAGTCAGATGACAGAAAACTCCGAACGGAATGAAAAGGCAATACGGTTACGCTAACACTGAGCGTTGCGGACAACGAGGTTCTGATTGCTGAATCTATGATTAGCATCCAGACCAACCAGATTGGTGCCAGAAAGTAATAAGTTAATGCGCTTCTTGAAGCACGCACGCCATCTGCAAGAAAAGTAATTTTCTTCTTAATAGTGCAGCACTACTATGTTCTTTTTGGTACAATGACTACAGTGACATGTTTCATATTTGCGAAGAATTAAACTTTTCACATCCGAATGAACTCTTCACGACCTTTGCCTTGGTTTAGCAAATGTTAGAGTGCAATCCCCCAAGTTCGAAATACTTCCGGCCCCATCTTTTCTTCCAAGAGGACACACGCACTGGTGACCTTACCGAACGGTGCAGCAAAACGTTAATTAACCAGAATACTGTGAAAGTCATTAACGATATCCCTGTAATTCCAGTCCATGCAGCATGGTCGAAATCATCCCACAGCCCGGATAAGACTGACACTGTACTACTACTCTGGACATGCTGCTTATGAACCCCAGTTTGATACGTCCGAGGTGGATACAACAGGGGTATCAGGTCAAATTCCACCAATCGATAATCGGTAATGGTTAACGGGCAAAGACTCGTATCAGCACGCCCTCTTGCAAATCTACTGGAGGTCCACCGACCGACGTGTTATGCTCTTCCAGATGGCGATCGGGTAAAAGGATCAAACTATAATATAATAACCGTATATACGTATATATATTAATTTTATGCGCGCAGTCACTGTTTTATTTCCATCATGGTCACACCGCCGCTACCGACTGCCACAATCTTCTCACCTAAGATCCGTTTTATCTGCAAGACAGAAACTGATACCCCACAAAAGCAAGCGCGCATGGAATTCAGTTGTGGTACAAAGTAACTGTATGGGGGATTATCATTTACGCTTTCGACTATAGCGTTGGCGTTGCTAAAGAGGAGAGATTCCCGTTCGGTATTCGAACAAACACGATAAAAATTCCCGCACTGGCTCATGTCGCTTCTCGAGGCTTACTAAAAAAAACACGAATACGCCGGCACTGCATACTACAAATAGGCAGGTAGATGTCCAGCAAACTGATTTGTCTCAAACCGTGCAGGCAGATCACTCGGCGTATACTGTATTAACAACAGATTTTGAATATCTATATTTGGGTACTTGTGCTCCTTTTTGTACGTGGCAGCGTGTGAATACACTCCCTCCAAGAACAAATAAATGTCTCTGATCAATAAGAATGTAATTGATTTGACGTGGAAAGGCATGCAGGTACATATCTGCACGGACTATGATGCAGTCGAAGTTGTAGACCGACGTCTGTCGATTGATACTCGTACTTACGTATTTAAACATCTGCACACTGTTTGGCGCTGTCATTAGTCCATCTATATGTTTGAACGAGCTCGAAGGCGATCAATGCCGATCGTAATTGTCCTTATACGGATGAAACAAATAAAAAGTGATCTGAAAACGCGGCCGGGTCAAAAACCATGGAATCTGGGCAGTGCGACGAGTATTACAGTAGATGCACTGAAAATTACGACGGTCCTAGTCGAAACGTCTCCTTTGTGGAACATCGCCGGAATCTGTTTATTGCCAGTATCAACCATAATCCTCCGTATAGCTACGAATCACCACCGGGATCGTTATGTTTTTGTGGCTTATCCATCGCCTTACTGGACATCGTCGCCACGGATATCCAGAAACAGCTAATCTTGATTCCCGATCGTCACACCACTGACTACGGTACTTCGTATTTTGGATCACCGTATGACGTCCAAACCGGTTTAGTGGACATTAGTGTGTGTCCGCTGAGTGTCAATCCAGAACGGCTCATGGATTTTAATATGATCCAGTCGTATGCCAAGCGTAGTTACCAGATTGGCGTTCACAAATCTCACATGCGACACGGGCCGTTTCCTGTTCTGCCTGGGTTAATTACGAGTATCGATCGCAACGGCTGGTATGGGATATCGCTGCTTTCCGTTGTTCTAGTGATACTGCTGTGGTGCACCAAGGTTCTAGGGTTGCGAAAGGGTGACACCTCATGCAAACGCCTAAAGGTCTTCAGAGAAACGTTTTGGGAAGTCTTCAGTGTTTCCTTAAACCAAGGTATGTCAGTTACACTATGAATTACAGTCTGCTGAGTTATAATTGCCGATCGGTAGAACGTTTCAACGTGCCATGCTTTGTAATCCGAGTTCGGTTTGCTCGTTCCTTATTAGCTGACGTTCGTATGCAACCTTCATACACTTTCCGTGTTATCATAACGATTTGGCTTCCGTGGTTACTGATTACGTCCAATATCATAACCTCTTCGCTTACTGCCATTCTGAGTCTCGCATCCACTGAACTTCCATTTACGTCACTGGATAGTTTCGTCAAATCCGAATTTGTTTTTTTATCTCGAACTGAATACATGTACCAAGAAGATGCCTATCGAGCACTCCGGTCGAAATCGCTAATCAATGCAGCAAATGGGTCGGATGGGATCTTATGGGACATTGCAGCCGATGTAACCTTAAAAGACAAGTACGCTGTAGTGTGCTATTTTAGCGAAACGACTGAGTGCAGTCGCAAAGGACTTGTTCCAGCATTTGAATTAGGGAAGTCCTCTTGGATATCCATTATTCAGCTCCAGAAAAATAGCAACCACAACCAGGAAATAAATTCACGGTATGCCAACATTGAAAAGTTGAAAGAGTGATAACAGCACCACTTGTACGAGTACTAAATATATAAAAATTATATTATGTTGCGAGCGCATTGTAGGATTTTGGCTCTTTCCCAAACTGGGATCACTAAACATTTAACGGAGTTGCACCGACTGATGACATTCAGAAGCGAGATACGTATGCGACGCAATGGGATCCGCAGCCGAAGCAGTTCTGCCTTTTCTTTGGCGCTGGATAGATTGAGTGTAATATTTGAATTATCCGCCAAAAGCTTACTGTTCGCTTGTGTTGCTTTTGCTATCGAACGAATTATCTTCGTCGCCCTTGCACGTAAGGGTTGCCACAGCGAAAGTACGTAGTAATATGCATTAACTGAAAGTTTGACATTACGGATTCAGTTCGTAGCAAAAGTCGAGCCCGCTCGTTTCTTGATCATAACGAACTGCTGCTGATTTCGGTCTAAAACTGTTTTAGCTACAGCAGAAGAAGTATTCAAAACAAAAAATGTTTTCAGAACGGTTAATAGACAGCTCTCACAACGACAGTCATAATGAATCTTTAGATCTAACACTGACAGCATTTGGCAGTATTTAATCGAAAGTGGCCGGTAATGGCAACTGCTAAGAATAAAATGAAATGCCGAAAATGGTGCTTATACATTCTTATGGTTAGGATCGAATTTCTGGATAGGTGGCATAGCTTTTGTTTTCTCTCGTTTAGGGCAAAACAGCTCCTAAAGAAACATTATCGCAATGATTAAAAGCAGCTCTTCGGTTGAAAAACAATACAGCGCCTTTTCTTTCTATTTTGTATACCGTATCATGTCTTTGCCAAAGTTTGTACGACATCACCTTCCCATTTCAACGGCATGACATTCCGTCGAGAATTTCCAGGTGGTGGCTAAGAAAGCCGGCTTCAAATAAATTTTAGCATGCTGCAAGACTGAAATCAAAAACATTTTGGCGATCATGATAAAAATCGTGTTTCGCCTTACCTAAACCTTAGAGGTTTACTGAGCGAGCGAGTGGTTACCCTGAACCTGCATGGGCGATACCCAAAGTCTAAAATTCTTGACCAAATGCCGATAATTTTCTTCAGTCTGCGTTTATTTTTACTTCACTCTGCGTTTATTTTTATTTCAGTCTGCAAGGAAATTTTCGCAAGACGGGTTTCAGTAGGCGCTGTGGCCCACTGGCCACTAACAATGCTTTGTAGCACATCATCCGTAGGATTAGTATCGGAGTATGATCGTTTTATTCAATTCCTCCAGCCTATGGCCGGTCGGTCGCGAAACGATACGGAAATTGAAATCCGAAGCAAGTATGTTTCCAGTTAGTTCCAGGGTACAGGTGATCCACCGAGCGTTGTGTCGTACTCTTCAAGGATGCGATCAGGTGACTAAATAAGACTGACAGCACGGAACCTCTTCTTACAATTAAGAAGAATCAAAGTACGATGTGGAATGTGTAATATCGCGCCTGGTCAGTGTGAATAGCCAACTTTATTAATGTTCTGTTGTGGAACATCAGCCTATGTACTGGCGCCACCGCATGCAGGACGGATACCGACATGCCACAAAAACTTACCATTAGTGATCCATTAACACTGGCCAGAAAACCATCGGAAGGCCGAGTAATATCTCTATATATGCAATGCCACACATCGTTAAGTGACAGAATGACAGCGGTCCGTTCAGCACGCGGACCGACCTTTTACGAATGAAGCAAATAAGACCGTTGAACTCAATTTTCTCTGCAAGAACATATTGTGAATGAAAGAGCCTATTGTGAGCGTATTGATTGCGTAAGCTTGTCGCCTAATGTAGTGGAGGTAAGTACGGTTTCTTCTGCGCCTGCAAAACTGGCAAAACTGGCCTCACTAGCATCTCCAGTGAAATATTGTACAAAGTCATGATTACGATGGAATCGCCAGTGAAATAGGAAACCACAAACGCTTCATAAGGTTTTTCCATATTTCCTTCAAAAAGTGTACAGTATTCCCATTCTACTCTAGTTTTACATGTAAGCAGAACTGCAGAATGGGTGAACTCACTGAACTCGGTTCGCAGGAGATGTCGCATTTGACGTCAGCGGGCACGATAATGGAGCCACATGGTTGCTATGCAGATACTGTACATTTTACACATGTGCAGTGTACGTACTGGTGTAACTCAAATTACTATTCAGGTGTGCGAGATTTCGTGCTTGTCCGTATTTTATCAGAAAAACAGGATCAGAAAAAAGAAGCACTCAATTCAGTGGTTAAGAGCAGTGTAACTCTAAAATAAAAATGACAACGGAAACAACCATTACGCATACCGTTGTGACAAAGAGTTTTTCCAGTCTTGACCACTCAAGTGGCTGAGCGTATCCCTTCTTTTCTGTAGCTACAGATTTTGTGTACACCGTTGGTATTGTGATATGGTATGACATCATCTTATGGATGTCGAATAAATGATTAATAATTCCGGTTTGCCGTAAGCGCTGAACTCTGAAAATTCAGAAATAATTGGTACAATGGATGCTAGTAAAGATTTCGTCGGGCTGCAGAGCTTTACCTGACATTAATCGGTCTGGTCAGTGAACTGTTGACCTTTAGCTGCATCACCGATACCCACCGGTATATTGCTAAATCGAATGTCGGGATAATACCTTTTGCACTACAGCTAGCGTTATCGTCGAACATGCAGTTGACAGTAGCTTTGAGCTGCGGTGATTTGGCAATTATGTTATGCACGACGGCATCCGAATTGTGGACATCGATGAAGGTGATCTTATATTTCAGGTGGGCAAGCTCTCCACCGTCGTAGAAGTCTGTCGGTCGTGACAGGATGGTGAAATCGGATGATAGCAAGCTGTCGACTGAATGAAACGGTAGTAACGGTACATTTATGCTGAGTGCAGTCGTCAACGAAGTGGTAATTGCCGTCATGATGATCAACATCCAAAATATCCATATAAGTAGCATAAAGTAATATGATATGACTTTTTTCGTGCGCAGTATGTCGACTACGAGAAATAAAAATTGTTTTCAATTCTCAAACAAGCGTTACCAGTCTTTTTCGTAAAATGAATCAGTCACCTTGGCAAAACGAAATCCCAGTCACTTCCCAGCACGTCTCGTAAAATGTACTCACTGAGCAGCCATTGCGACGCGGGAAATGTTGTAAGAATCTTGACAAACAATTAGTCAGCCACAAAATTGTAGCGATTGTTAGTGAAACCCCTAAGACACTTATCCAGGCGGTACTGTGAAAGCACCCGAATAACCCATTAAATATAGACACGCTCTCGCTTCCTTTGACATGCGCCTTGTTGATGCCAAATTGGTATGTTCGTGGAAAATACAAGGGGATCATATCAGATTCATATAAGCGGAAGGAGTAAATCGCCAGCGGCGACAAGCTGATAGCCACGCGCCCTTCTTGCAGGTCGATGGGCGCTCCATCCAGAGATGTATTGTGTTCCACAGGATGGCGATCCGGTACATAGACTAGTCTGTCGAGAATAAAGTCAAACGATCCGAAAAGAGCGTACTTCGAATATCCGAATGCGAAAAACGTCGAAGTGTTCAAAACAATATTATGATGGTTTCTTTATGACTCACCGGAGTTTTAACTTATTTGCAACGACCTCCAGAATCGATATCGATAAGCCGCAAAAACAGTGTGGTTCAGTCTCAGGTAAGATTTCGGAGCTGTACGGAGCGTTTTCATTAACACTTACTACTAACAAATCCGAACTGATTTGATCGATATTCTGGACATCGGTACACACATGATAGAAGCGGTCACAATGCATAGTTAGTTCTTCTTTGAGTTTTGTGTTCTGTTGTTAAAGTTTGCAACTGTGATTGAACTGCATGAACTTTAAACTAGACTTGCCGAACGGTGCTCTGGCTAATTACACGGTACGTACAATAAAAATATTTACGATTAGATGCCATAGTAGTACTCGTAATATTGTGACTACAACTCTAATTTACTGTATTGTGCAATGTACAGACTCAGCACCTAACCAACGTTGTGTCTGCCGCGCGATGACTGTTAACTTGCTGATTTCATGATATTCTATCTAAACCGAAGTTCAATACCGAAACAAGACCAATAACGTGCAATAAGCAAATACTGCAGCCGACCAGGTAAACACGGAGCAACGTAAAAGCATTAATAATACCGAAATTTAATGAGACATTTTATTAATGCATCTCGCTCTGCATCACGCGGGGTGTTTTTGGTAGCATAACTGATCTTGGAAATACAGCTAAAGTTTCACTGTCCATGTACTAATATCTATATTTGACAAACCAGCATGAACGGTAAATGCTTCTGACAACATGATCGTATTCTGGTAAATAGAGGTTTTGTTCGAGCCACCGGCACGCTGACAGCTGTTTTTGCGATGTTCCCGCTTTGCTGCCTTTTACATGACTACGAAATACTCGTACAGTACTACTTTGAAAGAGAATGAATGCCAGCAACGCAGAAAGAAAACAATCTCAATTTCACATCAGAAGGTTTACAACCAAGCCGGTTCATATCGGTTCGATTATTACGTTAATTTGGTAGTAGTCTCAAGTTCGTCAGGGTTCTTCATGCACCGTCGTTTAGTTGAACGCAAACCTGATAAAAAGTGGTAGCGTGCAAAAATAAAGCGACAAAAGGCTAAACCACCTTTGATATATTAGCTACCCGAGTAAATCTCGTGCGTACACTGAGCAACCGACTGTGTGTCAATTAAAAAATAAATATAATCACTAGAAATGTTAACATTCCACAAAAAGTGCAAAATTAAACACTTTCTCCAGCCTTTACTTTGAGCAGGTCCTTTTTTCTCAAGTATTGCTTTTGATTGGAGGTATGAATATATGCGATATTGTGCGTAAAATGAGTATATGCGATATTGTTCGTAAATGAATGGCATTATTTTGTGGATAATAGGGAAGTGGTTAAGAATTCCGGTTTCTGAGAGCCTCTGTACTCTGCAAACCCATCGATAAAATCCAAAGTTAAAAACTGGAATATTCTTGTGCTGCATGCATTACTATCTGCGAAAGAGCACATCATTGCATGCGCAGCTTTCAACGCTGATCATGAAGGTGTGTTAGCCACCATGTTATACACGACAACATCTATATACCCCATATTTTATCATAATATTTGTGCAAGTACTACATACAGATAGTATACTCTGCATAGTACATGCAGACATGATATCTTGGCCTAATTTTTCCATTTTCTGAACGAAATTATGGTAGCGGAACTACCGTATAGTAGATAATAGTAGCCATCAAGCTTCGATGGGATCGGACAAGAGTTTTCCTGTCACGACTGCGCCCAGTTTCGGCCCACTTGGTCCAGTAGAAACAGAAGCGTGAATATACTTTCCGGGAGTAGCTTCAATCTGCAAAGCATTTGTCGGACATTTGCATATCGATTAAGGACTTGGAACGGATAAAACAGTAGACGTGCACACGATGAGCCGTTACTTACTTTCATATAGTACACCATTCCAAATGTTAGACCCCCTCCAGGCGCCAACATATCCACCGCCCGCGAGCGATAACGGATCACTCTGTTCAGCGTCACTTGTCCTGGTCCCAGTTTTGATTCCAGCTGATCTCGCACCTGGTATATATATAAGTAATGGATTATGAATTTACAAATTGCTATTACGAATTTTCAAATTTTCGATCGTGATGAGGGTTTTGTTATTAATCGTCGCGGCGTTGCCGCAAATACGGTCAAAGTATTATAGAAACTTACAGCATCGGCGGTGCGCTGAACTTGTGCATTTCCGGGTCTTTCTTCGCTAACTTGACCAAATGGTTGGGCAACGGTATATCCCGCGACCAAGATGCAGAGAAATGTGACTCTGGAACAACAACTATTACGAAGTACTGTAACAGCAACCACTACTGTTATCAATATTGTTACAACAACTATGACTTCCTGTGCACTTGAACGATAACACTACATAATTATTTATTTCGTTCCAGCTGCAATTGGCCATAGTGGCTACAGTAAACACAATTCCTTACCTGAGAGTGTTCAGCATTTTTTAAACGCTTACGGGCTAGGTTATACTGTAGGAATAAAGCGACAAAAAATAGGCAGCAAGGTTTGCGGTTAAACAGGTAGTGGCAAATCAAGGAGCAGCGCTATCAGCAGCATCAGTTATATTATGTCGAATTTAATACCGACACAGGAATTATTATGCTTATCGTGGTCAGTTATGGATAATTTGTCCATTGTTAATTGTACGAATGTTTACCATGAGTTCAGAGGTTAAAGCTGCATACTCTGCAGAGTACAGACTGCAGGTTGTGAATTCAACTGTACGTACGAGTATGTGTCACATGGGTGCCATAATACGGGGCACGTTTCTACGAAAGCTACCATAATAGGTGGGGATGAGACGAGGTAAACGCGGTAATGAAACAATTCTTTAATTTAATTTTGCAGACTGATGATCTTCAAGTTTTTTCAGGTGAACACTGCACAACCACATCGACGCAGATTTGTACTTATACAAAGGTCACAGGCGCGGTCATACTAGAATATAATATTAATTTACTGTTGCTATATATACTTCTATAATTATAGCACTGGCATGCAATATCCGCGCCGTGCATGTGCGATATATGACCCTATTGCGTATAAAGAACGTAAAAGGACTAATGCTTTTGGTACGGTTCACAGGCCAAAGTTGAATCTGACAGTCAGTACTAATTAATAAGTGGATTAGCACTGCTTCGAAGTACTAATACAGCAGGCGAACTTGAAAGATCGCTGAAATTATCGCAATTCGCATGGTCTGCACATTACTTATTACAGACCGTGCAATTCGTATGGGGAGTTTTCATAATTATAAGGATTGTGTACTCTGTACCGTATAGTGCGCAGTACCGTTCAGCGCGCATGCAGCTGGCTATTAACAAACATTATTAATCTCCAATATGTCTTGATTACTTCAAGTTCTTAACTAACAGGCTAAATCAGTACTTGAGCATTTTCGCTCCGATTTGTATTACGATCGCCGAATTGTTAGTTAAGTATTCCAATTATGGCGGCCCCGCTGCGAAGCAAACAGCTTTTCCCGATCATCTCGGACTTCTGTGATAATCTCGACGGAGAGCTGCGGAACATTAGTCTATCTTTGTGGAATCGGCCGGAGTTGGCCTACGAAGAGCACCACGCGCACGATCTGCTAACGGCGTACCTGGAGCAGCAAGGATTCACGGTGCAGCACAGCTTCCATCTGCCAACCGCCTTCTGCGCTACTTTCACATCGGCAGATTTTGATCCTAATCAACACTCGACGGTGTGCTTTTTTGCGGAGTACGACGCTCTACCAACGATCGGCCATGCGTGTGGACATAATCTGATCGCTATAACGGGAGTCGGCGCCGCTGTGGCGCTGAAGATGCTGCTGGCAAAAAGTAAAACCTATAGCACTGAGACCATTTCGGGAAAGGTAAAACAGGCTGTTCGAAAATGCCTTTTCAACACCTCTACACGCAAGCTGCACAAATATGACATGCAGCACATTGTAAATTATCTAATACTGAAAATTAGTTCTCCAGTTTGTCAGAAAAATTTCCCGTATTTCCGTACTGAAAATGTAGATTCAGACCATTATTTTACTAACTGAATGAAGTGATTTGCGTTTTGCTATACAAGTACGATATAAGTTGCACGAAGCAACAGATTGTTGTTTGCCAACAATTACACTATTGTTGCTTGCTGGGTACGTTCTCTTGTGTAAACAGGTGTTCAAGTTTTCCTCAAAATATTATTCACTGAATCAACTGTTTTTAGATAATCTGTATGGGAAGTCCAGCTGAGGAGACGACAGGAGGAAAAATTGACCTTTTGCAAGCGGGTGCGCTTAACGGCGTGGATTTCTGTTTAATGGCGCATCCAGCGGGTTACAACATGGTCGCACCCGACGTCCTAGGATTGCTCGAAGTACAAAATGCACAATTTGTTAATTTGCTGCCTTTGATGCAGGAGTGCGGTTGCCAGCTGTAACGTGTTCTGCGTTTCACAGTGCGAAGTGACCTTCTCCCACGACGCCTCGAACGAATCAAATCTACCAGGTTGCCCATTTGGACAAGATGTACAAGATGCTCAACAATCCGTTGTGGATGCGTCCATCGCGTTGTACGCCAAACTGTCGCTCTTCCGGCAGCAACTGCAGACCGCCAACCAGATTCACGGGGTCATCTATCATGCTGGCGTGGAGTGCCAGGATGGGCGATGGATGGCGCGCTCGCATTATTATCTACGGGCGCCCACTGTGGTTCGGATGGCAGAGTTGAAAAGGGTCTTCCAGAATGCAGTGGATGCAGCAGCCATGTTTTCCGGTAATGTTTCAGTAACTCGTTCTTGTTTTTAATTATTACACCGTGGTTCATGCGGCTGGTGTAGCTTCCTTTTTTGTTTAACCGTTTGTCCGCAAACAGATTGTCAACGGAAGTGCGATTACGCGGTAGTTCCATTTGAAGGACTCATGACGAACCAGAAAATGGGTCAAGTGTACAGAAAGTATGCTGAATTAACAGGTGTGTAGGATTATTTTAATGATTTACAGTAATTGCATGTTACAGTACTACTTCTGTTTACTGTAATGCCATTAACAATAAATTTTTTATGGAATAACAGAAAAAAGAATATTTCCTTTTCCGGTTTATACGTTGGTTTTCTGGATTCAGTTATTATAATTTATTAGACGTATTACATGTGGTGCAAATCACTGCACAAAGTTCAGAGTACAAAGTGATTACAGTAACCGATATTGCAGCGTACGGCGAACATTTGTACGTCAGCAGCTCTTCAAAAATCTAGTTGAATTCCCCACCATGATTTTGCAGGAACGGTATTTCCTGCTCTGCCCCCATCGTACGGCTCAACAGACATGGGGAATATCTCCAACGTTATTCCCAGCATTCATCCCATGTATAGTGTCAGGGCTTCTCCGTCCTCCAACCCAGATCTCCTAATCCACACCGAAGAATTCCAGGTGGCCGCCGGGCAACCGGAAGCGCACCGGCAGACTCTGAACACCGCCAAAGCCTTAGCCATGACCGGATTGGAGCTGTTTATGAATGCCGAATTAGCCTCAACGGCTAAAGAAGAGTTTAGACTGACTCGCGGTGCTTCTCACGCAAATGCCGTTTAATAACGTGCTATTCTGTTGTCGATTTGTAAATAGCTATTAACTTATTTATTATAGCACTGATATAAAAATTATGGTATTTCTTGTTTCCTTATTTTTTATACAGTTCATGCTGCATCCAATATTATCATCCACTTCTGTAATACTCGAATTATTTCGAAATTTGTAATGTTCAAGATTTCAGATCTAGGTAATCTTAAATGTGATAATCGGCTTCATATGGCGTTTTGCACAGGCAGCATAGTCACACGTACCCATGCAGGCAGCCAAAATCTTTGTCAAAATTTATGCCATTCACGGCCATCTGAAACTCGCTGGTTGTATCATCGAGTGAGTGATGTGTTGCTGTATACAATCGATACTTCGGAAATTTATAAACAAGCGGAAGCCTGTATGTATCCATATCTTGGCTGAAAAGTGAGCAATTTAGGCATGATAAGTCAAACGGAAAATCATAAAAGAGCACAGCTGTTATCTGTTTACCGGAAGACGGTAGCGCAACAAACACTCTATGCTTCTTGTGTACCATGCAATTGTCAAGTGCTGCACTGGGCGAGCGTAACGGCATTCGATGTGAAAACCCAGAGTAAGTATTTCACACATCATGTTGAACCTTTGCGACACGACACGCGAAATGAAGTGAAAAATACTTTTAACCACGGTAAAGCAAGCCTCTGCATATTTTATCACATTCACTGTTTATTGTTAATTATTTATCCATAATTTAAAATGAGCGAAACCGTCAGTGCGGCGCCGGCGAATACATCCGCTGTCAGTCTGAACAGCAACAACCAATCGGATGCACCGATTCGACGCGTTGTAGTCCACCCGGATGGCGCTGTTATTCATCGCACATGGACGAAGCCGCTGCATCCCGGAATTCACCATGTGCGCTTCACTAACTTTTACCAACAGTACTACACGGGATCGTTACGGTACAGTCTTTTAACAACTAACTGTTTTATGATATTTCAAAGGAAAACAGTATCACTGCACTTGCGCCGTACGAACTACGAAGTACAGCTAATGACACACACAATTAAATGCTGTATAGAATTCTGGCACATGCGGATCAAATAGTTGTTATATATTTGCGAGGGAAATCGTATAAGCGAATATATAAAAAATATATGTATTTAGTATATTACCGCCTGTAAATGTCACTGGCGTTTTATAGCAAAATGATTTCTTATTTTTTAAATATCTTTCAAACTGATTTGGTTTTGATTTAGAATCGGCATCAGTGGACCGGCGGCGTTCAACGAGGTCATCGAGACTTCCACGTTACTCATCGATGAGGACCGGCAGACCCGGGTCGGGAATGCGACGAGTGGAACCGACGCCGAATCCGAAGCAGCCGAAAATTCCGCTAGCAGTGTCGGTGACAGCCGCCTAGGATTGCTCCATAAGCAAAAAGCAGAACACGAGCTTCAACTGGAGTTTTTGAAGAAACGGTTGGAAAGTTGGGAAGCATACCGACAACTCGTGATTGGTGTAAGAGGAAACATTTATTAGCTGTCGTTGCATCTGAGTTTCTGCTCTTATACCGTAATCAGTGTTTCTAAGTTTATGACGTATTATGACGGTATTATGACGGTTTATGTGCAGAAAACGCAGTGCCCACCGGGCAATATTTTCAAAGAGGGTGCCTTCACCGACCTCTACGATTTCTTTTGGAAATACGAAGGCGAATTTATCCGGTTGCGCAATGTCATCCAACAAACCGAACGGACACTGCGCTCGGTGCAGGCCGCTATCCAGCGACAGCAGACCGGAATCGGACCACTGTTTTCCAAAGTCAGGTTAGCGTATCTCCGTCAAAGTGATGTAAAAATTTGCTGTTCTACAGTATTATGTATTTTACGTACAAAAACGTTAAGTAGTATACAAAACGTATATCCATGGATTTAAGTTTGTTATATACTTAATCGTGTAGTGACATCCGAGTAGTGATACTCGTGGCCGATATACCTGACCGCATCAGTCCAGTGTCACTGGACATATCATATGCCGTACGGGAAGCAGCGTGGAGTCCCAAGTACGATTTGCGCTTTGCCGACAAAGCAGTTCAGGTACGGTGCGCCCACTTCTGGTGACTGGTCACTTTTGGAAATTAAGCGAGAGCAATCGCCAGTGCTGAGCAAAATCTTTTGTCGTAATTTTCGACTTAGATACATGGATTACTTTTGTACACTAGATTTTCGTTGTGTAATTATTATCTATATACCGTATTATATAGTACTATACATAGCGGCTGTATTATTAGCTGTCGTACTTCGGATGCATAAGCCAGTGGAGCGGAGAAGACTGGACGGATGTAGAAATGGCTGTTTCCAGTCGCAGCTACCGGTGGTCCAGTTTGAATGGGAGCTTGTTGGAGCCGGATCTGCCAGTAACTGTGACCAATGTCGACGGACAAACGCCGAACTACAAAACACAATTTGTTAGGGAGGTTGTGCAGCTACCGTCAGCGGAAAATCCACATGTACGATTCAAGTGACTTCATATTATTAGTATCGAAGATGCTGTATTCAGTCAGAAACTGCATTGTATCTGTAGAATGCGAAAGCGAGCGACACTATTCGAGAGATGGCGTACGGCGATTTTACCGTCCAATTACCGGAAGCCGTATCACTGTCGCATGGGAAATCCACACTGCAAGTCTCTTTAGCCAAAGCCCTGCAATTGACCTGCGAATATCGCTACAAATGCGAGCCGGGTCGGGATGGACATGTGTATCGCAAAGCCCTCATCAGTAATAATTCTAGTTTTATTCTGACACCTGGACCATGTTCTATTTACACTGATGGACAATTTGCGGAAATGTAAGTATGGCGTTCTTCGCAGTTCTAACGTTGTACGGATGCTCATAATGCCAAATCCTGATAATTATGTTATTAATGTAACACACAGTGACTGCCATGGGGGCGTCTAAGTATAATTTGTTTGACCACCGTTTGTTTATAATATACTAATTATACTTTTTCCCCAATAGAAGCGACTAAGCAACGATGTTGCTCCTATGGAGACGATTAACATTTCGCTAGGCATCGACGAATCCGTTGTAGTTACACCCAAGATTCCGGTGAAGGTCACGAAGCCGTTAACTGGAGTCAATGCCGCCAGTGATGCTAATTTCAATGCGGAAGCCGAATTCACCCAGGAATACGATGTGAAAAATACGAAAAAACTTCCGGTATCGGTTACATTTGTGACGACGTTTCCTACTAGCAATAATCCTAGATTCAAGGTACGAGTATATAGATACACGGTATTACATCGAGTAGGCACACGGTTTAAATTAAATAATTAATTCCGAAAACACTTTTGCGTAAAATGGATGTGTAATCTCATGTAATTAATATCGTGCTACGTACAATTTATTGAATTACTTAACTGCGTGACATTCGTTTGGTTTGCAAACAGGTGACCCCGATGCACCCTCCAGTATCCGGAAGGCCTGCACTGCCGGTTGCAACCAAAAAGGACAGCGGTGCTGCAGTCAGTTACAAAACCAACCAAGGCAAACAGCAGGTCGACATTCCGGCCGCAACAACAAGGAGCATTCGCAGCATTTACAAAATGGAATATCCGCATAATATTCCTTTGCAATAAAAAACTATTTTGTTACTTCGTCGATTAATGAAGGCGAAACACCCAACTGCAAAACATAGACAGTGTTTGCGCGGTGCGATGCGTCTAAACTCTAAACGTTGTTCGAACAGAAGTACGTACTTATCGACAAAAAATTTTTACGTGCATTTCGTAAATCTTGCATTTTTTAACTGCATTTCGTTCGATGTAAAACCGCTCAATTGGTTTAGTTTAAATTACAAGTGAAGCTATTCGTTAGTAAGATCATAATAATTGAATATAGAATAACGATTGTTATAACATAAAAGTTTACGAGAAAGAGGATTGTTGCCATTTGCCAAATGGCAGTGTTAATTTAATGACAATAAACAATGGGCAATAAGAAAAAACGATAATTCGTACCCTACTACCCTTGTGTAAAACTCGATAATTCGTACCCTTGTGTTATGTGAATAATACTGTATTTTAGTAACTAACTAACCATTAAACATACAGAGTACGTGGTTATTATGTGGCACTTAAAAGGACTGCTAATGAAAAAGTATATTTTTGAAAATTTGAAAAAAATTCTTACATTTTTTTTCTGGAAAGTTTCTAACTTAAAAAAGCCCGACAACGTAAATAACAAATTTCACTTAGATTATTCTTAAAACTAATAAATATTTTGTTCATTTTCGTTCAATCAGCCATCAGAATAACGCCCATTCCGGTGGCCGCTTGAAACAACGGCTCCCATTGACAACAACGTTTGCAACTTTGCTGCCTGCCAAAATTGAATAGCGAACTACAGTACTCGTACTGTTGTAGTTGAGTACGATCCGCTATCATGTGTTGTCACTTCTCAGTGTTGTCACTGTTGTGTGATTTATCTCTCGTCGCCCAATGCAAATTTTCCGTGTTGATCTTTCTTTCTTTCTTTCTTTATCCAATGTTTATTTCCGTAAGAAAAGCAAGTCATTCGAGTCTTTATCGTTTCTTTCACTTTCCGCCTTGATCGATCCCGTCGTTTGCCGACGACATAAAACAGAATGTAGCAAATCGCCCGGTAAAGTGGATACATCATCGTGCAGTAATTCCACTGTTTCATCCCTGAAATAGTCGATGTGCTTTCCCTGCAAGCGAACCACTTGTTGATCATTCACCTAGACCTAGTCGATTAAATAATCGATCATTTTTCCGGTGCTGTTTTGAGATCTTTTAATAGTTATAATTCAGTTGTATAAGACCGTGTGCTCTTCAGCCCCCCTTAACCTCCTCTGTTGAAAAGGAGCCGTGGCACCTCGTTCAACTACGGATTGGCTAGTTTGCCGTTGCATGTCATGGATAATTCCGTGCAGTTCGAGCAGACGCATGTCTTCCCGGACATCAACGGCGCCGACGGGGATCGACACGGCGGACCGGTGGTCTACAAGAACTGGGATCTGGGGGCTGCGCCGCCCAAGGGAGGCGCCAGAAAACCCAACAAACCCATTCCCTTTCTCGGTAGGTAACAATCCGCAACACTGCAGCATATAAACAGTATATAAAAGCAACAACCTAGTACGCTGTTTACGCTGCCAACTTTTTAATGGTTTTTTGCAGCATTTCAAGGTACCAAGAATCGACGTAAAAATAACGAAATTTGAAACTCTCTTCAGTAACTACTAAATAGTAATTCTCACTTACGGTACGAGCATAATGAATTATGTTATTATTACGTTATCTTTCATTATGGTACGAGTGTGCGAGTAGATTGGTAGGACCGATAGACGTTGTAATATTTCGAATTTTATTATTTTTGTGGAATTTTTTTATTTTGGTGCACGTTTTGATTATTCATTATTGCTTTATTGTGACTGTTTTTTTTCTGTTAAAATATTTTTGAAGACCGTTTCTTACAACGATTAAAATCAATAGATCACAGCAAAATGAATATTTTGTGATTTTTCTTTGGTGAGTATCGAGTTTATGTTAGCAGAAGGACGTACTTACTTTTTTACTATTACTCACCTATTTTATTATTTTGGTTTTCTGTTTACAGTTAGCTTTGTTGGTTCATGGAATGGTTGCAGTTGCATCAGAATCAATAGAATGCTATCTGTCGACTACTTTTGCATTTACGAGTACTTTTGTTTACATCTGTATTATGTATGTACAAAATAGTTTTGAAATGGTGGCAGTTAGTGGCAATTACTACTACGCTGAAAATTTCTGTTTACCTAAATGGGTGTTGAGCGGCTTTGATGGTGTGATTAGTTTGATATATCCGTGGTTTTCCTTCCGGCTGTCGTTGTGTGTTGCGAATTATCGGGCTGCACAGGAAACGTGACGATCGATGTGATTGTGTAATCCTTTTTGTAGTGCTTTAGCGAGTTTTTATAAGTGGCCTGTCTTCATGGTGGTAATAATAATGCCGGTTTCTCTCATGCGTGAAGTGAATTCCGAACTCAAGGTTTAGCTGGGCGACGGTATTGAGTCCATAATCAAGCAATTTATGCCGAGTGGAGCAGTTTTAAAAACGCCGATTATCGATTTTTAATAGTAGAGTTATGTAAACAATCGTAAAGTTATGTTTACAATACTTTCTGATCTTCAAGAGCTAAACTTTGTTAAAACAATTGTACTCTGTAATTGAATTTGCTTGCTCGACCTTCCGATTTTGTTCGGAAGTGCAATTCACGCGTCAGTTGGCAAGAGTTTTAAGATTCTACAAATGCATACATAGCATAATTTGTGTTTTCTGTTATTGATGCTCATTCAGTCATTCCTGTTTTCTGTTATTACTGCTAACAGGAGCAGCTTCCTTTGGGATTCTTAATGTGCTTAGTAATTAACTGAACATTGAGTAGGATTTTACGTCAAAGCGATTTTAATTAATTTATCAGAAATATATCGGCTTCAAACATGTTTAATACAAAGTATTCACAGATGTTGATAGAAGTACTGCGCTGATGCCCTGAAAATGCAGAGAAAAGTGTCACTCACCATTTCTCTATTTAACATTTGCTCGAGTTGGTTGCTGGTCGAATTACCTTAATTTTTGTACCCGATTTAAATGCAGTCTTGCAGATACAAGGTCACAACTCACAAGTCAGGTAATCGTGGTTAACAAGAAAAAATAATTTAATATTGCAAAAGAAGGGATTAATATTAAAAATAAGAAGTACTCCTATAGGAAAAGCCTTTACATGGTACTTTGTAGATGACGAGCCATCGTGAATACAAGATCATTTATTATTATTATTACCGTGTCTCAGCGGTATACCTGGACAGAAAAAGTGATTCAAACCTTTATTATCAGTTATGGTTTTTTTAACAGTAAACAGTTAAGGAGTTGCTCCGAAATATCATGTTGACATGGAGTTTTCGAAAATGAACATTAGACGTTTTATGAGCATGCTGAGGTTTTCGTGCCAGCAAATTTTTTATGGTCACGGTCGCATTAAGTATATGATTAAAACAGGCATCAAGAGTTGTGTTTACGCGTATTTTCAGCATCGTTGCAGAAACATTAGTTGCTGCAGATTGATGGGGGCCGGTATCGCAAAGGAAAACCGTAAGCATTTTCCCACTATTTCTTGACGATTTTCTTGGCGAACATGCTGCCTGCATGCTGCCCAAAAAAGATTTTATTACCTTCAGGCGACGTCGCGTTTTGCCGAAATTCCGCCTTTTTCTGTATTAATTGCTTTGATCAACGGTGTTTGTTGCGTTTTCGTACAAATGCGCGCAGTCGATCATGCCTAATTGTTTTTCGGTTTTCATCAAATCATTCTTTTACTAATTTTGAAAAAAATTATCATATAGGTTTTAACCTCAGTGGATTACTGTAAATTAATTATGGAATATATATTTCAAAGATAAGGAATAATGGATTTTTATGACTTCGCAGGCCCCCGACGCCATCTTACATGGGTGCGTACCCCGGTCCATGATAAGTCAATCGAATTATCCGAATTAGACGAAAGGGCATCGGGAGATGGGGATCTGCTGGACACTCATTCCGTCACTGATAATAAATCTCCCCTGCAGAGTCTGACCGATCGGGTCTTTTTCCGCAAACGCACCCAATCGCTTCCCGTCAAAAAGGATGTTCGTAACGGAGTGGGACACCAGAAAATCCCGGTGCCGGCGCGGCGGAGGGAGCGGAAGCTGTGGAATTTAGTGAATATCATGGCGGGTGGACGGAGTTTCCATTGTCCGGAGTGGATATTTCTGGGGCATCCGACAACACTCTTGGGCGATTTAGATCGGAGACAGACGTATTTTCATCCCAAGCTCAAATGTTACATGTTCCCCGGAGTGTTACCGGATGTATTTAATGCGGTGGGTAATATAGAGGTCGTATTCCATTTTTTTGTACGTCTTGTCAATCGTGGCAAGTTGTGCTATTGCGAACTTCTTGGATGAGTTTTAATTAAACCTGGGATAATTTTAAATTTTATACATCACAGTCCACAGATACCACAATAAATTTAGTCAAATCCCATAAATATTTTAAACTGATCGAAAATGAATTTTGAGTACAGCATTGATATTCAAATGGGTCATGTCGAAGTGGTATAAAGTGATTGCCGCGGAAAGGAGAAAAAGTACTGTACTGCGAGGATAGCAGCACGATCTGCAAAGATGTATTTAGATTTTCAAAGAATATTTTCGTGATATTTCCGGTATTACTTAACGTTCTCTTCACGTCGCATTTTAAATTTTAAAACTACGAGTATCGAACCAAACATGCAACCATGTCGCAAAATGCCGCTCACCTGCCATGGCCAAAGGGCTTTCGCTCGTGCTTCCTTTTCGCCATAATTACGAGATACCTTTTCAATCTTTTTAAAATTTTGAAATGCTGTCATTGATGAGCGAAGCTTGACCAAGAGTACCTAAAATTACAAGAATTATCAGTTTCATGGGAATAAAATTTAAGGTGACCCCTGGTGGCAAATGGATTTGGAAAGTTGCGGACCAGGCACTTCTGCTTCAAAATTTTGCATACGGCCCACAGCGTAGCGTTTTGTGACGAATTTTGCTATTTTTTACTAACTATAAGCTACAGTTTTACTCATTTTTTTTACCAAATTTAGAGTAGTACATACCTGCTGTTTATTATGTCGCCTGGTTTTGCATCTTTTATCTTTCATACTTTTCAGGTACTGGAATATTACCAGACTGGCAACCTCACGCGACCGGAGCGTTTGACGTTGAATTACTTCCTGGAGCACATCGAAATGTTCGAATTAGAAGAGGATGCCATTAGTGCCTTATTTATTCGAGAAGGTAGTTGCTATAGACCAACAATTATTTTTCAATATAAATGATGTTACCACAGATACTATAACTGTGGTAAGTTCGTTAATAGTACCTTCTGTACAGAATTTTCCCATCAATTGTTTTTTCGATTTTGATTTTTCTTCACTTTTATAGTTGGAAACGTGCAATATAAAATTATCGTCCTTCTGTGATCGTGCTAACGATAAGCATTTACAATAATTGTTTGTGATGCCTACACCACACTGCTGACTTCTGCGCAGGTGTGCAGCAATTTGACCAGAAAAGGTCGTTCGACGTGAAGATGAAGCCCACGTGCAAGGACATTATGTGGGACATTTTGGATCGGCCCTGGACTGGACCAGCGGCGCGTATTTATTCCGTTATCTCACTAGGATTCACTCTCCTCTCTGTTATTGTCATTATTGTTGAGGTATGTTTAAAAGGGCGTGCACGCTTGATTGGTGGTTAATTTTCCAAATTCCTGCCATATTTGTGCGCTGTTAGCCATCGTTTTCTCGATCATATCGCATTTTTTTTATTTTTTGTTTTCTGTTTTGATCTCCTTGGTCGATTTTGTTTGGTTTTTTTAATTAATTCTGGTCATTATTGAAGATTCGGTGACACAATTTTGTCTGCGTTTTCAGTTAATTAACTTCGTTATTTGCATTGATTTAATGCAATTTTGCTCGTTCCTTTGCTCTGCTTTACGATATAGCCACCTGTTGCTTAGACGTTGCCCGAACTGGAAGACTACAGCCTGATCGCCCGTGCTCCGCTGCACCAGGCCTTTCGAAGTCCCTTCGTCATCATCAACACAGTGTGTTTTGCCTTTTTTTCGGTGGAGTTTATTTTGCGGCTGACCTTTTGCCCGTCATGGAGACTGTTCCTGCGCACATGGACCAACTGGACGGACTTCATCGCACTTTTGCCGTACACTGTGGTGTTCGCACTGCTGTTAACGCATCAAGCCGGTATCATGTCGGTTAGTGTGTTTAATGCACTACGCGGAATGCGTTTGATCCTCATCTCGCGAGTACTGGGCACATCCAGGTTCTATCGGCATCACTGGATTGTTATGCTCTTCCTAAGTACGTTGCATGATTGCACTGACGGGTTGTTATATTTAATTCTGTATTTTTGTTGCGTAGACCTGTGACTTTATGTAGATTTAGCCTTAGCACAGTTTTTTTCTGTTTTAGTACGTAGTGTACGTGTGATTTTTACCAGAGCTGTTAGTTATTTGATGTGCTAGTCTTTGTCAAGAGCGTAAAATTTGCCTGACACGAAGAGCGTACGTCACGCTTTTCCATTTTAATTTTATCCAGTGGTGTTCGCTGCTCGTGCAATGTAACCACCGCTATTTTACTTTACCGCTTTCACGGACAGTTCGTTTGTTGGAAATAGGTTTATTGTTAGTATAGTTACACGTACGTGGCTCTAGTGAGATGATATTGCAATAATATTGGGATTCGATTTATTGATTACGAATTTCCGTTTGTTTTTTTTCGGCTAGCCACTTAAGTTTACGTAAGCGCGTCCCAGTGGTTGCGGTAGGTGTAGCGGTGGCGGCAGCCAGTGTAAACTGCCGTTGCAGCACAGTGGACAGTGAGCAAAGGCTATTTTTTGTTGATTGATAATTTTAATTACTGCAATCCCGAACATATCAACCAGTCAGTCACCTTTTTGCTTGGTATTATTTTTTTTTTTGAATCTTTTTCCTCCAGGTTACCAATTTATGTGATTGTTTTCTCTGTTTTGCTGGCTTGCCGTTGCTGACATGAATGTGTTCGTTCCTTTCCAGCTTCTTATTATTACGTGCCGGTTTAGTTTCTGTTTGTTTTATCACCATAGCCTTGTGGAACAATGTGCGCACGCTTTTTGTGCTGTTCTTCCTGATGATCACGTGCATGCTTGGGTTTGGCGGATTGATGTACGCTCTGGAGGGCATCGGACAGGAGACAGCTAACATTCCGTCAATTCCCGTCGGCATGTGGTGGGCAGTAATAACGTACGCTGTTTCAGTTGTAGTTTTTTATGCCTTATTAATAGCTGTAAAACGGTTATTTTTTGAATTTTCACATGTTATTTTTTACTTACTTTTGTATCATTGTTTACTGTATTATCCTGCTGCATGACTTTACTTGCTTTTTTATTTTTCTGTTTATTTTTTAAATTTTACTTTACTCTGTCAATTTGTTTGTTAATCTTGTTTATATCTTAGTTCCTGCGTATTTTGTCAATTATGTAACCTCGCTGTCTGTATGAGTAATATTTTTCAAGTTGATAATTTGTATGCATAATTTGAATGCATACAGGCATATTTGTACCAACCATTGTGTTTATTGTTTTCGTTTTGACAGAATGACCACCGTTGGGTATGGTGATGTTGTTCCTCAGAAAGCCGCTGGTCAAGTTACCGCGATTTTATGTGGCTGCTTTGGCTTGGTCTTCACAGGGTAAGGTCACTAAGCTGCAAGAAATCCTTTGCAGTCATCTCTCCCTTGCTGTGCAGTGTGCACTGTCATGCTGACTCGTGTACATTAGTGTACTTTTATAAATAAATTTAATATGAACCATTGCATTCAGGCGTTACAATATCTTCCTTGAAAGTAGCTTTTGTAGAGTGATCCGAAATCACAAACGAGCGATGCAGAACGTTTGTGACAACCGTACATGTTATATGAGAATGTAAACCATGGTTTTCGATATCAGTTTCGCAGTTTTGCCCGAAGTTGATCAGTAGTGGAACTCATCAAATTGCCCAGGTTTTAAAAGAACTGATGACAGTACCTAATCTTAACCCTTTTGGTTGTCTTAGTTTCGTACTGGAGTCGATGACGTACGAGTACCACCGTCTAATGAAAGCCAACTCGCAGTATTTGCGCTACAGTGCCGATCTGGCCAGCCGCACCATGCGGCCTCCGCTGGCCGCCCCGGTGATGCCGCGGGTGGCTTCTATCCGCCGCATTCACAGCCGCACCAGCATATCCACGATGGCAGCCAAACAGGAGTGCCCACCAGAAATTCATGTCAGCATTAACGGCGCTGAGTTTTATTTGCCGCTGACAGATCTTTTAAAGTATCCCAACACACTGCTGGGGCATCCGGTCAAACGGGCGCAGTATTACAACCCTACAACCTGTACTTTATGGTTTGTGCGACGCTGGTGGGCGATATTTTCCTGTGTCATTTAGAAGTATTTCACTGCCACCCAACGAATTATTGGATGTGTTGTTGCCATTTTGCCTGTACTTTATTGCGACGTTTTCTTTGAAGTGACAGCAACATTGCTGGATTGCTGGCCATTTTGCCTTATGTGTGCAGCCACTTCGGTTTTTTTTAAAACCATGCGTCTCTTGCGGCTAGTGACGATTTTGAAATTCTCACGGTATCTCAAACGAATACAGGTGAATATTGACTGTTTCGGCATATTCTGTCGAGAAACTTAATGTGCTTATAATCAGTATTTGCGATATTTTGCGCAAAGTTTTGTTTAGCTACAGTATACATCTTTTTGTTATTTTTTTGTTGAGCTTTTTGAGTTTATATCTATTTGAGCTTCGTCTCATCATCAGGCACTTTTGATTCGGTAGCGGCTTTCTACATGGTCTCATCCTAACCTTTTGTAAGTTCGATACATCATTATAATTGCAGATGATCTTTGCTATTCTTCGCTCAACCTTCGTGGAGTTGTTGATGCTATGCTATCTGATGCTTATAAACTCCATGATTTTCGGAACACTCGTATACGCGGTGGAGTGCTGCCATGCGGATGGGAACATCAACAGTATCCCGCGCGGGATGTACTGGGCCTGGATTACCATGTTGACGATCGGCTACGGAGACATCTGGCCACAGTATGATTTGTTTGAATTGCATGGGCATAATCGTGACATGGTGTTTTCTGTCACTGATATATATTGGTGAATATTCAGAACAGCCGTGGGTAAGGTCGTCGGAGGAGGCGTGGCTATCCTAGGCATTGTGTTCTGGACGCTGGTACGTAGTAGTACAGTATATACGTAGACGGGGCCGAAGTTTCTTATTAGATCAATTCTTAACTCGATTTAAGTTTTTTGTGTAGCTAATTGTGTTCTTTTACACTTCACAGCCCATGACACTAATCAGCGATCATTTCGCTAATTACCGGCGTTTGTTTGAAGGTGAGTGGTAGACAATACGGCTTTGAATGAGCCGCTGTGTCAGGTATTTGGAAACAGGTAGGGTAATAACGTGGTTGTTAAATACAGTAATTGGCATTCGACAGATTTCTGTCGAGATGAGTTGAACAGCATGGTGTGGTGCTTCAGCTTAACTTTCGTGATATGAGTACAGAACATATTTACTGCAAGTTTCGCGCTTTCAGTTTTGTTGCGCTGGAAATGGTTACTGTTTAGAAGTGCAAGTTATTCTTTGGCAATCTTACTTAACATGGGTTCTGATCGAAACGCTTACTGGGATGGAACTTTTAGGCCAGGAATACATGATGGAGTGCTTGAGCCGGATGACGCGGCTGCGTGAAAAAGAATTGGAGATGAGGTGAAACAATAAACAGACTACTGCAGCTTTCGTTTTGTTCTCACTCAGCTTAATTTCTTCATAGACTATACTTTAGTGGTGACGGTGCGGTGTATCATTTATAATTATTTGCTGTAGGCGTCGGGGACTGAAACCAACAGTCACCGATCCTGACCACCTTACTCTCCCTCACACGGACGAGACCAAATGCGACCCGGTGGGACTATCGGACCTGGGTGTGGTAAATACGCTCAGTCCAGAGAACGGTGTCCTGGCCAGTCGGGACACGTCGCCAAAACCGCTGCTCAGTCGGGCGCCCTCGCATCACCGAAATCTGAGTAAATCCCACTCGGCCAGCTCGCACCGGCTGCATGTGCCGCATTCGCCGACCCGCTTGTCCAGCTCGCCGGATGGGGATTACTGCCGCTTCTCGCGACTGGAGATGGAGGGACTGAATCGCATCCGCAGTCGGACGAGTTTCGCCACCATCACCAGCAACGAGGGGCTGGAGAGCGGCGACAGGGAGGAGATTGTTATAAAGGGGGAGATTTGATAGTACATGTTCGGTTGTGTCGGACCGGTGTAGTCTGGAAGTTTGTTGGGTGTTTTTGATTTGTGATGATCTGTTTTGGGATTTCTTTTTATAATGTTATGCAGCGATGCATTTATGTGTATGTTAGGAAAACCAAAGTATGTACATAAATCATAAAATATGTATATTAAATGAGAAAAAGGAAAACCGTGGAATCGTGGAATGGAAGACTGAAACCGAAACTGAAAAGCTGGACCGAAAATGACTCAGTTTATCTCTTCCCGAGAGTACACTTCGCTACGTGGTAGAAAACGCAACCAGAAATCTTAAAGTTCTTTTCAGTGTAGAATTTATGAAGTTTTAGTTAGACTAGATCTTCGGTCAGAGCAGATTTATGAGCTAGCGGCTAGCCCACCATGAGCGATAACGGCCTGGAGTGAAACTGATGCTGCTTTCATGGGCGGTTGCCAAGTTTAACTGTGCAAAAAAATCAAAAAGCCGTGTCGCGCCAGCTCCGTGAATACCTATCCTACTGCTTCAGAATCAGACTGGCAGTGTATACAGTTGACTGATTTTATAAATTTGCGATTACAGTGTATAATTGTGTATTTATAATTCATGATCTATCAGAAATTTATCGCAGCTACAGAAGTCAGGTCGCGTTCCAGCGACCCCGCTGTTTATGTGTGTGATTTAATTTGAACACGCGTGGGTTATAACAGCCAGCTATGCTGCGGAATCAGGGCCGCGGTGCGCACAATGCATCGCGATGGAGTCAACCACAGCATTACAGTGTTGGCAAATATGTGGAAGAGGTACGTAGGTTTGCGGAGGTTTAGGTGAGGATGGGAGAATTATATGCATTTGAAGTACTTTTAACTTGCTGTTCCTGAATCACATAGATGAAGTCGGTCGTTCTACTACATGTAACCGTTTGTTCTGTTCTTTCCTTCAGCTTCTGCAAGCCTTCAGTCAGATGGATGGTACCGAGTTCTCGGTAATTGAACGTCTGCTGAATTTATTTGTTTTTATTTTTAGCACAGTTTATAATCATGATGCTAAAGACTTACGCTTACGAAAAAAATGTGCATTGTCAACGATGCCATTAATGTAAAATTCCGGATTATATTTGAGTGCTCTGTTGCTGTACTTCTTGATTTTTCATACTTTTCCCGAGCTTTTTCGAAGTAGAAATTGTAAGTGCATTAAACTGTTTTCTGTTAAATGATTAAACGCTTTCGTTTCCGCTTTTGGAGTAATATGGCTTGCAAGCATTTATGTTTTTTTCTTATGGTGGCCTGGTGTTTCCGGCAGAGTATGATCAGTCTGATGGACGGGCACGCCGATCGTCTGCTGAGCACGGATCTGTGCGAGGCGGAAGCGGAGAATTCGCCGGAGCCGTCGGAGCTGCACACGCTGCACGCGCTGGGCAAGCAGTACATGAACACCGTCTCCTGCCACCTGAAGGTGGTCTACTACCTCAGCCGACAGGACCACCAGAGCGCCTTCAACTACCAAGAGGAGATGGCCAAGTAAGCCGGTTATTGCAGTTTGCTCAAGTGTCGGAAAATGTAAATGAAGCAGTTCCCAAATACTGAGTGGCTTAAAATTGATAACGGTTACAAGATACGTAATTACGTGTTAGACCTTGCTGTTCAGCATAATCTGGAGTAATCTAGAATATAGTGCTGATAAAAAAATTAATCACAATTCTTGAACCGTGATCGACAATGGTGTACTCGTAGTCTTCATAACGATGGCTAAAGAAATTTTCCCATTGTAAATGCCCCTTATGGCCGTCGTTTTCTGAGGGCTTGTGAAATAGTTTATGTTAAAATACTAATTCGCTGAGTTTGGAAATCATCGCGGTTTGCCCATGCAGGATTGTTGCTGCTTCCCTGCCGAAACTGCCCAGTGACGATCTTCCCTGGTATTTGCCGGTCATCAATACGGTGGCACGTGATCTCACATCCTTGGCGCTGAAGGTGGGCGAGGAAATTCATACAATTTTCCCTTCTGCTACGTAGTTGGGCAGTACGATATATTGGTCTTTGTTTGGTTTAGTGCGACCAGTTAATGTTGAACACTGATGGGCAGACGTCCAGCATCGATCGGGCTTTCAATATGATTCAAACCATCGTCCGCACCTGCGCTGCTGAAAAGTAGGTAGAAATATAAGTATTCAAGATAGTGGATATTACTTTGGATTTATCGATACAGGTTATTTATTGCTACTATATTCCATATTTCCACTGTTTTTGCCTTTTACTGCTTTTACTGAATCTTTGAAGGTTTTCGACTAGAGTTATGTACATTTTAAAACAACAAGAAAGCATTGAAAGTTTAGTTGTTTTTTTGCTGTATAATACTTGCGAACTGAACAAACGTTTTTTCGGTGTAAAAATTGTTTAAAGAGTGTTTTTATATGTTGCCCACAAGTCTGGACGTGAGCAATGAAAAATTTTTACCAGTCTCAGTTTTTTTGTGTAGTCAAACATTATGCGACCGGTCTGCACGAGTGATACAGATGTTTATATGCATTAAGCCATTAAGGACCCAAAATTGTCGCTGCATTCAGCTGTGCAGCTTTTGCCAGTTTTTGTAATTAACGCTGTAATAGTATGCAAGTACTAACACTGTCATGCACTTGTAGGGTGTAAACATAAGTACTGTTTATTTAGGGGGGCAGCGGAGGAAGTATCGAAGAAACGTGCTTTGGTGCCATTGGTCAATCAACTGTTTCGGCTGTGTTTTCGAGTAAGATTCCAATTATTTTGTAACCCTTATGTACCCGTCATTGGTTAATTTGGTTATAAATTATGATTCTGCAAGTAGCAGAGGAGTTCTGTTGACTGTGAAGATCTTTGCTGTATTACTCTGAAAATATTGTGATTTCGGTTTTAGAATTTGTTATTTACAGGTAGCCTGTACAGTTGTTCTCTGTCATTCCTATTCGTTGAAAAATGAGATGAAGAAAATTTTTTAAAAGTATTTATACTTTTCAGACGGGCCGAGCGAATCTGTGCAAGCCGCTGGTGCGGACCATTGAGAATCTGAAAGTGTTAGACCGATGTCCGGCATCCCAAGTGGTGACGTTCTACTACTTCGCCGGCAAGTTGGCCGTGGTGGAGGGCGACTACGTTTTGGCTGAGCAGAAGCTGACGATCGCCTACCAACGCTGCTCCAAGCAGTTTCCTAATAATATCAAATCCATTCTGCGACTGCTAGTGCCGCTCCGGTTACGACTGGTACGTGCACGGGTTCCCTTAAGACTTTAACTTTGACAGTTTTGCTGTTCTGTTATTTGTACAGTCAACTGTACAAAATAGCAGCCTGAATTTCGCGAAAACTTTTGCTGGGAAGAAAAGATGCAGCGTCTAGCTGGAAGCGTAAAGACGAAGTCTCTTCGTTTACATTCTGACATGTCTCTGCTTACCTGTCTGTAATGGATTCTGTATGGATTGATTACGTTTAAAATTTCTTAGGATGTTCGACCTAATCTTGCGGAAATATCACAGTTTACCACTGTTGCACTGTAGGGCATATACTGTTTATTTGCTACGTGCTTTGCCATTGGTAATCAACGTTTGCTGTGTTTCGGGATTCCAATTATTTTGTACGCCGTGTTGGTTAATTGGTTAAATTTATTCTGCAATGCAGAGGAGTTCTGTTGACTGTGAAGATCTTTGTTGTATTATCTGAAAATATGTGATTTTGGTTAGAATTTGTTATTTACACTAGGTTACAGTTGTCTGTTCTTGAAAATGAGATGAAGAAAATTTTTGTATTTATACTTTTTGGCCGAGCGAATCTTTGACCATTATCTGAAAGTTAGACCGAATCCCTGACGTACAAGTTGGCCGTGGTGGAGGGCGACTACGTTTTGGCTGAGCCTGAATTTCCGCAGAAAATCCATTCTGGACTGCTGCCCACCGGACGATGGAGTGCAAAGAGTTTGCTGTTCTGTTATTTGTACAGTCAACTGTACAAAATAGCAGCCTGAATTGCGCGCTAAGATGCAGCGTATAGCTGGAAGCGTAAAGACGAAGTCTCTTCGTTTAAATTCTGACATGTCTCTGCTTACCTGTCTGTAATGGATTCTGTGTGGATTGATTACGTTTAAAATTTCTTAGGATGTTCGACCTTCGGAAGAAATCTTGCGGAAATATGGCTTGGCACAGTTTACAGGCATTGTGCAAGCACTGCAGCGCGCCGATATCAGTTTATTCCAGCGAGCACGCGATGATAATGAGCGGGACTATATTCGCTGGAGCATATTCTATCTGATTGATAATCTACGTTTGATCATGTTCCGGCATGTCTTCCGAAAATTGTAAGTGCGCAGCTCAGCCTTTTGTCTGGTTTAATTGTTAAATTTATTGTTAAAATGCATGCAGAACTTAATCAATGAGCGTTGGGAATTCGTAGTGTGAACTATAAGTCAGTAATGTAATTGGCACGGGTTACGAGTTTGCTACCGTTACACTACGGTTACAGTTTACACTGGGGCTCGTATCTCGAAACATCATTAGTGATCACGGAAATAGTTTTGGGGTGATTTTCGGTATCCGATTTTGTGCGAAAATTTTAAGGAGCTGTTTATTTTAAACACCTTAACTTCCCATAGATAATCTAGTACTGTAAATTTTCTCCAATGCCTGTTATCTCGGTTATCACAATTAATCGCACCATTCTGCAGATGGAAAGTGCAAAAAGCGCACATCATCGCCGTTTCGGATTTGACGGTAGCCTTGCGGGTGGCGGGCTACCGTACATCCGTCGGCGCCAATGAAGCTGATCGGGATGCGCTGGGACAGATGCCCACCGATGCCGATGCGGAGTGCATTGTGGTTAATCTCATTGGCGAGGTAAATTGTTGCAACAAATGGAAAGCCAGGGAGGTTGCTGTTAGCGGATACACTAATTGCTAGCAATTCTAGCTGTTGTAAAAATGCTCATATGTCGAGGCATATTGGATGCTAAGCAGGTTTTCAGGCATACGTGGATAGATAAATTCAGTATCGTAGCAGTGGCATTGTTTTTCCTTTGTTGACTTATGTGGCTGTTGTAGGAGCTGGTTAAAGCCTACGTGTCCTGGGCGCAGAAGAAGGTCGTTGTATCGAAAACCGACGCCTTTCCATCATTGCGGAAAGGCTAAACGCCAGCGGCATCCACACGAAACTTGCCAGCGCTTTAGAACTTTCCGTTGAAGTTTTAGAACTGTTTTTGAATATTGATGGAGCTCCATGTCTGGAGAGTGGAGACTGCACTATACCATTTGTTAATATTTTTATTTGTGTGCATTTAATAGTGGATTGGATCAAAAGAATTCGTTGTTGCATTTTGTTATTATCTGTTGATCCACGCCGGTCCGTGATATTCTACAATAAAAAGTATGGATCTGGAAATCTGGACGAAATAATTCAATAAACACTCTTTTAATGCCTGCCCTACGTAGCAGTTGGAAACATGGAGTTACAGTATGTATTGTACTCACGAATTACGATTAATTGCCAGTTATCATGACACTGACACGTTGACCATTTAATGTGTCATAAGGAACGAGTTTCAATGTACGGTATTCGAGTAATGTTAGAATACATACTCTCCCGAACCTTTAATCGAATCGAACAAATTGAAATGCCGCAATTGAAGCGAAGGAGTGAGAATCGAAAACAACTGCAAACTCAAGGGCACTCAATTGCACAGTGTACAATACTTCCAATGGTACTGTAAAATTAATGTAAATTACAGTAAGTAATCTGCTTCTTTCGTTGGTTTAAATTCTTGATTATGTAAGTGAAATTTATCGAGTTTAACTTAACAATATCGCATGATTCCGAAACGGTTTGACGTAAAACCTAAAACTTAAAGGTATGTACCCTCAATTGTTGGACATTTATAAGTAAGCTTCGGTAGCTGCTGACATTAACGCGGGACATGCAGCATATCCGGCATTTCCGTACTCGTACAGCATTTCCGGTTATGTACTGTATCTTCGGCCCGCCACGCCACCCTGTCAGCTGTTGCAGACTATTCAACGTCTGGCTGTGTGCCAGATCGAGAACATCCGTCGATAAACTATAAACAGTCGCAACACGTTGTCACCCATTCTCCGTGCTGCCTCGCCATTGTCTCCTGTTTTCTCATCCACAACACCAATATTATTTCTGCACACAATGGACACCATTCAGCGCCGTGTCACAGCAGCACACAGTGGAGAATACGCTCCGCGACCCATCTGGCCGTGGCTGCGCGTCATTGCACAGGCGCAACAAGTCCCTCGCGAAGCGCACCTTTCTCCCGCGATTAAGGCCCCTGGCACGCCTCGCGATGGGGAGCAGGCTGGCGCGACCAGCGCTGGACCGACTCCGGTGCATTTCTCCTCCGGGGAAGCGAGAAAGCAGCCGGAGAAGGGTGTGGAGACAGATAAAGTTGCGGTGGTGAAGCGCAAGGAGAAATGGTATCACGGCGGACTGGCTTCGGCCATGGCGGCCTGTTTCACGCATCCATTCGATCTCGTTAAGGTGCGTTACTACTAATAATGCTAGCATGTTTCTATAATGCATTATTTGGATGTAACGCAAAGTGCGTGGTCATAGGAATGGGATTAAACGGTTTCTGCCGGTAGAAATTACGGTTTTCTTTTATTTATTTTTAGTAATTTTCTCCAACAGATTATTTGTGCTTTTCTTGCTTGCATTTTTTAGCAAGACCAGCATAACAAAACAAAAGAACTATCATATCTATATAAATCATCTTGTTTACGTAATGTAATCATCATGTAATCATCATGTTTGAAGTAATCATCTTGTTTACGTAATGTAAATTAGATGATAATGTTTTTTAAAAATACGAGGTATTAACGGACTTAATAATCGTAAAACATTTTTAATTTTTATGCAGTACTTACAGTAACTTACTTGCTTATGTTGTGCGTCCACAACATACTAGTGTACGTACAGTACAACGTATTGTACCTACGATGACAAGTACTGTACTATCGTACCATATGGTTGGTTTTGAAAAAAGGACTACATAAATCTGTTTTGGTATGAAAATTTGCGAGAAAATTTAGCTTTCAGTGTGTTGGTAAAGAACACCACATATTTGCATCAATATTTTAGTACTTAATTTCATTTATGAGTTAAGTATTTGTGAACCAAAAATATTTCTCGGTGGTTTATTCGAATCTTCCTTCTCTTTCCTCCGGATGCAGCGTGTGATGCAATCGGCGATTATGCAGATAGATAAATAAACGTCTTTGCAGGTTCAGCTGCAAACAGCCAGCCATTCTGCCACGGGCACGGCAGTACCGGAAGTCAAAATGTCCATCATTTCTTTGACAAAAAATATCGTGCAAAATCAGGGATTCTTAGCGCTCTACAATGGCATAAGCGCATCGTTGTTGCGACAGGTATGTGAAATTGTACTTTAGTAATGAGGTGTAAACCGGTATTGTTATCCGACATCGATTCATGTAGATTTTTCCATTCGGATTTGGCTGTTACCTATAGGCCACCCGCCACAGTAATCACCGAGCACCTGGTTTATAGAAAGTCTAGTTACTGGATTAACTATAGATCATCCACGCCTAATTTCTACCGTTTTATTATTATGCATGTTGAATTTATGAGGATAATGCGATGGCCCCAAGGTGATCATATGTAAAATGGTGCGCAACTTTTACGAGTTTAACCCTCCTGCGGTTAGTGTTTTGGTTCGGTATTTATTAATTTTTGTTTTAGTAATTCTGATGTTTCATTTTGCAGTTAACATACTCAACGGCGCGGTTCGGCATCTACCAAGCCCTGAAACCCAGAGATCCCACGGAACACGTATCCTTCCTGGCCAAATGCCTGTACGCCGGGACAGCCGGGGGAGTGGGCGGCTTTGTAGGTGCCCCGGCCGATTTGATCAATGTTCGTATGCAGAACGACAGCAAGGTGCTGGTGGAGCAGCGAAGAAATTATAAGCACGCCGTGGATGGGTTGGTGCGGGTGTCGCGGGAAGAGGGCGTGACGCGGCTGTGGCGGGGATCGTCCATGGTGGTGGTGCGGGCGGTGTTCATGACCATCGGACAGTTGTCTTTTTATGATCAATTCAAGCAAATGTTGCTGGTGACGGGATGGTTTAGCGATACGGTTCCAACGCATTTATTGGCCAGTTCTATGGCGGTACGTTCATTGTTTGTTTTTTAAAATATGCTCTCGGCTTTTCTTATTGAGGCTTGTGTTATGGTTTTATCTTTGCATAAAAGCGTATCGCACCAGAGTAATATTCTAAATATTGGAATTCGTGTTTAACTGATTTTAGCAGATTCATTGTTGTGTTCAGTCTTTTGTTTTTCCAGTTCATTGAAAAGAGTCGTTTTTCGAAGGTTTTGGAAATTTTAGAAATAATGTCTGATTTCATATCTTTCTTAAGGGTGTATTTTAATGCTTTTTGTTGATCGTTTAATCAGTTAACTATTCGCTGATTTTTAAATAAGGTGACCGATTCTCGAAACTGCCCTAATATTTGTCGTTATATAATTTTTTATGGTATTTCTATAATCTGCTTGGTTTGACGTTTTCCAAATTTTTGGTTTTGTTTCAGGGCGCCGCTGCAACAACTATTACACTTCCCGTAGATGTTCTCAAGACTCGCATGCAGAACGCTGCGGCCGGACAGTATCGAGTACGACATTCGAATTTCTTTATGAACAGTGTTGACAATATGATACTTCAAGTGCTGATTTGTCGGGGAAATCCGATCGGTGATGTCATTTCTTGTTTGCCTTGCAGAATCTGCTACACTGCGTGCAGGAGACAGCCAAAGCCGGCCCACTGGGCTTCTTCAAAGGCTACATTCCGGCCTTCGTGCGGATAGGACCGCAGACGGTGCTGACGTTCGTCTTCCTCGAACAGTTACGACAGCGCTTTGGCATAACGGTGGTTTAGATGCTCATTTTAAAAGACAAAAATTAGACTGTTGTGATCACCATTCCGGAAGTCATCGTGCGAACATTTTCGCTCACGGTGTTTTACTGCAGAGCAGATTTGCAATCAAAAATTGTTAAATATTTTTGAAGTCTTCTGCAAAGGATTGATATTTTTGTGGGTTTATACATGATCGGTGCAGTGGTTTCTCCTCGGTGTTTGCGCAAATGTCGGTGCCTTGTTATTTGCATTTCTTTGTGGAGTTATCTTTCTGCAAGCTTTTTATCAAAATTATGATGTTGCTCATCTCTCTTGTGCGGTGCTTCCTAGTATTTAGTGTTGTTGTTATCTATTGAGGTATTGAGCTTGTTTTATGATGAAGACCTCATTAGTGCAAAAAAATTACGCGCAAATAAATGAGATTTTCCGTGCTTTTGGACTGCTGTGATGCTGTTACGATGTTAGTTTCAGATACACGGTTATGAACTTGTGACCCAAAAGAATATCAAACAATGCCACATTTGCAGCTATAGAAAATCAGAACGATTTTTTGTAACAGTGGCGTGCACTTGAGATTGCTACCCTACTGCTTGTTTACAGGTAAAGCACTATAACACTTCAGGTGCAGTATTGTTGTGCAGAATACAGATACAATATATCTATATGTACGAGTACATGGATAAACATCTGACGCACAATATGTTGATAGAGATTTCCGGTGCAGTCACTATCGCACGTCGACATGTTGACATTTCCCTAATGCACGGAAAGTGGTAAGCAAATGTTGCAGCTGCTGAGTAACTGATTTGTTAGCCACGTTCAGCCTGTTTGGCTTTAATAACACTCCAGACTGTCGTCTGCGCCCTCCACAAGAGAGTTCGACCTGCTTTCCGACATTCCATGCAGCTTCCAGCCTTCCGAAACGTGGCGATATGACTAACCGACATTAATATTGTGGTTACTGTAGTTAACGGTTAACATCAGGCGCAACATCATTGATGGTCAGCTGGACGCGATGCGATGCACTACCGTATCGTGTATGCTCAGATCCAACATCTCTGGAATTATACGGCGCAACCACTGATGCGCTAATTGTCAGTGTAGCTGATTATCCGCCCTACAGCTATGAATCGCCTCCAGGGTCGCTGTGCTTCTGCGGACTGACCATTTCTCTGCTCTCTCACATTTCTGGTCTCCTTGATCTAAAGTAAATTCTGCAACTGTGTTTGTTTTTATACATAGCAATTAATTTCTGTTCAGAGAACCCTCTACGGCTACATAGCCATATATTACAAAGGTCACTTAACTGTCTTACTTGCCCATTAAGTGTTCTGTCGAATAAACAGGTTCGTTCTAGTTCCTGAACGCAGCCCACTCTTCAACACGTCGAAAGATGGTCCGCCGTTCGACATCAGCAACCAACGCGCTAACGTCAGCGTATGTCCGTTAGGTATTACGCCGGCGCGCTTGGCGGACTGGGATCTGGTGTCCGTCTACACGGTGCGCACTTACCAGGTGGCCATCCATAAATCGTTGCTCATCGAAGGCGGCACAGAGTCACTCCTGCACGGTATTGCCGACAGTTTTGATGAGTACAGCTGGATCGGTATCACCGCGGTGTCGTTGTGGATTTTGGTTATTTTCTGGGCCAGCAATGTCTTGCTCTTCCGCTTGCAACGGCGACCTGATCAGTTGCATAGCCCGTCGGTGTGGAAAGCTTTTGGAAAAACGTATTGGGAAGTTTTTTACAGCGTCATCAGCCAAGGTAGGGAGGTGCCAAGATAACCTAGCTGCTCTGACTCTATAACGCCTAAAATACAGTACCAACACTTCAAAGTATTGAAAATGGCAACAAAGAATAATAACCATAATACGAAAGTTACTTTCCTAGTTTTGTTTGTATAATCAGCAATGGATCCGTGTTCAGATGCCACTAACCAGCAACCATGCAGTGCAGCAAGGTGACGCAGTAAAAACTGAGAATTTACCATTAGAGCAGCAGTGTTGCAGCAGATTTTCATGATCATTTCCGCCAACATGATAAAAGGGATGTGCGAGGATACACTTCGCGCTTTACAACAGTTACTTGCGAAACTTGTTGCTCCAGTCTTTAACGCCTGCAAACGATGCCACTACTGTCAGCTGGGACTGCTGTTCAAGGTTCCAGGTTACAGTACTTAACAGGACTAAACGAAATACTGTATGTACAGAGTACAATACTCACCTCGCTCACCTGTTGTTGACAATCCATCCCGTTAACCTTACAAGTTTCGAAATCATACCATACCGTACAGCGTAACTAATACTAATGGGAAGCTAGTATCTCACAATACAAGACAGAGAATATTTGAGTAGAGATCTTAATTGTCCCTTACTTATTATGAGTAAAACTAAAACCCGATGATTTACCATGTGTTATCACACCATATTCGCGACGGGTAACTCTGTTTCACGCATAACAGATGGGGTACTATATTGATATCCGTATCCCTTACTAAGAAACCGGAATCGCTATAACATTTTATCAACGTGAGCCATGTAATTAGGCGCTGATCTTTAATTTACAGCTGATATCATCAGATCCAAATACGTAGCGGCGTACAACATTGTCGTCCTGGTATGGTTGTCGTGGGCACTGATTATTTTCTACACCATAATTACCGCATCGTTGGCAGCCACGCTCAGCATTAACCCGACAACACTGCCTTTCGACAGTCCCGAGTCTTTTCTGCAGTCCGACTATATCTTGGTATCACGTCCGATGGATTCATTTCAAAGAGACGCCGTACAGAAATTCACCTCCAAGGTTGTCATACACGAAACCAACAATTCTGATGCATACTTGTATGACCTCGCCGCCGACACCAGCCGGCAGAAAGTGGCGGTTACCTGTATTTTTGTGGATAGTTCGGGATGCAGCGATCGAGGATTGGTGCCGGCTTTCGATTTGGGGATTAAACGATGGGTGTCATTGATACAAATGCGGAAGAATACCTCGATAGTTCCTGGTTTTAATTCAAGGTAATCGTGCCTAATCACTGATAGTATTTGGGTAACGACGGAAGCCTTTGTCTTAATGCACTGTACAACGTTATAAACGTTGCAGAATATTGCGCCTGATGCAATGTGGTGTTCCGCAGCATCTGATGGAGTTACATCGAGTGACCTCTTACCACGATAAAGAAGCGGCGATTAAACCTACGAAAAGGAACAAGGGACGCAAACGAGGTCGCGTATGTTATAACTAACACTAGGCTGCACCGAGTCTTTTACTGCGTTGCTGCTCTACTGTTGTTGTCCCTTGTACTCTTTTTGTACGAAATGCGAAATTGTTCATCATGTTTATCATGTTCTTGCTGGACACTGTTTTTCCTTTTACGGACCACGTAACCTTCTTTCAGTTCATTCAGCAAGCGGGAGTGTTGTACGACTCAGAGTAATGTAAAGCTATGACAGAAAAAAACCACGATCATCATAATGTACAGATAGCCTAATTTTTAAACTACAATTTTAATGAGCAGTTTCATTATGGCATAAAAAAAATTATGGCATACTAATGATTATGCGTAGAAACAAGCCTTTTTACACTGGTGGCGTCAATGACACTAATTAAAACTGAGCCTTCCGGTTTTGATTTTATTAATCGCATCATCGCGCGATCGCGGTATACTTCCAGCAGGGCACATACGGGCGCGTTTGGAAGATTTTACAGTACTAATGCGCTGACAGAATCAAACCGGAGTTACTCGTAAGTTAACCGTTATCCGTCAGCCCTTCGCGTTAAGAGGTTTTGAGAAAGCCACCGGCGATTTATTAGCAACAACCAAGTTAAGTTCCCCACCGCAGGTTGGTGATTGCGGTATGGCGACAGTTTCCTATTGGATGCCGCCTTTTGTAAAAGCGTGACGATATTGGCTCAAAATGCTTTTGTCACGGGTGTAAAAATGTTCATCCTTCCCTTAAGGCCACCCATGGAAATAGCGTTCTTTCAAAAGGGCACAGTATGAGAACGATGAGAACAAATGAGAACAAATTATTAGTTTTGGTGAAGATGATAAATGATGAGAACAAATGATTAGTTTTAGTACTCGCATCTGGGTAGGCTGTTTAATTGGCCACAACCAGCTTTCCCCATAATGTTAAAAGTAAAGCCCATTCCTCATGGTCAGTGTAAGTACTGCTGCCTTTTTTGCGATCTTTCCGCAGGGCAACAATTAAAATGCCGATTACGTTTGCTACACTTATTGTAGAATTTGAAGCGCAACGGTCTTAGACTACGTATGTGCGATTATGTACCCAAACGGTTCGCCGGTTAAAAACTAGCCATTTTTATTCAATTTTCTGTTCATATTTTGGGTCGACGCTTGTATTCAATCACATCAGTGCTAATTTTAAATGCATCGCACTTTACGACTATCGCTGATTGAGTACAGGTAAATAGCTGGTTGCGCGCGTTTTGTGAGTGTAACTTGAAGTCCATTGTAAACTCTTAATACAGGTCCAGAGTACAGCTAGAGTGGACCGTTGTTTAAGTTACTTTGTACTAATTGACAATACCTCACGTACGTTTTGACACAACTCACGAACAAACTTAACAACTGCGTGTTAATGAGATCACGTTCTAAAGGCACATGCACGGCTGCACTTAAAACACGAGAGTAAAAGAAAGTCCTGCATGTTGGTGTGGATCGATAGAGAAACTTGCAGTTGCAGCTATAAAAAAATAAACTGTAAAGCCTTAAGTTAAATATTAAACGTAATAGGCATGTAGATGCTAGCGATGATCGTAGTCCCTTTCATATGGACAGAAATGACAGAACTACAAATAAGCTATTCCCATACGAACAATTCCCAGGATATTGCGGTGTTGGGACTACACTCACTGCAGGTACTCGTACTGAAGTTGCCAATTCTATCTGACTGGCATCATTTCCCATGCTTTCCAATACAGTGTACCGGCAGTGTTATTTGATTTATGTACTTCACCGCTGATTGTTGATGGTGCAAAAATCGATACCTTTCCGAATGTTTCAGTAGCATCGATATTCATCTTTCGGTTTATTTTGGCAACAACACGCTGAATCGGATATTTATATTATTATCCATTAGATTTATGGATAGGCACAGGTTATATCGCGCATGCGAAGCACTACAATTGACTGCATTTTGTTCGCACCAGCGGTTTAAGAACATCGATCCTGAAGCGGAACCACTGGAACTGGCCGATAGTTATGCATCTGACATCATCGTGGTCAGTGTCAGCGAGCAGCCACCGTGGAGCTTTGAGAGTCCGCCGGGTTCTGGATGTTTTTGTGGAATATCGATATCCGTGCTGAATCTAGTGGGCAAACAACTTGGACTGCGGTATGTACCGTTATTTCCTCTCTACGAATTGTCGTTTCGAATAGAGAAATATGGTGTATGAGTACCTAGAAAACCCAATAAGTCCAAGTTCTCAAGGTTTAAAGTGCGCACGGAAAACCCGACCCTGTACGCAACGACTCAGTTGGACGGCGCCAAATACAGCGGCTCTCCAGCTGAACTGTTGCTAGGACGTGTCAATATCAGCATTGCGTCGTTAGCCATTACCTCCGAGCGGAAGAACAGTTTCGATATGGTCACCGGAAACCTGGTGCGAACCACCAAGATTTCGGTGCATGAAAGTTGGCTAACCGATTCCGGCTACGCTACCCAGTCCATACTGGACGCTCTTTTTGATAAAGCCATGACCAATGCGTGGGTGATACTTGTGTTGGCTGCAGCATTTACCGTTGCAACGCTATGTTTAGCGCATCGCCCAAAGGACAAGGAAAACCGATGCACAAAACTGTCCACCACGGAATTGGCACTGAATGCATTAGCTGTTGCTTGGTCAGTAGCCGGCAGTTTCTTAGGTCAAGGTAAGCGACCGCTGGTTGACTTTGTCAACGGTTGCCGAATCCCTGAGTATTCTGCATCTTTCCCACCCACAGATGACGTTCGACGCCCGCGGCACAGTGTCGGCGTATCGATAGCAGTCGCTGTCTGGCTGTTGTGCTTGTACTTTGGCACGTCGTGGATTCTGGGCAATATCAGTTCCAGTCTGGCTGCGTCCGTAATGGCATTGCCTTTCTCCACTATCGCGCAGTTTGTTCAGTCGGATTTTCGTCCGGTAGTGTTACGAGAACGCTCCCCCGTAGAATTTATGGTACAGTTCGACATCGGCCCAGCTGATGTTGCAGGTTTGTGCTCACGAGAAGTAATATTCTACTCTTTCTGTTTCTTGTTTTTTGCCAGGAAGGAAGAGGACTGGAGCCGTTACGTCAGAGGATACGGCGCTTTGATTTTTTCACTACGGATGAATCGATCAAAGTGGTCGGCATTCTGTCACAAACCGAACGGCTTGCCGTATATGAAAGCAATGACGGGGCAGCAATGTACAGCAAAGCAGGCTTTGTTCCGGCCATTAATCATGTCTACGAAAGATTTATCTCCATGTTCCAGATGTTACACGGGTCACCATTGGCATCTCGTATAAGCGATACGTAAGTTTTGTACTGGCAGCATCAGAGAAGCACATTACTTTGCGCCAGTTACAAATGACACAAGGTATAGTTCTTGAAAATTACAGTAAGTACGAGTATAGCGCTGATGATGTCCAACTAGCGGATGGAGAATTACGATCGCGAGGACCTTTGTGTATTAATTTTTGTATTCCTAGAGTAAGCTGGATGTCGTTTACCGGCAGCATCGATCCTGTTATCAATGTATATATGGAGATTATCCATGCAGCGTACGGTATTCCTCGCGTCCCACGCTCGACATTACTTAAAAAGCGTACAAATTCCATCGGCATACGGAGCCTTACATCGACCATCTATGTGTATTTCGGATTTCTAAGTGTTGCCGTGATGATTTTCTGTATTGAACTGTGTTACGCAAAATACTCCGAGAGAAAAGACTGCAATACCGCCAATCAAACTGCCAACACGAGAATGTTTTTCAGAACTGAATAGACAGAACAGATGCTTGGTAAATACGTTATACAAATACTTGTACATATACGTTATTGATTTTCGTACTCTAGTGCATACTCCACTAGAAAAAAGTAAAACTAGTCTGCGGAATACCAATTTCTCCAGGATTTTGTTTTGTTTTTAAGTATATTGACCTTTCAACTCCACATCTGCTTTCCGTTCTCGGCAATACAGTTCTCCAATGATGTACTGAAATTTGATCCATCACTAAACTGGAAGACCACTTGTGCATTGCCGGCAATCGGCCCACCGTGGAAAGCAAAGTACGGTTGCAGTCCGTTGAACGAGCCGGATTTCTCGCCCAATGTTGCACCGACTGGAATACGTCCATTTGTGTTGAATACACCCAACAATTTAAACCAGGCATTGTTCTTCTCTGAACTGGGAGCATAATAGCACCGCGGTCCGCTCGTGTTCATTGCGCTGCGGGTAGAAAGGTTAACGGAGCAGCTGGTCTGTCCCGGCGGCTTTCGCCCGGTGGCGCGGTCCCAAGTCGAAGCGTACAAGTCCAGTCCGCCGCCCAGGTTGGCGTTAGTGACGATGATGTCCATGGCGCCGTGGCCGCAGTCAACGCTCAAGACCTGACCGCACATGCCGGGTTTGTATTTGAGGTGCTGCAGTGCGTCGATGTCACCTAGGGCCACGGGATGCTGGACGGCATAGGAAGCGGATGGCAGTTCGCAGGAACCGCTTTCGTGGGCGGCATGGCGCGTAGCCAGGACGCCGCTTAAGGCATCGACGTTACGCGATGCGAATGCAATGTAAATCACACTCAGAAAGGTCGCGACCTACAAATCATCACTTCTTGAAACCATCCCCTACAGTAGCTGATTGCATCGAATTTCGAAGGCTCCGTTAATAAATGCATATCGGTTATTGACGAATATATTACAGTGTAGGCCAGAAAATCTTAAGTTTCGAACAGAAAATGCTCGTGCATCAATCGGTTGCGGCGTTTGGCTCCCAATACAAACCAGGTACATAATCTGAGAAATATTAGGTAGTAAAACAGATATTTAACAACTTCGATTTCTCGTAATAAACTGACTTACGTTGCTGAATTGCATTTTTGGATTTCCCGGCAGAGGTTTTCTAAAAATTTACAGACAATGTAGGAACTAGACTAACACTGATAGAACAAACAAAAGTGCACTCAAAAGAGACCTTTGGCAAATTTTATGAAAAATTGTTGCTTTATATTCGATTCCTTCTTATGCTCGTATAGATATGTGGTTACTTATCGGCAAATCTGTAATACCCAAGCGATGAAATCGCAAACGGACATCCGAGTCTCAATTCGCATATCCTGCATTGTGCAACAATAATCACAATTTGACTGGGAGAATCCAGTCGTACAATATAATACAGGTGTTGTATACTTGTACTGAAGCAACTGCGCTTTTACGCATACAGTTTTACAGAAGCTGAAATTATTACCGGTAGGGTAATATGTATCAGTGGACCAGAGTGGTACTGTATGCGCGTTTACCAGGGCCGGTTTAAAAACAACGACCTACGAATATTGCACTTTGTATACTTCTGTGGCTCCTGATTTGTAACTTGGTGTGTCAGCGCTTGCACTGTACGAACAACCCTATGTAGTAGATTAGCAATGAATCACCAAAACGGTCATATCTGCGCAACCTGATCAACAGTTTTAAACAGATATGTTTATTGGTAACCGGTTACAGTGACGTTCGAAGCCGCACCTCTGAGTAAAAGTGGACTGTGGCAGGATTGCGGTTCTCAGAATTCCGTACAGTTGATTATTCCGCATTACGGTAAAGTCGATGTCCGGTTCAGAATTGTTTAAAAGTTCTGTTGAAAGAATTCTGCGGTCGCCACTGCAAACCCGCTGAACCGGCAAATTGTTTTCTTGAATACTCGTAACCGATAACTTTAATATCACGTTCGGTCCCAAGCAAATATTTATTTGCATATGAGTATTTTTGACTTACATTCCTGTATCGTCAAAAATGATATCGCTTCGATGCCAGGTACAGTAAGTGTTGTCGTGAGAAGTGCATATTGAGTTCTGCAATCGGTTATCAACTTATCACCAATTAGCTAATACTGTAACTTTGTTTTGCATGTGTTCGTAACTTCTGACAACGTTAACGACGATCCCCGATGATGCAGGGTTCACTTTTACAGATATCGCGTATCCTCTCGTTGTTCCTACTGTCTTCTTACCTGTTGGAAGAAACCCTTTGCGCCGACATTCAGTGGAACGGTAACTGGGCCTTCGGCTGCGATTTCTCCGGTAACGATCTCGATCGCGCCCAGGTACCCGGGGAGCAGTGCGGTGGGCAGTGCTCCAGCAATCCCCAGTGCACGCATTTCTCCTGGACTCGCTGGAACGGTGGGACATGTTTCTTGAAACGCGGATCTATCAGCAAATCCAATGCCATCAAAACCGGGGACGATTCCAACGTATGCGGTGTCATTCGCGAAACTGGCGGTGGCGGTACGCAGACAGGGAAGACGACCCGCTACTGGGACTGTTGCAAACCCAGCTGCTCGTGGAATGGTAAAGCCGACGTGAGCAATCCTGTCAAAACCTGCCGCAAAGACGGTTTCACCCAGCTGTGGGATGTCAACGCCCAGAGCGGTTGCGGCGGTGGAGAAGCGTACGTTTGTAACGACAACATCCCTTGGGCAGTCAACGACAACCTGGCTTATGGATTCGCTGCCGCTCATATCAAGGGCTCCGATGAGCGCGGTTGGTGTTGTGGGTGCTATAAACTGGATTTCACCAGCGGACCGGTGTCCGGCAAGTCCATGATCGTGCAAGTGGTTAACACCGGCGGCGACCTCGGGGAGAATCACTTTGATCTGCAGATTCCGGGCGGCGGTTTCGGGATCTTTGATGGATGCACGCGACAGTGGGGACTGGCAGAGAGTGTGTGGGGAAATCGGTACGGTGGGGTGTGGTCGCGGGATCAGTGCAATGCGCTGCCGCAGCCGATTCGGGACGGATGTTATTGGCGGTTTGATTGGTTTAAGGGAGCGGATAATCCAAGCGTGAACTTTGCACCGATACAGTGTCCAGCGGAACTGCAGCGTAAGAGCAACTGTGCTCGAAAATAGTGAAACCGTAATGCATCACGATTCACGAATTACAGTATGTGGATGTTTACTTATATATAGATATAACTACTTACAGTAGATACGGAAGTTAACAAAACAATTTTCATAGATTTGGCAAGAATATTGGAAGAATTAGCGGATTTTGAATATAAATGCGATAATTTAGTATAAAAATTGATTGTGCAAGTACAATGCTGATCAATTGAACATTGGTTCAATTATCATTAATTCTGTTGTTGTTATACTTCAAGTACTGTCAAAATGTTACAACTTTATTCATGCGAAGGAGCTGGTGGAACTTATGCCTTGGACCTTTAAATGTGCATTGCACTGACCAGTCGCATTGTCTAACCGTCAGTCGTGCGTCATCAAACATTGCTGCAAGCAGTCCCGTTTCTATCGATACTCAAGTAATTACGATAAATTGTTCCATTAAACAATATTTCAATATTAAAACCCCTCTCGTCTCCCAAAACTCCACTAATTTGCTTTCGCAACATCAGCAAGCCAAATTTTATATCGAAGCAGCAAAAACTTAAGGGGAAGGTTCCGCACACCACGTTTAACCACCAAAGTCTCCACACCAGAAATATTGATGCTTGTTACGCTTTTCTTACTTTATTCATCTTGGATAATACTAGGTCTCATGACGTTTACTTCAGTCGCTCGAACACACCTTAATGATTCAAATGGTTTTTTGTCCAGTATTCGATAAAATTACGTAAGTGCGTTTGGTACGTATATAACACTTAACTTGGGTCGACCGTCACTAAACAGAAATTTCGCTTTAATTTTACTCCAGTTCGCTAAAGTGATTTTTCTAGTATATTTCCAATGTTTTACATACAAAGCTATGATACGAGTACAGATACTGTACCTACTCCGCACTCGTATAAAAAGAATGGTTTTTGCTTATTATTCTTAAGTTCTGTAACTTCTATTACAATTTTAATGTAATGTCTCCTCGGGCATGCGCGATGACATCAACAGCAAATTTTACTGCAACGTTAACGGCAGGAACATGGCTTTCAATTTATTATTCACAATCTACACGTAATGGTGAATTTAATGTTCCTTCGGTACGTACTGGGATCAATAGCATATTTTAGTGTATACTTTGGAGACACTTTATAGCTACAGTACTCGTATGGTATGTATGAAAATTATATACTGCATCCGCGCGAGTTTAATTAAGGGACAGAACTACTATAGCCAATAGTTTTGTTATCGACAGCTTCATTGAGGATAAGATTCTGTTGGTGCGCACTATGCAAGCAAAGACACACAAGAGCACCATAAAATCCCTAACACGCTGCTATGCGATACGCCTCCGTGGGATCCTTCGGTATAATTCCCTTTTCCACCGCCAGACTATAACTCCACCGATAATCATTCAGATCCGTTTTCCAGCTCCAGAACACCCATCCGTTTTGCTTCTCATATGCCATCACCTGCGCAGCCCACCATTTCTTATAGAACTCCGCAGCGCCCGGTGAACTGGGATTAAACTCACTTCCCCATTCATCGGAGATCTTTGGACTGATACTCCATTCTCCCACTACCACCGGCCAATTGCCGGAAAGGTCATCATTGCAGCTGGCCCGCAGGTACGCTTGCCGGGTCGGCGGTACCGAAGTGTCGTATTTGATATAGCGATGGTTATCATACGCCGCGTGCCAGAGATCCGTTAATCCGGCTTTAGGATCCCCGGCACCCCAGCGTTTATCCATCGTCATAATGTGTACGCGCTTATCCGCAGCAATATTCAGACTGTTCTCTACGTTTCTGATCACTTCGAATGCTTTCGGGTAAAACTCATGCACCAGCGAATTCTGCCCGCGCGCCGGTTCATTCACAATCTCAATGGTTCCCACGTTGCGGAACTTATGATTGGTGTGTGCCAATCTAGTCATCCAGGCCAGAAACTTGTACGCTCGATCATACTGCCACGATACAAAGAACCCGGCTGTCGGAGCATATTGACCGGTGAACGGCTGCTGGGGCTCTTGCGCACCGGGTGCTCCATGAAGATCCATGATAATGTACAGTCCCGCGTCACTGGCCCAACCACATAACCGTTCCAGATAAGCCAGTCCACCTTGCGGAAAATGCTCACTGTCCTTGTACACGATGTCCTCATAAATCCAGTATCCAACAGGAATTCGAATTGTGTTCAAACCGTAGCTCTTCATCTTCTGAATGTCGGCTTGTGTGATCCAGCGGTCCCAGTGCGCTTGGAATTCCTGGTTGGCTTTGGCCTGACCGAGACGCATGACACAGTCGAATTCCGATTTTTGATCGGCACAGCCCATACGCGTCCATTCCGTATGGGCCATCCATGGTTCAATGACAAATAAGGAGCCGAGATTGACGCCACGGATCTTACCATCAGGAAGCCATGCGCAGATCAAGGTCGCCGTTGATAATAATGCAAAACCGATTAGAATCATAGCAGTAGTTCAAAAAGTAAAAAAAGAGAAAATATTTAATGGTTTGGGACGTCAGATTGTGTTTTGGCACAGGTGTCGACTTTCACGACCAAAAGCATATATTATGTAGTATTTGGCTGATATCGGCAGAAATTACAGCCTTTATTACTTTTTCGCCACGCTCCACTTGTAATACGGGTGGCTAAGCCTGTAGAGTGAGTCAGAAGGATACATTTCCCAGTAATCGAATGTTAAATTTTGTTCATCAGATACCGGTTTTATATGAGCTGTAATTATGACCATTCCCGGCCATAGCGTTAGCCACAGAAGATGCCGTGATAAACTCTCAGTAATAGTATCCATTGCTTCCTTATGTTACTCGTATGAGGTTTAGAGGTAATAGAAACAATACTGCTGCCATATATACCAGCTCATACGGTTGCACCTACAATACTGCTATGTACATGTTCAGGTTGAATATTCGCATCTGCAATCTGCATGCTGCGACGATCGAAACAACAGATTAGACACCGCGGTTCCAAACCCAGACAAATTTTTCCAGAATAATTTCGTGGTCATTGCGAAGAATTGTGCAACAGAGTAAACTTTCTTCCCCGGGTAACTGTTTTGTTCCATTTTATGTTTCGTCTTGATTTCATATTTTGTTGCAATAATTAGCTGAAGTCATAAAACTCGTAAAATTTGAGTTGGCTGCGATTATTAAAAAAATTAACGGTAATAGGCATGGAATAAAAATATATACCGAAAGATCCGTACTTCTACTTGACCTGGAGTCCTCCTTGTGCATCGCATTTTCCTGCTCTTACCACTGGTTTTTTTCCTTTAGGGCTTACTGTTGGCTTAAGGCATTTTTGATATTGTGTTTGTGCAGACCAGCGCAACGCAAAGAGCTTGATGGTCTCAACCTGTCGTCCATTTTGTAGTGCTCAGTACTTTCACTTTATTATGCGAATCCAGTAGGCATGTATAGCACTCCGCTTGCCAAAACAGTGAAACGGCTTTTTCCCAAAGACGAACAACTTGTTTTTTTAGGTATTTTGTGTCACAGCTTCCGGCGTATGTATTCGAAACCATGCGCACAAAGCGTAATAAAAAGAGCTACCGCACAAAAATTTTCACAAACAGCACCATTATTAAGCCAAGCACAAGGATATTAATTTGCAACCGAGATTCCACAGTTCATATTTTCCTCTAAGCTGTGTTGCGTTGAAATTGGAGCCATGGACGTTCTGCGATTGTTACTCTTTGTGATTGTCGGCATATGTGCTATGGTAAGACCGTGTACGTAAACGAAAGACTACAGATAATTTGCAGACATGTTACAGCCAGCATATCGGCACATACAGATGTTTACATAAGAACTTCTGTTTACTGATTTTATCAAAACAGCAAAACGTTCAGTTTATGTCTTCATGCCACTTGGTCTTAAATTTGCATAAGGAAAATTTCGTAACTGTACTAACCGTAATAAAGCACCTATGCCCAGTATACAATCGTTGGCATGAGGCATATTGATGAAATTACTCATAGGTCAGAGCCGTAAAGATGCATGGAACAAATGTGCCATGGTGACGAAAGCGTACTACATAAGTATTTGATGCGGTAATGGTAAAACTCCAGGCTCTAGGGAAAGACACAAGCACACTCTTTTGTAAGTCACTAACACTGTTCCATGTGACCTTTCAGCTGATACCCGCGCAAGCCAGGGTATGCTCAAATCAAAACGGAGGCTGTGACGTGAAGAAATGTTGCCCGAAGTGGAAGTGCGGTGATGATAAAAAGTGCCATTAACAAGTATACTGAGGCGCCGCGAGCTTCCTTATTACATGTACAGCTGAATGTTGCAGTTGCAACGGTTAGCGTGCAAAATTGATTGTGCACGCCTCTGTAATCGATCCTGTAGCTTATTCCACTGCTGTTTACTTTAACTGCCTTGCTACAAATTGTATCTCTTCCAAAGAATTCCTTCCAGTTGCCAAGTCTGAGGTTTAGAACCGATATCTACCCGTACGTAATTTTTAGTTGTTTCTCACAATCAGCTTCTGTAATTCTGAGTAAATCGTTTGCGGCTGCTGGGTGTGTGTCTAGACTCTAGATCGCTAAATGAACCCGTTTAACAAAATCCTTTATAAGCTCGCTATCTACGTAAATTGAACAGGCAGCAATTTTGGAAGTCTGATTGGCAAAACTTTGCTACTGTAATACGAAGTACTAGTATTAGGGCGTTTAAGATATTGTATGTAAAGTGTAGCTGTAGCACATAACATATGTACGCATACTGTAGGTGCAGCGATTTTTAAATTGATATATTAACTGGATAACACAAGCCGACTCACACATTCCATCCGGTTGTTCAAGGCACAGCTTCCGCTGCATTACCGAGTGCTCTATGCATCCTAGCTAAAAATAAAGTTGTCCTATGATTGATGGGGAAACAGCGCAGAATCTACTGCAGTTATTGACTAAGATTCCTTTGGCACGTGCTGAAAATCTCCTTAATAAAAGTGTTGTTATCACTGTGTATCTTTTCAGTTTGATAAGAGAAATAAACGCATGAGGCGGCTACACTTCGTAGCTAGCGTATTTACCAGGTTAATACAGAATACATTTTGTGAAATAACTAGAACCTGTTTTGCGACACTTTTGAAGACTGAACCGGTTTTATTCTCATATACTTGTGTCTTGCGCCATACCATGGATTCATGATTACTATGTTTTACTGCGGTACATCGTTCGTATGGCTTGCAAAGTGAAGTTGTGCGGTAATGGTTTAACTAAGTACTGTAATGAGATTTTGATTTATACAAGTTTTCTCCGAAGTCCTGGTCATCGTCACAATGATTCCAGTGGACCTCACCAGCGTTCGAGAATCCCTGCAGACGGCAAGCCTGCGATCTAGCTCCACGGAATTACGAGCTGGTGTCGATGTCATTACATCCGAGGTGTCTTTAAAATGCAGCCGAATGTGCACAGCATCGCATCGACGCCGAGTACTGCAGATGTTTGCTCTTCTCTTAGCCATTCCGCTACTTGGAATCGGAATACGAATTGATGTAATTGACGTTGCTGACCCAGGAATGTGTAGCAAAGGAGCTTAACGGCGTTTTGTTGTTGATTACAGAAATCTGTGAAACATTTTAAAGCCCTGGTGGAAATGTTGGCAGTTAAAACTGGCATTGGCAGTATTGATATCGGTTTGCTAGGGAATGTTTCGTCATTACGGCTCTGATGAAAACGGCGGGAACCGCCGCTATACTTTGTGTGCTCACATATGTCTGCTTAAAGACTCTTCGAGTATTTATGAAATCTTGCAAGCGATCTCTGAAAAAAGCTTGGCACATTTTGGTAAGTACGTACATTACGTATTATCATTAATTATACCACACTTCTCAAATGTTTAATTTGACGTTGATAACAAACCCTATAAAAGCAGTTTCTGATTGGAGTGACGTTCATCCTTGTTGTGGAAATTGCTGTCGTGGCGCTCATTATAAGGAAAACCGCCGATTCGGTGTACATTGAGAATCTGGAAGAATCGGCGAGGCACTATAGTACTGTGGAGACATCGCTTAATGCAGATGGATCTCTTAAGATCGCCTCCATGAACCACACAGGAATCCGTGAAAACGTCGTCGATACCACCATTGTCAACGCTCTGCAACTTTACGTAAATACAACTTTGCCGGTGTATTACGAATAACTTCTGTTCTATGCAGACATATGTTACTAATCGTATCACAAATTAACTGCAAAAGAAAATAGCACAATTATTTTCGATTATGTAACCGGTTTAGTTAAATGCTGATTTTACAAGTTAACGCTTTGCATGTGCAGCACATCATTAAAACAAATCCTATGTTATAAAGGATCTTTGCTTGCAGTTGGGTTGTTGTGGCACACATACAGGGCACAGTGATTTCGACGAAACACCGTATCATTCCGAGAGGTTCCCCGTCTTGCCACCACCAGTCTTCTGTTGTAAATTCAACAACACGCTGCGCCTGAAATTGCAGAATCGCAACTGCTTTTCTGGTTATGGACGCTACAATGCTGAAATGTCCAATTTCCAAAGCGTACGGACGGAATCATTTCACATAATTGTCGGATTTTGCATAACTAACGAGCACTTAGGTCAGTTAGGTGTATGTGTTTTGATTCATTGACCGTTTTGTCAGGGCTGCGTTCCCGCTGTGATCGAGCTCGTAAAACAAATTCGTTGGATCCCTTATTTTGTTATCGCCACTATCGTTTCCCAGGTATGAGAAGCTTCGTTGCACAATCAAAATAACGAGATATCAAATAAACTGGTTTTATAGGTTCTTCTGACGCTTTTTCTTGGAAGAACGTACTGGCAACTGGAAACGGTAAGGCGCCTAGAAGTATACAACTGCAAAGCCAAATAAGAGAAAAATTTTCATAAATATTTGCAGCGATGGACTAAATCAAAACAAGTGGTAGAATTAGTCAGAGCGGAGCTGGAAGAGCAGACTCTCCACTCCCGAGAGGCTCGAGAAAAACTGGGAGAAGTTTTGGCTAACCGGTGCGAAGTAGGTCTTCCTCCGGGCCGAATATAGAGTTATACATAATATGGCTTGACAGCCATGCCACTTGCACTATGTGTCATGCGCGGTGATTGGTTTTACATTGTTAATCATAAGCTTTCCATCAGCACGCAAGCCGACATACGGAGCATATCGAAGAAGCTCTACGAGAGAAGCATCCACGTAAGCTTCAACAAGAAATTCGTAAGGTATCCACGGAGGTCATCAGTATTATCCACTATATGGACGCCATGCTGCAGCACGGATTGTGCAGTTTGACAAGTTGCACCGCGCGATCCAAATCGGGAAATGACGAGCGTCACGCCCAAAAATTGAAGGAAATTCAAAAGTTTCTAACGGATGAAACTCAAAGCGCTCAGGTGTACTGTCGTAGGAACTTACAATAGCAACCAGAGGTGACGTAAACCTCGCACGATCGTACAAACCGGCATCTGGGTTTGAATGCGAGCCATAATATTGTATAGTAATATTGTATTCATCCAGCTTAGCCCAATCATTATTTTTAACTGGCCGTTGTAATTCGTTGCGGTTGGATTTTGTAGACCGAATCGCCGATATCAACGGAACTCGAAAGTTATTGGCTACAGCTATACGAATGCTGCCACGCAGCGGCATTTGAAGCTACGACACTGCCCCGCTGTAATGACCTTTTGGAGTATATGCGGAGCCTCCTCATCCTGAAAAGACCATCTACATTGAAACTGAACTCTTTCAAAGAAAGCCTGCTGAAAATCGCAAAAGAAATGGGTTAGCAGTCGCCAGTATATATAGCTCAAGATTTACAAAACTACCGTAGGAAGCGGTTTTCATTCAACTGATCGTAAGTAATTGATTTCCTGTTTTATAGAACAAGATATCGGAAACTCCGCAGTATCAGACGACGAGGCAACATATGGGAGAGAGTTTAGCAAAGTCAGAGAGCGTCTCGTTGAAGTTACTTTGAGTTTGCTGAACTCCACCGATGCACTTGCCAGCCGTACGACGAATCTTGAGTCGCCTGTGTGGAATACGTTTCGCGATAATAAGACTGAAGTCCTCAAACTGTTACGCATAATACGGAATTCTTGTCAACGTGACGGTGTTGGAGCCAACGATGTCAGTCAAATGATTGAGCGCACGGAGTCACTCATAAACAAACGAAACAGATTCCTCAAGCCACAGTTTATTGTGCCAAATTACGAATTTAACAACGGCTTTAAGGAGGTGCTTCTTTTAAGGGGTAAAGTTTCTACCGTACGTTGTCTAATACTTACTACGTCGTCGTACTTTCAGATTACCAAAGCTGCCGAAATTTTCAGCAACCTTTCTAGTGAACTCAATCCACCTGCCCAACACAACCATCTAATACACTTATATGCGGGATGTCAGTTGTTGGCATTGGAAGCACAAATCCGCCGCGAGAAATCGAATATTCTCCAGCGCTATAACATTTTTATGCGCCGAAATCGGCGCTGGGTGCAACTAGAACTTGTGGTTCCACACGTCGTGAATTTGCTCATTTGTTATTCAAAACTTGCTCAAGGTAGAAGTGACGCAGAGTTTCGTCAGGAGTTGGTGGAAAATGCCAAATTTGTTTTGAAATCTCTGGAAATCAGCGCGGGAAAACTTGACGATGATCATAGTGCCATAGAGGAGCATGCAACCAGCATTCGCCTGCTATCGCGACATGCAGAAGACTACGCTAGAGTTGACGCGAATAATACACGCTTGCAAGAAGAAACCGTTTAAGCATGACAAAGATCGGGTTTTGCTTATTTTAGTACTCACTCTTTTATAAATGTTGTTGTAGACCGGTGACAGTTGTTGTCGTAAAGGTGAGTTTGCTTGCAATCGATTAAATTATATTGCAATAACTGCATTAGCAAATTATATTATTTGAAATTTAACCGGAGCAGTATTTTCGTAGTGGTAGTAATGTACAAGTACTTAAGCAGAAGATGACCACCTCGTTCTTAATCTTTCATTACTTTTCCCTCGGGTTTACTACTTGTACCAGCTACTCATGCTAGGATAGGTTTACAATACTGCTTACATATGCTAGTGCAAAACTGTTTTAATGTTACTAGTTACTTAATTTTTGCTCATCGGATAGTTCTCTTGTTGGAAGATTTGCCAAACAGTTCATATGGACTTCAGTATGGATAAAGTATAAACAATGACTATCTAACGGTGCAGTGGGCATCGAGGCAAGTTGACCTCAGGCAACAGTTTCAAGTTAAGGCAACATATTACGGGCGGGGATGCAGAATGATGCAAATGCCTGCGTCAGTTGGTACTAACCTTTCGATTCAGAGCGGTGGCAGAGCGTAAACTGACCACAATGAATAAGACTGGTTGAAATTCTAGAGCATGGTTACTTTGACGAGTGAACTAATTCAGTCAACGTGTCTCATCGCGATTTGTGAATTACTTATTTGAAGGGAGAACGTGGACTAGATCTTTCGCATGGAGGCATAGCAGTGGAAGAATATGTCATCATCCAAGATACCTTGCCTTGGATGATGACAATCCAAGGTGATGATTACGTTGGCAGTGCTCGTTGTCTTCGTCCGTATTGATTGTGCTGCTGTTATTTTGGCCGTCTTCGTTTTTGTCGGATTTGTGTTATCTCATTTTCTGTATAGTTAGAAACCGCATTTTTTAGCTTGCAACAGTGCGTAACTGCAACAGTTGTGCATCGAATGAGGAAATTTTCAGTTTTATTGAACAAAGCGGCTTTACTGAACCTTGAGGTTATCGATTATCGAAAAAACTGTTAGAACGAACTGAATAAACCGATGTATATCTTCAAGCGTAAACACCGATAACATGCACCAAACCACAAACCCGCACAAAAATGAAAGCCCTTCTTTTCTATTTCAGAACCGATAAATTAGCATTGTACTACCAATAAGCCAATAATGAAACTAGCCCGTGATATAAACTCAAAAACGTAACAGCGATTAAACTTGCTGCTGAATCCTCTCCTCCCACTGTGCCACTAGGGCGGTCCGTCGGCGCGCTGGTTTCTCCCGTCCACTGTCCTCAGACTGCGGGTTATCACTGGCACTGGACGACTGATGCGTCAGTTCGTTTTTAATGACTTGAACGTTCCGAAATGACCCGTTTTGATCGTCTGCATTTGCGTTGATAACGGATAGCCCGAGAGTTGTGCGTACACGCCTACAGAACATATTCAAAATCAGCAAAAAAGCGTGAAAACGTTAATCCTAATGCGCCGACGAAGCACCCCACAAGTCGCGAATTTCGGATAAGTATGAATTTTACGAAAGAATGTTCATTTATCCCAGAATAATTTTTGTTTACACGATTTATTACCCATGCCGATGCCCTGCATTACCCGTTTTGATTACCCATTTTGATTAAAAAAAAGTAATATACGTATGTGCAGATAGTGGAATCGCTGGGGTGTAAGGGTAAACTTTGCAATGTGGATTACACTGCAAACTGTCAGTATGTAGAAGGCTAGAAGTGGACTTAATGCTGCGGCAAAATACAGAGCAGATGTTGGCTCTTATTACGCCTACTCATTCGTACAAGCCGGTGCGGCTGCCGAGGTATTATAACCTTTGAGACATGGTGCATGATCTGACGGTCTGACCTTAGCTCCTGTTCGCGTTCTTCCATCTCGCGCATCTCATCCGAGATCTTCTTCTCCGTCGTCTTGTACACAGTCTTCTTGGTCATCACCGTTTCCTCAGGGATCTTGGCGCGTACTGCCGAGTAATCGACATACGCATCCCCCTTGCTGCTACCGAAATACTCCCCTGTATGATCCCCATTAAACATCCTCTCCCGTGCGCCCTTTCCTTTGGCCCCACCCATCAACCGCTCCATACTCACTGGCACCTTCATGTTGCTGATGGTGCCGCTCTTCATCAACCACAGCTGATTCTTGCTCTTCTGCAGTTCTAGCGTGTTGAATTCCGCGTCACTGGCACATGTTGGGGAGGTGGGGTTACTGGCCATTCCGGAATCATCGCTAGGAGAGGCATTGCTGGGGAGGATCATACTGACCGGGCGCTCCTTGCGTCCTCCGGGTCTTGCAAATCGATTGTAATTCTCCTGGAGCCGGTTATCATTTTTAACATACTTTTGCTCGGGTACATCGTTCTGCAATTCATTGCGAAAACGCATAACCGGCGCCAGTACCGGTGCCGGACTGTCCGCTTTCTTCGAGTTCTGCTCAAAAAACGCCTTATGCTTGAGGATGTTGCCACGCGGAAGGGTGCTGTTATCGGAGCCGGGTTCGGGTGTACTGCAAAAGGATTCCATTGAAGCGGGTGTCGGTGATGGCTCCGTCTCAATAACGGACGTTGTGCCGTTGCTTAGAATGTCGGCGACATCGGCGTGTTCGTCGGAGATGGATTTTACGCGGCCGTCGCGACGCAGGTCCAGTTCGCGGCGTTTCTGTTCTTCAATTTCCTGCTGGAGACGTATAGTGGCCAGACGGCGCTGAGTGTCGCCATCGATGTCCGATATGCCGGATGACGACGTCGCTGATGTCGTGCGGGAGGTGGCGGATTTGTCCGTGTACAGGTTATGTATAAACTTGGTGTTGGCGGGTGGTTCATCAAAAGTAGCGTCCACTCTGCTGCAAGCAACATCACTGTAACATCATCGTCATGTAAGATGCTTCTATTGCGACCTGACAGTCAATAAAATTGCGTATTTGTAACTCATCATTAAGACTTAATTTCTTTTTGGATATAATAGTTTATTAATTAAGTTTATCAAAAACATATTCTACGTCATAATCTTGTGACCGCTTTTCCATTCAAAATATACTTTTTAAAACAGACAGAACATACAGGTTAAAAGTAATCAACAGTGTAAGTGTAGTAGGTGTGGCGGGTCACAAACGAAGGGATGTGCCTACTTTTGCATAAATAATTCATTTCGTTTTGGCCGCTGGCGAGTTTCAAAGGGTTTCAATTGTGATTTATCCGGAAGCATCCATCCTTTCTCCCGGCGCAGCTCCTCCTCCCTTTCCCTGGACAGTCGAATCTCACGCTCAATGGGCGTCTCGCTTGACTGCTCGGTCTGCCTGTAGCAAACACAAATTGGTAGTTGGTACCTTGCTTATCGTTAGTAGCAATTAACAGATTACCCCTACACACTGTCAACGATCACCGACTGCACTACGCAACCAGGTTAAGTAGGCGCCATTGTCCCTCTCCTGGCCGTTCAATTACGCCATTCTGCCCCTGAACCTTGACACCTTTCAGGCAAATTACCTCCTCCGTCGGGGTTTGTTTAACCGTTACCGTTGCAGTACAAACAACCTTACCTTGACAGATCACAATCCTCATTGACAGCAGCCGACCGTTGCTGCTGTTGCTGATGCTGCAGTCGTTCCTGGCTGCAGCGACGCAGTGTCGGCGTCGGTTGAACGGCACTGATTGGCGGAGCGGGATGGAGGTCCGCCTCCTCCGGTGACTGGCCGGCGCCGCACCCCGGGTTGAGCGGCTCGGTGTCGTCAATGTTGACCAGTGACCATGCACCAGTGTGTGATCCGTTTGACCCAGACTGCAGTGACAGGACGGACTCGGGTGAACTGCTGCGCACTGACACACTGCAACTGCACAGCAACATTACATTACTACGAGTAGTACTTCTTTACTGTGAATTGTGTGACTGGCAGATGTCAACCGCTGACCGTTAGACAGGAAACGGACACTTAAAATTAGAATGCGGGACAAAAATGACACAACGGATGCTAAAGAGAAATACACGCTGCCACTCATAATTCTTTGTCATGCAGCGTTCAAAACTTCAGACTGGTCAATTGGCACAACGAAAATGATTAATGCAGTACGGTAGGTTAGAGTACAGTACTTTCTCTGATCAAAAAGCACTCAGAAACTGACAACGGGAAAGACCGCCACATTATTGATATAATATTATTTCCGCCACTGTCACATACAATTATACGATACAGTGTTATACAGCTACAGCTGAGAAACTCCCATTTTTAATATGAAATTTACTATAACTTATTTTACGATGTCATAATATAAAAAACAAATACTGGTTAGAAAGCATGTTATCTACTGATCTTGAGAAATCACAGAAAAGCAGATTTTGTTGCACGCTTTTTTGTTTTTAATATAACGGCTAATCTTTTAAATTTCACTGCAGTACATACGTATTATGTACTGGAGTGAAATTTAGAAGATTGAGCCGTTAATATGGTCAGCTGAACGGCATCGAACGTAACCACCTGCCCAGAGGTGTGCAAACTGTGCATTAATCCCGGGCTACCAAAATCATTAATTTCGCGGAAATACATTAATTTTCCTTCGTTTTAAGAACATTCTTCCCGGGCAGCTGGGCAAGTAACAATTTTTTCGGTTATGTAAAGTAATAATTATTAACAGGTTGTTAGGTTGTTGCAAGGGTTCTTTCTAAGCGTTTTACACAGAACAACGTTTGGTGATTGTTGGAAAATTTACGCGAACAAGTACTTATACTGTACTCAATCGTCATAAGCATGTGTTTCTTTGGAAATATGAATAGAATGAATAAGTCGGTGTACGGTTGGTGGCTGTTGGCTGAAGTGATTAAGTACAAGAAAACAGTGTAGTGTGGTTGTACCTGCAGCTCTGGCCGCCGTCGCTGGAGCCGATCATATTGGAAACCGGCTCCAGATCGTGGTCGTCCTTGGAGCTGTTGTTGCTGGCGTAGCCGCTTGTATCCCCGTGCCCATCCAACATCAACATGCTAGGGTCGGTGTCCGTGCCGGTCATTTGCAAGGAGTCCGGCGAATGGGACAACACCAGCAGCTCCGAGGGTGGCGGTGTGCCAATTTCCGTGATGCGATTCGCTGGGATCATCATACCTTCGCTGGGCATTTTCAACGCCGATTTCAACTGTAATAATAGTACACTTTCCGAAAATTTTGCCGATTTTATAGGAACACTAACAATAAGGGCGCGTGGCGCCGGTTAATTGCGTTGATGGTAAACAATAACGCTTATTTTTCAAACATGACATGTTTGCAGTTTGCCGGTAGGATAGAGCGAAAACTCATATATGTAAAGTCTCCTGTTGTGCACCTGTGCCGATATGCGCCGTTGGAACCGTGTTGGCAACTTTGCATGCAGTTGCATTTGGACTATTTTATTGGATTGGAAAGTAATCGAAATCAGCATGTATGCACAGTAATCAGAAATTCTACCGGCTGCTACATATGTTTGCCTTCTGTGCTGATAAACTCCAATTGCAAATTACAATATCCTGTTACACTTTCACGCGCGCGCGCGGTGCGCTGCACCAGCGTCAATCAAATTCGATCCATTTAACGAACGAACTAGATAAAAGCCATAAAACTTTTTTTTTCAAAACTTCTTGTTCTCTTTTTATTGTTACTGTAATGTCGAAAAATGCAATACTATTAATTCTGTGGATTATATATTTAAACTTCACAAATTAAAAGCTCATCGTTTACTTTATGGTGTATAGCTAGCTATAGTGATACGCGGAGAGAAGTTGAGCGATGGTAATAAACCTTTTATTTACCACAGTTAAATTAGAACAACATGTTGTACATTCCTTTACCTTGAAAGGTGCGCATAATCATATTGACTTTACAGTTTGATATGCCATTTGATCTGACGATTGATCTACTTGTACATGCGGCCATCGTAACGACGACAGATCTCAAGGTCATCGATTGTCTTTCAAACTCCTAAGTAATGGGTGCGTTTTAAACGCAATAAGCCAGGTGGAAAGCTTTCAAATAGACCTTCCTGTTGGTTATTTAATGATTATCAGTCGACCTGACTAGAAAGGAAGATGTAAAGAGAAATCAGTTTGCAGGAACCTCGCATAAAAAGTAATGATAGCAGTATATATGTCATTACCTATATGATATTAGTCGTCTACATCTAACGATCAACAGCTACATTGGTTAACTTCTGAAAGATTACTTATTTTTGTATTGCTAGAAGAATTAACCGAATGCCTTCTGTATCATATCCTAAGAGGTTTCTAGCGGTACTTCAAGTATTAAGTTTGTTAAGAAAAATAATAATTACATAATTGTGATATCCAAATCATAAAATATTTTTAGCGCCTTTACAGCATTCACACTTAGCCAGAGAGACAGCAAAGGTTGCAGAATTCAAAAGATTTGTTAGATTATTGGAAAAACTTTATTTTGTGACTGCTGCATGAGACAGTTAGTTGTATTACGTACTGTACTGCACTTTTTATGTTGTTGCAGTTGTTGTTTTTATGTATGTTGTGCCATTTACCGTCCACACACTGCGCTGTAATGTGTACAATTATAAACGTTGAAATAATAAAGGCGTAGCACATCTGTAGCTGCGTTTAATCAAACTAACGTCAGAATACTGTATTTTGTACAGTAGAACATAATAATTATTTGGGCTTTAGTTACGAGGTCTCAAAATCTAAACATGGAAAGATTGCGGATATTCACTTATACCGTCATGCGCAGCCATTGCGCGCACCCTATGTATGTCAGCTATATGTAGCATTCGCTTACCTTCAGCTTCTGCACAGACTGTTCTTCCAGATGCTGACGGTACTTGGCCAGTTCCTCATCCGTGGGGAAATCATCCATTAAATCCATGATATCACTGGGAAACACTACCCACTAATCCAGCTAAATCCAATATCGTTCATTAAGCGTGATACAACAGTGTGAAAAACTCGAAAATGACTCCGCTTGACGCGGTGTTGTCCACGCGATGACCTTACCGCGGTGCCGCTACACTACACACTGATGCCGGTGCGTCGATCGCAGCCGAACGTCCCGGCTCATGTACCTCGTGTACAGCAGTGCACTGCACCTACCGGTCAGCGTCGTGGCCGCGCGTACAGCTCAAGTGTATTACATGAGAGGCAGCCTCATGCGCACAACACACACACATTCACTTCACTTCCGGTGCCGTTCTGCTCGACAGTATGCTGCCAACCAGTTTGCCCCGTTAGCCACGGCTGTCCGCATACGATTAGCTGGCCAATTACATGCAAATGAGCGAGGGCCACTGCGTGAATTAGCTCCCTCTAACTCGGCGCTGGTGAAGTTCAGAGCAGGAGATTATTAGTGCGTGTATTAGCACACCGGCGCTGTAACGTCGCTGTTGGGATTATCCTGCACTACAGGCCGGTTGCGCCGGCAGTAGCGCAGTAGTGTGGTAATGATGATGGAATGTATGCCACCACACAGCTTTCTTTCGGTTATGGATTTATGGATGCTGGCGACCTGCTCTCTTTAGTCAGTCGCGGTTGGTGCAATGAGCGGAGAGGTGTAGAGTGGTTCCAGCTGGCTGGTAATACCAGCTAACGTCAGCTGAAAATCGGCTTTGTTTGAATTGACAATGTAGTGATAAAACAGAACGTACTGAGGATTTTCAACACTGTTTTATTATATTTGTTCCGGTTTTAAATTTATGTTTTGCGTAATTCCAGCGCTGCACTCTTCGAATTCGACTTTCAAATCATGTTCTTAAATAGCTACATGCACTTTTAGCTAAATAAAAAAAGCTTTTTATAAAAAATTAGATCGCAGTAACAATTTGCTGAAATTATGACTTTTTAAAGTTGCAAATGAAAGCAGCTTAATTAGGTTTTTTCACAGACACACACTTTTTGTTGTTATTGTATTCCTAAAATTGCTGCGAACTAGGTGGCCTTTCTCTCATTCGTCAATATGCATGTACAGGCTGACATGCATAAAACGGCAATAAACAATAAACAAGCAACGCTACGCCAAATGTGTTTACGTGTAATAATGATTAACTTTTACTTTTCAGCTAAGAAACGGTTTTTTCCATATTGTTACGATAGGTGTGCTAATACGAGTAAGTAATTGCCAATTTGTGACGATTCAAGCGCATAAATGTTGCGCACCGATTGCTGCAGTGGCGAGGGCATATATGTGGCCGGGCGGCAGCTTGTTTCTTGAATTTCTACGAAGTGGACATTGCATCATTTGGTGCGTGACCGGTAATAAATCCACTTAACACTGTTAGAGCGTAACCAAAATTAATGAATAGATCGACTGCCGGGCAGTACCGGCCGTTGGTTAATCTCCTAACTGTCCATTTCCGTTCGTAATTACCTATTCAAAGGAAAAATTATTATTACAGAGCCCTTAAACCTGTATCGCAAAAGTGAAACGGTGAGCGACTGACAGGTGAGCGGAAAGAGCTTCATGTGGAAAGCCACAGTACGAGCACATAAAGAGCAGAGTACAGTACAATGCACTGATAGTAAGTACACTGTACTGTTGTACTCACCATCAGTACAGTACTTTAAATACAGATCTGTACTTTTAATACAGATCTGTATTAAAAGTACTGTACTGATGGTGAGTACAACTATGTACGTACAAGAAAATCTAGATTTTCCTTGTACGTACAAAGTATATAAGAAAGAAAAGTACGTACTGTACTTTAAACTTACGGTTTTAACTGTGGGCACTGTGAAGTGTGAACCCCCTGAGCCGTGCTCGCTACACAGGTTTCACTCGATCGCACCTCATCTCGGCACGCGCTGCAAAATCATGCGGGTCTAGCTTTCGCGTGATTCAGCACTAATCCAGGCTGCAAAACCAGTTGCAGTACTTTCGCGAAGGCGCACCGGATTAGCATTTCCTACTTTCTTCGCATTTCCAGCTCCTTCTTCGCCATTTGCACTTTGATTTGCGTTCCCCTTTTATTTCTTTTTCTCCAGAACCAGCATCCAGTCCAAAATGGTGATCGGTGAAGCAGTGTAAGTTTATTATTGTACGCGAGATTCTTCTCGCTCTCGGTTAGTGGTGTGTTCCGTGTTCGTTTTTCACCGGACCGACACTTCTTAATTACTAAGGCAAATGCGTATTTATTCGGTATATTTCGTTTAAAAGGAAGAAGCTCAAAATTAATAATGATATTTTCAGCGGGGATATCGGAGTGATCGGCTTGGCCGTGATGGGACAGAATCTTATCCTGAATATGAACGACCATGGCTTCACGGTACGTTGCTAAACTATGTTTACACTTTTTGACTTTTATTTCATGCGGGCTGCGTTTATACAGTTGTTGTATTTTGCAGTGTTTCTAGCAATATTTATGCAACTATGAAGATAGTTTTGAGTTGTTACTGAAACATCATTTTCCTAGCATTTTGTGATGTTTATTCTGTAGACGCAAATTTACTGTAAAAAGTTAAATACGGCGCAAATGGTGTTAATATGCACTTACGAAAGCGCTCGCTCCAGATAGTACAGGGAATTACATTTTAGCCGATGTATGTTATTAGTCGGTATGTTGTTTTCGATTCCGTTCGTTGACTGTTTTCAACCTTTAATGGCTAACCGACCCAGACGGATGACAGGCCCCTGGATGCTCCCGTTTTTTTCTGAGAATTTTAATTATGGTTTTTATGTTGAATGAATCGATTACGTTTGCATTGTTGGATTCTGTTGGAGTCGGTGGTTGTATTGATCGCCCTATAAATAAAATTGTTGGTAACTTCACGTCTGTATGTTAATGTTGCTATTTTTAGGTGGTGGCCTTCAACCGCACCGTCTCAAAAGTCGATGAATTCCTGCAGAATGAAGCCAAAGGCACCAAGGTCATCGGTGCGCATTCCATTGAAGAGCTGGCAGCCAAGTTGAAGAAGCCGCGCCGCATCATGGTACACAAATTCGTATTTATTGATGGAAAATAGTAACATGAATAGCTTTGCATTAATCAGCATAATTTAGAATAAACTGTCACGGTAAATGAAATTATAGAGCTGGTAAAGATAACAGACTTTAAGGACAGTTCTTACAGGCATTTGTAATAATATCGTATCGGAGTTTCTGACCGATACCGTTATGGGCGGACGGTTCTTACGGTTAGGGAGTATAAGTACGAGAATACAGCAATCAAAAGTGCGGTGGTCTCATAACTCTCATTTGTCTGTGCTGCTTACGTACGAATTGTCGGTGTCAGCACTTTCCATTCATGTACTTACTTATTATCCGTGCGGAAAAGTTTTGAATGAAGATTGATAGATTGATATTCTTTGGTTTGCTTTAGCTGATGGTCAAGGCTGGATCAGCCGTGGATGATTTCATCAACCTGTTGCTGCCGCATTTGGAAAAGGGTACGTTTTTACACTCTTCAGTCGTAGTAATTATGGACTCGAAAAGTTTTATGAAACATAAATTTACAAGAGTTACAATAATATTTACAAGAATCAAGAAAATACATGGTACAGGTGATGCAAATTAATAGTAATGGGTTGCATCTAATTTGATCACGAGGTCACGATGCGTAAAATCGACTGCGAAAATCGCTACGATTACTTTGTTGCAGATCATATGTTTGGTTTTTTGTTTATGGTTGATTTGATTCAGGTGACATTATTATCGATGGTGGTAATTCTGAATATCTGGACAGTCGTCGACGTACCAAGGATTTGGAGAGCAAGGGATTTCTGTTTGTGGGATCCGGTGTTAGCGGTGGCGAAGAGGTAGGAAATACGCTTGCATCTTGCAATAATTCCATCGGAATAATAAACGTTTTTGCTTTATCCGTCAGGGAGCTCGTCATGGACCGTCCCTGATGCCTGGAGGCTCTGCTGCGGCGTGGTAAGCTGATGCCTAGTTAATTAGGGCTGTTGATGCCTAGTGGGCGTTTTCTGCTTCATTTATGCCGCACTTACAGCGTCAGTTTTAATGTTTTGTAGTTCTTGAATGAAACATCGGTAAGCAGATTTCTTAGTTATTTTGCGCAATTGAGAGCATGTTTGAAACTAAAAATGGTAATTATGGTAGAAACTGAATGAAATAGGTGTTTGAATAAGCTTTCAAAAGTGAATTAAAATAAGTTGATTTTAGTGATTATAAAATGTTTAATAGGCCTAACTAATAAGTACGAGTAATTTAGTCATGATTGAATCGCTTTTGATTTCGCTTTTGATGTGCATGCAAGCTGTGCACCAACTGAGCATCCAAAACACATCTTCGCAGATGTATTTTGGATTTATTAACCACTGTGATTGTTTGGTTTATCATAAATGGTCTATTTTTGCAGGCCAGCCATTAAGGACATCTTTCAGGGCATTGCCGCCAAAGTAGGCAACGAACCATGCTGCGACTGGGTGGGTGAGGATGGCGCCGGTCATTTCGTGAAGATGGTGCACAACGGAATCGAGTACGGAGACATGCAACTAATCGCTGAAGCCTATCACATCATGCGCGATGTCGTCGGCATGACCAATGACGAAATGAGCGAGGTAGTAAAAAATACTAAAAATTTGATAGTTGCAGATTGTGATTTGGCAATTTGAACTTGAAGTCCCATTCAGTTGCGCCTTCCGGTCTTTAACTTATGTTTCTTTATATAGAATTTGAAATGTATTAGATTAATTTTCTGGAAACTTCATTTTTTCGTTCTGCTGATGGAATTCATTTTCGGATTTAAATAACTGGATTCAAAAAAGCTGGCTTTGATTACCAGGGTAGAAAAAAATCATTTTTTATTGGCAAAAGCAAGTTTTTATTACAGGCTTTGGCTAAGTGGAATAAAGGATTTTTGGATTCTTTCTTGATTGAGATCACTAGCGATATTCTCAAGTACAAGGACGAGAAGGGCCAGCACCTCGTCGACAAGATCCGCGACGCTGCTGGGCAGGTGGGTCGTAAAATTCAGCTTGTTTTCAGATGTAATTATGTAATAAATTGCCTGGTCATTCGTTATGCACGCGAGATTGATATACTTTCTTTCTGTGAGGCTTTCCGCGAGGAAGCGCGGAGCATTCCCATTTGATTAATAGCTTGGTCTTAATTTTTTGTGAAATGATTTCCTTTTTTGTCATTAAATTTTTCTACGTGATTTACAGAAAGGAACTGGAAAGTGGACAACTATGGCAGCTTTGGAATACGGAATCCCTGTGACCCTGATCGGTGAAGCTGTTTTCGCTCGTTGTTTGTCTTCGCTGAAAGACGAGCGCGTCAATGCCAGCAAGCAACTGAAACGTCCCTCCCCGAAATTCACCGGTGACAGGCAGAAATTTATCGAACAAATCAGCTATGTAAGTCCTAATACAATCGAACTTTTACAAAGCAGATTTTAGGGTGTGAAAATGTCGGGTTATAATCATTCACCTCGACGACTGTTTCCTCCTTTTGCTCAGTTGTTTGCGCTTCTCCTTTTTCTCTACACCGTGTTCGTTCCTTAGTCCTCACTATTGTATTGGTGCTGCATGGCAGTTGTTACTTTTTTGGAATAATTTTTGCTAGGGCAGTTTTTTCTACATTACAGTACCCCTTTTTCATGGTGTTGTTTTCATTTGTTAGGCCCTGTACGCGTCGAAGATCATCTCGTACGCCCAAGGCTTCATGCTGTTCCGTGAGGCGGCTAAGCAGTTGAACTGGAAGCTGAACAACGGCGGAATTGCTCTGATGTGGCGTGGCGGCTGCATTATTCGCAGGTAAGTCAGGTTCGTAACGACATACAGTATAGGCTTTTGCAAATTTGGTATTATTTAGCGCCTTCTTGGGAGATATCAAAAAGGCCTTCGACAAAAACCCCGATCTGTCTAATTTGCTGCTGGATGATTTCTTCAAGAAGGCAATCAGCGACGCACAGGTACAACGAATTGACCGCACCTGCAGTTTCAGTGGTTTTTGAATGTTTTTGTGTATTTGTTGATACCATTGTTTTTTACGCTGAAACAGTTTTTGAATTGTTTTGGTAAATTCCAGAAAGTTAGAGAATTGTTTTAAAATAACGTCGTGATGGATCCGTTCGATAATCACAAGATTCACATTCAATTTCGGCGTCATTTTGCAGGATGGATGGCGCCAGGTGGTGTCGACCGCCGTCCTAAACGGTATTCCCGTCCCGGCCATGTCGTCGGCCCTGTCCTTCTACGATGGCTTCGCCTCGGCCACGCTGCCGGCCAATCTCATCCAGGTTAGAATCGGTATTTTAAGACCATTCCATTTTTTTAAAGCTTGTGCGTTTGCAGGCCCAGCGCGACTATTTCGGCGCCCACACCTACGAACTCATGGATGCACCTGGCAAGTTTGTCCATACCAACTGGACTGGCCGCGGTGGCACTACGTCCTCCTCCACCTACTCGGCTTAAATCCGCGCGCACACACCCTCAAGGCGGGTCATTCCTTTCGCAGCTGCATGACGATTAATTTGTTTATTTTGCGGGTTGGGTTTGCTTCGATGTCAGCTTTGCTTCATTTAGGTGCTTTCTTTACTGTCTAGATTATTTTAACTGGTATTAGAGTCGCTGATGTCATTAGTCCGGTTTTGATTACGGTGATTTGAAGAATTTTACATGTTGGAAGTGGTGGTGGGTTGCCATTTTAAATCGCAATAAAGGAAGCTTGTAGGATTGTGTGCTTACGGTTGACTTTGATCTACAACGTAACAATATTGCTAATTTGTTGTACGTGCGAGTATAATGAAATCAGGCTACAGTATTTAGTAATTTTTGTTTTTATTTAGAAAATTTCCGCTTCGTATATACAATGTGCTTATGTTTGCTGTAAACCGTACGCATTGCACATATATAGCCTGCATAAGTAAAATTTTAAAAAAGTAAGCAAAGCAAAGCAAAAAATAAGGTTTTAAAAAATTGAAAATTAAATTAAGAGATTTTAAAATTTCCTAAATCAAAATTATTTATAACTTAACTAAATTATCAGCCTTCTCGTGTAGTAGTATTGATGTCTGATGATAAAAGAAGACATACCAGGATTACCAGGTAAGGATTAACCCGCAATCGATGGGTATCCTTGTAGTTGCGATGAAACAAGGGAAAAGAATTTTTAAGATCTTTCAAGTACGTACAGTAGCTTCTGATCATTCATAACTAAAATATTTATCCACAGAACATACCTGCGAGTGGGAAACAATAATAAATATTGTTTCCCACTAACAGGTATTTTCTACGCCAATACTGTCGTAAAATGACAACAGAAATTGCCCTTTATACAAAGTAGTAACAAGCAAAACTTTGAGCGCGACCAAGTAAGAACTTCGTGATTTAATGAAACTCTTGAACCAGAAGAGATTTCTTCATCCTTTCAAAAACTAGCGAATGTTTTGCGATAATTCTGCGCAATACTAATTGGGCATTGCTAATGGTAAAATGTGTTACTTACTCGTACTCGCGGAAAACCCATGATCGCTTATGTCATGCAGGTGTTCGATGACAGCCTGGCCTTGGGAACGCGACGTGTGGTTTATAACGGCTCTAACTGTCGCATTTGATCAATCTTGTTGTAAATGCTGATGAAGGCGTCTCCCCTGAGATTTTCTCACGTATCGGTTTCACCTTGAGAAAGCTTCGCACTTGTCGGATATACCACAGAAGTTGCTTACAGGAAGTAAGTATTTACTGCAGACGATACTTCCAGTAAAGGTCACCGCAACAGCTCCGAAATCTACCTCACGACACGCATAATTTATCCATGTCGAGTCTGTCAAAATAAATATACGTTCCATAATCATCTTTACGTAATAGTATATTCAGTTGTTCTAAGTTCTAACCGTACATGCTCCTAAGATTATGCAGGCTGTGCTTACCATTAAGACAAGTCCCAAATAACCAAATAAATTTTGTTTGGCAAAGTAAGTAACAAACGTATAGTATTTATGGCATATGCCTATTTATTAACTATTAATGTGCTTATTTATATTTTATTGAAGGTTTGTTGCCATGCGTAAGTCTGCAGCCTTCAGCATATTTCAATAACTGAAGTACAGTATAACAAGAGGATGCGGTACATCTAGATTTCTGAAGTATTTCCCCTTTTCATCGTAGTATTCCGACACCGTACTACACGTCGTCCGGGAAAAAAATCCCCGCTTCGGCCAGGACAGCCGTGCGGCCTTCATGCAAACTGACTATCCCGCGGCAAGTAGCAAAGTGGCCGATTAAATTATCACGCCAAGGCGTTTCTTTTGATCTTTCGCTCGTTATCACGTGTGCAGTTCCTCTCCCTTTACTGTGTGTGCAATTCCCCAGACAGCGGCCATGTCGAATGCAGCCAAAGCCCCGACGAAATCCAAGCGCAGCCTGCCCAATGGCGCCAAGGAAATCCTGCAGGATTTCGTGGTGGCCGTGCTACGGTAAATGATGATTGCGCTGCCGTCGTCTTGGCGGTCTAAATGTGTCCACGTGTGTGCGTCAGTTGTGACATGTAATACGCGCTGTGTACAGTGGACGCGTGGAGCAGGATCAGTTTCTCCGTTTCGCCGTCGACTGGTTCACACGGGCGCTGAAGGAGGAGGTGAGAAAGGGACACGAGCGAGGGATGTAATTTTCCGTTGATTTATAATTACAGTTGTTGCGCTACCCGGGTTAAAAATAGTTGACGCTCAAAGGCAGTAATTTAAATTTTGAGTTGGCGGAAAAAGCTATAAATTTGTACAATGCGCGCGACACGCAAAACTGCTTGTTTTCGCCCCTATTTCTGTAGTTATCCAAATGTACATAAAATGAATAATAGGGAAGTAGAGTTGTGACCTTGCCATATATCCTGATTTTATTCTCAGGAACAACGGAAAGCCGAACAGCCATCGCCTGGCCAGAAAGCGTCACGCAACGAGCTGGCAGAAAGCGCCAAATGTAAGGCATAATTCCCCGGTTAATTGCAATTTCCCTCCACCCAAATGGGTTCGTTAGCGATAACAAGGTCTGGCTCTGAGAAAATTCTCTTGGGGTGAACCGTAGCACAAGGGTCCTGATTTTCGAAAACTAGTGGCAAGCAGCACCCAAACGAATCACTACAGTACAAAACGTTGCCGCTAAAGCTGCACAAGTAATACACATGTTTATTTAACCGCACCTCTACACCACAGGGAATGTTCCCTTTTATTCGTTGTACAGTTGACCTTGTGTTTTTTATGCGCTACTCAAAATTTACTCTGCAAATTTTCAACAGAACAATCAAACTGGATTTACTTACTGAATTACTGAAATAGTCTTAGAACGGTTCATGTTCGTGCAACAACCTAATGTGCTTTGATACCGGTTACCGGTATGTCGGTCGAAAAAAACACCCTGGAACATATCTATACAGGGAAACGGTTGCATGCGCACCGGCAATTTTCACGAGCTGCCGGCATCCCACGCGCCTTGCTTGCATGTCTTAGCATGCAAATTATCGGATTATCGGCGCATACGTGCGATACATCCATTATGAAGGGAATCTTGTGGGACTCCCTTATGGCCATCCCCAGTGTCAGCGCGGGCATCCCGCTCAAGCAATTGACTCCTATCTCGCTCATACCTTCGTGTGGATCTCTCCTCAGCTGACTGCAGTCGCCAGCGAGAGAGCGCCAACCATCGTCAGGCGCGCTAACGCGTTTGGCCTCGTGACTTATTGTTTATTGATCGGCCGCTGCCGTCCTCCTTACTTTCCCGCCAACCCATCTGCCGGCGCACGTAATCCAATTTATCCCGGGTCTGATGGGGTCGGCACGCACAACTCCTTTGATTGCCTGTCTCATTGATCATAGATTGCCGTCGGAATGTAAGATATAAATGTGTTATGCGTGCATTCCAGCGGCCACCAACATCAACAATAAAGCGCCGTCGAAATCTACACTGGAACCCGTGGGTAGCGCCATCGCCCCCGCACAATCCCGCACCACTCTTCCCCTGTCCGAGGAGCAGCGAGCTGGGCGTTCCCAGACCACCCTTGTCGTGCGCCCCTCCTCCCAGGATCGGCCGGAATCAGCCAAATCCGGCCAGAATCTAGATGCCAGCAAATCGGAGCGCTCTCTGACGCCCGCTGCCTCACGGACCACCCTGGACGCCCAGCGCGACGCAGACCGGCAGCCCAGCGGGACGGAGGTCAGGAGCGTGCCCAGCCGTGTCCCGTCGGCGGCGGGTGCCCGCTCCGGACAGGATGTAAGTGAATATGCACTGCTTTCGTTAACCTGCTTAATCTACGGCCGCTTAATCCTTGTGGTTAACACTTAACCCTGACAAGTGAGCATCGCGTAATTGCGCATTAAGCAATTTCCGGCATATTGTGTTTGTCGGCACTTTGTACTATCCTTAATCTCCCTATTCATATTTCTCTCTCCCACTCTGCTGCTTCTGTGCGGTGTGATCAATTCGTCCGGCTTCATATAGAGTGTAAAAATAGCTCCCCCGTTGTTTCCTGGAATGGCTTCCGTCAGCGCTTGATCGCTGCATTCAGCTGTGCATTCGACGCATTCCAATTTTATCGTTTCGCCGCAATTTATTCCATTCAAAAATAAATCTAAAATATTTATTTTGAATACTTCCGTCAGCGCTGGTCGTTACATTGTACAGCTGTCGACATACGAGCATTGGCATACCGGCTTAGTGTGGTGTTTTCACGGTGCATCGGAATTAATTCGAAAACAGCATTCGCTATTTACAAGCGTCGTGGTCAACATGCAAGGAATGTTTTTATACGAACTATGTTTTAGCGTGAAGCGTCTAGTCGTTGATTTCAAAGATATCTGATGATTAGATGAGCCATTCCGAATCCACTGCTCACCACGAACCGCCCCATCCCCAAGCCTCAACCCTCGCCGAATCGAAATCGCGCAACACTCTCGACGCCGCTCCCAGTCGGCAGCACCCTGCGGAACCGGCAGCCTCGTCCGTGGACGCCAAATCCCGCACCACCCTCGACGCAGCCGGCAAATCGCGAACCACGCTGGAGGCAGCTCCGGAACCTGCCAAATCCAAGCTGGAGGAAGGCAAATCGCGGAGTACGCTGGAGGAAGCCCACGGTCCCAGTCGGACAACGCTGGACGCTGCCGGACACTACGGAAAGTCCAAGAGCACGATGGATGTCGGGAAATCTCGGACGACGTTGGAAGCGGACCAGAACAAATCGAGGACAACACTGGAGGCCACGGATCATGCCAAGGAAGCGAAATCTGCCAATCAGTTGCAGCCGGGCAAATCGTCCACTTCGGTTAATCGTAAGTGGGTGGTGAAATTAGATCGCGGCATGTTTTTGCTAGAAACTGATGATTGATCCCCTGCACAGAGCATCATGCGGAAAATCCCCAAGAGGCCCCCAAGGACGCTCAGCTGGAATCACGACGGCAAGCGGTATCCGCTGAAAGTGAGCATCTATGAGGGTTGTGTTAATGCGCTATAGTGAGCAGATAGTGCACACTTTTATTGTTGCTTCCGGTAGCTGCACACGAGTTAACTGCTACATTGCATGAGCATTTGCGTAAGCACTCCCGATTATTCACGCCTCGGTACCTTTGAATACCGGAGAACAAATTGCATTCCAGTTTATTCTCCATTTAAGTTTTGCACTTGCTAGAACATGGTCTATAAAATGCTGTAGTATTTTTTAACTCAGAATTATAGACATAATTTCCTGTGTATACTATAAGTAAGAATACTGTGTGCGTCGAATACTGTGTGCATTTCTTAACACAGGTTACGATCCAGCCGCTGAGTCCGACGTGCCAGATAAAGTCTTTCCCAAAAGCGAGGAGCAGCTGCACCGCGTAAAGGAGGCAGTCAAAGAGGTGCTGCTCTTCCGATCCCTTGACGAAGATCACCTGAAAAAGGTCATCGATGCGTTAGAAGAGGTAAAATTGCAACTGCACTATCCAACCAGTTAACGAAATTATTGTTGGTTTTCACGCATTATTTACCATGTACAGGTCAAAGTGGAAGCCGGGGAGGAGGTCATCAAGATCGATGACGAAAAAGCCGAACACTTCTACGTTATCGAAGAGGGTGAATTCGACTGTTTCGCAAAGGTCAACGGAGAACTGACCAAAGTGACAGAGTACGTCAACCGCGGCAGTTTCGGTGAATTGGCGCTGATGTACAATCAGCCACGGGCGGCCACGGTGCGGGCCCGCACTGCCGGCAAACTATGGGCGTTGGTAAGGGAACCGGACGTGTTTTGCTTTTGGTGTGGCATAACGGAAGTCATCAATTGCAGGACAGGGAGACATTTAAACGCATTATCGTCCGCGGCGCCTACGAGAAGCGGAAATTGTACATGTCGCTAATGGAGAAAGTGGACTTTTTGGCTGATCTGCATGATTATGAGAAGCAGAACGTGTGCGACGCACTGGTGCCACGAAAATACAATCTTGGCGAGGTTGTCATGAAACAAGGTAACATTTCCTTGATAAAAGTACACACCTATTCCCACTTTCGTAGCTGACTGAGTAAACGAACTGTAAACAATTCTACATTAATATTGGGAGTTATGCGATAGTTTAAATGTGGTCATTTTGTGCACCAGTGAATTTCTTGGTGCATAGCTTTGCAATCTTTACAGTATAAAGCAATGCTCCCGGAAAACTTTTGATGCATGGTGATTCTGACTAAACGCCCCGTAAATCTGCTCTTTACCAAAATTATAGGTCACTTCTGTACACCCGCAATTGTTCTTGCGCGACTTGTATTGTTGTACAGATACTTATTGTCGAAGTGAAATGCGCAACGTTGTTCAGTTTCTGTTTTATCGCACAGGTGATCAGGGCGATGGGATGTACTTTGTGGAATCCGGCGAGGTCGTGTGCACGCGTAACGAAGATGGCAACGACCAAGAAGTGGGTCGTGCTGGACCGGGACAGTACGTGGGTGAGCTGGCGCTGATTGCCGGACAGCCTCGCGCTGCCACTGTTACCGCAGCCGGTACGTGCATATTGTAGTACTTAATACAAAATAGCACGCCCTTTATTCAAACAACCATTCAAACAACCAAAAATGCTCACGCGATCTCACTTCACAATCGTTAAAATATTTAAAGTTTTAAAAGAATATGAATATAAAGAAGAAAAATTAAGAACCTAAGAATATAAATATAGGATTATAAAGATCTTTGTCTCTGTGAAATAAGTAATTCAATCACGCGAGCGACGAATTAGTAAAAACACTCGTAATTAGCAGTACTACGTTATTTCAGCTACGATACGGTTAATAAAAAAATGCGTTAATGCGCTCACTGAAAACATTCTATTTGCTGATATTCCTGTAAAAAAACTACAAAACGAAAACGTACAAAGAACTGTACAGCACCATCTCTGATGTTATTACTTAATCAACATCCATTTACAAAAACTTCTTAGACTGAAGTTGAGTTATAAAATAAGAGGTACTTTAAAGTTGTGTCATCTTCAGTTTCATTTTTTCTTTTGGCAGGACTATTGGCAGATAGAATGTTTTATTTAAGTCAATATATACGGCGTTGTGGGACAGAATTCTAAATATAAAACTGCATCTGAAAGTTGTCGGAGAACTTCATGTAGTGACAACAACAAAATCGCTTCAGTAGGGTAACTGCCCTTTAACACACGTTTTAACATACGTACTGTACTCTATGTAGCGCCATACATAGCGTTTTGTAAACATTCCACCTAGAGTACCCATCAGAGCGTGTTTACGGCAACACTTGCCGATTCTAGTCGTTCATCGCACTGTAAAGTACTTCGATCGTTATACCTATATATCTGAATTATTTTCTAAACTACTAATGAGCGGTCGAATGCTGTAGTGATATAAATTTTCGTATAACTTACAGCTGACGGTACGAAGCTGGCGTTTTTGGATTCGAAAGCTTTTGAACGGCTCATGGGTCCCTGTGTGGACATATTACGGAAGAACGTTGAGCGCTATAAAGATAAAATTGTCGCAGTATTTGGAGAAAACTCGGAATTCTTACACGGCGCTGCATAGCAGTCCTTTTTCTATTCGCTTGCGTGCCAAAACATCAATGTATTTTGAGGTAGTATTTGCGTACCTGTCTTACTTAATTTGCTGTTTTCTCTGTTTTATCAGTCGCGGAAGGTGAAGATGTGCTAAAATGCCAGTTCATGCCAAATTGCTGATCATTGTTATACAAAACGTTTGGTTTCGTATATGTATGGTGTGACTGTATGATGCAGATGCCTGAAAGTGTGACTACACGACAAATTCTGTGGCCAGCCATAAGTCAACTAAAAAATCTATAAAAATTTTCTTTCTGTAGTTGCGGTCACACAGCCGGTTATCGTCGAAACTTTACGTCTACTAGAGATTAGTTAGGTAAAAGCAGCTTTAGCAGGTAACGTCTTCGCCAAATTCTGAACTTGTACTAGCACTTCTAATGTTTCGCCACGTTTACCACCAATCATCCTAAAGTGTAAATGTTAAAACGGCCAAACACGGATCTCGCAAACTTATTTTTGGCCCATAATTATTGTGACTACATTCACTGAATTCGTTTACTCCTCTCGAGCGCATTGCCTACAGTTGTCCATACGCTAAGTACATAATTTACAGCAGCACTAGTGCTACCGGTAGATGACCAGTCCGCGATTAATCGCAAACTTGAGTGCATCGGACCTTACCTTCTGATGTCCTTAGATAAAACACAACTTATCGGAGCAAACAAGGACGATACAATCTTACGTCAACAAATACAGCCGACAACATGTCTTATCATTAAATCACAAATCCTGTATGTTTTCCACAAGAACGTTAGGCCCTCTATTGCTTGCATGAAAGATTTCCGCGTAGTTTAGTAAGTAATTTTTGCTTCAAGTCCGATTATGCGTCCAATCGCTAAAATGGTTTGTCCCCGCTGCATGCTTATCGTTTTGGCTTTGATACTGGGCACAATACCTCCATTAGTCTTCCTACACCCTCTTCCAGCCGACACGGATGCCACGGTTACCAGCGGGACTGGGGGTCTACTCCTATCAATAACCGTAGCCACTCCCATTACCTTGGTGCCCTTTTTAACGCCGATCACGCTTACACCGTACTCGTATGACCTCATCACACTGGAGAGCACGACGGCGATGATACGGGATCGGCGCGATGCCGAAACGGATGCGGTCGACAGTTGATGCTGTGGAGAAAAGGCAGTAACAGCAATATTTGGTTAATACCGTATATAGTGTTGTTACTGCTCCTATTTGTAACCATGGCCAGCTGATGTCTTCGTCCGTATTCATTTTCGTTTTGTTTCAACTAGGGAACTCTGGTTGTATCGTATTTCTTTGCAACGATAGAGTTTTGCACTTGCACGAGGTTGTTTCTTACACGTTTCCGTTATAAGACGCTGAATTGATAACATCATTTTTTGCATAAGCAAATAACTGTATGCCGAGTTTTATCTTGCACGGTAGGAGTAGGTGCAGTATCCTCATTGTCAGAGGCGCTGATTACGGTGAAGAAGGAGGAAGTGAAGATTGATAAGCTGGCCATGGCCGAATCCGCCAACTACAGTATTATGCCCGTGCTTATGGTTAGTGCAGCACTGCTGACCATCCATTGGCGACCGCATATTGCTGATATCATCAAATTTAGAATATTTTGCATGCAAGCGTTACCGCTTGGTGGCAGATATGTAGCTTTGGGTAAACGCGGCACGGCTTCCGGCTTTGTTACCTTGTCCTGTCCAGTACATGCATATGTACAGTACGTGCCAACATATTGCATAACGCCGTCACGTGGGCGAGGTCTAAGGAAGCTAAGAAATCTAAGAGCATGAAGTACCGTACCTAGAAAATCTAAGAAATCAAAACTTTGAATACTGTAATATCGTAATGATCAAGTGTACGGCCTTTTGCGTTACAAGACCTCTTGTAAAGTTGGCTGTCCGAGATATACAAATCCATGTTAGGCTGCTGTTCAAATGTTCGCGGCACTGGGCTCAGAAATCGATAATTATGGAATACGAAATTAAATTTACATATTATACGCACATGGGTTTAATCTGAATTACAAAATATATAATAGCGATACTTTCAGAATACTTACCTGTAGTATATACAGTACGTGTAGGGTCTCGATCCTTATTTAAATACCCTATTCGACACATGTTGCTGTTTTTGGATGTGTTGGTTATTGCTTATTAAAACTATACATGCACACAATAATTGTTGAAGATACACCACATTAAATTTTATACACTTTTAATTTTAACAGCGACTCCGGTTTGAAAGCCACGAAACCACACATGCCATCGACTACCAACTGATAATGAGATCATCTAAACAAATTTCATACGTAAACGCCAGTGCCAAACTGCTGTGTCGCGTAAAACAAATCATTTAGTACTAATTACTTAATGGTTGCTGCAAAAATGTCTATAAAAGCTGCAAGGAAGGGTGAACGCGCTCGGATAATTCGCCACATAGCACACACAAGCTTTTGCATTATTCAACAACGAGCCACCGCCAGAACTGGGTCGATTCGTTTATTCACACGTTATGAATCCCCTTACCATCCCGTCTTATTTCCCAAAGCGAAGCACCAACGGATCCCGCCCGAACCGCAGCATGACGGGGTCACCGCGGCCGAACCGTAGCATATGGGGTTCTCGGCCGAAGCGCAGCATCAACGGATCTGGTCGGCCAAAGCGTAGCATCGGCGGATCACCGCGGCCGAAACGCAGCATGGGCGGGTCACTGCGCCCAAAGCGCAACCGCACACCGCTGCGGCCGAAGCGTAGGCGCAGCTGTTGGTTGCTGGCACTGCTGTCGGTGAGATCATCGTTGTCGGCACGTTTACGGGCCACGTGCACCGGCTCGCTGAAATAGCGGGGAAAGGTATTGCGATCGATGTTGTAAGGGTCCATGTCGGTCCAGTCACTCTCGTCCATGGTGTCGAGAAGGCTGTGGACTACCTCGGGGGGAGGCTGTATGGATTTACTTGCATCCTCGCCTGCAATTGCCCTCATCGAATTAGAATACGCGCAACTGCCACGTTGAACGCCTAGTATGGTGAAAACAAACGAAACAGGAAACAACAGCAAGCTTTATATTGTCATATCAGCCATATCCGTTACTAACTTCTGTATATATGTGTAGAACAGAGCTCCGCTAAAGGTCATCGGCATGCCCTGTTTCGGTACAACCGCTTTTGTACTCATTTTGTTATTTAAAAACGTAAAGACGATGTCACGCGGCACATGATCAGATACTAATTGATAATTCAAAGATATCTGGGATCATTTAGCGAGATCTTGCGTCTGGTTGCTAGAGTGATGCATTCTACAAATGGGTGCGCAGCCTATTGTTAGACGCAGTCTATTCTTCATATATCGATCAAGTGTGACACGTGCCTTCATTTATTTTAAGTGTGTTGTTTATTGCCAGGAAAAGTAGCATATTAATGTCATCATTTGTTAGGTTTAACTTTACTCCAGATGAAAATTTTATTAACCATTCTCACACAACTGTCGTTCTGGTATGACAGACCCACTAAAGTTAACAGAATACACACGACCACATTACCCGATAATTTCCTATGAATATTTCACCATTTCACAGTCCATAGTAATCTATGAAGGACATTACGCATCACTACACTGCGCCCTGTCTCTATGAATAAATCAGCTGGCATTGTTCAGCATGCGGCGTCGCAGTGGTCACGCTGCAAGGCGGAAGCTGCGAGAATTTTAATTCATTTCCCGCGCAGTGAAAAAACTTCCCGGATTTAAAGGATTGATCGGGTGGAAAGATACCGCAGAATCTTCACGGAATGACCAGACTGATAATAATGTTGTAATCAGAGATTACCGATTACATGGCTCGTGGGTGCCAAGGCCAGCTCTATAATACTGTACACCCAATCAGGATAAATGGGAAAACGTCTAGTAGCCTGTTGGGGATTTACATCCTTCACGGAGGCATGGGCATTGGCTATGACGCACGCAGCAATATCGGAAATAACAAATACACCGGCGTGGCAACGCCCGGCAGCACTATCTGGGTAATTCAAACATATGCGCTTTGGATGCGGATGCAGATGCTTACTGTTAGCGTTTTAGCCCAAGTAATTTCAACTGTCAAATCATCCGTTATCAATTAAAGAACCAACCCTTTTTTCACACAGAATCCGATTGAGAGATTACCGGCTAAGACTTACAGAGGCAGGCGATGATTACACTGGCCAAATTGGATAAACCTATTGTCAGAGACGACAAATCAGCCATAACCAAGCGACACTGCTATAAACTGGAAACACGAGATAAAGCACACCGAAAAAACTTAAAACCTTTTTTGTGAAAGTTTTAACAAAATTAATACAAAAATTAATTCAAATTAATAAAGTAAGCTTTCAAATCTGACTGCTGATGTTTTTTGCATTTTCTAATGCCGCTGAAATGGGAAAAATGTTTCTGTTACAAGAATGTATATTCAACGGTACCAGCAGAAAGCAATTAAAAACAAAGTAGAACTCCTGACTCAGAGAATTTCTTTCGAATTTTCATCATTGTGTTCATTTACCGTTGGCGGTGGCCGTTTCAGCAGAACTGCGACTGGAACTAACATGACGACACGTCTGAAGGGTAAAATTGCAAATGTTGTTTTCTTAGTGTTATGTTGCCTCAATTAGCCTCGGTATCGATAAGACGGTTTGGAACAAAGCAAACACGACCTTGGGTCGATGGCGAATGGAGAATGCAATAGGAATGTTTTAGGAATGGAAGAGCCCCTACCCGACGTCGTGCTACGTATAATTATCTTATTCGAATTCTGAGTTTAAAAATAATATAAAATTAGTAGTACATGCAGTTTACATTTCTTGCAAGCGTACATCAGATTTTGCATTGTTACATTATGTTTTTCGTTACTTTATGATGCTGCACAAATGCTACAAAGTAGATGGTACTGATACTTATTAACAATGGGCTAAATACTTAGCTTAACTCGATCGCGAATTGTCCACAATTAAAGCATAAAACGTGGAAAATTTACAGTCGTTAAAGAATTCAACGCTTCAAAATACTTTTGCATGCATTTTTTTTATTTACAGGACAATTTAATGGTTTTCCGTCAACCGGATGCTGCAATAAATAAAGGAAACGGAAGGAAAATTTATCGATCTCGGCATATACTCGTAATATCTTGGCATCTACTGGGCCATATATAGGATTGCGTATTACACCCACGATCATGCACTACTGACTACTACCGAGCACATCTGACTCAAGTGTCAAATATCCGTAACTTATTAATTTCCAGAACCATGCGGCAAAGAGTTTCTGGCTAATTCTACTTAACAGAGAAGGACACCTACACACCTGCTTTAGGCGAAGCGTCAGTCGGTGACCTTTTATTCCGTATATGCGACATGCTGGCATCATCCATCGCATTGGCCTTAACGATCAAGAAAACCGATGAGGAATACGACGGTTAACCGGTGGAAACTGGTGGAGGTCATGATGCGCGGCGTAAACGCGTTGGCCGGACGTAAACGCATCCAGCCGGGCGCGCTAGCTTCTCAAAGGTCACAGGTGTACTGTCCGCTCAGTATAAGCTGTCAGGAATTAACACTATTCGCTTTTTTCGCACCACCACACCTTGGTTATAAGCAATTTATTCTGAACTCAACCGTGCACAATCGGCAGAGAATAGGGAATTGGCAGTTGGTGACAAAGCCCAACGGTTGACTTTACATCAGCAAGAGGTACAGTGTGTGTGGGCGCGCGTCGATAGATCACGGTGTAATAATATCCGGCTGTCCCGGTCGTGAAACGATCCCAGCGGTGCCGTGCACAGGGCCACAGCACATAGATACACACAGGAAATGTTGCGTGCTGCGTAAAGTTGTAATCTCCGGTGCCAAATCTGACAATGGGCTGGCGCGGTTGGGATGCGTGCGTTGATCTGATTGGCGTACGCGTATAACGAGAGGCTTCCCGGTCCCCCACATATACAAGCGCTGTGCTGCTTGCGCTGTACTTCCGATTACGCAGTTCCTCTACTTCAGCGATCGCAGGATAACGGGCTCTTAATCGCTCTTCTTCCTCAGCTCACCGAAGAACGCGGAAACACAACTATTCATCTGTGTTAGGAGGGAAACGATATTGTTGGCCTATTTGAAAGCCATAGAATGCAGATAATAATGACGATTTGATCGTAAACCAAGAGTATTTATCGCTCTTCCAGTATGTTATGTATATCTGCATATACGTAGATCGATTCACCGCATCGATCTTCGCGTGCATAATGTAACTAGAGACGCACTTCACTTTATTACTATTGCATAATAAGCAAATTTTCATTAAATTGATTGTGTACAAGCACATCACAACGGACGCTATCAGCGGGGCGTCATAACCTGTATATATGATATCAGGAAAATATACAAACAAGCGTCACAATGTGATCAATACACGTCAAGCTGTGGTGATCCCGTGTTGACGAACAAGAGCGATTGTTAGATATGCTGATTTCGGTGTTGAAGTTGGGAAACACAAGTCATGCGGTGATCTCCGGAGTCATAAATGTTGACATGAGTAAACACCAGGCCAATTGGCGGATGAAAGGAGGGCCTTGTTAGATTAAGAACAGGAAGCTCTGGTGGCCTGATTAGCAGTGCCTGCAACCCCCACCGGAGCCGGTTTGGATTCAAGAGGTCGAACAGGAATTATATTCGATTCCGTTACGCTTTATCACTTTATGTAACAGTATATGCGTCTAGCCACAACATTAGTTTTGACATTCTTTGCTCTCAGTGTAGCGAGGTCACGGTTAAAGATTTACAACAGATCATTTAGCAAAGGGAAGGAGAAATTTTTATAATGGCTGGACCGCCTGTTGGTGTGGTGCTGTGTAACAAAGATTTCTTTTCGGTGTAATGGTGAGAGTCGTATTACGTTTTCGCCGTATGGCTGGTGCGTAGCTAGTGGTCCCTTGAGTAATCAGCCAATACGCTTGACAAGCTTTGTGTGACCGCAGTGAGCCTCACCCGGTGCGATAATTTGCTATACAAGTAGTAGTCGATATTGTTACCATTAACTGTATTGCCACCGTATGCCAAGTATCAACTGGCAGCCCCATGCCTCGTCGCGATCGTTTGAATGACTAATTAGATCCATGCTTTTACACAAATAGTTTTTGCTTAGTATTATTTTACAGGGCCGCCCTCAGGTTTTTGGGGGACACTGTCGCCCTCAGGTTTTTGGGGGAATGTGCACACTGTCGGCATCGCAGCGTCTCCGACGTGTCCTCATACACCACTTGACCACGACCATACGTTCCTGAATTTATTCGGTTGGCATTACCCATCAGGTACTATACAGCCAGAATAACTCATTTTCCGCAATGTTAACTGGTAATAAAATGTTCTTGACGTATCTACCAGTAAACATCGAGGACTTCAGCATAAGGCCAATATGCCCGGCGTCCAGTGGCACTACTTTATCGGAATTCGTCTTCGTAATGGCAGCGCTAACAAAGGGACTGGGTTTGGCGTAACCGCGAAAGTTGACAGCTATTTAGGTAGTTTAGTGCTATGCAGACACTTATGACAGGTAGGATTTCTCCTTGAAAACCTCCACTAACTTGACCATAGTGGCGTACGATGCACTTGCAGCTACTTGCACTTCCTTGCATGAACGTACACTTACTTACCATGGTAGTGCGACGGAACGGGAAATTTCCTTCTACAATGACCACCAACCTCTGCAGCATATCGCCGACACAGTTAGCGAGTTCGAAGCTTGCAGTGTCGACTGAGGTTGCGTTTATGGCAACCGGCTTTTGTTAAAGCACTTTCTACATGTGACAAGGGTTGGTTTTTAAGATGTGGAAGGAGACTGCAATGATGGTTTGCATACTGCGTGTCAGCCTTTATTGTCATAGTGGTTGGTACAGTTCAAGATCGCCGATACTGCATGTAGTTCACAGTTTCACGAAAATGATCAAAACAAATTTTTACGTAATTGACAATAAGGCAACATTTTGGCGCCGCAAAAAAAGGCAAGGCGACCTGCGCATCACAAATATATTTACCGATTCAGAGCATGTATATGGTGGACGCGGCGTTTTGTGGCGCATGTAAGATACAGCGATCTCTTGACCGGACTGTATACACTATACAGCGTGATAATGAGGTTTCTGTCATGGGCACTGTGGAGAAATCTGAAATGTTTAATGGGCTTTGGTTCTGCTAAAAGCGTTTTAACTCGTGTAAAGTAATGGTTTGAATTAACGATAATAGAACGGACTGGGTTTGCTTGCAATTGATAATCGGCCTGTGGTGTCTTATACGAAACGTTATTCTCCAGTCATGAACGCTATCGTTGCCTCTGCAGGGTGGATTCACATCTAATTTTACACTAACATCTAACATTGTAGTGAGGAAGTACCAACGATAGGATATGGCCTTTTCTTGCGGCAGACCCCAAAGTCAACAGGTGGAGCAGATAATAAGGTCACCTCAAATTTGGTGAGATCTGGTTATCTGCTCCATTTTAATGCTTTAAAATATTATCGTTTTCCTCAACGGCGTTACCGCTCCCTGCCCATGCTGTGAGCAGTGATCTGTATAGGTTTTCTGGTTTTACTAACCAACACCAAAGCGCTCGTCTGTATCTAAAACGTTACCTTTTCATCCAGCTAGGAGATAAAATTTGTGTGCAGACAGCACACAGGACATACCCACGTTGACGCTACCAACAAACGGATCTGATGTCATAATCTTCGATATTCAAGAACTCCTAGTATCCACCTGGAACCGTGCATTTTCCAAGTTCTCCTTTTGGAACTACAAATATCTGGCGTGAGTCACTGAAGCCGAAAACTGCAGCTAAAGTCTGCCGTCATCAACTGTTAGCAGCAAGTTCGTTAGTATCTATTGGCAGCGAGCGTGTGGAGCTTTTTCAAAACGACCAGCCAGTCGAATAAAGCAAATGCATAGTGCAGTTGTGTTTTTTTCTTTTACAACGCCTTTTATAAGTGGATACAGGAGACAGCCTTAATGAGCGTTATTATTCAGGAAAAATTAACGTCTATATGCGTTGATCATCAACGTGCACACGATGTACAACGTTCCCGATGACAGTACGTAGGTGCGTCAAACCGTCGCAAGGGCGCGAACAATCTTACACAATGCCGATGTACTGCGCCAGGAAGAGGATAACGAGGACCAGAAAAAGTTTTGAAAAGGGTGTCACATACCGATATGACCTGCAACCGCTCCACGAGTAAAACACGCACAACAGCCTCGTTTTAAGGCCTGTGGATTGACGAAAACTTCATATAAGACCTAAAAATCCGTAAAAGAATTACGACAAGCTTAGAAAATCAGATTTCATTATTCACCAAAAATTAATTTAGGGCCTAAAGCTATGCAATGTGCACCAGTAAATTTCTGGAAGAATAACCAAATAAACCAAGTAAATTAGAGTAAATACGCACCTACCGTAATAAATAGTTGAATAGCTTCAACCAACGCAGTACAAAGTGATTATAGGCATTTGGCTAATCGAGCGGTTAATTTGCATATCTATATTAGAGCAAAGTACTTCTAAAAATTAGTATTTTGATGCGAGCGCTGCACATATGAACTTATATGTACTACTACTCTGTACTTATTACGCAAGTCTTACTGGCCTCAAACATCTTTTGCGTTACATAGTTGTTTTGTGTTAAGTTGCGATTGGTAGCATGTAAGCACAACCCTTTAAATTTATTCTTTATATCACCCTTGCACGCAACCGTCACTCGGTGTTACCTGCAGGCGCGTGCCGCTGAAGAACAATTTTCTGGAGCTTATCTTTTGGATCAAATGTAAGAGCGTAAGCAGCTTTGCAAGTAAACGTTTGGAACGGAACTATTTATTTAAAATTCAAAGTACTGTACTTTAGCTTTATTATGCTAAAGTTTTCTCACGGTAGGAGAAATGTGTTATACTCGTACACATGCAGCAGAGATTTTGAAGACTTCGCAAAGCCTTTTTGCGAAAGATGCGTTTCCGCTGCCAGTAAGTTTTTTTTCGGTTTAATTGCGAGCATAGTATAGCTTCTGCTATCAATCAATGTAGGATGAGTCATCGTGGTTATTATGGTTTGTTATGCGCCGGACGGCCTTGGACGCTTAGTAGCGAGAGTAAACAGGACCTATTTCCCCGGGACAAATTCAGCGCACCTGTATGTCGGCGACTCGGCATTATAAGCGACACACAGCAATATGGCTGCGGTTTTTTATGAATGAAAACTGAAGGGTAAGGATGGGCTCAATTTGTGAATGAAATTTCGGCAAACAAGCGTCTGGTATATATATGCCCGAGAGCCATTAAACAAGGTATGTGCAATTCATAATCCAGCGCGAACGTGGATTGTGCTAGATGTACAAGTATTACTGTATTGTAATACCCTTCTTTTGCGAACTAAATTATTTTTTGCCTATTTCACCGACAGTTTCTATGCTCCTTAGCGTATGCGTGAATTGAATTAGAATAATTTTTAATAATTCTAGCCAGAAGTATCCATGCCTAAAATTAATACACAAAGAATGATAAAAAATTAAAACTTCATAAGTCCATCCCATAGCGGTGAAATGGCTACCTACCCTAGTACTTAACGATACCAGTTGCGTAGGTATATCACTATATACGTAACGTCCAGACTGAGAACTATCCGAAGAAACAAAGGTCACTTTTATTCCGCAATGTTCGGCACAAGTCCCACTACTTAATTATTTTTTTCATCTAGCTACTCGTTAGAATCGATTACAGGATGTAGGTAATATAGTCGTTTACGTTCACGTGCATGCTGCGTTAAACAGATTATGTCGACTTCTTTCATGAACAATTTGAATACTGAGACGTAATACGGAAAGAGGAAATATTCGACCAAAGCTCGAATGACAGTTAGGTATTATGCATCACAGACGTACTCATGATTCGGAGCAACCTTGAACAACCATAAGTACGCCTGCAATGCAAAATATGAAACGTCCAGTAAAATCCACAATAACATACGAGGCGAGTCCACCATACAGGATTATCCAAATTACCAGAATAATCATAGCCTTTTCGAAATTAATGAAAATAAGTTGAGCGTCACAAGAATAAGCAGAAGCACAATGAACTGTACGAATATCATTTTGTGCAAGCGTGCAGTCAA